CACACACTATGATGAGGAGCAACCTTGATAGATTGCTGCTATGCTGACTGAAACTAATATATACTTATGCTGAAGTGATAACTAGTTATGGTGAGTAGAGTGGATGAGGATCCACTTGACCTATGATGATGAGAAAGCATGGTTATATACCTCTTCACAGCATTGCCAGCGATGCTGCTCCTGCTCTCTCTCCAGAGAGTACCTTCTTCATTGAGTACTGCTCAGGGGCCTCTCCTGCTTGGCACCCCTGTGCCTCTTGAGTGGTGTCGACTCCTTCGACACTGCTCCTCCTCATGACCTGTGACAGTTCCTTTGACTCTTGTCTCTCGAGCCCCTGAGTGGTAACCATCTGAGCTTGGTCCTCTTCGTGGCTGTGCCTGCTCCTTGAGCTTGGTCCTCCTCGTGGCTGTGCCTGGCCCTCCTCGCATGTGGCTCGTGTCCTCCTTTGCATGTGAGTCCGTAGGAGTCCATGGTCTCCATGGAGACTGCACTATGACCATGCTCTCTCCTGGTATCGACTAGATCTTCGATACCTGTGCTCCTTCCATATGAACCAGTGACCCTCCTGCTTCTTGAGCATCTAGGCCCATGACAACTGTCACCGGTCAAAGGAGAAGGAGCAGTGTATAGGACACTCGCAGGCAGGTCCTGAGGAAGAGGAGCAGTGTCGAAGGAGTCGACACCAGGTCATGAGGAGGAGGAGCAGTGTCGAAGGAGTCGACACCACTCAAGAGGCACAGGGGTGCCAAGCAGGAGAGGCCCCTGAGCAGTACTCAATGAAGAAGGTACTCTCTGGAGAGAGAGCAGGAGCAGCATCGCTGGCAATGCTGTGAAGAGGTATATAACCATGCTTTCTCATCATCATCATAGGTCGAGTGGATCCTCATCCACTCTACTCACCATACAACTAGTCAATACTTTAGAAACACAAGTACTCATTAGTTACAGTCAGCATAGCAGCAATCTATCAAGGTTGCTCCTCATCGTAGTGTGTGTGTTGTATCACCACTACCTGACGTCTGTAGGCGCCCCATAGTAGGTTAGCGGTCCAGATATAGATAGAACCAAAGGCAGTAGTCCACTGCGGTCCGGGGATCACTTCAAGTGTCAAAGTCAACACACTGGACACTCGTGTTGACACCACCAACCTTATCACCAACACCATCAACCTCATTATCATCAACACTCACCAACCTTATCACCAATGTCATCAACCTCATCATCATCAACACTCACACCAGACCTTGGTGTCATCATAACCGAAGTATTGATATTGATTGTGCTGAGCTACCCCTGAACAGAGTGTCCACAGAGGTCAGCCAAAACCTACGATAGTATATACAATGAACGCCACCTGCTGTCACTGTGCAACTTGATAGTCACCAATACCGAGACAATAGCTGTCGCACAGTTTGATAGTCACCAAGTATCTCGACAGACCGACCTGGGTTTCAGGCGCGAGACCCCTGACAGTTACGCTCAAACTTTTCTTGCAGACTACATGTGAGACTGCCTCTGAACAAGTCAATGATAAGTTCATTATCATCCAGATTGACTTGTCCTTCCAAGTCTCTGAAATGTTCCACATGGCATGTGGTGGCACTGGGTGCATCGCTAGTGAGCTTGAGAGCCAACAGCTTGTTGTAGGCTTCCATTCTAGCATTCTGGGGATTGAATTGTTCTGACAGCCGTTCTGTAAAGTAGTGCCAGTCATTGAATAACCTCCCTTCATGTGCCCTGTCAATTTGGAGCTTGGAGGTCCACCACTCCTGTGCATTCCCTTCCAATTGAGAGCCCATGTGGTTGATCATTCTTGTTTGCTCATATACCTGATTAAACTTAAACCAGGCTTCAGCTTCGAGAATGAATATCTCCACATCTCGCGGATTAAACTTAGGAAAGGGTGTGGCGATTGGCTTTGATTGAGAGAGATCTGCCAATACACTAGGATCCTCCTCCAAGTCTGGGGCATAAGGTTCCATCCTAGTCCTACTATATGGATCCACCCTGGGTTTGTAGTACCTTGGCCCAGTGGGTGATGCATACTTTTCATAATTAACATCGTCTTGCTCATCTATGGCCATGAACAAGACTGATCATCTTGGTCGTGATGCTGGTGTAGGAGTCTGAGGGTCTCCTAGCATGGATTCATCTCCTCCTGCTTGATCTTCTGATTGCAAGAACTCAATCATCTCTTCTCTGCTTAGGTGAGCATGGCGAAGTCGCTCTTCTCATTGGCCTTGCCTGGTGAGCTCGAGTTGAGCTTCCAATAGTGCTAGAAGCTGGTTGAGCTTATCATTGAGGCCTTGGTCTGTCATCATGATCGTGGGGTGCTGCTTGAATGATCCACTCTAATGTCAGCAGTTGCATGCCTGAAACCTGAGATCTGTGGTAGTATTGATACTATCACCGATTCTGTTGAATTATGCAACAGTGCTAATGGTATTTCGATTCTTAGTGAAATATGCGACAGAACCATCTCTGCCGCTTTTCTCATTAGAATCTGTAGTTGTATTATCGCTATGACAGATTTCGACTAACTGCTGTGGACACTCCGTCCAGAGGTAGCTTGGCACGATCAGACTACAATATGACTCTAAGTGAGCTCAATGTTGACACCAATGGTCTGGTGTGAGTATGGATTGATGATGCTGACACAAGTGTCCAGTGTGTTGGCTAGCACTTGAAGTGATCCCCGGGCCACAGTGGACATCTGCCTTCAGTTCTATTGTTATCCAGACTGCTGGTTGCTACGAACCACCTTCAGACATCAGGAAATGGTGATACAACACATGCACTTCGATGAGGAGCAATCTGTTGATTACTACTTATGCTGACTGTGAACTAATGTTACTTATTGCTTGAAGTAATACTAGTTTGTTTGATGAGTAGAGTGGATGAGGATCCACTCAACCATTTGTGATGAGGAGGTAGGACTATATACCTCTTCGCAGCATCATCAGTGACACTGCTCCTGCTCCCTCTCTCCAGAGGGTACCCTCTTCATCGAGTACTGCACAGGGATCTCCAAGGAGGCACCTCCTCCATATCAAACCTTGTCCCTCCTGTCTTTCCTGAGCTGTGTTGACTTCATCAACACTGCTCCTCCTCTTCATGTCCCTTTCGCTGGTGTCCTATACACAGATCTCCTTCCTTTGCCTGGTGACAGTTCTCTTCTACTCCTGTCCTGTGGCCCCTGAGTGGTAACTGACCGCGTGTTGCTGAGCTCGGTCCCTCTCATGTGTGAATCATCATACAGACATCCTTACTACCGATCTCCACGGAATCTGCCACATGATCTCGCTTGCTGCAGATTCTGGTGGGATTCGTGATATCAACGATGCTCATGCCAATTTCGCTGTGGTCTGCCATAGAGCTGATTCTATTGCCGATCTCAGTGAGCTCTGTCGCAGCTCCTACGATCTACCCGATTCCACGATTCCTGCACTACCTTCATATGAACTTCGGTCTTTCCTCGTTCTGCGCACCCAGGCCCATGACAGCCTGGAAGTCAGTGACACAAAAATGCATATCATTGTCTGCCATTGAGGTGGAGTTCATTGCAGCCACAGAAACAACATGTGAGGTGCTCTTCCTCAAGCAGCTGCTATGCTCGATTGGCATTGCCACAGGCACCCTGATGGTCTACTCAGACAACACTGGTTGCATACAGGTTAGTAAAGACCCAGCACAGCACTGGAAGCTTAAGCACATCAACACCAAGTATCACTTCATCTGTAACAATGTCCAAGAGGGAAGGGTGCAGATCAAGTATGTGGACACCACAAGAAATCTGGCAGATGTACTCACAAAGCCAATTGGGAGACAGGCAATGCAGCAAGCAAGATCTGGGCTACACCTGCAAATACTGGCAGCAGCATATGAAATGGAGTCCCTGAGCTATGCGATGGTGTTGAAGAATGGAGGACATACCTTGAAACAACAGCATAGTGAACAGGGTACATATGCTGTTGAGGGGGGGGAGTTGAAGTAGATAAAGCTACACAAAGTGTAGAGACCATGAAGGTAGTGCTTATGGCCAAGTAAAAGGCTTGAGCATCCGAGCACAGGCTGCATGTGTCACAACCTACTCAAGACAAATGCTTTGTTTTGCTCTGCAGTCGATGCGGCTCTCTGCCACTCCTCTTTTGTATATATATATAGACTCCTTTTCACTCCTCGCTCTCTCTCTCTCCCATCTATCATCATCAATTATACGAAAACTTCAACTTGCTGCAACTGTCCAGCTGAAGCAGTGTTTTCAAAAATTAGAGTATTTTCCAAAATGGCAGAGCTTATGTAAGAAATGAATATTTGACACAAGTGAAAACTCAAAAAAAAAACATGAGTTTCCAAAAAAAAAAAAAAAAAAAAAAAAAAAAAAAAAAAACTGAAACCCCCTACTGGTTTCAGGTGCGCGACTGCTTACAGATAGCCACACTCGGTATCAGCTTCAGAGATGTATATATATTTAGCTCGAGAACACTAGGTTCTCGCCATGTTCACTTAGTCAATTGAGTATATATGTTTCTGTCTAAACCAGCAGTGACATCGTACTTAGACTCTCCCCGATCGCCAGTTATCGGGACTCAAACGTCTTCACTTTTCAACATTTTCTACACCTCTCTCTCTCTTTGGAATCACAACAATTTTGTTGTGTGACACTGCGACTGGTCAGAGTGGCGATCGGGCAGCCAAACACACACACACACACACACACACACACACACACACACACACACACACACACACACACACACACACACTCAGCCGTAGTCTCTACTCATGTCTCCACTCTCTTCCATCATCTTCCTTCACCCTCATCTCAACCATCTCGTAGCCTAAAGTAGATCATCGCTGCTGTACTTCTTCCTCGGTGGAGGAGGATACAAGCCTGACGTCGCGGGCCTCACCTTCCACTCAACACCTTCATTCCCCCAATCTGTGCCCCCTTCGAATAGTTCAGGCCTCGACTCGCATTCTTACCAGTCACATTGAGCATGTCCGTATCAGGCCTCTTTTCGGTCATGTCCGCCTCGCCATCCCGATCATCTTCGCCAGCTGTGACTGCAAATCCCAATCACCAGATACCCTTCAACAGTGCTCCTGTCCATCATGCTCCCAGTCCACTGGGCTTCGGCTTTGGCTTTGGATCTTCCTTTGGAGGTAACAATGGCTCACCAGCCCCGACATCCAGCGCATCGCCCATGTTTGGTTTCGGAAGTGCATCGACGTCCTCCGCCTTGCCATCTGCGTCATCACCTTCAAGACGTTCAGAGGCGAAGCGCAGGCGGGACTCTGAAGATGCAGATGAAGATGTTGACGATGATGAGGACATGGGACACTCACAACAGCGCTCTCGACTCGGCTCCGATTCTTTCAATCCTTCCCATGAGCAGAAGCGTATGGTCTTGCCAAAACGCATTCGTGCTGGACTCGGCTTTGGACCGATGATGAACCATGCCGAACCATTCCACCTCCAACACTCGCCCACACAACAAGCTGCGGCATGCACATCAGCATCATCCTCAGCCTTCTCTCCACAGACATCAGCACACGTCGCGCAGACGAATGCATATCACGCATCGCCATCCGGTACAAAACGACAAGCGTTGGGGCAGACCAACCGCGTCGGAATGTCCGGTATCGACGTAGACATTGGCAAGATGCTCGCTTCCATGGACAAGCCATCACTTCTGTCCATGCTCAGCTCACTTCTCTCGCAGTCTAAGGACGCTACTCTGCCAGCACAAATCCTTTCACTTCTACCCACCCCATCGCTTGATTCGGTCGATGCCTCGCTCGACGAGCTGGAGAAAGCCATTCGATCAGCCATCCCTTTCGTTGCAGACGGCAGCTCAGCAAGACATGAATACACTTGGTCAAGGTTAAGAACTCCTGTTGCAGCTTTTGTTGATGCTGCGTTAGGGTATTTGCCTTTCTTCGTGACTGAGTTGGAAGCGGATAAGGAAGAGAGGCTGCGTGCAGACCGAGGCTTGCAGGCTGACAGGGAAGAAGTCCACCCTGCGACGACGTTCACATTCTTGCTTATGCTTACAACTAGGGTGTTGCGGATTGAAGCCTTGCTGCCATCCGTAACCAAGTCCAGTCTGGCGTTCAATCTCTTCACCGCTTCCAGCCAGCCTTCTTTCGGGTTCAACAACTCATCCGCACAGATGTCGCCAACGAAAGCAGATGCGTACGGCAAGCATAGCAACTTGGCCTACCTTCTCGGTAACGAGTTCTCCTCACCTTCTTCGCCCGATGCACTGATGACAGTGCTCATGCCTGCAATCCTTAAGCAGTGGACAACGCTGTTGCATAGGTTGGATAAGGCGGTGAATGGGGACGGGAGGATGTTCAGTCAGGAGATGGTTCTTACTTGGGCTCGTGGGCTGGAAGCTACAGGTTCCAATGGGAGGAAGGACGTGGAGATGAAAGCGGAAGAGGTATTGATCAGAAAAGCGATGGATGAGGTCAGGAATCGTCTTGAGAGAGATCTAGCTTGGCTTGTTGGTGGTGTGCAGCATCAAACTCAGACGGCAAGAGGATCGACGAGGAAGGAAAAGAGAGGAAGGGGGAGTAGTATGAGTGATGGCGAGGAGGAGCTTTGATCGCCATCACCCTTCGAGTTACATATCTATTGGTTACTTTGTTCTGTCTAGACTCACGAACGTCTTATTTTATGCATATACATTTACATACCCTTTCCCATACCAGCATCCTACTTTTGCTCACAGTCAAATCATTCAATGGCGATTTCATGACTCACATACATCAAAGTGTATCTAGTCGTTGTGTTGAACTTTGTGATTTCTTTGCAACCGTGAGAAGCTGAGACAACGTCAATCTACAACTGCGTTTTTGGCTTGAGACGTTTTTCTGCGCTCTTCCTCCGTCCGTCCCAGACGCTTCACCTGTGCAATCAAACCGATGATCCGAACGATATCCTCAACTGCAGCTGAGTGGTGCTTCACCAATCCCTGCTTCGCTCCCTCCTTAAGCTTTTGGAGATGATAATCTCTCTTAGGATTCAACAGGCGGAGTGCGCGCAGTAGGGTATGTTCGAACCTTCGTCTGTTGGTTGTACTCAGATGCAAGTGCGATGTCGGATGGGTGGGTTGGAAGCGGTTGAGAATGTCTTGTAGCGTGTTGGCGAGGATGGACTGTTTGATGATTGGGCCTCTGGTTGCTGACAGTGCTGTAGTAGAGCTGGTCGGCGGTGTGCTACTGGAGGACTTTGTGGATGAGGCGGCCTGTCGCAGACGACGGCCTCTACGACCACTAGCTACCATGTGCTCGGTCGCGGCCGGGGCGTCTTCTGAGACCGCTTCCTCCGGACGAGGTTGCAGAACAGGAGCAGTAGCAACGCACTGATCAATGATCATCCTATAAGTCCTTCCCGTCAACCGCACTTTCGGAAACAGCCGCTGAAAGTCTTGCACCAACTTTCGGGTCCATGCTGCTCGAAACAGCGGGTGCCTTACCTTCTTCAGCATCAAAACCAACGATTCTTCGTTCGGTACGATCTTTCTTCCCTTCGTTTGCCTCTCACTCCCTTGGATGGATGCTCCATCTGCCTCCGTCTCGCGAAGCTTGCTGGCAACAGACGCAGGATCATTAACGCTCTGTCCGAGCGTTGAGCCAGTGAGATTGTTGAAGATGCGCAGGGTCTCTGTGAGACTAACAGCGCGGTTCTGATGACAGGCAATGAGGGTCAAGTTGAGGATGCTGGTGGCGCCACCGCGAACAAGAGCATGTTGGTCGAGCGTAGATGTTTCGGAGAGCGCAAGCTGGACAATGCGCATCGTTGTTGCTGTGTCGCCTCTTTCGGCTAGCTGTGTCAGCACTGATTGAAGAAGCCAGGCCGGCGTGGCTGGGTCTGCAGAGTTTGGATCTCCAGCAGTATCGCTGGAATGTTTGAGCGCACTTCTGGTGTGCCGCAAGAGGTGGGGTAGGAGACGTTTGGTCAGGGAGAGTTTGGCTTGCGCTTGTGCCTCCTGCTGCTGTATCTGTCTAGCTTTCTCTTCATCCGCTATGCCTTCTAATAATGTTGTCGTTGTGTCTGAGATAGTGGAGGGCACTGTTGGCTGGTATGTCTCTCCCTCCGCAGGGCGGGCCCGAGTATCACGTCGCTTCCTACTGTCGGACTGGCGAACAGCTCCCAAGCCAAACCGGAGAAGACAGCCCCATCCGATCGTATCTAACATCAAATCTGAGCGAGATCTTGACTTCGCCTTCCCTACTGTGACCTTATTTGATAGGAGACCTGCTTGACTCACATATTCGTCGACCTTGATCCAATTGCCCTCCTTTGCTGCATATGCCACCTTGAGATTGAACGCTAGACGGCATGGATTCTCTCTAGACTCTGGCCAAATACCGACGCCATCGACTTCATAGTTGCCCAATTTCTTCGGCAACAGCTTGGTCTCAGCTATCGGATCGCTTAACTGTTGCAGCGTCCTGGGCATCCGCGCAGCTCGACTTTCTAAGCGGAGGAGCGAGCGTAAGTCGTTTTTCTGATATACGTATCTTAGTAAGAGCGAAAGACTTTGTGACGACTCGATTTGTTCCAAGCCCTGGGTCTGACGTTCAGTCGTCCAGACTAGATCCTCATACCATGATAGCAGGGCGGTCGGCGCTTGCGAGCGGAATGCATGGATCTGGCGAAAGGTCTGTAGGAGCAAATTGGCCTGAGGTTTGCTCAGACGCGGATAGGCTACCATGAGAAGCTCTACCTTACGGGCTGTCCGATCGAGTTCAAGATGTAGTCCACGTTGATCAGCATCGTTGAAGATCTTGCGCATTGCAGATGCCTGGCCTTTCGGGGAAGCACCAGCATACGCGTGTGCCGCCGTTTGGACGAAAGACTTGTTGAAAGCACGAGTACTGCTTTGTTGGGGTTCGGGCTTGGCTGAGGCGGCAGCATCCCATGATTGTGAGGTGGAGAGAGAGTGACTACTGTCGGAAGACTGATGGCGTTGCCTGTCTATTGGTGGAGGCGAAGGAGATGGTTGCGGAGAATTTTGCTGAGAGCGCTGGTGTGTTGGATTTGAGTCCAGGGCTGTGATTCGTTTGGTGACTCTGACATTCTGAGCTCCATCGTGGGCGCTCGACTCCTCTGATCGATTGGAGATATGATCTGTAGAGGGTTTCGGGGCAGTTGGTGTGGGCGATTGCTGTGCTTGGGTACTGTAGCTGGATGAAGGCAGAGGAACATGTCGAGGAACGTAAGGCCGCTCCAAGGAACGAGCAGCCTCCGCCAGCCCTCTGCACAGCTGTGAGGCATGGCGCATTGCCTGAAGCCTACTTCAACCCAGAGAGAGGTGCTTTGTTGCTAGCCCTTGTGCTGAACTTCCGATGGTCTATTGAACTAAGCTGACAACATGGGCGATAGAAAGAGGCGCATCGGGCTATTCGCGCTCGGTGGTGCACTGGACAGCCTCCTAGGTGTGACGACAATGGTCGGTTATAATCATAACCTGCTGATCGTGTAGTCTGACCGAGCTGATGATGATGGGCTTGTGACGAGATGATGATGGATGATGATTGTTGGCAGGGTCTAAAATGAAGGTGTTGCAAGTCGAGAAAAGCTTCGGCCAACTGCGTTTCTTCGCAAGGATGCATTTTCGGAACATTTTCGCGGCAGCAGAGCCCTTCCTTCCTTTTTCGTAGCCAGACCATCATCACGTGTGGGCTGCCGTTCTCCTCCGAGTTCCGAACCCTTCCCAGGGTCACCATGGCTCAAGCTCTGCACATCATAGGGATCCCTTGTGCGCTCGACGTACGCAGGCAAAAGCACAGCCGAATCTCAGACATTCACAAGGAGCCATCAGGTAGCACTCGGAGGACTGAGAAAGCCTTGAAACGAGAAATGGTGCATACTTGTACAAGAGACTAGAACACGAGAAAAGATGAGAGGGTGTAAAGCTACTGCGGTGAACAGGCTTGAGGTAAAAAGTGTAGCAATAGATTCCTTACTTGCGCAGAGCCTCAAAGAGACGGCGGAATGGTGAGTGGATACAAGTGCTTTCGGATAGGATGCGAGCTTAGTTGACGGGCTGACCAGGCACACCTTGCCGATATCCGCCCTGCTGAGCACCACCTCCGTTGCCAAGGTTGAGCTGGCTGTTGCTCTGTGGGTGAGTGAGGCCTGCAATTGCCGCCGAAGTGGTAAAGTATGGGTGTCGAAGCGCTTCGTCGGCAGAGATACGCTGTGTTGGGTCAAACTTGAGCAGCTTGTCAAGCAAGTCAATTGCCAATGGGTGAGCGTTGGGGAACATGTTCTGAAAAGGAACTTTTGGCACGCGAGGGAATGGTCGCACTTGGATCTCTGGCGAGTCATTGACAAGACGCTTCATGGTGTTGTCGTCTGGTGTGCCAAGAATGCGCAGAATTTGGTTGAGTTGGTCGTTGTTGTCACGGCCGCGGAAGAGTGGCAGACCTGAGATCATCTCGGCCATGATGCAGCCTGCACTCCAGATATCGATCGAGGTGGAGTATGTGCGCGAGCCGAGGAGCACGTCTGGCGCACGGTACCAGAGCGTGACGACCTCGTTGGAAAAAGTGTTGACGGGGATACCGAAAGCTCGAGCAAGACCGAAGTCGGCCAGCTTGAGCTCGCCTCGCTTGTTGATCAAAAGATTCTGAGGCTTGAGATCACGGTGAAGTACGCGGTTCTCGTGGCAAAAGGCAGTGCCCTTGAGGAGCTGGAACATGAAAGAGCGAACAGTGACAGGGTCAAGAGCGCAGCAGTGACCGTGAATCTCCATGTACTTTTTCAAGTCTTGCTCCATGAACTCGAAGACGAGCATGAGCTTGGACTCTGTGTGAATAACATCATAGAGGCGAACGATGTTGGTGTGACGCAACTCCTTCATGAGCGAGATCTCGCGGATCGCCGTTGATGGGGTTCCCTCTTCAGCATCGAGGTGAATCTCCTTAAGTGCAACAACCTCGTTGTTCAGCCTAGATCGACCCTTGTACACAGTGGCGTAAGTGCCCTCTCCGAGCTTCTCGAGCTGTACGTAGTTCATCGTGGGAATGCTATGCCGAGATGATTGGACAAAATCTTGAGTATTTGTCTGAGTGAAAAGGCGGTCTATTCGTAGACTAAATGTAGCTGGTCGCGATTCGGAAAGCAGTGGAAGACGGTGACTTGCTGCAGGAGAGGTGTGGCTGCGATTAGAACGGAAAGACAACCGGCGTTGACGCAAATGGAAGTGCAAGTGGCGATGAAGCTACGTCTTGTCGATAGGATCGGAAGCAGTAAGGAGGTTAGACCAACTCTAAGCTCACCTGCAGCCGAATGCAACAGCCCAAACCAAAGTGTCAGTCTCAGCCGCGGGTGTCGCGACTTTTTAGATTTCAGGGACAAAGCTCAGCCTGACTTGTTCGCTCGCCCAGCTGAACATGGCGCCTCTGTCAACACGTAAGCACTTGTCATCGCCAACCCCTGGCTGCTTGAATTTCTTTTTTTTTTTTTTTTTTTTCTTTTTTTTTTTTGTTTTGAAGGCTGAGAAGAAGAAGAAGAAGAAGAGAAAGAAAAAGAAAAAGAAAAAAAAATGTTGGAATTTGGTTGCTCCACAGCTTCAACCAAAATTCTCGTTCTCGATGCTTTGTGAACGAGCTCACTTCTCCATCGCTTGTTAACCATCTTCCAGCTCCCCTCCGCAGTGGTACTACATCAGCTCCTTTGACACTTCTGCAATAATGGCCAAGTCAAAGGCGCCGAAGCCTTCCAAATCACGGCCCGTGTCGACGTCAGAGCTCAACCAGCCTTTGCTCCCATCTTCCGGCTCGGTCACGGCATCGACAGCATCTTGCTCTTTCTCCCCGGCTCCTGATCATACGCTCTTTGCACACATCAGCAATCAGATCCACCAACAACGTCTTCGTGTCTACAATGCCTCCGCTTCCGCAGCATCGAGCTCGCAGCTCGTCACAGATTTCCTCTTGTCTTCCTTGGGAGGAGCCGAGTGCCTCTCGTCGCACTGGGTCCGACTGTCGACATCGTCTTCCAAGTCGGCCAAGCGCAGAAAGCATGATGCAAAGGGTAGCGATGATCTCTCTTCCTCTGAATCTTCTCAGCTCTTCTTGGCGCTCGGTCTGAGCACAGGTCAGGTGCACCTCTTGAGCCCTGCGCTAGCTCAGTCCGTCGCTCTCCTCGATGCTTCCTCGGCCTCAGGCAGCAGCACCTCTTCGGCAGCAAACGCCGGCATTGTCTCCATGTCCTACTCAGAAGGCAGCAAGTCGCTCTTTACCTGCTCCAAAAGCGGCTGGGTCTCCTCGTTCGCGCTTGGTGATGTCAAGCTGGGCGACCAAATCACCCCGTTGCGACCCCTCTCCTCTTTCCGCCCCGACACCAAGTCTGCAGTTCAGTTGCTGTCCTCCCGACAAAACCTTGTCCTCTCTGCGCATCACAGCATCAGCTTGAACGATGTCGCTCAATCGGATCACTCGCTTCGTGCAACTTTCACTGGCCACGCATCTCCGGTCACGCATCTCGAATGGATCAACGACAACTCATTCCTCTCCGCTGCAGAGGGCGACCGCATCGTCAGTGCCTGGACATTCGAAGCCACGGCTGGAAAGGCTCTCACCGGCCGCACTTTCGCAACTGCCGCTCTCGACGGTCCTGTACGAGCTCTCTCGGTCTCCACCACCTCTGCACAGCAATCACGTACACTCATTACGATCGTTACACAGACCGGAAGCGTCCGTATTTATGGCCTTCCCGCAGAGCCCATGTCTGATGCATCGCCATCAAAGAAGAAGTCAGCCGCATTGCCGTCCTTGGAACTGCTCGCTCAGTCCTCGATAGAGAGCGGCGGAGCTTCTGTCGAGTGGATCGACGCAAGGCTTGTATCGGACAAGCTTCGTTTGGCTCGCCTCGTCCGTGGCGCCAAGGTCTCGATCGATGAGACCACCGTCCTCTCTGGCAAGGACGCTCAATTGCAAAAGACAATCACTCTGCCAACAGCTGGCGGTAAGCAAAACTCGTCTGCCGACACGGACGGGGCTCAACTCACAGGTGGTGCTAACGACGTGCAGAGGTACACAGATGCGCCATTGCGACCCGAAGATGATGCTGCTCTGGAGGCAGGTCTTGAGGACGCCGGTCTTGTTGCCTCATCTTCGACAAGAGCTGCCGATATGGAGCCGACATTAGCTCAGCGACTGAAAGACCTTGGCTTCGGTGATCCTTCGCTGGCCGGTCAAGAGGCAGACGAAGATGACGCCGATGTGCCAACCAAGAAGCAGCAGGCCTTGATGAACGAAGCTTCGCTCGCTTCATCTCTCTCCCAGGCTTTGCACTCGGGCGACACAAGCCTCCTCACAAGCTGCCTCAACCACAACGACCCCATCCTCATCCGTAATACGGTACGCAAGATTTCCGGTCCCCTTGCCGTTAAGCTGCTCGAAGAGTCTGTCAGCCGTCTCAATGGCGTTGGCGGCCACCACGTCAGCAAAGGTAGTATGGGCAGTCAGAAAGCCCGAGGTTTGATGGAGTGGGTTCGTGCCACCTTGCTCAACCACATGGGCTACCTCATGTCTCTTCCCAACCTCGTCAATCGTCTTTCTGGCCTTCACGCTACGCTTACCCAGCGTCTCGCGACACACGAGCGATTGTTGGCGCTCAACGGCCGACTCGAGTTGGTACTGTCGCAGATTGAGGCACGCGCTGCATACATGTCGCAGGCCAGCAACAACCAGGTACGCGTGCAGGGTGTCAAATTCGGCAAGAAAATGCAAGGTAACGCCGTCTCGCAAGCACAGAACGGTGTTGACAAGGAGAGGAGGAAAGGCAAGAAGTGGGTTGAGGAGTCGGACGACTCTGACTCGGATGACATGGCTGTGGATGGCGATCAGGACGGCGTCCTCGTACGAGGCGACGACAGCGAGGACGGTGATGTTCAAGACATTGCTCTCGGCGCTGACGACAGCGATGATGATGAGGACGACGATAGCGACGATGATGGTCCTGTGCCAAGACGACGACGTGCCAGGAACGGACGCATGTCGGATGGTAACACTTCTGCTGACTCTGCTTCGGATGACGATGAGGATGACGGCGAAGGCATCAAAGAAGACGAGGATGAAGAGGAGCTTCCAGACGAGAGTGACATCGAAGAGGAGGGCGCTAGCGACATGGAAGATGACGATGATGAAGAGGAGTATGACGAAGAGGAGGGTGGACGTGATGCCAACAGCATGTTCGACCTCGAAGCTGAGGAGGGCACCGATGAGGACGATGAGGACTAGAATCAAAGACCTCTCAGCATGATCATTCCTTCCTGTACACAAGCTCTCCAATAATGCATTTCCAAGCTATCATGTTGATTATGGTGTGGTTACAAGTGTCCAGAAGCTAGGGGCATTGAGCGAATTTCATGAGCTGTTGCCCAGTGCTGCTCTAACATCCCTCTCACCTGCCAAAAAGGTTATGAGAAAATCGATCACGACGCCGAAGTGATGGCAGAAAGAGAGAAAAGAAATTTCGTCGGTATCCGCGTCGCTCGGGCGGACCTTTGCGTGTCTTGGGGGAGGTTCAGCCAAGGAACCCCTTCTCAACCCGAGAAGGTTTTGGCCGACTGATACGAACAGTGTCCTGGCCTCCCGACCAGCAATGGATCAGTTTGTGTTCCTTGCTGAAGCTCGTATGAAGTGGCAAGGGATCGGTATTTGAACAGAACGTCAGTTCGAACTGAATGTCTGGCACAGCAGTGGAGGATGTTTGCCTGGAATTCGGCGGCTTCAGCACTGAAGCGAGAAAGCATGTGCGGGAGAGCGGAGAGAAATGGACAAGAAGAGTCCGAGTCCCGATTGTGAGCCGATTGTGAGCCGATTGTGAGCCGATTGTGAGCATCCCACGTTGAAGTTGGACTTTGCGTTCCGTCGAACAGTGAGCAACAGCAAGGTCGACGTGCACTGTAGTGAGCGATTCTTCCTGTGCATCGGTTGTAGCTACAAACACTTTGACTTCTCTCCTTTCTCACCTCTTCACCACCGCTCCCTTCTACTTCAAATCCGCAACGAACATGTTCAAGCACGCCGCTGCCTCCCTCAGCCGCCCCTTGGCTCGAGGCTTCTCCTCCTCCGCTGCCCGCGCTTCGTACGAGGACACCATCAAAAACCTCCTCATCAACAAGGACTCTCGTGTTATCTGCCAGGGTTTCACCGGTAAGACTGGTACCTTCCACTGCCAGCAGGCCCTCGAGTACGGCACCAAGCTCGTCGGTGGTGTTTCTCCCAAGAAGGCTGGTCAGACCCACCTTGGCTTGCCCGTCTTCGGTTCCATCAAGGAGGCTGTTCGCGAGACCAAACCCCACGCTTCCGTCCTCTACGTTCCTCCCCCCGGTGCCGCCAATGCCATCATTGAGGCCATCGAGAACGAGGTTCCCCTTATCGTCGCTATCACCGAAGGTATCCCCCAGAAGGATGAAATCCGTGTCGCTGCTGCTCTTCGATCGCAGTCCAAATCTCGTCTCGTAGGACCCAACTGCCCCGGAATCATCAATCCCGAAGGTTGCAAGATCGGTATCATGCCCGGTCACATTCACACTCCTGGTCGCATCGGTATCGTCTCTCGTTCCGGTACCCTGACATACGAGGCTGTCAACCAGACCACTCAGGTCGGTCTCGGTCAGTCCCTCTGCGTCGGTATCGGAGGTGACCCCTTCCCCGGTTCCACCACTCTTGACCTCGTCAAGCTCTTGCTCGACCACGACAAGTCCGAAGGTATCGTCCTCATCGGCGAGATCGGCGGCTCCATGGAGGAGGACGCCGCAGAGTACCTCGCCAAGTACAACAAAACTCGTGCCCACCCCAAGCCCGTTGTTGCTTTCATTGCTGGACGAACTGCTCCTCCCGGCCGAAGAATGGGTAAGAACATGATCACCACCGTGATCCTTGCCAACTGTTTCTATGAGCCTTTAGTGCTGACCAAACCTCTACTTTCTTTCCCCTTTGCATGCAGGTCACGCCGGAGCTATCATCTCCGGTGGTAAGGGTGGTGCCGATGACAAGGTCAAGGCCCTCACTGACGCTGGTGCTATCGTTGCTGACTCGCCCGCAAAGATTGGGGCACTCATGAAGGAGGCCATGCAGAAGGCTGGCCTTGCTTAGACGGACCCAAATTTGGACGAGAACATGACACTTTTCTATTCGGACCCTCACAACATATTTAACGATCAGAAAGTGTCTCAGTACCTTCACACAGCAATTGACGTTTTTTTGCATCCTTGAGTGTCACAGCTGAGTGCCCAGACAGGCAAACGGATAGGTAAAGAGAATTGATCCGGTGCAATGCGTGGGACAAACAAGATTCGAAACGAGAAATGTGAGCAACAAAGATGCATAGAGCAGACGAGGGTATCCTAAACGTGTGTGTTCGACACAGTTGCTTCGTTGTGACTCCGTCTCCGTCCGGAGGCGAAAACAGAAGACCATCGCTTACAAAGGAGCTGTGTAGTTTGCCGGAAAGATCGCCGTCTTACTAGCACTCATGCCAGCTTCAACCCTACCTTCCCACCAATCATCAGTGCTATTTGTTTTCCTAGTGACGGCGATCACTTGTCCTTTGCTGAAACCAAGATCTCCTTCTTCCTGAGCCTCGAAGTCGAACAGTGCGATCACACGTTCAATTACGGGCACATTTGCATTCTCGTTGGATAGTGAGAATGACTCCTTTCTAGCGAAGCTGCTCATCCCGTTCCCATTCTGATTGTAGTCGTAGTCGTCCGCGGAAGGATGGATGAGTGAGGCATGACCGTCATCTTCGTTGATGGTAGGCGTCTTTTTGCGGCCGAAAGCGCTGCTAGCGGGACTCGGAGTTCGGAAGCGGCCAAAGCGAGAGCCTCCGCTCTTGGAAGGTGGTGGAGCAGAGCCTCGCCCTGAGTCGCTCTCCCATGGCGACTTCGTCCGACCATGACCATTGGCTGAGCCGTCGTAGCCGTCTGTGCCGTTGTATCTCCCATCAATTGTAGCGTCCAGCTCCCCGAAAGGATCGCGAGCAGCGGAGGCAATACAGCCTTGGTCGTTTCCAAAGAGATCATCCTGAGCATCCTCATTCGCATTGAACTGGGACCATCCAACGGGAGTGTTGGAGCTGCCTCGGCCAAGAAGACTGCTACTGCGATTGCGTCCGTCTGATGCCATAGCCGAGTTGTAGGCGTCGCCAGGAGAAGAGGCTCCGCCTGCAACACTGTATCTCTTGCTATGACCGAAAGGCGACTTTCGGGCAGCTGAAGGGCTCGATGTACCACCGCCTTGGAGCTCGCGGTCGAGCGCGTCCATGCCAGCCCATGTATTATTACTCTTGCTCTGACCAGGAATGTCGTTCCAGTCCGGCGGTGGTGTCGGTCCAGAACGATCCAGCTTCTTTCTACTCAAACTAGAGAAGCTGAGGTTGCTAGCGATACTGCTCGATCTCTGACGGATGCCTGGGCGTTTCGAGTTGGCCGATCCGACCCGTGCTGGAGTGTTGCTCAAAGAGGAGGATGGTGAGCCGAAAGCATACGGTGCGCCAAAGTTTCGATCATATTCATCCTCCTTCCTGCCACGGTCGCGGTCGTCCAGATCGTCAATCAGATCTCGATCTCGTTCTTTGTCTCGATCCTTTGTGCTCAAATCATCGAAGCGATCCGGCAAGTAATCAAGTTGATCGCTACGGGACGGAGCGCGCTGGCCATCCCGTCTCCCGTATGACATGATGTCTGTATCGCGACTGTCGAGCGAGTCGACACTGGTTCTGCGACCGCTGCTCTTTCCTAGACCACGATTGTCGAAGCTACTGGTATCGTCGTAGTTGAAGTATTCGCCATCGAGATCTTTGCTTGGTGTGTTGGCCAGTGTGAAGCGATCAATGGTCTGAACGAGCCCGGATGCCCAGTGGGGTCGCTCTACCGAGCCTGACAGAATTTGCTTGGCATTCTTGCCATACTGACCATATGCCTTGGCGTTGGCGTCCTCTCGGTCAACCAGCACGCTTCCTTCGATGGAGACACCACCGTACAAGCCTTTCGACTTCGAGTAGGAGAACATGGCAGCGACTCGACCTTTGGTGTTGAGGCTTCCACTTGCTTCTGCAGACCGGCCCAAGGGACCAACAGCGACAGACAGGTTGCCACCAAGCTGGAGTGAGCCGGTGGCCATGAAGGATCGAACAGCCGACTTGGAGTTGAGGACGATGAGAAAGTCGGTGACCTCAGCACCGGCGTTGAAGCCTCCACCGAGACCGCCGATGCCGATGGCGGCGGGTGCGGACCAACGACCATCTTCCAGCTTGGCAACGACGACACCAGAGCCAGCACGTGCAGAGATGATGAAGCCGATACGAAAGACGGAGAAGATGGCGAATCCTTTGGCCTTCCTCAAAACGCTGAGTGGCACGATCTTGTCCAGGCCATTGACGGGGTCGACAAAGTCATTGAGGATCTTGGTGGCCTTGCGGCACTCGTGTTCAAGGTTGACAGGGATGGGGTTACCCATACTGCCCAAATCAACCTCGGTCAGGATCAGAAGCGATGGCGGGGAGTAAAAGCAGGGTCGGATGAGAGGAGGTGGCGTTACCGGATCAAAAGCTTCCACGAATGCTGAGGACACGAAGTGTTGCCAAGTGGAGGAGCCCTGGAACGGAAAGCTGCTGTAACTTGATACTGTCGAGCTAAAGATGGTCTTGAGGAGAGCGTAGATGAGGCGTGAGATAGCGAATTGCCACTGATGGGGGGGTTCCGCGGATGGATTCGATGGTAGTACTGTATCGACGAGTGGCTGTGGGGAGGATGATGGTCCGGGCCGAGCGTCGCTGACGGCTGTCTTGGCTGCTGCGAGCAGTGTGGAGGCAAAACGGTATTTTTTTAGCTCTTAGCTTCGGTGGTTCAGGCCCGAGCGTGCGTGGTTCGCAGCCCACCCTATTTACCCGTGTACAGCCGCGAACTTACCCTCCCATGACCTGAATGTGTACAGTTGTACGTGTCTCTACTGGTACAGCTGTACAAGGCATGATTGAGAAACACAAGCCTTTCGGAACTCATACGTCTCAGCTGTCGCACGCCATGATAGACTACCTTGGTGGATGAATGTGTATTGCATCTAGTATAAGTGCAGACCATTGTTGCTGAAGAGAGGAAGCGTAAACATAGCATCGAGGTATCAGCGATCCAGCAATCCACCGGGTTCACCCTCTCGATCAACGCGCGACCTCTCCCTTGCTTTCCGCGACGCTGCATATAGACCATTGAGAGATTGCTTGACCTGGTCCAGACTCTTGCTGTTGACAGCCTGCATGTAACGTTCAACGAAGGCTACCTTGTCCTTGTCGGGCACGTTTGGCAGCTGCTCCACGATACTGGGTACCCAAGCCATCATCTCGCCTGCAAAGCCACCAGAAAGCACCTTAAGCGTCGTCACTGCGACAGGCATCACCTCAGGGCTGAATTGCAGCACGAGACCATTGAGCAATACAGAAGCAAGCTGGAAGCCTTGCTGTCCAACCACGTGGCGGATGGCAGCAGCATAGCTAGCCATTTCCTGCATGGACGGTGTGCCATCGGCGTTCGGCGTTCCAGTGGCTGGCAAAGGCGTGCCGGGTTGCGAAGGTGTCACTGGCATCATGAGTGAATCGTGTCCCAGGATGCCAAGCACAAGGTCGAGCGCAGTCGCCACAGTTTCTGTCTTGAATAGCGTCAAAGCTGCAAGAGCTGCGCGGAAGACTTGCGGGAACTGCGGCGACAAGAACAGCAGTGAAGGCACATTGTGGAGGACAGCCAAGCAGGAGTGGATGTAGTCATCTAGCACATCACCCATCTCGGCGGGCATTGTGTTTTCGAGGAGCTGCACCATCTTGCCATTGACCCTTTCCGAAGCGCCTTGTAACGCTGCTCTGACCGCCATGTTGCTGTCGCGACCGAACTGGTCGATGCACTTGCCCACGATCCAAACGTATCCTGGGAAGCCTGTCTGCTCAAAGCAAGACGCCAATCGCTCGAGCAACGGCACTAGGCTTGGCGCAGCAAGGTTGTCGAACAGTGAAAGACCTCGTCGAAGCAAGCCACTTGCCCTCTCTGAGATGAAGAAGACGTTGCCGTGCGCGGCTAGGACCTGATCAATGACCGAGTACGCCTCTTCGCATGTCTTGGCACATGCTGATGGAAGGTAACGTGTGAGCGATGTTCCAATCACAGCAAGCATCTTTTCCAGTTGCTCCATCCTGTCCGCTGTCTTGCGGAGCTGATCTTTGCTTGGATTCCGAAGCGCTGTAGCCTGGCTGAGAGCCTCAAGCAGTGGTTGCGAAATTTGCATCAGCGCCTGTGGTGCCCTCTCCGGCTGCATACCCGCAATGACATATGCAATACCCTCCGAGATAGAAATGAGATCATCTGGTCCAAGCTTGTCGTTGACAGAACGGAAGAAGTCGTAAAGCTGCGGTAGGTAGGCAACGAGATGACGGTGACAATCCTGGCAGAGGAAGTTCATTGCCTGTGCCGCTGCTGCCGTTACATCACTGCCAGCTTCCTCAAGACCGGCACTGATATACGAAAGCTGTGCTGGGATCTGCTCAGGGTGCATGTCGATCCACTCTGTGTACCTTGACAGAACGAGAAGTCCAGCATACTTGAGCTTGGGGTGATCTGGGAGCGTGGGGATAATGTTGATGATCTGAGGAAGCACTTCGTCGTCTCTTGGGTCGGCCTCTGCACCCATCGCACGCATGCTGAAGAGCGGTGCTTCAACGTCCTGCCATTTTAGGGTTTCGGGCGTCGATTGCGAGGTTGTCGTCTGGATCATATGAAGCGACCTTGACAAACACTGTCGGGAGCCAAGAACGTGACAGCAATCCTTGAGGGTGTCGCCCATAAAGTGTCGGAAAGATCGGAAGTCGTCGCGCTCTTGACCTGTGAGCGTATCCAGATCGTCAGGGAAGCGAAGATGTCGGATGATGATCTCAAGCAGCCTCTCGTACAACGGGTAGAATCGCTCCGCCTCTGGATGACCACGTGCATGTGAAAGAGCACCGGAGAGCAAGTACCAGAAGCGGAAGGTGATTTGAACGATGTCGAGGTCATGATAGGCGGTGCACTCAGCGATTGCCTCGACAACGGGGAAGAGTTCCCTTTGGTGTCGAATGATGATGCGGTGATAGGCCTCGCCCGCTTGCACAAAGATACGACAAAGGCCACGAACCTTGTCCTCGTCGTCGCCAGCAGCTACTAGCTCTTGGCGCAGCGGATGCAGTCGGGCAAGGACTCGCTGGATGACATCCATGTTCTCCTCCACCTCCTGTGTTTCGTTGATCAGATCGCAAACAACATCAGTAGCTACGTCGAATAGCTCGTCGGAGCCCAGTGCGTCAAATGATAAGTCGAAAAGCGGCGTGTCCGCCATCTGCCCTGCTGACACTTCACCGCTCTTGAGCCAAGATCGAAGACACTGGAAGATGCCCGTTTGAATCTGAGACGTCAAGCCAGAAGCCTGTACGTACATTGACAGGAGCTTGAGAATCTCTGGCGCAGCAGCCGAGAGCAAGAAGTGACATCGGGTGTTGTAGAAGTCGTTGTCGACAGGAATGCGGTGGTTGGTAATGACCTCTTCCGGAAGCACGGTGAGAAACTCAAGCAGGACTGGCACTGTGTCCGGGCTCGAACCGAATCGTTCAATCATACCAGGCACCACGGTTGGCCACTCGGACTCGTCGAGTTGCAGAGCCAAGCCGGACAAAGCCAGACTGAGCTGCGTTTGAATGACTCGGGGGCCTGATGCGTAGGCCGAAAGTGCTGCGAGGAGAGTGTCACGAAGGGCGACCCTTTGTTGCGTTGGAACTTGTTCCAGATCGAAGGTGATCTTGGTGCGGAAGGTTTGGGCAGCAAAGAGTCGGGGCTCGAGCGGCAGTTCAGATGCCAGAAGGAGCGAGTTGGCGGTCTGCCAAGCTTCAGAAGTCTGCTGGAAGTCCTGAAGCCATCGATTCGCGGAAGCCTTGGCTTGATTGTTTGGGTCAGTGTAGAGAGTGTTGAGAGCTTGCATCACGGCCTGGATGGCCTGTTGCTCCGCAGAGACAGCTTCCGAAGAGCTTGACTCTGCTGTTGTAGACATGTTGAGTAGGTGCACGATAGTTCCTTCCCTTGCTGGAATGGATGTGGATCAAGAGGGACGACTGGGCGCACTGGCGGATGTGCTAGCGAAGGAGGTTAGTCACTTCTTGAAAGGGGATGACTGCAGATCGGCTCAGCAGCAATGACTGTTTGGCGTAGAGTCAAGCTCGATATCTTCGAAGCCAAAAAGCCGCTGTTGTAGCATGCAAAAGGTAAGGTCGTGGTTGAACTGTGCGTAGGACGAGATATCGGTCTCGAAAAAGAAGATCGATGCAGCGTGTTATTTGGTGTCACATGCCTTCTCTCAGCTTCCTGGGCTCAATTTTTGGAATTTGGTCTGCCGACACGCTGTTCAAATTTGGCCGAGCAACCAAGCTGTGAAGCGTGGACTACTTTCTTCTCAAATTCCCGATCCCGATCGTCTCGCACTTGCAAGCCTAGGAGCTCCATTCGCGGACTCTCACACCCGGAATTACATCGCTAGAATACATCTGGTACATGGAGAGAACAAGAGAGCCAGTCAGGAAGCTTGAGAAGAAGTGACTCTGCTGGCGTCAGCAGTGAGAATAAGGGAAACAAATACAAAGAGGAGGCATGCTGGTAAACTGATCTCGAGCAGTTGCAAGGAGTGTTGTTGCAATAGACTTGCGTTCGCAGCTCATTGACGCACAAGCGTCTGGCGACACGCTTGTTTACTCGAGGCCGGCCTCGTTGGTGAACTCGATGTGCTTCTCGACTGCAGAGGTGACGGGAAGAACATGGGCAGGACGGAAGAGAAGTGGCAGAAAGAGAAAGTAGATGGTTGTCAGCATTTGATCTCGGATCAGCGGAAAGCGGCTTTGCATGTCTGCGGATGGCAATGGACTCACTATCGGCTTTTGTGACGGTCGGTCTCACGGCCTGGATGGCTCGCAAGAAGTCGTTCATCACCAGCTTGGGTTCCAGCAGTTGCTCTCCTTCAATGTCGTCCCAGGTCATCTCTATGGCATCGGGATTTCCTGGGGAGCAGGGCGTCAAATATTCTTTCATCTCCTGCACCTCGTCCTCGACTGCTGCTTCGTCACCATCCTGTTGAGCAGCATCGCCGTGTGCACCTGTGTCGACCGAGCCGTTCTTGGCCTTTTCCTGCTGCTTCTTGCGTTTGGCAGGTGCCATAACCTTCTTGAAGTGTGTCGCGCCCGTCACCTTACGGACTGGCTGCATGAGCGCATCTCGCACCAGGACGCTGATATCCGATCCTGAGTAACCTTCGGTCAGCTCTGCTAGCTTGCGATAGTCTTTGCTGTCCAATGAGCAGGGAGTCTCGCCGACATTGAGTTCAAACATTCGCTTCCTCGCCTCGATATCGGGCAGCGGGATGTAGATACGCTTTTCGAATCGACGCTTGATAGCCAGATCGAGCGCCCACGGGATGTTGGTGGCACCAAGCACCAGAACACCTGTCTCGTCGTTGCCGACACCGTTCATCTGCACCAAGAACTCGGTCTTGATTCTCCTGGAAGCCTCGGACTCTCCTTCTCCTCTTGTACCAGTTAACGAGTCGACTTCGTCGATGAAAATGATGGATGGCTTGGCCTCACGGGCCATCTGGAAGAGCTGTTTCACCAAACGTTCTGACTCTCCCATCCATTTGCTGACCAAATCCGAACTGGAGACACTGAAAAAGGTCGACTTGGCTTCGGTGGCGACGGCTTTGGCGAGGAAAGATTTACCGGTTCCTGGAGGTCCATACATGAGGATACCGCGCCACGGTGTTCGCTTGCCGGTGAACATCTGTGGGAACTTGATGGGGAGGATGACGGCTTCTTTGAGCGCCTCCTTTGCTGTGTGCAGACCAGCGACATCATCCCATCGTACATTGGGTGTTTCTGAGAGGACGGCACTTGACAAGCCTGCTCGAAGCTTCTTGGTCTCTGGATCAATGTCGTCGTCTTCTCCGTCCTTCTTGCCACCCGTGCTACCTCCGACGCCCTTCTCGGCACCGTTGGCGCCAACAGCCGCCCTGCTGCGATCCTCGTTACTCTTCGCGAGATGCTCCTTAAGCTTTTCGGCACGATCGAGATATTCTGTGAACTTTTTGCGGATGAGGTCCTTGAGTTTGTCATTCTTCTCATCTGTATATAGCAAGGAGAGTGGATGACAAGGAATCAGGTCAATGTACGCAAACGCAACGGCTGCAGATGATTGGAAGAGTGGACTTACACTTCATGGCCATCATAAAGTAGTCAAGACTGTTCTGATAGAGTTTGTAAGCCTCTTGGTAGTTTTGCTTGACATCTTCGTCGATCGCCTTTTGCACAATCTCGATCGCTTTCTGCAACGACAAGGAGACGAAATGGCATTTTGAGAGCTTAGGAGTTAGTACTGCTGATGCGAGTCGTAGGACGTCAAGGGGAGACATGGATCAGCTTACATTCAAAAAGTCCGAGTTCGCCATCTTGATGACGCTGAGCGTCACTTCTTAGTGACAATTGGGCTGTGCTGGAGGGACAGAGGTAGGATGCCAAGAGCGTCGTGAGGTCCGTTTCCTTCGTTGGCTCGGTAGAGCTTTGCGGGGTTCGGCCAGTTTGCAGCTGGCTCTTTCTTTGCGGCAGTTTGATGTCAAGGGTGCTGCTCTGCTGTTGATGGAGATTAGACGGGATGGTAGATGATGGCAACAGCGAAACGGCATCTGGTTGGACTACGGTCTTCAGGGCTCAACTTGAGCCTGGCATCTTGGCTGTCCACGCTCACACAGAAAGTCTCAGGCTCCACCGCTGCGCTTAGACAGTCGCCGTGGAGTTAAATTCGAGCGGGCAACGCGTCTCTGGCTCATTGCCTGTGTGTTTCGTTGCAGCCCCGCAGCGTCAGCCCGATCCGAGCTGCCAAATCGCTCAAGCTTGGCGACCCTGAGAATCGGGGCTGAGCTAGGACCCTTTATCGCCAAAGCACCCGAGATCCGAGACAGCTAATCTTCCATAGCTATTGGCCTTTGCGTTGCCTTCTTAACCTCTTACTCACGTTCACCTTCAACTTGCTCCTCTCAACGACAACAAGTGACTTAATTCAGGGTGCATGGATGCGGATGCCTCGTCCCAATCAGGCCCGGTCCTTCGACATCTGATTCTCACTTGCAGCAGTGTGGGGAAAGCGATTGCTGCCGGCCATGGATCGATCGCAGGGATCGTTGGCAGTGCCTCAGTACGTTTTGACTCCGCTACTGTTCCCGACTCTACCAGACGGCGATCACCTCGAAGCTCTTAACCCAGAGTCCCCTGCTGCGATTCAGCAGAATGCGCAACGCTCCATTCGTTGCGCCGAAAGTGATGGCTCCTTCCTCTACATTGGTACGTCCGACGGTCTGATCCACTCATTTCAAATTACGCATCGTCCCACGGCCAGTAGAAGCGCGGCAGCTTCCCCTTCGAAATCTCAGTCACCGACGTATATTCACAAGTCTAGTCGCTCTATATCCAACAATGCCAAGCCAATTGAAAAAATCGTGCTGCTTCGGCCCTTCAAAGCTGCTGCTGTCCTCTGCGAGGGAGTTGTCAGCTTCTACTCTCTCCCCAATTGGACGCCAATACGAAGCTTGCCCTCGACAAGGGCAGTTAGCACAATAGTGATCGATGATGAAGAGGCAGAACATGGAACGGGAACGGATGCCGCAGGGATGATCAGCATCTGCTTGGTTCGAAGGAAGAACATCATCCTCGGCAAAATTGGTGCCGAAGGTCGTTCTGAACTCTTGTGGGCCACTGTCAAGGACATCCCACTCCCTGGAGGCGCCATCTTTGCTCGTCGCTTCGCCGATACCCTCTGTATAGCGAACGCAACCGAATACAGCCTCGTCAACCTCTCCTCGGGCAACATCACGCAGCTATATCTACCCATCAGCCAGACCGGCGAGTCACCCTCAGCCCAAGTCCGGCCCAGCATCGTCACTGTTCCTGTGCTTCCTTTCAGCAACAAGCAAGGCAATCCATCGCCTACTCTCGAACGCTCCGGGTCTTCCTCAGCACCTGCAAAGTGCGAATTCTTGGTCACGTCCCACAGCGGCTCCATCACTTTAGGTGTATTTGTCAAGCCATCTGGCGAGCCAGCACCAAAGCTGCTCGAATGGCCCTCCCATCCGCGCTCTGTCACTTTTGATGGCAAGCATCTCGTCTCATTGCTGCGAAACGACACAGTCGAAGTACACGGTCTCAGAGCGGATTCCGTCGACAAGATCCAGACACTGCAACTTCCTCCTGGCTTGGATCCGCGCTTCCTGCAGTCAATTCAGGGCCCTTCATCTTCCACCCAAGCTTCTGCCTTTGCTGGTGCAGGAGGAGCCAGCTCTGATAGTGACGATCTTGACATCCTCAAAGTGACCCTCTCCGAGCTGGATAGTTGGGACGTGCCGACTTTGCATCGTGCTTCGGAAAAGACCACTGAATCCTCTTCCCCACGACATCAGATCATCCTTTGCGGAAAGAACTCGACATCCGCTGTCCAGCAGGACCCGCTCTTGAGTTACACGAACCAACAGCTTCAACGAGGTCGACTTGGCAACCTGCAGCAGAGTTTGGAAACGTACCGACAGAGCAGGACAAGTCCACGAGACGGCTATGATACCATGCGATCCTCACTTGAATCATCAGTAGCTCACGCACTCTTGGGCATCGAGTTACTTCACCGCACCGACTTCTCTTCAGCAACTCAGACCCTGCGTCACGCGAACCTGGATCCGCGATTGATCCTCGAAATCTTTCCGACATTACGCCCAAAGTCACAGCAACGCAGGGAAGCCATCATGCCAGCACTCGTCCTGTCGAGCCTCGGCAAGCTCAAGCACCGAGACCAGAGTACACTGCAAAGTATCGAAGGTCTTATAGCTGCCAACCTCACTCTCAATTATTCACCGCCTTTGCAGGTCGACACGGATAAGACGCTCGGTCAACTCAAGACTGACTTGGTGCGGAGGGCCGATGTGATGCTGCGCACGCTTCTAGAGGAATGGCGTGCTAGATCAGCTGCTGCTGCTGCCAGCGTCGAGGGGAAAGATACGCCGTTCTGGGCCGGCTCATTCATGGACGAGCAGATGCTGACCAATGTTGACGCTCGCGTAGACTCTGCGTATCTTCAACTCATCGTGGAACGACGCGGCGTGTTGCAAGATGATGGCGCCACATTTAAGGATGAGCTTGCAGCTTTCTTGAGCTCGAGACATGCTTGCGAGCCGGCTTTAATAGAAAATATGCTTGAGGAGAAGCAGTTCCTGGGGCTACTAGCGGAGCATCACCAACATATTGGCAACGTCGAGGGAGCGCTAAAGATCTGGACAGGCCTCGTCGATGGCGACATGGTCGATTCGCTGAACACAACAGTCGACAGTCAGGCTACGATCGCGAAAGTCGCTGCCGTGCTCAATGAACAGAAGGATCAGAATCTGCTTTCGACCTACGGGCGGTGGCTTGTACGCAAGGACTCTGAAGCCGGTATCCGTATCCTCACAAAGCAGACGACAGTGTCACCGTCCGAAGCAACAGAGAAGCTGACACCACGAACCAAGGCCGAGGAGCTGGAGGCTATTCATGCACAGAAAGCGACCATCGAAGAGCTGCGAGACATCGACGCCGATGCAGCCATCAAGTACCTTGAGGTTGTCGCGCTATCTACCTCAAAAGTACAAGACGAGCAGATGCATCGCGAGCTTGCAGCGGCGCTGCTCCGTCGTGTTGGGGTGCACCTCCAGGACCACGAATATCGTCGAAAGATGGATGCTGTGGCCAGTGACTACGCCAACGGGTCCTACGCCGAGTCGTTCTTTGCGCATCTTGCACTGGCAAGCAGTGGTTCTACCAAAGATATGGATCGTTTGAAGCTAGCCATGCTGTTGCAAGGATCTACCGTTCTCGATTACAAAACGCTGCTGGACACGATTACGCCCTTGGAGCAGCTCAGCTACGAGAAGGCCATCATCCTCGGCAAGCTGGGAAGGGATGCCGAAGCCCTTTCGCTGCTTGCCACCACCCTTAGGGACGCGAATAGTGCAGAAGCATATTGCTCGCAAGACGGGGAAGTCTTATCAGCGATGCTTGCTTCGTCGATTGCGGAAGATCATGAGGCTCTGCAACCGTTCGCTGCTATGCTCAGGCGGACATACACACAACGCATCAAGGCGCATGCCAAGGCAGCGTCGCAACGCGGTCTATCTGGAGCACAGCGCAAGGAAGAGCTGCTCAAGCAATTGCTCTCGGTGTACATGGCCAACGGTGCAGAAGAGAAGTTCGGCATTGCTACCGCTCATCTACTCAACACGCAAGCGCTTCATCTCGACAATCGAGAGGTGCTCGAGCTGGTACCGAAAGATTGGTCCCTTCAGACACTGGAGACGTTCTTGACGCAAAGCTTGCGCCGACAGCTCCACGGCAAGCGCGAGATGCAGATTCTGCGCAACATTGCCAAGTGTCGCAACCTGGATGTCGCAGAAGATCTGTGGGCGAGACAGCGTGCAATGGGAGGTATTCTTCAGGACACAGAGTATGATGGTGGCAGTGGTGGTGGCAGAGTTGCCCAAGCTGCTGCAGACGAAGAGTTCAGCTACGGTGATTTGAAAGAGGTTGAGACAACATATCCGACTTTGGCCGAGAAGAAGCAGCAGAGGAATGATGTTGCCTGACAAGACGAACATGTTACGCTCAGCAAAGAAGGATGCAACATACCCGCGTCGTCGAACATCGTCGATGCCGATGTGGATGATGTGAACGACCTCGCCTGATGCTCCTCAGAGAACAGCAATGAAACTTCTCGGCCATCGATACTGCGGTTGCCCCTGTGCTTGTCAATTTTGAGCTTGCTGCTGAGGTCTGAAGTTGCAGCTTCCACTGATGTCCGTGCAGAGATGGCATCTTTTCGTGGCTTTCATTTTCCTGTGTCTTTTTGTAAGCAAATTTCTGACTGAACCCTGACAGCTCCAAAATAGGGCGCACGGTAAATTTAAGCCCCTCCGTCATTGTACGCTGGGTTGCCTTGCTGAGTGAGGCCAGGCTAGTAGCATTGACGTCTTGGCACTGCCTTTCTCTGCCTTACTAAGCTTTACTGAACCCTAAGCCTAGCCCCGCCTACATAGTGCACAAACGCATCACACGCTGGCTTGAGGCTTGCCGATGTGATCTCAGAAAACGAGGGTGTTCCGGAAGGAAGTCGTGTGAAATGCACCGCGTGCAGCAGCGGGTTTTCCGACACTGCTTTGACACTGCTTCCTTTCAGCCGACTGGCTTTTAAGGTTTTCTTGCACTTCTAAAGTCTTGCTTTCGGAGCATTCAAAGTAGTCTCGCTCAGAAGCTGATTGCGTGGCTGAGTCTCTCGGTTAGTACGTTGTGTGTCATGGCCTGACGTGTGATTTGTGGCGGCCGCAATCCTAGCCAAGACCCCAAGCCGTCTGTGTGTGTGTGTGTGTGTGTGTGTGAGAGAGAGTTGAGTGTGAGTGTGAGTGTCAGAGAAGTGTTGGTCTGGTCCAAATGTCACTACTGGTCCGTTCGCTTTTTCATACCGTCCTTCAAAGGAGCTCGACGTTGGCTCGACGTCTCTACTTACCTCCATCATCAACAGCTAGCAGTGTCACACTCTCACTGAGATCCTGTTCCAAAGATTTTCTCTCTCACATCTGCCGGAACCTCTTCGCCAAAATGAATGCTTCGGAAGCCGACCAACAGATCAAGCGTAAGTGCAGAGCTTGACTTTTCACGTACAAGGCAAGCAATCACACGCTGACACTGTGACTTTTACTCTCATGGCTCTTATGCTCGTGTGCAGAGGTGGTCAAAGACCTGCTCTCAAGAGACCCCGTTCGATTCAACTCGACCATCAATGCCCACTTTGCCTCAGGATGCACATACCAAGGCCGTGGTCTGAAGATCACAGGTGCTAGTCAGCTCAAGCATTCTGCTTACTTGCTCAATGCCCTCGACTTTGGATCTGCCGCCAAGATTACCGATCAAGACATCCACTGGGATGCCGCTCGGACCACTGCCGTCGTCAAGGCCACTCGACACCTTCGACCCATCTTCTTCCCCCTCTTCCAGTTCGCTGTGACGACCAACGTGATCCTCGCCTTCAATGCAGAGGAAACCGCCAAAGACTCGCTCTTCTGCACTCAGTGGAGGGACGAATGGCCTCTCGAGCAGGTCATTCAGAAACTTCCCGTTGTCAGATATCTCTACAATTTCTTGTTGGTGCCCACACTTACAATGGTCTTCCTCTGGGCGTCCGACCTGGCTTTCTGGCTACACTCCAAGGTCGAAACTGTCGAGCACCGATATGCCCGCGATGCTGCGGACGTCTATCGTCAGAAAGTAGAGCCTCGACTGCCTCCTAGTTTGGCCAAGGGCTTTGATGCTGGTGTTCACGCAGCTGAGCATGTCGGACAGCACAGCGTACATGTCATCTCTCGTGTCTCGCACGGTCCCTTGAGGGCTGTGGAGGAGCTCGTTCGCACCGCAACCGTGATTTTCAACCTTGCTCTCCCCCATCAGCTGCAGATCCCCTATCCTTCTGTCTTTTCCGAGCGTGCTCAGGCTGCGCCAGTCAAGGCTTCCACGCCTGAGGTTGCAGAGCAGAACACCGCAAAGAAGGATGACGACAAAAATGGATCTGTCTCACCCAAGTCGCAGTCTCAACCTAAGTCTATCAACGGTGTCGAGGCTGAAGGCTCTCAATCGCCCAAGAAGAAAGTCTCTGGCTCACTCGTCGACCGTGCCGAGCAGAAGTCTGCAGACGAGACTACCACTGACCAGCCCGTCACTGATGACGCCGAGGCTGCGGACCACAAACGCAAAGCCGAAACCAGCCCTGCTGACGAGCCTCGACACGCAAAAGTTGTCGTAGGACCCTCGGAGGACGGCTCTCAGGCCCAGGCAAAGGAGATCGATGTTGTCACTCAGCAGGTCACCGAGAAGGCAACTGCTGGCGAGTCTTCTCAACAGAGTCTTTACGATGTGTTGAAGAAGGATGGTCAGCTTCCGAGCACCGGCGGCAGTGAAAGTGCGGACGGAAAGAAGGGTGAAGGTAAGAAGAAAGGTAAGAATGCTCGCAAGTAAGTCTTCACCTTGACTTACGCTACCTCTGTTCGCAACCTCGTCAACATGCCACAAAAACTCAGAATCAAGTACTGCTGTCTTCGCTTTCGCATTGCATTCCATGTCCCGCTCTCATCACAAACAAAATTTCTCGCATCTGTTTTAAATTACGTTCGACCTTGTCCCTGTTCGTCTGCGCTTGCTGTGAGGTTTAAAAAGTTTATCTGAGAGTCGCTGAGCATCACTGAAGCAAAGCGACGAGAGAAGGGACTGAGATGCGGTTCTGAAGAGATGTGTTTTGCAATATATGAGTGTTGTTACAAGCGTAAAGCAGAAGCTTTGGGATGCTGTTGGAGGGGGGAAATTGATCGTCGAGAATACTTGAAGCTCCGGACTCTGAAATCAAAACGCTGCTTTCCGACCCCCGAACCTCAGCTGGGAATACCGGCTGGCCTCGATGTTCTTACCGCCTTCCAACTTTGACCATTTGGACGGGTTTAGAAGACAGGTGTGATCAAATCACCGAACTTGCGAGCGGCAATGATACCGGCTGTGAAGACGGACAGACCCCAAACGATGGAGAGGTTGCCAGCCCGATGTTCGGGTGCCAAGATCTGGTTGTTGATGAATCGAACCAAAAAGTTGGACTGCTTGGGGGCAGGGCGACCTCCTGGGCTTGAGAGGAAGCCTTTTTGTGCCGAGCTGCAGAGAAGCGAAGTAATCGTTGGATCGAGTCAGTTAACCCTCAGTGCTGTGATAGGGAGGTGAAGATCTGGGAAGACTTTATGCCCAACAGGAGGCTCCGTTTCGCTTTCTGCCGGGAAGGACTTAGGATTTGTCAAGCTAATGCGTGCAAAGCTATGTGATGCCGAAGTTGTTGTGTTCGAGGCGAGGCGAGGCGATAGAAGCAGTCTTCCGTCAAGCTTTTGCCTTCTTCCTCTCCGATTCAAAGCGGAACTTCCTCTTTCCTCTCCGTCTGGTGGCAGAAAACGGGACCTTTCCGTCCGAGCGGTTCTTCGTATCGTCATGTGTAGTGCACTGCTGATGTGAACTTACAGATAAGATCCTTGACTAGACATTTTTGCGATACTTTGAGAATGTGATGGTGGCTACGACAAGAAAGCTCTCTGGAAGGTGTCGACGAAGTATTCAACTGCTGATTCCCGATGCACGCCAAAAAGTGGAGAGCTCAGAGAAAATTTCCGACTGAGCCCGATCAGATCGCCGATTCACATTTGTTCCAAATGACACAAACACAATCCTTCTGCCTCTTCACACTTGAAACATACACAGCACAAGACGGATGCAGCAGTGCAATGACAGTCAATTGAACTGCAGCATACGTGGCTTAAGTGGACGTAGGATGAAAATCTATTGTTGCTTAAAGGATTGATTGATTAGAATGTATATGATGTCTATGCCTTGACCTGAACGTTCGCCTCACCCTCCTCCTTTGTCACCTTACCAGCCCTAGTGTAATCCACCAGCAATCTCAACTTCTCCAACACGACAAAGACAATAATCGTGTTCGGACTTAACCTCATCCACGCCGGTGTCCAACCTCTGAAGAAGAAGCCAACCCCCTCCTTGCCCAGATCCTTCCTCAGTGTCTTGAGAATCCCATCTGCTGATCCAGCGGCGTTCATGACTCGACTCTTGATAACATCTGCAGGACTGCAAACGGTCGTAGCCACTGTTCCAGCCATGAAACTCGCTGAGAAATGCAATGCAGTACCTTCGCACAAGTATCCTGATCCGAGGAGGAGGTTCTTGAAAACGTCATAGGTCGCAAGTTGCGAAGCGTTCATTAGCACCGCTCGTACCGTGTTCGGCCCCAGTCCGCGGAACAAGGACCCAACACCCTCCTCTTTTGTCATCCTCACGAGCCCACTGATTGCATTGGGGTAGTTGTACCTGTCCGCTGGCTTCTTGTTGACATCACTCGTCATTCGCACCAACAAGATATCAGCTGGGTTACCTGCCAACCCACCAGCCGCACCGGCCGCAGAGGCACACAGCGCCATCTGTAGCGGTCCTAACGCCTTTCCATCTCCATTCTTCTTCTGCATGATCTCCTTCAGCTGATCATACGCTCCAAAACGGGTCACACTGTATGTCATTTGCCGTAACAAAGATGCCGACAAGCCGACATATAGCCCACGCGGCCCTTCTTGCTTGAGCGTCTTGAGCATGAGTGAAAGCATGTTTTTCCGTGCGGAGGCAGTTTGCATCCGTGTCTTTGTGAGATCGAGCGGGTGAGTGAAAAGGGCTGCTATTGAAGCTGCAGTTCCGCCGAGGTAGAAGGGGTACTTTTTCGGTGGTTGAGAGGAAGAGTTGCGGCGAGATCTTGGCGGAGGTGAAGGTACGGGCCGACTTGATGTCGACGCTATTGGTTGTGACATGGTGTCCTGTGTGCCTGTAGAGCTCGTGACTCTACGGGAGACGTGCGGTCAGGCTCGATTTGCGCTGCGATGTGAGGTCTAAAGAGAGGTTCGATGTTGCTTGATGCCGTTCGACGATGAGAGGCAGCCTGGAGGTCGAAGGCTTTCTGCGCAACGCAAAGGGAAGAGAAGGTGTACGGAAAAACCTTGTGCCTTGGCGAAAGCAACCTGTTTGAACTGGCAATTGGCTTTCTCCACCTCGAGTAGCGTCTATGGAATGAGTTGGAAGATGCAGGACGGAAGGTGATTGAGGAGAAGAGAGCGTACCACCAAAGTTGTACAAGGCTCAGAGGTCGGATAGAAGAAGCGAAGCGAAAGGGTCAACAGGAAAAAAAACCGTCGTTAAAGGTCCGCTTCTTCATTTCCGAGACAAAAAAAAATTATTAAAATATTGTTCACGTTTCGAGTGGAGCTGCTCTGCTGCTGCTGCACCAAGAAACCACCACCAATGCCCATGTAGTCATTTCTCACTCTGCCCGTGTGTCGCCTCTGCCGTCATACCCAAAAGACTGCGCTGAACCCTTGAACCAGTTGAACGAGTTGAAGGGTGATGAATTGATGATGGATCTAAAGCTCGTACAGATACCGGTGATTCGGACAGAGCGGTCTCAAGCCTTATCTCCTCTCCTTACAACGCTTAACCCAATCTCGCGATATATTTGCTTGTCCGACCACTGATACTAACACAAAAAGAAAAAAGAAAAAAGAAAAAAGAAAAAAGAAAAAAGAAAAAAGAAAAAAGAAAAAAGAAAAAAGAAAAAAGAAACTGCAGCACCTAGGATTCCCGCGTGGTCCCCCACCGCAGTACTGACTAGGCGATACCTTGCTTAACTTCGCAGATCGGACGGGATGCGGTGCTTTCAAGGTTCTATGGCCGCAGATGTTGCAGTAGTTCGAACAGCTGCATATTACTAACAGTTCAGTGTGATCAACACACGCCAAACCACCCGGGATGAGCTTGCGAGAGCTACAGAGGAAGTGTGGAACACCCAGATCTCGCTCGAACATATCAACCCTGTGATCGAGTCAATGGAGCATCGCGTGGAGCAGGTGCTTACTAAGCATGGAGGTCCACTCAAGTATTAGTTGGCTCCGAGACTCACTGCAATCAAAAGCCCTTCTTTCGGGCTTGCTCACTATGTGTTTTGCTCAGTCTGAAACTTATGAGAGATCAGTCGTCCAAGCAGATGGAAGGTATGCTACCACACGAGTTGAATGATTGTCTACTGAACCCTGTCCCCAAACTTCGGGAAGGGACTGTACAGTATGTGCGGCAGTGTCAGCACGAATGGGAACGAGACAGACGCAGGAATGGGAAAAGATAGTGAAGAGAAAACGTGAGATAGATATTGAGGCGAACTGAGAAGAGGCATGAGTTCTTTTTTTTTTTTTTTTTTTTTTTTTTTTTTTTGAAACGTTTCTACGGTGTGAACGATTCGATCCTCTGTTGGAGAAGATCAAAAGCACAGCTGCTTCAACAGAGACAGGAGTGCAGAGGAAACAGGACAAGAGGCGAAAAGGAGGACACGAAGAGGGTCGAGACTGATGGACTGGAGAGGGAGGACACTGGCTCGAACATCGACAATAAGACCAGAGGCTGGCATCTGTTATTGGATGTGAGTCTCAGTGCTAGAACTCGACGGCGATGTGCGAATCAGCTGAGGAACAGCCAGGAACCACAGCGACCGAAAGGATTGAGAGCGAGCCAACATCGCTACCAAGGCCGGCGCAATGTATCGGACAGAACGTCGTCGACAATATCTTTATGCGCCGACGAATAAGGCGGGCTACGAGAAGAACAGGGAATGGTATGAGAGCTCGCAAAGGCGAGATCACCACGTTCCAATTGCGTAGACAAGGAGCCAGAAGAGGACGAACGTGTCCACGAGGGAAGCATTGCGAAGGCAGATGCTGGGTAGCGTGTTCAAGCATCACCTGGGGTCGACGCGGGAAAGGTGGGCCACATGTAGTAGGGATTAGTGGTAGGCTTTGGGAGCGAGCGACCCAAGGCTGATGCTTGAAAGAGGTGAAGGCAAGTGAGCGCATAGGCGCTGCACAACTACCGCTCTGACGTGACGTCGTGGGAGATAAGAAATGTTCCAGGACGCAGTGGTGAGAGCGGCGACCCGCTCATAGGATAGATAAGAGTGGAACCATCACGTCGAGGACGGGAATGACGGTGAGCGTCATGCGCGTGCGAGGACAGCGGACTGTATATAGCAAGTTGGAGTGGCTGATGACGTCCGAAGAATCGAAAAGCAGATGAAAGGAAGGTAAGGAACATGACAGACAATCCAGAAGTAGCTGGTTCGGCTCCAGCTAGCAACTAGGATACTTACTGTTGCAAAAGGAATCTTCAAAATAAGTTGGGTAGCCAAGGACCTGGTTTAACCCAAGTCGTCGGCGCGGCTCCGTTTATTGGAGACGCTTTTGACTCTTCTTGATTCGCCGCGATGGACGTTCTCAAAGTGCCGCTGCATGTCATGCTTGCGAGCAAACTGCTTCTGACAGTCTATCTCGGGACAGATAAAAGGACGCGCACGAGTCTCTGGATCCTCGTGGGTGTATCGGTGCGTCTTGAGGTTGTAGGCGCGGTCAAACCACTTGCCGCACTCGGTGCACTGCCAGCTCTTAACCTTGGTGACTGGGTCGATGAAGGGTTCCAGGCTATTGGAAGCCGAAGGAGTGTTTGACGCTTTGGTGGGCGAGGATCGGCGCTGGCGACTGGCACGGGAACTACGCACGGGCCCGACCTTGGAAGTCTGCTGGTGGTGGTTGTCTTGGTAGTGGATTGATTCAGAGGCAGGAGTGGTGGGCACGCCTTGCTTGACCGGCTCAGCGAAGCTGGGGCCGAAAGCATTGGCAAGCGTGCTCAAGAGAGCAGCCTTGGCCTCGTCGTCGTTAAAGTAGGGCTGAAGCTCGTTGGCGGACCAGAGGTCTTGCTCGTCCTTGGGCTCGAGCTTGGTCAAGTCAGCCTCAGACTTGAAGGCAGCCTCGAGGGTCGATGGCGAGTCGTATCTGTCGTCCTCGGTCTTGACCTGGCTCTGAGAAGGCATGACGGTGGACTGGCTGGCGCCGAGATCCATCTCGGATTGCTGCGACTCGGGCTGGTGGGTGCTTTCAAGCTTGACATTCTCGAAGCTCGAGGCAAATGCGTTGACAGAGTCGTCAGTGTTAGCATCGGAAGCGTCCTCGTAGGAGTGGTCACCACCAAAGAGCGGGAAGTTGTTGGCGAGGGTGTCAGCGTCAAACTCGAAGTCGGCATCGTCAAACATCGAGGGTGAGGTGAGGAAGTCGCGCTCCGAGTCGGGGGAGCCCACCGAGTCGCTATAGCAAGTGTCGAGGGACTGGCGGTGAGGAGGTGTCATCGACTCGGGCAGGTAGACAGCAGGAGCAGCAACAGGAGTTGGAATGGTGTTGGTCGACGAAGCGTCGAAAGCAGGGGCTGGTGTGGCGACGGCGGTGCTCTGGATCAGAGGCCTGACAGTCTCAACCGATGAGGGAAACAGAGGTGCCTGAGACATGGTGGAGGTGGATGACCAGACGGTAGCTTCGTCGGCGGATGCCTGGATGGTAGCGGTCGGAGGGCTGAGAGAGGAGAGCGACGACCAGTCACTTGCGAGAAGGAAGTTCTGAAGCTCGCCGATGCGGTTGGAAGCGGTTGAACCAAACGACTTGGTGTAGGCGTCGATGGAAGGTTGCGAGCCGTAAGAGGCGACGCCAGTCGAGGAGTAGGTGAATGTGGTCATGGATGCGTTGGAAGCAGACGAAGAAGAGTCGAGTGGAAAGGATCGAATCTTGAGAGAGAAGATGGAGAGGTGATGGTGGAAAGGTGAGAAGGAAGAGTCAAGGCTGCAAGAGCGTGAACCAAGTGCGTGCTGAGCGGAGAGGTGTTGGAAGCGGGCGTAGTCAAGGCGAAAAGAAAAGATGATGTGATGTTATGGATTGGCGATTGATGGTGGTGGGAGCAAGAGAACAAGTTGTGATTGTGACAGACGAAAAGTCGTTGTTGTAGATGTGAAGGAACGGCGAAAGGGAACAAAGCGAAACAGTGACCGGAGTCGGTGGGGCTAACTATATCAAGAGTGCGGTGGCGGCGATTTTGTGTGGGTCCAGGCTAGGGTTGGCTATCTTTTTGGTCCGCGGGCAAGTGGAGGTTATAAAATAAATAAAAAGAAACCCGTCAGGGTCTACACCTTATAAGGATTTTCCGGTCAATTATCCAGGTTCTTCGTCTCTCTCTCTCTCTCTCTCTCTCTCTCTCTCTCTTTCTTCCGGCTGTTGCTCTTCTTCGGCCGTCGATTCGGGCTTGATGAAGGTCCCACCTTCGACTTTCGCCGACAGTATTGCAGCATTGCAGTATTGCAGCATTGCAGCATTGGCAGGCTATAGAATTATTTTTTTTGGTCAAGTATCGTCCTTGAAAGAACGTTTGAACGCTAAAGCCTATTGCTAAGGGCGGGCATTTGACTGGAAAGTTGCCAGAAGATGAGTAAGGTCAAAAAAAGGAGTCACTCACAACATGCGCAGGGAAGGTTGCGTCAGTTCAAAAAAAAAATTAACTCCGTGGAGCACGAAATTTTTGCATGTGTGGCAATGCAGATGTCAGCAACTGCACAGAAGCAGCCTTCTACCATCTTCCGTATGGAAGTCAGCCATAACTTAGAGCCATCACATGGGCAATAGCCGTCCTCGTGTGTTGCCACCAGGCGTGCGAACGTACAAAGTGTCCGTAGCAACCCAACCATGCTATTTTCAATCGCTTATCATAGCAAGATATCTTCATCATCTTGAGCAAATGTGAGAGGTCAAGGTGAACAGCTCAAACATGGTGACCGTGGCGGCGCTATGCGATAGTCATGTTCCAGCGCGCTCCTTGATTCAGAGCTTCGAACAAATCTCTGCGTCACTCTAAGCAGATGTGCGCGCAACAGAACCGTTATGGTCGAGCTCGACTTGGACAAGAATCCGCCAAGCGCGACTTGAAGACGTGTCTCTGTGTCGAGAGAAGTGTCCCTTACTTGTCTGTCGTTCTCGGCAAATATTTAATTCTCGTCGGCTACGGGACAAAAAAAGAAAAAAGAAAAAAGAAAAAAGAAAAAAGAAAAAAGAAAAAAGAAAAAAGGTACAACTCCGTGGAGGAGATCTGACTCTGAAAAGGTGGAGAGAAGATTGCAAAGTGGCGGAAGTGACACATTCGCACAGGAGGCTAATCCGGCATCCGCACTTTTCCGTCCAACAACATGAAACATGACTCGAGTCTTCCAACCTTGAAGCTCGCTTGTAATGCTCTCGGGGCCATGCATGTCTCCTTATCTGATCGCTTTGGCTGTTAGACATTCTTCGCAGCGTCGCTTACGCTGCTCTCCCCCCCAGTTCAAGGCCCACCCACATGGAAACGGAGAGAACGCTGTTGACTCGTCGCTGCTGGTCCAGAAAGCCTCGAGCTCGACTCCACTTTGACTCTAGTGTTAGTATCCTCCGAGAAGTCCTGATCGATTGATCAAGACTCGTTAATAATTCCACAGCACCTTCCACGATCGATGAAAGGCCGGCGAAAGAAGCTCTCGGCGGAGTTGGGCAAGGTCGAGTCTCGGCTGCTTTCGATAAGAGGCGGGCGGCTTACTGAAACAACGCCATGCCGGCAATCAACGGCCTCCAGGGTTCACTTGAAGGTCCGTTGGATTGGATCGGATCGGCTTTTGTGTTGAACATTGTGGGGCGATCGCGCTTGATGGATAGGTTTGGCTTATTCGGTGCACACTACACAAAGCTACACCAGAAAGATGCTGCTGTTGACAAACCCTCGAGCCGTGAGCCAACATGTCTGGCAATGTGTGCCTCGTACCAAGCAGTCTGCGATCCCGCAGCTTCATCATCCTCATCGTAACTTATGCACTCACTGTTCCTCTTGATGCTTTTTGCCGCTCCTGTCCGTGCGCACACATGCAGGAAAATTCCGAAAAGGGCCCCATTTCCAAGATCTGCTCGATCAGCCTTGGTTGACTGACTGGTCGGAAATTTGCAACATCTGTCATCGCCACAGTCCGTAGACCCTGAAAGACATTTCATCCAGTACCACCTTCTTTCTCTCCATCTTGTTCTCTCTGACTCTCTCAACCTACGACCAAGAGAACCGCTTGGCATCATTTCTGAGGCCATTAGTGCATGTCCCTGAACTACTCCTCTTCTACCCTAGCCGGACGGATCTCAAGGCATCTTCCTCAAAGCTTTTCTCCGACTCTTCGACATCGCTCTTTAATAATGTCATCTTCTGCATCGACACAATACGCCCTTGAGCGCAAGGTGGCCATCTCGGCTGTAGAGCGTGCTTGTGCGCTCACTGATAAGGTCTTTCGCAACCTCGTCACTGTCGACACAGTCACCAAGAAGGACAAGTCACCCGTCACAGTCGGTGATTACTCGGCACAGGCAGTGATCAACGCTATCCTAGGAACACACTTCCCTCAGGATCCCATCGTTGGCGAGGAAGACTCGAAGGACTTGCAAAAGCCTGAGTCGGAAGCTTTGCGCAAGCAAATCTTTAGTCTAGCCAACGAAGCTCTTAAAAACTCGGCAAAAGAGTGCCCTGCCGTCGAGCAAGCTGCGCAGTCCAAGTCGAGTTCCGAGGCTTTAGGAGATCGTCACCTCACCGAACAAGAACTTCTCACAGCTATCGACAGGGGAAGCGCAGAGGGCGGCGACAAGGGTCGATGCTGGGCACTTGATCCCATCGACGGTACCAAGGGTTTCCTTCGAGGTGGCCAGTATGCTGTCTGCCTAGCCTTTATGGTGGATGGTGTGTTGCAGGTCGGTGTGATGGGATGCCCCAACCTTCCCCACGATGCTTCTTCTGCCAAGCCAAACGAGGGCGAGTTTGGCGCAGGCGAAAAGCGAAGCGATCTCGGCACTCTCTTCATCGCTGTTCGAGGTCAGGGTGCGTTCCAGCGACCCATTCAGGATGGCCAAGAGCAAAAGATCTCAATGCGACAGATCAAGTCACTCTCCGAAGCTTCCTTCTGCGAGTCAGTTGAAGCCGGTCACTCGTCGCACGGCACCAACGCTCGTATCGCAGAGCTACTCGCTATCACTGCCCCTTCGGTGAGGATGGACAGTCAGGCCAAGTACGCCAGCATCTCAAGAGGCGATGGCGATGTCTACTTGCGTCTGCCTGTTGGTGATGGAAGCTACCAGGAGAAGATCTGGGACCACGCTGCTGGTGCCTTGTTGGTCGAAGAGGCCGGAGGAAAGGTCTCGGACATTCGTGGCAAGGATCTCAACTTTGGTGTTGGACGTACGCTTCGTGAGAACCGCGGCGTGGTTGCATCGCACAAAGAGACACATGCCAAGGTGATCGAGGCTGTTCGCAAGGCGCTCGACGAGGAGGGTCGTGGACACCTCTAAAAGAGACCTTGCGACAGTCAACGCAGACCAAACCAGTAATGAATATGCAATCTTCTCATTTCTGATCCAAGCTTGACAGACTGTGCAGCATATGTGGACAACCTACTTTGAGTGATTGTGAACTCGCATTCGGGTCCAGATTTGGCTGTTCTACCGTAAATAGATCGTGAAGCTGGCAACCGATCTGACCGATCTCTTGTAATTCAAGCCTGTCCAAGATCGGCCCCACGTGCAGCCCTTCCAGACACGCCGAACAGGCGCCAGCAAACACGCTTTAACAGAAACCGAGACCATTTTGCCTCAGTCGTGTGGTGTGTGTGGACTCGCTGCTGTCAAAGAAAGAAAAGGCAGCAAAAATAGTTGAAGTAGGTAAAAGCCACACAAAGCATAGAGATGGTGAAGGTAGTGCTTACGGCCGAGTAAAAGGCTTGAGCATCTGAGCATGGACCACATGTGTCACAATCTACTCCAGACAAATGCTTTGTTATGCTCCACAGTTGATGTGGCTCTCTGCCACTCTTCTTTTGTATATAAAGACTCTGTTTCTCTTCTCGCTCTCTCTCTCTCTCTCTTATCATCATCATAAATCACACGAAACTTCAACTGGCTCCCAATGTGGGGCTCGAACCCATGACATTCAACACATCAAGAGTTCGATGCTCAGCATAATGCCACTGGCGACAAGAGCAGGGCAAACTGGAAGGGATGAGAGAGATGATGATCAAGTGGCCACAGCTGCAGGCAATGGTCGAGAGGAGGGTTGGCTCACGCAGGTAGTTAGAATTCTACAGTTAGCAAACCCGGCACTGATGGTGGAGGAGGCAATAGTACAGGCAATGGGTCTTGTCACCATTAGCAATCAAACCCCACAAGGAGAGACGGAAAAGATCCCCAAGGATGTTTTGAGCTCAATTGCCCATATTAAGAAACTTAGTGATAGCAACTGGCACACCTGGGAGCCTACTTTTATTGACTGTTTGCAATGAGTATGCAATGCGAAGGAAATCCTGTATGGCGAGATAGCACTGGGAAGTGAGGGGTATGACGAGGACTTGGACAAGGCACTTGTAGGTCTTATCCATGCCTCCTGCAACCACAGTCCAGAGAGCCACATCGATACATACACCATTAGGGGTGCAGATGAACATGTCCAACTTGGTAGTACACTATACGCTAAGCTCAAAAAGGCACTAACATTGAACGACACAGTAAAACGAGCAGGCCTGCAGGACTGCATCCACACCATATGACTGTACAATCGTGATGTTGTCAGGCTGGGCAAGGAACTGGATTCTATCTGGAATGATGCTGCACGACTTGGGAAATGACTCGACGAGGACCTCAAGAAAGCCACCCTATACCACTGCACAGCACAAGATTGGTTCTACACCAACTCTGTCGACACCCTCAAGACAGCCAAACCAGATTGTAAGTACAACGAAGCCTACCACATGTTAGCAAAGAAGCAACAGGATGGTGAGGTCACTGGCCGTATTAGAGGAGCAGCAAGGGTTGCCACAAGCACAGACCAGGCGGAACAAGGACCCAGGGGCAGGCGTGACCCTCGCAACCCCTCAGCCCCTCCTAAGTGCTATGCTTGTGGAGGGCCTAATCACATTGCTCGCAACTGCACAAACACCAACAACAACACTGCACCGAGTATGGGCAGACCCACCACCAATCCAGCACAGGAAGCGAGTCGGTAGGAACTCAGGTGCACCCTCCTAGCAATCGGCAGAGATAAGCAACCAACATCGGATACCTGGATCATTGATTCGGGTGCAACACACCACATGGTGAATGATGAAAGAATGCTACTCACCTCGACAAGCAAGGACGGTCAGATCTGTATGGCTGGAAATGAAAGGCTTCAAGTGAAGGCCATAGGAGACGCCTCCCTTCGGGTTGGCAATGTAACCATTCAACTATTGGATGTGCTCTATGTGCCGAAACTTAATTCTAATTTATTATCAGTACAAGGTTTGATCGAGAATGGTGCACAGGTAACTTTCGATGAGTTTGGGACCATCATTAAGCAAAATGATGGCACACAAATACAATACAAGAGGAACAGAAGAAAAGGGCAGTTCAAAATGCAGGGAAAAGCACTAGCCCTGGAGTTGGAAGAGACACTTGACAATGTCCCAGAGGACAACCAGAACACAGGAAGACACAGTGACATCCCAGAGGACGATAAGAACACAGGAAACCGAGACAACAACTCAAAGGAAGACAAAGATAGCTATCTCTGGCATGAAAGGTTTGGACACCCAGGACAAGATAAGACAAGACAAATCCAGGTGCACTACCTCGGCACTGATGAGAGAATGGATCATGAATCAAAGCACTGTAATGCATGCAGTCAAGGGAAACAGACCCAGGCACAGATGAGCCAATCGGAGTCGAAGAGAGCAGAGGTGCCACTAGAGTTGGTACACATAGATTTGATGACAGATCTTAAGGGCCATGCCAACTACCACTATGCACTAGTTGCTGTGGACAACTTCTCCTCCCTGATCTATGTGGAACCACTCTGCACTAAGAGTGCTGCACTCCCAGCACTGAGAAGGTGGATCACCAAGATGGAATGAGCAACAGACAGGAAACTCAAAATGCTCCGCAGTGACAATGGAGGAGAATGGTGTAGCTCAGGAGCTGAAGACTGGCAAACTCAAGAGGGTTTCAAGTGGCAAAAGAGCATCCCGGGGATCAGTGTCTGGAATGGATGGGCAGAGAGAGTGATCAGATCAGTCCAAGAAAAGATGCGCTCAATGCTCATTGGTCGAGCTTGTCCCAGAGAGCTGTGGCCATATGCAATCACAGCAGCTGCACACATGGTGAATCTCACCCCATCAGCCACCAAGACCATCCCCCACAAGGCCTTTTATGGAACCACTGCACACAAGCTGGCCCAGCAGCTGTGAGTCTTCGGATGCTTGGCATGGGTCCATGTTCAACAGAAGGACCAGCAGGGCAAGTACAGGGCTAGAGCAAAGCCAGCCATCATGATTGGATATGACGATGAGCACAAAGCATGGAAGTTTTGCAACCCAGACCAGCCTGCATCAATTCAATGGAGCAACTCAGCAACGTTCCATGAGGACAAAGGATGGAGTGATTGTCAACAGGAGGTAGTCCAGCCTGTGATGACTGCAGAGGTCAAGGAGGAGGGTGTCATGCCAGCCACAGTGGAGGATCTCCTACCAGCTATAGACAACACAGTAGGTGCCACCAATACAGCAGTACTGAACCTGGACCCAATGCTTGGGGAAGCAATGAATGGTGAGGATGCCCAACTCTGGAAGGAGGCCATACAAAAAGAACTGGAAGGACTCAAGGCAATGGGGACTTGGGAGGTGGTGAATCACCCACCAGGAGCACCACTCGTGGACTCTAAGGTCGTGCTATGACTAAAGCTTGATGCTGATGGTGTGCCCATAAAGCACAAGGTGCGACTGGTGGCTAGGGGCTTCACACAGAGAGAGGGAATCGACTACCAGGAAACCTTCTCCCCAGTAGCACCCCTTGGAGCAATCAGAGCTATCCTAGCACTAGCAGTACAGAATGACTGGGAGGTGCATGCACTGGATATCACAATGGCTTACCTAAACTCTAGACTAAAAGAAGCGATCTATATGAAACCACCAGAGGGATCAGGAGTAGCACCCGGACAGGTATACAAAGTGGTCAAGGGCCTGTATGGCCTAAAGCAGTCTGGGCGAGAATGGAACCAGGAGTTCGACAGGTCTTTGAGATGTATGGGGTTCTTCCAGGTGGAGTGTGCTCCCTGCATCTACACCAAGGGACAGGGCGAAGATATGGCCATTGTGGTCATCTACATCAATGATACATTAGTCATAGCACCACGGCTGGAAACAGTCCTAAAGGTTAAAAAGCAGATCAGTCAGAGATGGAAGATGGAAGATAGTGGTGAGGTCTCTCACTTTCTCAGCATCAAAATCAGTCGAAACCATACAATGCACACCATGACGATTGGTCAGTCAGGGTACATTGACCAAGTGCTAGCTAAGCACCTGGACAAATGCACCAAGCCAACTATGGTTCCAATGCAGAGTATACCAGAGGGAACCCTTGTTGCAAGTGCAGCACAACAGAAGGAGTATCCGGTGATCGTTGGCAAGCTGCTCTGGGTTGCCAACAGCACCTGGCCTGACCTTAGCCTCACTGTAAGTGTCCTCGCTAGACACATGTGTGAACCATCTCAAGAACATTATCAGGCAGCACAATGGGTCTTACACTACCTCGAAGGCACAAAGAATGTTGGATTAGTTTATAGGGGAGATATGTCACAAGAGCCGCTGATTGCGCATAGCAATGCAAACTGGGCGAGCGATGCCACCATTCAGAGAAGGAGTACATCGGGGTCAGTGGCATTAGTGTACGGGAACCTGGTAGCCTGGAAGTCAGCAACACAGAAATGCATATCACTGTCTGCTGTCAAGGTGAAGTTCATTGCAGCCATGGAAGCAACATGTGAGGTGCTCTTCCTCAAGCAGCTGCTACACTCAATTGGCATTGCCACAGGCACCCCAACAGTCTACTCAGACAACACTGGTTGCATACAGGTTAGTAAAGACCCAGCACAGCACTGGAAGCTTAAGCACATCGACACCAAGTATCACTTTGTCTGTAACAACATTCAAGAGGGAAGGGTGCAAATCAAGTATGTGGACACCACAAGGAATTTGGCAGATGTACTCACCAAGCCAATCGGGAGACAAGCAATGCAGCAAGCAAGATCTGGGCTGCACCTGCAAACACCAGCAGTGGCATACAAAATGGAGTCCCCGAGCTATGTGATGATGTTAAAGAATGGAGGATATACCTTGAAACAACAGCATAATGAACAGGATACACATGCTGTTGAGGGGGGGAGTTGAAGTAGGTAAAAGCCACACAAAGCATAGAGATGGTGAAGGTAGTGCTTATGGCTGAGTAAAAGGCTTGAGCATCTGAGCACAGACCACATGTGTCACAATCTACTCCAGACAAATGCTTTGTTATGCTCCGCAGTCGATGCGGCTCTCTGCCACTCTTCTTTTGTATATAAAGACTCCGTTTCTCTTCTCGCTCTCTCTCTTATCATCATCATAAATCACACGAAACTTCAACTAAAATTGCATGCCGGCTCGCGTTCCCCTTGCGTCTGGAAGTTGGACACATCTGATAGGTCTTATCGTGCGAATGGATAGATGCGCGTGCAACCGACTGTGCCCCTTACGGCTACGGCTGGGAGCTCGCAAGCGACTCACTCGAGTTAGGCGATTTAACATTTTTTTTTCTTTTTTTTCTTTTTTATTTTTCTTTTTTCCCCCTCAATTTCTCAGCCTCCTTTTCCAACAATTTTCTCGCGCGTTGTCAAGGGCGATAAACTCAGCGTTGAAAGAAGGACAAATTGTGCACCTGCAGCATATTGTATGTTCTGCACAATGGTGTGCATCAAACACTCTCTAGAGGTGTGCAGCGTAATGCATTCCGCACCTTCTCACCTCGATTCGGCAAGCTAGAAGATGATGGCTGCATCTGTCAGTCAATGGAGCCCCTTGTTCTTTGCTTAAGCGAGACACATCCATCGGGAGCGGCTTGGCTTGAGCTAGAACTTGCCTTTGCCTCGCCAACGATCTGTTTGATCCCCTTGACGCCTCACTCTTTCTTGATCGCTTCCCGTTCTACTTAACTAAGTCCATCCTTCTGATATCTCATCATGCTCCTCATTGTTCAAGTTTGCCAACCCCACAGCATACGCTAACAAAGATCGGCTGCGAGCATAAAGCCGCCTCGTTGGATGAAGCACCCCTCGTACCGTCTACATCTTCCTCCGCCTTCCGCTTCAGTTCCCTCGCTGTCCAACTGCGACGTGTGACTTTCCTCTCGCATCGCAATCATCAAAGCCCTCTCATCAGCACTGAACGTCTGCCCTGCCTTCAGATCGCCAAACACGCATGGTTTCGAGATCTTGCAGCTGCAGACTCCATCCTTTATCAAACCTCCTGCCAAGCCATATCTTTCCATCCTAGGTTTGCGGATCAGATCTGCTTGTCTCAGCCTTTTGTCTCGCGACTGCCATCTCTTTGCACCAGATCTTCTACCAGCACGACCCCTCTTTCTCGTCAAAAGGTCCGGCAGAATCCTCGTGTCACCAGCTACTGTGCAGCTCGCGCCCACACTACCAAGCACGAACCCCCTTCCATGCATCTCTGTCTCTGTCTGTCACCCCTCTCCGCCCTGTGCGAGTACTCTCGCTGGACTCACCGTCTCCTTTGATTTGCTCGCTCGAGCCTCTTCTCCGCAAACACCATTCATAGCAAAGAAGCGACACCATGGCGATCTGATCACATCCACCGCCACGCTTAGACCTGGCACCACCGCATCTCCGCTCACGTCACCTCGTCAACCAAGACCGACCCTCACTCATCTGACAACCTCATCTCGCGTAGCCCACCTGCTTACCAGCAACACAACGTCCCACAAGCGCCTAACCTTTATGGAAGCGATCCGGAATCATGAACAGCTACTATCAGAACGGACCTGCGGTGGTCGCTGCTCAATCGACAGACTCTGACAACCACGCTGGCTTTGGGGCTCTTAGGTTCATGCAAGACATGTATCAGCAGCGCAACGATCATCTACAGAGCAGAGAACAACACACTCAACACCTCAGCAGAACTTCGCTCCACCATCCATCTCAGCATCGCAACTATTCCGGCCAATCCTCATCGCAAGATGCAAGCTACGGCGAGTATCATGAACATGCCATGATGGAACGTGAACATGCCATGATGGAACGTGAACATGCCATGATGGATCGTGAACATGCCATGCTGGATCGTGAACATGCCATGATGGATCGTGATCCATACCAAGTTGACTCTTCTTACGAATATAACACCAGCGGAAGCTCTCGGCACAACCAGCATCATCAGCATCATCAGCATCACCAGCATAGTCGCAGTCAGAAGACTCGACATGAACATCACTATCATCAGCAGCATCAACATCAGCAGCAGCAACGCCGATATTATTCTCACCGAAGCAATACCAACACCGAAGCACCAGCGAGCTCTTCAGCATCGTCCGTTCGCAAAGGCGCTGCATCATCGAAGAAGGTGCTTAGATCCGACACCATCGAGTCATCCACATCGGACTCAACAGCTGGGCTGGCCTACAATCGCAGTGGTGACAGCCAAATCTCACCTGCTGGATCTTCCGACGCTAGTCGCGGCGCGCCAATACCCTCGATCAAGGTAGCAGACCGTACCACCATCTACGAAGACGATTACGAAGAGCCCTTCCACGCTGTGACGACGGACACCATGCCTCGTCCCGCATCTCCGGCTTCAGCTACGTGGCGCGACGTGTCAACTGATGTGTCTTTCACCATTGCTCGGGCAACGGTGCTAGAACCAGACCTGCCCAAGGCCAAATGCGCCGACTGTGGAGAGAAGCTCGACTTTGAGGAGCTGGAAAATCACACGTGCCAGCCTGCGGATACGACAAGACCACCTCTGCTCACGATCCAAGTTCCGAGCAGCTCGACACCTTCGTCAACTTCAACATCCCCTGCCCTGACGACCCCGCGCTCGCCCTTTTTTGACAGATACGACACACTTGTCAATGATGCTGGACCCCTGAGTCCCGCTCTGTTTGGGACAGTGACATTGACGACGAAACCCAAAGCTGTTGACGAAGACGACGAGACTCCAAAAGCGCATGCCGTTCGAATTGTTGGAACGCAAGCGGCAATCAAGGTGACCCATGTCAAAGCGTCGACGCAAGCTGATGGACCAACGCCACATCCTCCGCGAATTCCGCCACCTCTGACATCTCCTGTGATTCAGAGGTCTGCAAGCGACGCAGCATCGGCCAGGCGCAAGATGATCGAACGGCAGAGGGAAGCCAAGAGAAAAGAGACCATGGCCTCTCCTATACCCAAAGCTGCGACCATGTCTAGTCTTTCCGAGCAAGCAAGATCCAAGGCAGTCGGCGGCTCCGAGAAAAGGCCAAGCAGAGGCGCATCTGGCTCTTCTGCAGTGACCAAGCGCGCACATGCGCCTTATGCGTCCGAGAGCCAGCATGCAAAAACGGCCTCCTCGTCTTCACTCTCTTCAACAAGCACCAACTCTTCTGAGCGCATGGGCCTGTCGAGCAAACATCCGTCGCAAAGCAGAGCCGGGGCTTCGGGCTCGTATACGACCAACATCACACCGAGCTCGAGCTATGAACGAATCGAGGAGGGCGTGATGAAAACATCGACGGATTCGGGGCTCTTCAAGCAGACTCGAGGACGCGGACGCGTCGATCTGAGCAGCATTGAAGAAATGATGAAGGGCTTGACAGAGGCCCCTGAGCCGCTGGAGAAGACTTTGACGGAGGTGTCGCAGCGAAGGCCGAGCCAGACTTGGGAGACAAAGACTGAAGCTACGAGCTCTCAGGGTCCTAGCAAGACGGACCGAGAGCTGGAGTTGGAGTTGGAGCTGGAACGTCTACGTGACAAGGAGCGTACAAGGCAGCTGCAAGCGCAACGACTCAAGGACAAGAGGAAGAAAGGACGAGCGGCGAAACGGTGCTGCATCTGCGACTGCTCGCTCTCATCGAGTCGAACGCCCTTTGTCGAGCGCGATGGCAAGTTCCTTTGCGCCCGCGACTGGAAGGAGCTCTACCTGCCCAAATGCCGCAAGTGCAACTTGAGCGTTGAGAAGGGAGCTGTCAAGTCGTCGGATGGTGCTCTGCGAGGAGTCTTCCATCGAAGCTGCTTCTCGTGTGCAGCATGCGAAGCGCCCTTCGCCGACGGCAGCTTTTACGTCTACAACAATCAGCCGTACTGCTCTCGTCACTACCACCGGCTCAACGGAAGTTTGTGCCGCGAGTGCGAGAGCGGTATCGAAGGTGATTGTCGACAGACGGACACAGGCGATCGATTCCATCCGCAATGCTTCAGCTGCCAGTATACCTCCAAGAAGGGCGCATGCCTCGAGCCGCTCGCTGATTACTATGTTGTCGGTGGTCAGCGGCTGTGCGAACGACATGCTGCCAGAGTCGGACGACGGCTCGCCAAAGCAGGCCAGAAACTGCCTGATCTCCGTGCTCAGAAGCGAATGACAATGCTTCACAGTCTGAGATAGGAACACCGCCCTAAATGCGCGGAGGTGGAGGGAAGCAAAGCGTTCTTGACGAAGCCGAGGAGCTGACATGGGGGATGATGTCAGCTTCGGTCACAGCATGACAGGTGAATGCTACGCGCTCATCTCTTTGCGAAACACCTTGCCCCTGCCCATTGATAGTACCTTTATTTTAAACCTTTGATACCCAATGCGAGGCAACACTGCTCATCCTACAATGTCAACACAACGATCCACGAATGACTAGGCTGATGGGCTCTGTGTATGTTTTCATGGAAAAGCTGCAGGGAGCGGGTCTAAAGAATCGGACGGGTGTCGAATGAAAACCGTAAATATCCACAATATCGTCCCGTTGCAAGTGTCACTCACATCCACAAGCGATTTCGTGCGTGCGTGTATATGTGTGTGTGCGTGTATATGTGTGTGTGCGTGTATATGTGTGTGTGCGTGTATATGTGTGTGTGCGTGTATATGTGTGTGTGCGTGCGTGTGTGCTCAAAGAGAGAAATTAGAAATGCAATTGGATTTGGCAGGTGTGAGAGTGTGGGCCTGAGCTGCTTTTCTCTTCTGTGTAAGCGCTTTCTTTTTCCGGATGACCCTTTTGAGCAAGTTTAGTATTTAATTCAAGTGACAGACCAGACCAGAAGCTCATCTTTGGCTTGGGAGCGGCAGCACCAGCGACCAGCGACCAGCACCAGCAAAGCCGTGTGGAAAGTACGCTGTCACTGCACTTTCTAACTCGTCAATCGTCAATCCTTCGTCTAAGCTAGCCAAGCCACAATAGGCCCCTGCTTCGCTTCCATATCTTCATCCTGGTCACCATCGAAACCGTAACCCTTTCCCTTCGAGGATAGTTGTCGGATTGGTCGCTTTGGGTCTACGTGCTGTTATCACTGGACGATCACCCATGTCGACTTTGTGATCCAGCTTCTCTTCGCTCACACCAGAGCACTTCTCAACCATCACAGCTGTATTCCCGCAAGGGTTCCACTCTCGTTTCGCTTCGCAACATCGCACTACCCTCTAGTCTACCCTTTCCGAGCCATAGCTTCAGAAGCTGCCATCTAATTTGGCCGCCTTCGACTTTAGAGGTCAAACCAACTCGGTCTGGACACTTCGCATTAGGACCCTAGGAGCTTACAACGTCACTCGCATCGGTCGCTGCAACCACTCGTATGCATTCAGCCTGGCCAACTTTCACCTCAGTAATCTCGCACGCCAACAGTTCTGCCATTGATCTCCAAAGCGAGCTCAATTGCCCCGGCTAGATCACTTGTTCGACCTTCCGAGGCGCTTGTTTCCACCGATCTGACCTCGACTCTGCATCGCGCTCAGCTCAGATATATTCATCGATTCTCCTACCCACCTCAGACGGCGCTATCCCACGAATGCTGCCCTCTTGCCTTGTGCTTGCCAAAAAAAATAATCATAATCTACTACCCATGACTGTTCGCACGACGTCTTGATTCGATACTTACCAGGTTTCATTACATCTCCCTCCGTGCGACCACCTTACTCTCTTCCATCGACGAGGCGGATGTACGCGCAGTAGCACGCCGACACAGACTTCCTCGCTTGCTTCCAGCATGTCCTATCACACCGACTCGTTCGTCACGAGCCCAGGGTCATCAGATCCAGATCCCTCGTGGCAGCTGCACTCCAGCACCGACTCTTATCTTAACTGGAACTCTAGCTCAAAGCCGCCTCTCAGTAGTGATCAGAATGCCGCACAAAGTAGCTCCAACCTGAGCGCCGCACCTACTCTGTCAAGGTTACGGTCTGGCAGCTCCTCAGCCTCGCCTCCCGCTCTGCGAACTCAAACACCGTCCGAACCAACATCCGCGGATTCTGCCTCGGTTCTGCCTCATCACGGCCACACAATGAGCCCGCAACGTCCAGTTTCGCCCTCCTACTTCACCAAGCTCTACTTCCAGACACCGAACCGCAAATCTTCCGCTACTAGCCCAACAATCACTTTTACAGGAGCCCCAAGCGAGCCCTCGCTTGTCACCAGCACTCAGCTGCCTTGCCTTCTGCCCGATGGAACTGACTCGACTCGAGAAGGACTGGCACCTCGTCGAGCTTCCGTCAGTGCCACAGCTTCTAGCCCTACAGCTCCTTCAGCAACACCACTCTCACCAACATTGTCCAGCAGATCCAATGCAGGCGGGAGCGGCTTCTTTGCGTCTCTCCGCCCCTCGTCTCCGGGCAACGTTGCAGCCTCGTCCTCCAAGATCCAGGATGGTGAAATATCCGTCAAACCTCGACGCCCCAGCAGCGTCTTTGAGCACGTCGGCAACGTCTGGGAGCGCTTTGGTCGCAAGGTCCATCACACGCGAACGGCTACTTCCGAGCAGCAGTCCGGCTCGTCTTCACATGCTCGTCGCACCGCCAGTCAGGCTTCAACTCCAATAGGTCTCACACCGGAAGCATTAGATCCCTTCGACGCGGCTCGCTCCTCGCCCTCAGACTTTGTCGCATCGCACCTTTCCCATTCACAGTCTACTGCGACCGATTCCGAATGCCGTACTCCTGCGACTCCTAGCGGCGAGACGCCCGCTTCGTTGAGCACCCCTCAGCCGCTCCCCTCTGCCCCCGCCTACACTGCCGTAAGCGCGGCTGCCTCTACCGACAACACGCCGCAGCAAGACGAAGTCGAAGAGCTCCCTTACTTAGCTCCCGAATCGCCCAGTGTCTCGGGTCAAGTTTCAACGTCCGCAGACTCGCCAAGGTTGAATGGCGGCCACAGGTCTCACATGACGCATCGACGAAACTCGAGTCTCTTCGAGCGTGTTCTCATTCAGGTCACGGATGACAACGAAAGGTTTTCGGTCGTCGATATCTCGGGCGTCGACTCAGCTGATGCCATCAAGGAACGCATGTTTGCCAAGCTGCATCTGTTTGACGCCGACCACTCCAGCTTCCAACTCTTTCGCACCGAGATCGGTCAATCTGAAGCTACAGGTCCTGTTGTTAGTGATGATGCTTTGCTCGTCCTGTGTCTCCAGATGGGCGATGACCGTGGCACCCTCAAGTTTTTGGTGCAGCAGACCGCTCCTCCACCCAACTCGACAGTGCGTGCCATGCCCCCTCTTACTTCGGCAAGCGGTCAGCAAAGGGCGCTCAACGATGTGCGCAGAACATCAGGCACTGGTTCGCCCGCCAGTCATCACCTCCGTACTGGGAGCCAGTCATCCAAGAGTTCGCTCAGTGACGCTCTCGTCTACCCCGACGTGTTTGGCGCAGATGGGAGCCATGAAGGCTCGAATCGTAATTCTGGCAGCAGCCTGACACGATCCAAAGCTCAGGCTCGACGTGCTCTGCCTAGTGCACCTCCAATCGACGATTTGCGCTCGCCTACGCACTCCAGCTCCCAGACCGGAGGTTCGGTCCAAGATCGCAGATCCGTCGCTTCTTCGGGTGAAGGCTCAGCAAATGAGTTGTGGATGAGACATGGTGGATCAGCAAGCGAAGGGGCGTCCACCGTCATGATCAAACAGCGCTCAAGCTCCAACACTCCCAGTCGGTCGGCCGCTCATAGCATTAACAGCACCGCAGGTAGACCCAGTCACGTTGATGATGAGAGACCTCGCATCGAAGCGGAGTCGCAATCCAACCGGAACCTGCACGCACCTGCAAATAAATCCAACCATCGACAGGAGCGATCCGACCAAGTCGCTCGTGCACCCCCGTTCACCCTGCACAACGCCAGGAGCATGGACGACCTCCACAGACCGCCCCAGCCATCTTCTCAGCCGGCCGCCAAGTCATCACAAGCTGAACTACGCAAGCAGGCAGGTATGGATCGCGACGGCAGATACCCTGGTCCAGCCATCATGAGACCGTCCACAGCAGCGCCTGCCGGACCCGGCTCCCGTGAGAGCGGTCCAGGGCATCGTCAGTACAGCTCCGATGCTCAGAGCGGCGGGAGGCCAGCAGTAAACCCTACAGCAGCCCTTGACGCTCGCATGCTGCACCGCAATCGCAGCGCACAAGCTTCCATCCCGGGTAGTCAGCAGGTCACAAACCATGGGCCTACCCGAATGTCTAGCACACCACAAATTCGATCGCCGCCTATGCAGTCCACCTACGTCCCACCAGGAGCCGGTGATCCTCGCTTTGCACGTCCCGCTGGATTCGACGACCCATGTTTCAATGGACAAGTCACACATGCTGCACACACGATGCAGGCTCGACCAAACAATATGGCGGCCCGTCCGCAGTATCCCGGGCCTCCAACTTATGGAGGCCAGGGTCCGTACCAGTCACAGTCGTTCGGTCAGGCCGGATCCCGACCTATAGGGCCAGCTTATGTCAACGAGTTTGGAGCACGTGCAACAGCTTCGGGACCAAACTTCAACACGTATCACGGCCACAGCCACGATCCACGAGTAGGTGCCAATGGCATGCAAGGTTCATTGACACCGCGACCTTATTCATACCACGAGCAACCTCCCATGCACCAGCAACCCGTCTATAGGCCGTACGCACCGCAACAGCAGAATATCGTCACTGCCTCCCCATACCGTTCCCGCGAGGACCCTTTCACCACCCGCTACTTCCCTGCTTCGAGCTCTCGGCAGGTGTCGGAATTTCAAATGCAAGCTGGCCGATTGGAGCCTGGTATGACGGTGCAACAGACCTTGAGAACGCAGGACGTGGTTCGCAACCAAGCCCCCGTCGGCTCGCTGGGCCAGCCGTACCAGACATCCCATGCACACCCGCCAGGTCCTTCTTATGGTCCTCGCAATCCTCGCCAACCTCCTCATTCCAACCATCATTCAGGGATGCACTCTTACCCGAATGCTTCAGCACCTCCTCAATTGCAGCAACGGCCTAGCTTCCAAGGAGGCTCGGCAATGCCGAACCCGCATCATCAACCAACTCCGCACCCGCAGTCGTACCCATCAACACCCGCACCGTCTCAGCACGCACAAGCGCCGTTGCGTGCTGCTTCCGACAGGCCTGCGCCTTCGCCGGCCGGTCATCCGGCTCAAACAAGACCGCAGTCTTCGAGTTCCTCGATGGGTCGTGGTCAAGTGCAGCAGCAGCAGCAGCCAAGCTCTGCTGGACCCACACTTGGCTCCGAGCCTCATAGGCGTAACCCTCCCGTACGCACGAATGCATCCGAGCGCTCTTCTGGATCTTCCTTCTCCAGCGCAGCTAGCTCACTGCCTAGACGCCCTTCTCAGGAAGATCACAACAGTCGAACTTCAATCGAGGGCTCCTTTAGTGCACCGACCTCGGCGCGAAGCTCGCAAAGCGGCCCTGCCTCGTACAAGCCTTCGGCTGCTGAGCACCGCTCCTCGTATGCCGACCAGGAGCGTGACCTGGGTGACAAAGAACTTGCGAACATCCGTCCTTTGCCAAAGCTGCCGAACTCTTCAGCGACCACGCCTACAGATCCGTCCATGTCGGCGGCTCTCATCGCAGATGGAAATGTGCGCAAGTCGGAGGACGAAGATACTCTACGTGCCGGTGAATGGGCGCAACTTTGGCGTGCTCTGGATCCAAAATCGGACGGCACAGTCAGCGGCACTGCGATCAGTGGCAGCAGCGGAGGTGATGGAGATACTGTGAGAGCCGAACCAAGCACCCCTGGCGCGACACGACCTCACACCAAAGACGGCTGTGACCCTTCAAACGGCTTTGAGCCACCGCGAGCCAACCTGGCACCCGAGGAGAACGGTACTGTGGCTTCCTTCGGCAACTTTGATGACGATGAGAGCGAATCGGGCACATGGGCGCAGCCGCTTGACTCGGACGTCAACGCGCCTCGTCTTCCATTACGGCTTGACGCTGACGGTGACAAGTCATCTGAGGATCACGCCACGTTGCTGCCTGGTGAGGGTACCATGCTGCAGGCTGCAGCACGTTCCTCAAGGTCTTGCAGTCCCAAACGTCCGGAGCTACGCCTGACGATCGAACCGTCAGCCGGTCCAACCATTGTGTCGTCAAACCTGCAGCGTGCAACCAATTCTCCCCAGCCAAGCTCGACGCATCTCTCGACCTCCTTCAACAGCGGTGGTGGTATCACTCGCAGCAACTCGTTTGCACGCAGGGACGACGACTGGGCTTTCCGTCCACCACCTGAACAGTTGTACGAAAACCTGGACGACTTCTTTCCGAAGCACGACCTTGACAAGCCACTGCTAGACACAGCTGCTGTTCCCGAGAGCCCGATGATGAGCAGTCCTCGATCGGAGACGTCGGCCGCCATGGCATCGAGTCCACCGAATGTGTCTTCGTTCGGACCGCAGCAAGCTCTCAGCCTGCGAAGTCGGCACAAGAAGTCCATTCGTTTGGTTGCTCAAGATCGAAAACGTTTCTTGGATCGAACGGAGAAGCGGCCAGCGGCTCAGGGATCAGAGAGCAGCAGTGGCTTAGTCCGACGACGCAGCACCAAGCTGTGGGGAACAAAGGTAGTCGAGATGACGCCAGGCCAAGAGCTTGCGACACCTGCTTCTGCAAATTCAGCAGAGTCGCCTTCATCCGACACAGCCTCGCAGAAGCCGGTGTTCAAGTGGGTCAAAGGTGACCTGATCGGCAAGGGCACGTACGGTCGAGTCTATTTGGCGCTCAATGCCACTACCGGTGAGATGATTGCCGTCAAGCAGGTCGAGTTGCCTCGAACTGCAAGCGATCGTGAGGATTCACGCCAGAAGGGTGTTGTCGCTGCGCTCAAGTCCGAGATCGAGACGCTCAAAGATCTCGACCATCCTCACATCGTGTCGTACCTTGGTTTTGAGGAGACGAGGACCTTCTTGAGTATTTTCCTCGAGTACGTTCCTGGTGGATCGGTAGGGAGTTGTCTGCGAAAGCATGGCAAGTTTGAGGAACCGACGATCAAGTCGTTCCTCCACCAGATCCTCGATGGTCTCGCCTATCTGCACAGCAAAGGGATCTTGCATCGCGATCTGAAAGCCGACAACATCCTAGTCGATTTTGAAGGGATTTGCAAGATCTCGGATTTCGGAACAGTCCGTCGATCAGATGACATCTACGGAAACGTCGAAAACATGTCTCTTCAAGGCTCGATCTTCTGGATGGCTCCCGAAGTTGTTTCTCTGTCCAAGAAGGGATATTCGGCCAAGATCGACATTTGGTCTTTGGGTTGCGTGGTACTGGAAATGTTTGCAGGTCGTCGACCTTGGTCGGATGATGAAGCAGTCCAAGCCATGTTCAAGATTGGTGCTGAACGAAAAGCTCCTCCCATCCCAGCTGATGTCAAACTCAGCAAGCAAGCAGCGCATTTCTTGAAAAACTGCTTCGAAGTGGACCCAGCCAAAAGACCTACAGCGCAACGACTGTTGGATCACGTCTTTTCGGTTCCTGATGAAAGCTGGCACTTTCAACAAAGCGCTCTTTGGAGGTCGTTACAGCGTTGATTCTTCGCCACTCTCTCATCGCTCACTCCTGGCAGTCATTGTGTTTTTCTTTGGTTATTTTTGTCTTGTTTGAATGATACCTGGAATACTTGCTTGATGTAGCATCTTCCACCCTTTTCCACTTTTCATTCCTGCATCTCATGTGTGATTGTTTGAAGCAGAGAGAAAGATGCTGTTGATTGGCCATGTGGCCAAGATGTTTTGAGCGAGCCTTTCAGTGTTTGAGCCACGAATGAGTTTTTTGCGCTGCAGATCATCGGAGTCGCTCTCGCTCAGATGTCTCAACTCCTCAGCTCATGCGACACGACTCCCATAAGCAGACAAATGCATAGGCAACGACATGGAGAAACCCGGGACTTTTATATTTCACAAGAAGGGGGATGGATGGATAGGCGAAAGATGAACGCCTGAGAGATGATGTAGAAGCCCAATGAGAGCCTCGCGAGATTAGAGGAGGGTGGATTGAACGTGACCATTGAATTTGTAGATGAATGATGAAAAAATGCTTTCGGTAGCACCAAGACGTGGTGCGGATGCTGGGAAGATTTGTTCTGTCTTTTTTTTGTTTTTTGTTTTTTTTGTTTTTTGTTTTTTTTGTTTTTTGTTTTTTTTTTTGGTTGGTTTTTTTTTTTGTTGTTGTTGAAGAGGCGGACCAACGATTCCTGAATTGCGATGAAAGCGAGGAGACAGTCCTTGAGGAGTCAAGCACGCGACACGAACCCATTACTCGTGGTGAATGCCGTTGCCGTTGCCAACACCCATAAGCATGTTGCCAGACATAGAGGGCATGGCGGCACCGCCACGCTGAGGCATTGCCTTGTTCTTCTTAGCCAGGCGCTCAGCTGATGTGTCCGGGCTGTGTGCGTCGTCACCCTCGAGCTTGTAGCCGTTAGATACACTGCTACCGCTTCGTTGCATGTCGCGATCGGAAGGCGAAGCTGTCGCAGAACCGTTGAGGTCCTCGGCATCTCCCCAAGATCGCTTCAAGCCGGACACTTTGCGGGCGCCATTGACAAGCCCTCCGTTGGGAGCGGCAGCGCCAAGGTTGGCAGCGCCGTATGGGTTGTCAGTGTGGCCGTTGACGTTGTTGAGCGCGATGGGCGCAGATTGACGTCGGTCACCAACGCCAGGTCGAGCGAGCTGCTGGGCCTGGGTGAGGGGGTATTGCTGCTGTTGCTGTTGCTGCTGAGAGTATGTGGGCGACGAAGTGCCGTGGCTCGAGAGGCTCATGTGCATCTGAGCGGTGCCGTTGTGCATGGACGAGGGAGAGGGTTGAGTAGTAGTGGGAGCCGAGGCGTGGCCCTGGTCGTGAGAGCCGGACCAGCTGGTACTGCTGCTCAACGCGCTACCAAACCCCGACGTGTCGCCGTTAGATGGAGTGGTGTTGGCACGCATCAGAGGAGGAGCTTGCGAAGTGCCGTTGGCGCCTGGGCTGGGAAGACCAGGAGCTCGCTGTCGCTGAGCCTGACGCTCCTGAGCAGCGGCAATGACAGCAGCGGTTCTGGGGTAGTTGTCAGGGTGGTAGAGGAACGACTGGATGTTGGATTCGAAGAGGGGGTAGAGAGCGTCGGCAATGCCGTTCTGCTCAGCAAGCTGCTTGGCACGGGCAAACGAGATCCAGACACCCTTGAGGTGCATGGCGCCAACCTTGACGACGATTCGTTCCTTCTCGTTCTTGAGGATACCGTCACGCTTACCACGGGACATGCCGCAGACGTTGAGAAGTTTGGTGCCGTTGATCATGTTGTTGTCGTGGCGACGAGCAACGCAAACGCCTCGAGCATCAACCTGGAAGCAAAGGGTACCCTCATCCTCCCACAGAGTGGTAGTAACGCGGTGTCGTCCGGCAAGGGGCAACTGAGTCGAGTACTGAGGAGCTGAGGTGTACGAGGGAGAAGAGAGGTGCGTCGAGCCGTTGAGGTGGCTGTGAGAGCCGTCACCGTTCATGAAATAGGCGGAAGAATGGCTGTGGGTATGAGTAGGCGTGTGCGATCCGAGGTGGTGGCTGCCGTAGCCGTAGCCAGCGTGCTGGCCGTGGTGCATCATCATGCCGTTGACGGAAGCGTAGTGGGTGGTTCCGTTGGCAGCGGGGGTAGTGGGAGCAGTGGTAACGTGGCCACCGTTGGTGTAGCCGTAACCGCCGGCATACTGCGAGTAAGCATTGTGGCCGTAAGGGCTAGGGCTGCCTCCGTAAACAGGAGCCGAAGGGTATCCGTAGGGGGACCAGCTGGAGCTGTGGCCACCGTTGACGGGGCTAGCAAGAGCGCCGTGCGAGTGGGCGTGGTGTGCCGAGTGGTGGTGGTGAGCATTGTGGTGAGCGTGAGCTTCGCCGTACATCGATCCCGAAGCGGAACCAGGGGCGCTGCCAGAGCCCGTGGCAGGGACTGAGCCGGAACGGACGGCGGAATCGGCGACGGCAGCGGCAGTGACGCCAGCGTCGCGGCCAGTGACGCCGGTAGGAGCGGGCGAGTTGGCGTAGCTACCGTTGCCATGGCCATGGTGGAGAGGAGAGGCTGTAGACATGATTTGAAGATGCGGAGGGGAGCGAAGAGCTCAGGAAAGTGGTAATGAAGAGCTAACAGTGGAACAATTGGATTCTCGTGTGAGAAAATCACCTGACCTGAGAATGAAGGGTGAAGCAAGTGAGGGGTCTGAAGAGGAAGGTGAGAGAGAAAGAGCTATTGGTTCCGTTCTGAGAGTCCTTGAAGGGGAGTTGGAAAGCTTGAAGCGAGAGAAGCAAAAGGAGCGCTGCGAAGTAGTGAAAGTTGAAGACGAAAGGGTGAATGCGCGACCGATCCTGTGGACAGAGTCGATGCTTTTCCGATAGGTGACGAACTAGCTGCTTTTCCTAGCACGGCACTAATATGACCGAACTTGATGCGATGAGCTGAAATACCAGAGCAACCGATTACTGGACTGTTGAAGAGATCCAAGTAGGAAATCGAATCGAGAAGGGCCAAATGAGCAAACAGGTCCCCAACAACAGAATGCGATGTTGAGAATGCGCTGAGATGTGCGCCTCGAGGGGAAAGGGATGAAAGGATGATGATAAAGGTAGAGCGATGGAGATGGACGAGATGTACTCTTGATGGTATGGCGGAGGAAGGAAGGCAGAAGGGAAAAGCAAAAGGCAAACGACACGCAGGTTGCAGCAGCTTGCTTGGTTACTTGCAGTGCAAGTCGAAAGAACATGGGCACTGGCAGCGGCTCAAGCAGAAGCAAAGTGGGCAACAGTGAGAGCAAATCCTGCACCGAAGCAGCAGGAGCAGTCAAAAAGCAAGCGCAGGTCAATTGGCGCAGGTCACAGGCAGCGAAATGCAGGGCGAAGAAAAAAGAAAAAAGAAAAAAAAAAAAAAAAAAAAAGTCAGGCAGCTCAAACTTGCAACTGGGAGAGGGGGAGAAGAAAAAGAAAAAAGGGAAAAAAAGAAAAAAGAAAAAGTGGTGAGTTTGGGCAGATTTCCTCAGGGACCTAAAAAGTTGAGACACGCACGTCCAAGAAGAAGGCGTTTGGCTGCTCAACTGCAGTGGCCACCGGAGCAGCGAAGAAAGAGAAGAAGAAGAGAAAAAAAAAAAAAAAAAAAAAAAAAAAAAAAAAAGTTCAGGCAGGTTGGGCTCCGTGACCGCTGCAGCTACCGCAGGTGTGGGATTCGCCTTCTCCCCCTTTTCTCCCTTCTCCCACTTCTCCCTCCGTTTTTTTTTTTTTTTCTTTCGTTTTTTGTTTTTTGTTTTTCATTTTCTTCTTGCACTGCCGGTGTGCCAAAACTCGTCACATAGGGAGAAGAGAGAGACACACACGCTCAAACACGCAACGCTTGAATGCAGACCCGCGTTGCACCGCACATCTCTCACCTCGCTTGCCTATTGGATCTGCCGGCGATACAGTGGTTGCAGACGGGGAGAAGGTAGGAGAAGCAGAGATCTGCCGGTTGGCTGTACTTCTTGCAGCTTTGCTGGCTGTCACCTACACACCCTTTCAAGTCATCGGTATAACGTTATTCTAAGTACTGTACTGTTGTATGTGATATGTACTTCGCTTTCTCCTGTATTCGCCTCCCTTTGGCGTCGCCTTCGCCGGTGCTCGGCTTGTCTCCGGTCTTCCGCTTGAAACGTCTGAGCGCTAGTCTCCCAGTCAACTAGCTAAAAGAGAAAGAGAAAGAGGACAAGGGATGATGGAAAAATCAACGCTAGGATTTGAAAGGTATTGTTGGTACAGTAGTAGTATTCCCGCTCCTTTCCCAAGTCCGATTCAGAGCGGGTCTGTTCCTGTGCGCTTCCAACCAGGAGAAAAGCCGATTTCAGAGCTTGCTAAGGGTGGACTGTAGTCCAAGAGACTCTACTACTTGGCTCCCTTCCGAACCAGCTCATGGCTGAGAAGCTTACCTTCCGCACCACCTTCTGCCGGCAAGTTTTGGTCCCTCGTTTAACCAATACATCCTTGTCCATATACCCTAGTCTCAGAAAGACAAACAAAGGAGAATGATTGCTATCATCGCTCCCTCCCTCTTGGCGTGCTACGATTCGAAAGGGGCTTCAGTTCGGGCAAGGGCCGGGCCGATGAGGCGATGAGAGGACTGGCTGGCTGGCTGGCTGGCTGGCTGGCTGGCTGGCTTTTAGTCGGTCATTTTCAGTCTTCTAGCCCATGTCGGTTTGTTTCGCTGGCTGCTATCTGGTCGCCAACCAATCATCTTGATCTCCTGTGCTCTCGGTTTCCCTTCGCCACGTTCCGCGTTCCGGAGATGAGTCCATTTTCGCTCTTTTTTTCTCTTTTTCTCTTTTTTCTTTTTGTTTTTCTTTTTAATATTATCCGATTTTCTGGGCCCCACCCCCAAATTTTCGAATGGTTGCCTCTTATCTGGCGCTAGTGAGTGAGTGTGAGAGTCGAGTTTTCAAATCAAATCAACTCAATTCATTCAAAATTTGCATGTCTGAGCGTAATTGGAGCAGGTGAAAACCCTCGCCCTTCTAGCCGAGACCGAGCTCGAGCTCTGTTTCTTGTCAGCCCGCGCCGCCTTTGCTGTATGCTGTGTGCAAAGGAAAGAAAGGGTACTACTGGATGTCACTTTTTAGCATGCAGGGCTTCTGCAGTCAGGACACATTGGGATCGACTTTGCACTGCTCCTACGCCCTTGTCACCTTGACACGTACAACAGCCAATCGGCACCCGTCGCTGACTTTGCTTTCCCACCCATGTCGCAATCCTCATAGAGAAAGACAAGAATTCCTCCTTTTTTTCTTTCTTTTTTTTTTTTTTTTTTTTTTTTTTCTCTCTCTCTTTCTCTACCGCTCAAGGGTATGTCCGGAGTTCTGTTGCTTATCGTGGCGATAAGTGGCCACCGCCGGGCTTTCCAGAAGAGTTTCACCGCTGCCACTTCTGTTCCAACGAGAACCGGCAAGGTTATGATTATTAGACGAATGTGCCTGTCCTGGATCAATACCTTGCCTTTGTCCCCCGCTTGATAGCTTCCGTCTCCTAAGGTTTTACTCTAGAGAAGGAGCGGCAGATAATGACCTGGTGGATCAGGCGTCGTTGAATCAGTGAGACAGTGAATCATCGCAGAGGGTTGCAAGGCCGACAAGGGGGAAAAGTCCGACTGAGAGCCGAGTGGCCAAAAGCCAACAGGGGGAAAGATTGGCTCGGGAAGAGGCGGCCTTCAATCATTCCCTTGTGACTTGCTCGTCTTGAAGGGCAGAAATCTAGCTTCCAGTCTCTCTTTCTTTCTCTCTCTCTCTCTTCGAGGCTGTGGCTTCTCGTCATGACATGCAACGCATTGACAAGGAAGCTAGTGCATTCGTACAAGCGCTGCAATGTACACGACAGGGTTCAGTGCGCCCTGACTTTCATTATCAGTCTCAAAGGCATCAGGATTTGCGGAGTGCAGTATGGAGGCGCAACAATGGCTTCTCGGCTTTGTCAAGAAGAGTATGTTTCCCTCCAACTCCGGCCGCAATCGGCGGCTCATTGCATTGCGCTTTGAGCTAAAGCTGTAGGACCCTTGCTTGCTTGTGACGGGCTCGGCCGCAAAGCTCGAGACTCTGGTGTGTGAAGAAAGGCCTGCTTGGCATTGTAAGCGAATGCACGGACGAGGTTGCGATCCGCTCGTGGCGTCGGCTTGCTCTGTTCCTTCCTTATGCTTCTCAGGGTCGTCATGAGGTATGTCCCCCTCGGCCATCCTGAACGCTCACACAATCCCGATCAAGACTCAGCCGAATGAAATGCAAAGAGATTGCCTATCGTCGAATTCAAGCTCACGTTTTGAGTCGACGCTTTTCGCACCCAGCAAAGCAGACAGGGAACCAGTGTCCCCGTCGGCTTCTTTCGTCGGCATGCCATCAACAAAAAGGCTCGAGCCACCCAAGACTAACTAGAGCGACTTGTGTGCCTCAAGCTCGAACAGACTTTCTTATCCTGCTGCTGTTTCTCCATTCAACGCACGCACCATCCTGAAGCCTGGCCCTTGTGAAACGATTCCCCTGTTCTTCATTCTGCCCAACTGTCAGTGTGGTGACAACAGACCTTTCTCCTTTAGTTTCTCGCTTCGGTGTCTGGCTTGTAATCACAGTCAACAGCCTCTGTCCGGCAACGCAACATCGAGTGCAAACAGGGACAAGATCGAATGTGTTGGCGGTTGCCTTCGGTTGTGAAGGAAAGGGAAGCTGCAGGACAACCCGGTCAGTGCGGCAGAACCTCGCTTATGGACCGCGCTCATCCCCCTTTTTTTCTTTTCTTTTTTCTTTTTTCTTTTTTCTTTTTTCTTTTTTCTTTTTTCTTTTTTCTTTTCTTTTTTCTTTTCTTTTCTTTTCTTTTCTTTTTTTTTTTTTTTTTTTTTTTTCTTCTTCTTTCTTCCCTTTGTGTCTTCCCGTGCGTGTCGTGATCGGCGGTGCAGGATTTTGTTTGACAGCTTTTAATGCGACTGTACCAGGAAAATCAGCCCTGAAATTCTGCACTCAAAAAAGAAGCCGAAAAGTCAAGAAAGAACTCTGTGCAGCTTGATTGTTTGCCACGCGCAGCAACACTCGAAAGTATTGCAGTTGCTTCTGCAAGATGGTGGTAGCATGCATCGCAATCTCTTTGCTGCAGTCTGCAAGATTATGCTCGTCAATCCTGCATCTCGACGGACAAATGCACCGAACACAGCGTCAACACACCTGCAGCCCACTCTGTCACACTCTGCAGTGCAAAGAGGCAACAAAGCCGACAGTCGCTTCTTCATATCTGATAGCACCCACTAGTTGTCGCATGGACTTCACACGCTGCAAGCCCCTCCTGGTGTTGCCGCAGAATGAAGTGCTGCATCGCATGGCATGTGTGAACACGTGAACACGATTCTCACCCACACCACATGCAGACTTGTCAGCCGTCCACGTGCAGTTGCTTCTTCCACCCGAACAGCTCACTTGATCGTCCCTCAGCACGCTAATTAGCATCAAGCTCAGACTTCATGTTCTGCTAATCGAATTGACTGCCATTCGACATGCGTAGACCATAACAACCAAGAGATCATTAAACGGTCCCACGAGTTGCCGGCACCTTACTTCTTCTTCTTCGGCGAGCTACCGTTGGCAACGGCTGTGGCTGCTGATGCCAACGCGGATTCTGCACCTGCTGCACTCCCCAGACCAGCGTCCAGCCTTCCACCACCACCACCGTTAGCTTGCGACGCTTCAATGTCCTTATCAAGCGCCCACTGCCTCACTGCGTTCCAGACCTGAGCTCGTCGACGCTTGACAGCGGCCAATCGCGATCGTACCTCCTCCAATCGCTCGACGTATTCCCTCGAATCCGCCGCCAGATCATGAAGACACTCCAACGCCGCAAGCACGATCGAGCGCTGCTCTGGTGCTGGCAACAATGTCGTCTCCACCACTGGCTCGTTAGCAGCATCTTCGGCCATGCCAGCTTGGGCTCGCGCTGCTTTGGTCCCAGGTGAAGGAGGAACAAAGATTGCTTGACCCATTTCGTCCAGACGCGGGATGGCAAGGCCTTGCTTGGTCACAAAGAGCTTGTCCAGATGCGACAAAGCAGGATTGTCGATTGCTGAGCCGAAAAGATTACTCGCCGCACCGTTTGCAGCACCGTCGCCGTTCAAGTGTCTTGTCGAGCCTTCGACGTCGGAGCCGTCAACGTCCATACCGTTGAGCTCCTCGTCCTTGGCTCCCTCAACCTCATCGCCCTTTGGCTCTGGATCCTCGTTCCACCCGCCTCTCTCCATAGCAGCCCAGCATCGCCCAACCGCACGCCCAACGACACCCTCACTCTCGATCAAATCGAGCGCTGTCTTGCCCAGCGCCGCAATGTGTGGGTTACGGAACGTGTGTCGCAGTGTATGGCTTGTCAACAACTGTCGCGGCTTGATGGCCGGCTTGAGCAGAGTAGGGGCCAGCGATGTCGATGTGAGATGTTCAGCAGGCTGCAATCTCGATCCACTCGGTCCAGCCAATAGATCATCCAGGCCGAGCTCTGCATCGATCCGTGCTGCTTCTGAAAGATCCGACGGCAACAGTTCGCCGCGTGCATCGCGTCGAGCATTGCTTGCGGTATCGCTCGGAATGAGACCATTGCCAAGGGCAGGGAATTGAGCCAGCATCGCCTTGTCCTCCTCGGGCATCGCAGATAGCAGCGCACGGACGTTGTCCTTCTGCATCGCCTCAACACGGTGTCGCAATCGATCGCCGATCTCCTTCTCCATACGCATTTCGGTCCACCCACCCAGCTTGCCGCGACGGACCCAGCGAGCCCCCTTCTCTCGCGAAAGCTTGTTGCCGCGATTGCCGCTGCGGTTACCATGACGTCGCTTGCGTTCTTCTGCGATGCGCATCGCTTCTTCATCCGAGTCGGAGCTTTGGTATTCTTCCAGACCATCTTCGGCCCGAGTATAAGGCGAGATACGAGATAGAGAGGGACGCTCGATCCTGCTGGCGAACGGCCTTTCCGAAGGTTCACTACGGATGCTTGAATCTGGCACGGGGAAGTCGTCAATGTCGATCATGCTAGTCGAAGGCAAAGCTTCACATGGTGTCGGCCTTGAGCTTGAAGATGCAAAGTGGTCTCCAGGTGTTGACTTGGAGATGGTCTTGCGTCGGTAGCGACGCGATGTAGCATGGAGGTCGTCGTCGATGCGCTTACGCTTTGAGACATAGTAGGAATCGTCGTAGTAGGTCGAAGAGTAAGAAGGCGCAGGATGATACTCCTGAAGAGACAGAGGAAGTGGCGGATCCAGGTCCTTGTCCTCCTCGTCGGTGAGGTCGACTCCAAGAGCACCTCCAACGTTGTAGCAAGAGTCCGAGTCGGTGTCTGTGTAGTACTGCGGATGATCATTGCCAGGTAAAGAGAGCCAGATGAGTCGAGATTCTTCGTTCTCGCGAGCAATCATCATCTCCCTATCGTGTTCCGACTCGCGGATACGCTCGCGCTCGCGCTCTCGTTCTCGCTCGATCCGCTCCATCTCGCGTCGACGATCCTTTTCACGAGCTCGCTGCTCACGATCTTGAGAACGCTCGGATGGCTGGTGAGACCACTCTTTGGTTCTGACAATGCGCTTCTCCTGTGCGGAGGGAGGCGCAACCGAGTCTCTGTTTAATGACCTGGATGGAGGTGCTTCCGAGCCAGTCCTCCTCGATGCTGGTGGCTCTTCTCTCTCGAATGCAGGTCGTGCGTATACCTCTTCGGATCTTCCAACGCCAAAAGTCGCAGTGTTTGCGACTGCTTGCGACTGTGGGGAGCGATGGCAATCCTCGGCGGATGATTCTGGCGCTGCAACAGCTTCGTTCGGGCGTGATTCTTGGGTCTGAGCAGTCTCTTCTTCCTTGTGCTGTGGAAGTTCGACTGGTTCGGAGTGTCCAGGCTCGGCTTCGTGTGTTGCTGTGGCACGTGGTTCTTCGTAGGACTCTGATGGAGGCTCGGTCTTGACTTGAGTCTGCATTTGAGCAGCTTCTTGCGCGACCTCGTCATTTTTGGTGGCTTGTTTAGCGAAAGGCTCGGAAGCGGCCTCTACTGTTGTTTCAGGACCCTCGGAGGGCAGTACAGGTGTATGAACAGAATCGTCGACTTGCATGGGTTCTGGCTCAGCCTCAGTAGGCTGAGTCAGTTCTTCAGTCAAAGCTTGCTTCGGGCTTGCAGCCTTCTCGTCGACGTCCATGTCAGCCGGTCCATCGTCCTTGGGCGCCTCAGCGGCAGCTTGTTCGTCGGTGATGTCGGTTTGCTGCTCTGCAGATGCTGGCGCCATGCTTGATGCGGTGGCTGGCACTTCTCCCGTTTCAATCTGAGATGCGCTGCCGGCATCCTGGGGAGTGGAAGACTCGACCGATTTAGCTTCCGCCTGAGGCACTGATGGCTCCTGCCGTGCGGGCTTTGGAGTGCTTGGGTCACCAAGCTCTTGTGGTTCCGAAGCCTTTGCCGCCTCTTGGCTGAACTCAGCAATAGGTTCTGGTGTTGGAACAGACGAGGTCGCATCAGCGCCCGCCTGCTCTGCGCTTTGCTCCTGAGCTGCTGAATTTTCTTCAAACTTCTCTAACGCGGATGCGATCGAGAGCCCGGGGGGAGGTTGCTCCTCTTGCGGAGCGGACTCGCCCGGCTTGTCGCTTTGTTTAGTAGTTGGTACAGCCCCTTTTGGAGCGTCATCAACTGCGTCTGTGACTGTCGCATCTGGGCGGTCCTGTACCTTGCTCTCGCTTTCGAGCGTCTTGCTGGCTGGAAGTTCTGGGGTTGCTGGCTGCTTGGGTGATGTCTGGGCCGACGACTCATCTTGCTTGGTAGATTCGGGTTGTGTCGGCGTCACGATGCCATCAGGTTCTGATGGACGACTCTCTGAGATCTCGCCTTCCTCTTCGTCGAAGATTTCGCCCTCCTCAGCCTCACCGTCGACGGACGCTTTTGTGGGAAGAAGAGCCGGCTTCTCGCTACCCGCGGCTGCCGAGCCCATTGGCTCAGTAGTGCCTGGCTGCGACATGACGATGAGCGAACGAGTCGCGCCCTGGCTGTTCGAAGGGATGACGAGGGAACGTGGTGAAATCCGGGCGAGAGCGGACGAACAGGCGGAGAAGCTTTTGGCGGTTGGTGAGACGGGGCTTCAGGGTGCTGGCTGCTATCCAGCAGTTGCTAGCTGTCAGTGGCGCAGAGACCTGTGCAAGCGTTCAGCGGCGAGTTTGCGCAGTAGGAAGAAATGTGATGTGTATGGTGGACTGAGGTGAACCGCGGATGGCAAGCACGATCAGGGTCGATCTGTGGAATTGAATTGTCCAAATGGCTCTTGCTTCTCCCCCCCTCTCTCTCTCTCTCGCTCTGTTCTCCGCTTCGAGGCGTTCGGCTGTTGGAATGCCTCTCGAAGCGGATCTCCTGCGCAAAAGCAGCGACTAAGTTTGACCAGACGCGTATCTTCCGTGATCCGAGATTTTGCAGAACACCTCAGCGTGACTAATCCAAATTTCATTTGGTTCTACTTTTTTGGCAGTCTTCCAAAAGAGTTGGCTTCCACATTGTCCAGCTTGTGCAGCAAGGGTTCAGCCTTGTGTTGCGGCTCTAGGCTGTACCATCATCAACTATTCGCACATCCAGAACACAGCAACTGAACGATGGTCGCAGCACGCAAGCAGCGACAAGTGCAGAAAGCGCAGGAGCAAGCCATCTCCAAAGCGCTCGCCGAGCCCAAACCTAGCACCAGCCACGTATCCTTCGGCGATGATGACGACAGCAAGACACAAGAGGCAGCTTCTAGCTTGAATGTTCAAACCGCAGCTCATAAATTCGAGGCTTCAGATGACGGTGGTGAAGATGATGATGCACCTGTCGAAGTTGTAAGCAACAAGACTTCCAAAAAGCAGGTTTCGCAAGACTCGGCAAGGGCGAAGGCACAGGAGAAAGCGTGAGTACGAAAGAACTCCCTACCGATTTCATGAGAGCGCATCTTCGACCTCCAAAACTGGTACTGACTGCACATTCACCTTCTTCCTGCAGTGAGAAAGCTAAGCGTCAGGCCGCAGAGCAAAAAAGGCTGAAGAAGCAAAAGGAGAAGGAGGCTGCTACCGCAAAGGAGCTGCAGCCGTCAAACGTGAGAGAGGAGGCAGAAGAGCAGATAGATCAACCCCTCAGCCAAGGCGGGAGTGACAGCGAGGAGGACGAAGCAAGCTCGACGACTCGTCTTGACCCCTCGCTCTTTGCCGAAGTCTTTGCTCAACCTGTTTCGGCACCTAAGTCCATCCTGAAGAAAAGGTCGGCAGAGGAACGCGCAGATGAAGTCGCCAAGCTGCAAAGAGAAAGGAAACAGAGGCGAAAGGAGCAAAGAGCAGGTGGTGTGGTTAAGGGCAGAGACGGACTGCCTATGAAGAGGGCTGAGGACGGCACCATTCTTCGCGCGCTCACCACTTCCAACAGGCCATCTGCAAGGTCTTCAAGCCACAAGACTAGCTTCGACGACGAGGACGAAGAGCAACCGGATGAGCCACTCGATGAAGTCGTCCGACCCACGCAACTCGACCGATCAGCTTCGCTGCCTAATGCCAAAGCAAGAGCGTTCTTGAAGCGCGCTCTCGAAAAGAAGAAGGGTGGCTTTAAGTCGGCAACATCTGCGAAAGGCGCCAGCGCAGCGAAGAAGCAGAAGAACCAAGACGATCCTCTTGGACTCAACGATCCCGCGTTCTTGCCTGGCGGAGAGTTCTACCATTTGGTCAACAAAGGCGACAAGGCCAAGGCTGCTAAGCAGGGACACAAAGACTCAGCAGCTTCCGCACGTCAAGCTTTCCGTGGAGGCGGAGTTCGCAAGGATGGTAAGTGTCATACAGCTTGATTTTCATAATCATCTCGTTCTTGGACAGAAGAGAGATAACTGACATCTCCGGCCTCTTTCCTGCAAATTCTCTTTGTAGCTGTGTCTGTCTTGCGCGCCCGAAGCAGAGGTGGTCCTTCTCTGGGCTTTGCTCGAAGCCAGGAAGGTTCAGACGATGATTACTGATCGCGTCCAAGCTTTACCACATTCCTATCCTGAACACCCCCGTCTTCTCAGCATTGTCTCAACTGTATTTGTACCGTCACAGCCCATCATTCAATACATGCATCTTCTAGCCAATGCATTCGTGTATTACGTGATTCTATCGTGTTTCGAAGACGCTCCATATCGGAGGGAAGCCCATGTGAGGGCCTTTTTGCAAAACAAGCATAGCTTTAGAATGAAGAATGTAGCCTTTGATAAAGCCTTGATCGATCATGCTAGCGACCACTGCCTCGATATCTTGAGGCTGTAAGGATGGGTCGCGCCATGCCATGCGCGCGGCTGAGAGTAGAAAGTCGAGTCGCATGGTTGGAGGAGCCGACGTGGCTGGGGCGGATGGATGGGTAAGGGTTAGGCTACAGTTGAACAACATCAACGGTCGAGGGTCAGCATCAGTCTTGAGTCTTTCGGGCTAAGAGGTTGATTGAGACTTACCATTTGTGCGCGAGATTGCGCCAGAGGCTGATCTGTAGCTTCTCTTTCAAGATGAAATAGAGACCTCGCACTCTGAACCAATCCATGTGCCGGTCCAGCTCCTGCATTGCTGCTGCTGCCTGGCCGCTCTTCAGGTGGTATGTCAGGCCACCGTACACGTCGGTCAAGTTGGAAGCATCGAGGAGTGCTATCTGCGGAAATCGACCCAATATGAGGTAGGTAGCCACGAGCGGTATCAAGATGGCCCTCTTGTTCCTCAGATTGCGAAGCGTGCAGTTGTCGAAAGCCCACCTCAAGTGGGTGGAGGCCTGGCGAATATGCGGAGGACATAGCGTGGTCGAGATATGTAGAGAGATGTCAGTGTTGCGCGCAAGTCGGGATGAAGCGGTCTTTACGAACTTACAGCTCGGATGTTGTGCTGGAACAGCCGGAGGCGGCCGAGGTAGTAGCGATACGTAACGCGATCAGCTCTGGTGTAGCACTGCTCACCCGAGCCATCGTGAATGCCGCTGTTGCGAGCGAAAGTGCGGTTCACCTTGAGAGCATTTTCGACACTGCCCAGGACGGTCTCGCAGAGTCGAGTGTTGTTGAGCTTGAAGTAGGCTTTGAAGCTGAGGTTGGCAAGCATAAGCACAGCAGCACGCTTGGTTTCGGAAGCTGGAGCTTGGGACCGATCGTTACCCGCCATACCAGCTGCTTTTGAAAGTCTTCCTGCAGCATCGGTTGTCTTGCGTTTCTGAATGGCATCTGTACGTTGGTCAAGAGCCATTGCGAATGTAACGAGGCTGGAAGCAAAGAACCTGAGGGTCGGAATGAACCATGTGGTGTCGGGCAAGGAGAAGAAGGTGGAAGCGCGAGAGTAGACGAGAGCCCATGCATCGTAAGCTCGATCCCAGTCCGTGGGATAGGATGTCTGTATGGATGGAGAGGCGTGTGAGAGCGGAGCATGGTCACGGACGTAAGATAAGAAGTCTCCAACTAGTGTTTGGAAGCGATCGGAGTCGGTGGGAGCGCCAGACACTGAGATCTGGCGTAGGACCCAATCAGCAAGATCTCCACGAGCCTGGAAAGAGCGGATAGAAATCGGTATCAGCAGGCGTTTTCAGTATCCTGAAGGGCGATGTATATGACTTCTTCTCCGGCTCCAATGCTTACATCCTTGTTCAAATCCGCTTGTAGAGCAGCAAAGGTGTCTGGATCAAGGCGGAAGGCGGCAAGGAGTGAACGCGAGTCTTGTGTGTAGTATGCATTCTTGATGGTGGCGACATGCCGTTGCAGAGCGGCCATCCCTTTGCAGTCCTACCGGACGCTACTATGAACGACGATGTGGTGTTGACTTGGTGATGATCGAAACTTGTTGCCGGGAGAAATGGTTCTATGGTTCGAGGCTTGTGGCATGCCATGAAGATTTGGACCCTTGACGGTAAGATCCCGATCCCGATCGTGTTGCACTCAGATCTGATGGTCCCGTCTTCGGGGCTCTAACATTCCAGAAAGGATGTGCGCTCACTCCACTTTGTCAGCTTGTTCTTCGCTTCCTTTTTTTTTTTTTTTTTTTTTTTCTTTTTTTTTTTCCCCCTCTTTCTCCCTCTTTGCTCGTTGTTTCATCACGTGATCAGACATGAAGGCGTGCGCGTCTGGCCTGGACTCAAGAATCGAATTGTTCCGCTTCTCCGTTCGGCTCTTCACAACATCATTTCGCTTCTCCGCTCCTCTCTTCACTACCTTCATCTCCACCAAAGCCAGGCGTACTATTAGCAGCCTGGTTCGTTGCTATTTGCCCTTCCTTGCCGCTCGTTTCTGTGCTCGACCGGCCCCCTGTTACGGCGGTCTGGGAGCCTGCTTGTCGAGCTTCGAGAACCTCACGGGTCTTTGCCTGCAATCCACTTTGTTTGTTTGTGTTAGGTTATACTTTTTCGATCTTGTTTCGTGCGGTTGAGTCCAGACGGGATAGAGCGGAAGGATGCCTTTTCGCTGTCCATGTTGCTTTGTTTCGCGCGGGAGCAAGTCTCTCGTTTTGTGTGTGCGCTTTTTTTTCTTTTCTTTCTTTTCTTTGTAGCCGCTTCTCTGCTTCTCTGCTTCTTCTCTGCTTCACTGCTTCACTGCTTCTCTGTTGGTTAGGTTTCGGGCGAGCGATACGAACCGAGTGAGGCTGCAATCTGCTTTTTGATTGTCCGGTCAGGCGGTCAGTCAGATCCACGCTTGGAGAGTAACTTTCTTTTGCGCTCGCTCATTTTTCACTCTCTGTGCCACAACGAGCGAGACCGAGGCTGATCCTTACTCTTGGGCATTACACTATCATCGACCATCTTCACCACATTGTCCTCAGATCGTCTCGCACGACCCTGGCCTCCACCCTTCGCTCCATATCGACCATCTCGCTCTTCACGTTGCCCTCTCAACTCGGTCACAGCTTTGCAACGGTGTCGCCTGCTTTCGATTGATACATTTTGGCTACGCTCCGATCGGTGAGCGTTCCCGGACAACAATCGTCGCACCTCAGCCTTGCACATCAAGCTCCTCAATCACACACGCCTTGCATTGACGGATTGGCATCTCAGCTACGACATTAAGTTTGTTTTTGCCGCGTCGCTGGCTACATGGTCGCAACCCAACCTGTCGACCACACTCACCAACACTGCATATGAGCGACCAAAGGACGGGAGAGCTGGCAGTCGCCCAGCCCCCTCCCACCCACCAGAATGCGGCCTCCAATGCTGTTCAGGAGCACTCCATCCCCTCCTTCACCAACGACGCTTCTCTAGCAGACCCTCTAGTCGCTCCACTGCCACAATCATCTCAACATTTCGCCCAGACGAACCAAGCATCAGCGTCAGACTCGCATACCGATCAAGGCGATACCACCTCCTCGATCCCTGCTTCACGATCCGAGCGCAATGTAGAAGCCATGACAGCTGTGCAAGAGCGCAGCGAGCAACATCAAGACGCCAATGGCACCTCTCGCGATCCAGAGACTGGCAACACATCCTCGTCATCAGCCCAGGTCTCTGCCGCAGCTGCCAGGAAGTTCACCTCTCTCAATGTCAACAAGCGCTTTCTCGAAAAGGCCGGCCCGACCCCACCTGCTGCTTCGCCTGCAGCGCTCAAACTCGGCGCCTCAGTATCGCCGCGCCCAGCAAATCGACTTTCGTCACCGTCAGCTTCAACTCGCCTCATGTCCGCAAAGCTTTCAAGTGTACCCAAGCCTCAGCCTGCAGGCTGGGCCACCACCAAGCCGGCCACGCCCGTCGCAAAGACAACAACAAGTTCACAAACCCCAACAGCTATTACACCTGCCCCTACCCCCACCCCTGCCACTGCCACTGCCACTGCCACTGCCACTGCCACTGCCACAAACACAGACTCAGCCTCAGACACATCGCCCACCACAACTGTCACTTCCTCAGACCCTCTGCCTGCCGAGGCTTCAGCTCCTACTCCAAAGGCTATTTCGAGCCCTAAACTAGCCAATCCATCAGCAGCACCACAAGTCGCCAGCAGCACAGCCGGCGCTGCTGCCTCGCCACGTCTCGTCAGTATGGCAAGGGACTCGCCCAGGCCAGGTTCCACTGGGCTCGAAAGCGCTTCGGGACAAGGTCGAGCCAGTCCAGGACTCCGAAATGCAGCGCTTGGCTCTTCTCTGCGAGCCGTCAGTCCGGCCAACAACGTCAGCCGCGCTCCCTGGGCAGGAGTCAAATCCAGTCTCTCCCCGAATCCAACGCCTGCCAACAGTCGTGCCAACAGACTCTCGGACTTTCCAACTGCCGCCGAAGCCGCTCGAGCCAAGCAGGAGCAGGAAGAGAAAGCAGCTGCAGCCGCTGCTCGAGAGGCTGCCAGACAGCAGGCCGCCCTCCAGGCGCTCGACCGTTTCCGAGGCACTTCGCTTGGCTCAGGAAAGCATTGGGACGAGATGGAAGACGAAGACTGCGGTTTCTTCGGCGAGGTTGTCGAATTCGGTGATGGATCCCAGTACAAGATCCCAACATCCAACGACAGGGCACGCAACAATGGAGACGACGCACCGCCCGTTTCCAAGGAGGATCGCTTCAAGGACGTGAGCCATGATCGCAGCTGGCCACAGCGCAACGCAGCTCGGCCTGGCAATGCGACGCAGAACGAGCGCCCAAGACCCGCTGCCGCTTGGGGTCCCTTGAAGAATCGCGAGGCAGCTGTCTCAGCACCCACCGAAAGTGCACAGCCAACCAGTCGGCCCTCGCGCTCAGAACAGCGTGCTGAGAAGGTTATCATCCCCACAACAGGTGCTTCCGTCTCGCTTCGCTCGCCTACCGAGAGCCGTGAACCCATGGGTTTTTCTTATGGTCGAGATCGCAGGTCTGGACCAGGGCCAGCACCTTACAGCGGCGGTCGACAGGACCACAGCGGTCCACCACAACCAGCTCAGGCTGCTACCACACAGGCAGTGAGGGCTTGGGGTCCTTTGGCCCAACGACAAGCCTCTCTCAACCCTGGAGCTGCACCACCAGCTAGCAGCGCTCCTGCCAAGCCTGCTCAGCCCGTAGAAACAGCTGCCAGATCGGCTTCCACTGCAACTTCTGCTGCGCCAGAGCCGGCAAGACCCTCGTTGCCTCCTGCGCAGCCTCAAGAGCAGCCACAGCAACCGCGGCAGCAGAGCCGGGAGAGGCCCTCTGTTCCAGCCACAGGTCTTCCCAACACTAACGGTCGTCCCCTTCCATCACATTTGCTTGTTGCAGGCTCTGGTGACGGTCATCCACCAGCGCAGACGAGTCGACCTCTGCCGCCTCATCTTGCCCAAAATCTACGTCCAGCTGTGCCCGCGGCACCGGCCAACACTGTCGGTCGCAAGACATCGCATGCCATTGACGAGGCCCGACATCCCAATGTGCCTACTAGCCATGTTCCTCACAACGAGCACAGTGGGTCGCACTTGCAGCATGCCCAGGCAGCACCAGCTGCTCGTCAGGACCGAGTAGGTCGAGCACCCTGGGGCCCTAAAGCGATGGCTCAAGCTCGAGCTCCGGCACCTGCCGATGTCCCTACTACACAGTCTTCGGCGCCATCCGCCCAACCTGTATCTACTGAAACGGAAGAGGATGTACATGCAGCCATTGAACGTGCCCGCAAACGCCGAGAGGAGGAAGAGCGTCAAAGGCTGGCCGAGAAAGAGCGTGCTCGCCAGAAAGCACTCGCCATCGAAGAAAGAATTCGAGCAGCACAGCAGCAGAAAGAAGCTGAGGCACAGAGAGCCGCTCAGAGGCAAGCTTCGCAAGCTGCTGAGGCAGCCAACGCCACCCAAGCCAGTGTAGAGACCCCTGCCGCTAGGAAGCCAGGCCCCGCAGACAGTGCCGCTTCTTGGAGGACTTCACGACCACAGCACGTTCAGGCGAAGAGTGAAGAGGCAAAATTGCATCATCAACAGGCCTCAGCGCAGCCGCTTGACCAGGCCGAGGCCGCTGTCAATGCGGTCCCCGCTGAGCAGAATCGCAACGGTAGAGTTGTGTCATCTCAACGTGATCAGCGTATTGGCGACGAGCGACTGCCATCGCGGCGCAACCAGCGAGAGCAGCGAACGTCTCAACTTGGAGACGAAGGCAGGCAGAGAGGGTCCAAGGATCAAGACAAAGTCGGCCGGCCTCGAATCCCATATCTGGAAGTTCCAGCGCGGACTGAAGACGTCACAGCAAGGATCGGTCAAGTCGAAGCTCCCAAGACCATCTTGGCAAGACCTGCGAGGTCGCCTTCAACTACATCACCCGTTGAAGCCCGCCCTCGTGTATCACCAGCGGTCGCGCCTATCGACTCAAGGCCTCAGAAGAGTGCTTCGCTCTCAGCCCAACGGGCCGCGACCAAGGCTGGTACCAGTCCGAGGCCGAGAGAGTCTGCTCCTCAAGATAAGCCATCGCGCATGTCGGTCCCAGCGGCATCCCCCGTTGCAACTTCCGCGCCTGTATCAGCTCCAGTTCCCGTGCGCTTATACCCCCTCGTGGCTAAGGAAGCTAATGAGACGAGGCAGGAAGTCGTACAGGATGCGCCACCGGCTTGGAACCGCTATGTGGTCCAGATCAAGGAATCTCGCTCGCGACTCAAGCTCAATCGATACCAGCAGAAGCAGTTGTTCGCTAGGGTGGCGGCTATGAAGGCGCCAGGTCGAGCCGTTTACCCCCTTACCTGGGATCCTCCACTGGCTCATCTCTCGATGAAGACTCTGTCTCGTGACGATCAGCTTTTCCCGAAGCGCTTCCACCGAGGCGCTGTGATCACACCCGTCAAGCTTCCTTCGCGCGTACTGCCGCGAGGACTCGCTCCAGTCGTGCCGAACCTGGCGTCTCAGGGTGTCAGTGCTGGCAGCAGAAAGCAAGCTCGGTTCGACTTGACTTCGCACTGGTCCGATGGCCACAACACGATTGGCGGGCTCGGAAACGGAACTGCCTCGGACACACAACCGGCAGGCATGTCGCCAAGTGGTCAGATTCAGGTGCGCCTGCCTGGCCATCATGCGACAGTCGTCCAGCCTAGTGCTGGCGGCCATTTCCCCGACAACGTGCAAGCAGCTTTGATGACCGCAAACCGCAGATCTCAGCCTGTGGATCCCACGACGGACGCCATCATTGGTGAAGTGCTCTCAGCTGGTGCTTCCCAAACCACGTTTGAGGATCGCAGCCGAGCCTTTCCTGCCGGAGCGGCACCAGGCTCACTGGGCCCCCTCGATCACCCCCAGAATGGATACCCCACGGATACCTTTGGCTCTCATAATTCTGCTGGCGGCTATCGCTCTAAGGGTCGTCGGGGCTCCAACGCTGCAGTTGCATTCTACGATGATCGTCAGGTCAGCACTCCCTCGCCTGTCTCCTTCATGGTCAACAGCGAGATCAAGGCTGACACAGGAGGCGCACGCGGCAGTCTCTCGCCCTTTGGCATGCCTGGCTCTACCAGGGCGTCGCAGGCACAGACACCTGCTAGTGGAGGCTCAATGTTGCCCTCACCCAGCTTGTCGACTCAGGGAACGTGGGGACAGAGCTCGCTCACCTTCCCGGTACTTGAGACGCGCTCATCTAATTTGCCAGACCGAGACCACATCAAGAATGTATGGTCGCTGGCAGCCAATTCGCATTCGGGTGAGCTGCAAAACTCGCTCAAGGGCATTCAAGATGACTTTTTGCCTTCGACTATGCCGATGAGCGTGCATGACTTCCGTGCAGACGAAGGACGCTTGAGTGGTGCCCAGCAGGATGACGGCAGCGGATGGGGATCCTCCTCATTCAATCGTTTCCAGCAGTACAGTCGTGCTCAGCACGATATGAATTCGAGCTCGCGCGAACTTTCGCCGGTCACGAACCGATCCAATGGCTTCGATCCCACCTCACGCAGTCCCTCGCTGGGAATGGATGCTTCGGCAGCAGCAGCAGCTGCTGCACGAGCCCGTGAAGCAGGGCACCACCATCAGTCGGTGTCTCAGCAAGCCTCGAACGCTTACTCTTCCATCAACGGCGGCGCCTACGGCTCAACCATAGCTTCATCATACTCGCCGCGAGAGCGACAGCAAGACGCAGGCAGCGGCTTGAGTCAAGGTGCTTTCGGCGCTTATGGTGGCTACACTAGCAGTGCATCCAACAACATGAGCATGACGACCGACGCTCTCTATGGCGTGTCCAACTACGGAGGCGGATCGATGACCCCTAACCGTCAGACATACAGTCAGTATGGCGCGCACTCTTCGGCAGCAGCTGCTCGTTCTGCGCCCGGTTCGCCCTACAGTGGTCTCAGCGGCCGTCACTCAAGCACCTTGACCAGCGGAGCTTCGTGCTACTCTCTGTTCCCTACCAGCGGCGGTAGTGGAGGTGCTTCTGGAGGCAGCGGTGGAGCGCAAACTTCTCAAGCAGGCAACGGAATGGAAGGACTCGGCGTTCTCGACGACACTACCTTCGGTTCTGCTGCGGGGAGAAACCAATTCTACGGCGCTCGAGGCTATCAGCAACCTTCGTCCACCCAGCAAGGGCAGACGCAGGAATCTCAACAGCAACATTCCACGCAGAAATGGCCTTCTTCTCCAGCAAGCAGTGGCAGTGTCCTCAGGCCAGCAGCGAGTGTCTTCAACCCGCAGAAGTACACTCAGCAGCGTACCTCGGCTTCACAGTCGCAGTCGCAATCGCAGTCTCAGGCGCAGAGTCAGCAAGCTCGACTTGCCGCTCACCACCACCAGCAACACCACGCTCATCATGGTCAGCTGGAGAGCAGTAACGGTAGTGGAGGACCTATTGATCGCGAAACTAACGCGAGTGCCGCGGGTAACAATGGAGGCGGATACGGCTCGGGTGCTAGTGGATATGCTGGGTTTGGATCCAGTTCCGGTCTCTGGTGAACTGCCAACAGTTGGGCGATGAAGCGTTGAGAGTTCGCAGACGGTTGGTTGCTGTATGTATTCAAGGCTCTTTGCAGCTGCAGTGAAGCGCAAGTTGCGGTTCCTATGGAAAGTCAATTCTGATTCTGTTCCCTCAAATGCTCCAGTAAGATCATTTGAGATCTGTGAAAAGATTTGACTCTTAGCGACGATGATCGGGAGATATCAGTCTAAGTACGGTGTTCAAGCTGCTGAGCTAAACACTATACTATATTGACATCACGGGAACATGGTGAGGGCCTAGAGCACTCAGCTTGATATATATACATTTTCGTAGCACATGCCGATGCTGAGGGAAACGATCCGATGCGATGATGCAAGTTGACATAAGCCATTATGAAAGGGATCGGGGGAAACCGATCTGACCAAAAATGGAGCGAAGACCAATCCAATCAGAGATCGGGTACAACACAGTCCCACACATTGTCAGGCTGGATCATTAGGTATAGTGACTCCCACATTTGACATGTGCCACCCATATGTATATACAGTACATGTGTAAACTGTCCCAAGATTTTACATGTCACCATACATCACTCTAATGCTCAATAGCTATAAATTGTATTGCCACACTGTCTGATATCATCTGAAAGCCCTGCTTCTTCTCTCCAAGACTGTGTAATGGATATTGACATTGACTAAAAAAATTGTGCTATGAAGAAGAGCTGATTTTTTTTAATTGTGGGACAGTTTATGGAGCACTCCTCAAGAACACCTTAGTACTTTGTATTCCCTCCTTTGGCCTTCAGAACCACCTTGATGCAGTCTGGCATGCTCTCTATTAGTATCCTACATGTCTCTGGAGTGATTGCTTTCCATTCAGCTTCACATCTCTTGAGCAGTTCATCCCTGGACTTTGCAATTGTACTATACTGTGAAAGTCACAATTTGAGATGGTGCCAGAGGTGTTCAATTGGGTTCAAGTCTGGCAACTGCCCCAGCCATTGCATAACCTTAATGCTATTGCCTTCCAACCACATTTTTGTCTTCTTTGACATGTGTTTTGGGTCATTGTCTTGCTGAAACATGACATTGGTGTATGCATGCTGAAGCCACAAATCTGAGATTGTTTTCAAAAGCTTGTCATTCAGGATATCAATGTATTGGTCTGAATTCATTGATCCCAGCACCAAGCATATACCTCCAACCCCTTCCCATGTCATACAGCCCCAGATCATGATGGAGCCACTGCTGAACTTGACCATTGCCTGACAAGCTTGCTGTTGAAGCTGGCATTCTTAATCCAACAGAACTGCTTCCCATCCAGTCCAAAGAAGTTGATCTTTGTCTCATTGGACCATACCACATTCTTCCAATCCTCAACAGTCATGTCCTTGTGCTCATTCACAAATTTGAGATGTGCTTTGTAATGCCTCTTGAGTAGCTTTGGTTTATTCACTAACCTTTGTGCTTTGTAACATCAGTAATGAAGTGCTTTTCTTACTGTCATTGGGCATGCTTTGATGTGAAATGTCTCCTGCAGTGCATGACATGCTTTCCTGACCATGGAGGTTGAATTGAGCTTGAAATAGTGGTCCAGGAAGTGAACATGACAAGGCTGGAGTTTTCTTGGCTGGACCCCCTTTGACTTTGGAGCATTGGCAGAGGCACTTTTGCTGATGTGAGACACTGTAGACTTGCTCAGACCAAGTTTCTCAGCAACTGAACAGGTAGATTCTCCATTTTGGAGGTGAAAGAGTGCCAATCAGTGCTTCTTGGGAGGGGTTTTCATCATGATGCTATAGATATGATGGTGTCAGACTGGAAGTGCTGCCAGATTGCTCACAGTCATCTGATTGAGCTGAAACTTTCCACATCACTACTTTCAATGTGTATGAAGGTGCCCACCAAGTTACATTACAAGTTTCATTGTAGTCAAAAGCCCACAAGGTCAGGAATGGAGTGGTGTCACTATTTGGGAGCATGCTCCATAAGCTGTCCCACAATAAATTTTTTTTTGGCTCTTCTTCATAGCATAATTTTTTTAGTCAATGTCAATATCAACTCCACAGTCTTGGAGAGAAGAAGCAGTGCTTTCAGACAATATCAGACAGTGTGGCAATACAACTTATAGCTATTGAGCATTAGAGTGATGTATGGTGACATGTAAAATCTTGGGACAGTTTACATGCATGCTGTACATCTAGATGGTAAATGCCAGATGTGGGTGTATCCTCCTTCATGACGATGCCTGACAACGAGCGGGACCATGTTGTATCCGATCTCTGATGAGATCGGCTTCGCCCGATCCCTCCCGTATCGTCTCATGTTACCTCGCATCATCATGTTGGATTGCTAATTTTCAACAAAATTATGTTAGACTCGTCGAAATTCACAGTTTGAGCGGCGTGGAATCTCGGATCTCGGCGAAGGCTGTCGGTGTACTTTCTTGTAACCTTCCATCCTCCTCCTTTCTGTGTTCACCGACACCGGCAACGGGCAAAGGGCCAAGATGTCGGTCAATACATCCATCAAGGCCAATAGCGCTTCATCAAGTCCGGGAAATGGCGCATCCACATCAAAAGCAGTTCTCGAGACTCACACTTCCAACGCAGCTTCCTCCACGTCGGCAACGGAATCAAATGACAATCTTACAGCAAGTCCTGCAAAGACGCACACTCAATACAGTCAACTGCAAGTATCGCTGGAGCAATACACAGGAGAACACCAAATGCCATCGTTGATCTCCTTGATCGAATCGGAACTATCGGAACCATACATCGTTTATACCTATCGATACTTTGTCAACCAGTGGCCGGATCTATGCTTCTTAGCCATCAGCCCTTGCGCTTCCCGGGACGGGCATTCAAAGCTAAACACAAATTTTTCCGGTGGGGAAGCGATAGGATGTATAGTATGCAAATTAGATCGGCATCAGAAGGGGTCTCGCCTCGTGCGGGGCTACATCGCTATGATTTCCGTTGCTTCCCCGCATCGAGGTCGCGGAGTGGCCAAGAGGTTAGTCTGTAAAGCGATTCAGCAGATGGTTGCCAAAGGTGCACAGGAGATTGTACTCGAGACAGAGGCGGATAATAAGGCTGCTCTGGCACTGTATGAAAGTTTGGGCTTTGTAAGGGAGAAGAGATTACATAGGTTTTATTTGAATGGCAAAGACAGTTTCAGGTTGGTATTGCCTATACCGAAGAGTATGCAAAACCCAATTGTCGAGGGTTTGGATGGACCGCCACCGAATGGACTTGTTCAGCCTCCCTATCTTCCCTCTTACACAAGCTCACAAGCAGAATCACACGAGATCGCTCCAGCCGAACACTCGATGAGCAATGACTATTTTCTATGATACCCCCCCACAGGCAATGCAATGCTATACCACATTTCCGTCAGCCACTTGGTTTCAGGCTACTTCCAGTACCGGGTCTCTTGGTCTCGATTCTCAACCTTGGTTTTCCTACCCCACCACCACCACGGTTCAACCCGGTCAGTAAGTTTTGAGAAGCCTGTTTAACTTCAGCGCAGTTGGGACAGGTGCAACGAGCGTCTCTAGCAGTGGAAGGTCGACCGTTGGTGGAAGAGGTTGATGCTGAGCATGGTTTTTTGTCTCGTCGTTTGTACGAGCCGAGCATTGTGCGAGAGTTGATGGAAAGTGAGTGGGTAGCGGTAGTGGTGATGGTGGTGAGCGAAGTATTGCTTCGTTGCAAAGGAAGGTAGGGGAGTAAGGGAAGAGGTTTCATTCTGTCAACTCTTCTCAGCTGCTGGGAAGCGGGTGTGATGTGCGAAGAGACTTCTTCGCCGAGGAGTTTTTTGAGTTTGTTTAGTTTGCGCACTCCTTCGATGATTTGTGTGCTTGTTGGGGATGTGTTGAGAGGGTCAGCTTTGCGTGGTGAGGGCGGAGATGGAGCAGTGGGTTTTTGTCGACAGATGGATGGTGAAGTGGTGCTTGTGGTAGAGGCGAATCTGACAGTGTGACTACCAGAGCTCCCGCTGTCGGCTCTACGAACAACGCCAACTGCCACCGGTGGTCCCGCTGAGGTGGGCCCAGTACTGAGACGGGGGAGGTTTCCCGCAGAAGCTGACCTCGATAGTCCGCGATGTGAACCGAGCGAGGGCCGAAGGAGTGGGCTCCATTCGTGCGTCGGCGATGGAGCCGTCGCTGAGATGCGTAGCGACGGTGATGGTCTGAGGGCGACAGGTGAGTGGGACAGTGAACTCGAACCGCATCTGTCTCTGTCGGCTGTAGCCGGTCTCATCTCCGACCGCGGGACCTGTCCAAGTTCGTTACGAGGCAGAGAGTCAACCAAGCTTCGAGAGGGTGATGTCTCGCGAGTTGGGCGACCGCAACAGTCGTTATTGTCGCACGAGGAGACAGAAGTGGCTAAGCTAAGAGGAGAAGATCGAGGAGTCAAATTGCAGCCGTAGTCTGTGCCTCCGCTTGTAGACGGGGTGTCACTCTCGTCGACTGCGTCAAAGCGAATGCTTGGCAACTCGACTTCCGCTTGAGACGGTGTTTCATGAGCTTGTGATTTCCCTACAGACTCGGGACTTTGGGTGGGCCTGGATGAGGTTTTCGAAGTGCTTTTCGAACCTTCATCCGTGCGGATCGGGCATGCAGAGCCGTAATCGTCGAGTCGGCCCAGAATGCTTCCGTATAAGCTTGCAGACTCGATGCACACATCCTCTCGACAAGGGCTGTACGGGAAAGGCGCAGCATCATCCAGCACAATTTTTCCGTCTTGCTTAGCAAAGCAGCGGTAGAAGAATGGAGAAGGCAAGCCATTCTCAAAGTCGAAAGGAGATGAAGGCATCGACAGTCTTCTCGGGCGGGCCGAAGGTGGCGGCGAGCTAGTTTGGGCGTTACCAGACTTCATTGCGTCCGGTGAGGAAGGCAAGGCCTGCTCGAAAAATGCGAGCTCTTTGGGATCGATATTGATTGTCAATGACCTTCGTACGGCCTTGACAGATTTGCTTGAAATCGGCATCTGGAGGTCAGCAAGATACTCGTCAATTTTGGTGATGATGCACTCTGCGCTTGTGCCGATAGAGCGTCGAGTGTGCGAGATGTTGTGGTCGTAAGCTGAGGTAGAAGTGAGGCCGGTCGAAGGCGTCGTCGAAGTGCTTGTTGACCAGACGAGAGATGTGTTCGGGTAGGATGTGGTAGGTGAATCGAGTGTGTCAACTGATCCGCCTTGGTTTTTTAGACTGCGGCGACTCGTGTCGATGACGAGCGAGACGCTGTTCGATCTGTCGCCCATGCTGATTTCTATCCGGGATGTGATTCGGAGAAGAAGAAATTTGGCAGTCGGCGACGATGTTGGTCGTCCAGAAGGAAGGGGAAGGAAAGGGAAGGGAGTTATCCCTAAAAGCGAACAGACACATTCGTCAAGGAAGTCCGGGCAACGTGATCAGAGCTGCGGTGGGATTGGTTGTTGGTGGGTTAGGTTACCTCTTGCTCGACAAGACGGCAAGAGGCCTGGCAGAGGGTGACGACATGAGAGAGACGACATGAGAGAGACAACATGAGAGAGACGATCCGGTACATCCTGAGACAGGCTTCCGTCGTACAACATGTTGACCTTCATGTCGCTCGAGCGGAACTCGAGGTCTCGAGCCTCTCCCGCGTGGCATCCTGGGCGGGAACAAGGCGTGGCCAATCTCGTTGGTTAGCTACACGGATATCTTTCACGGTGAATGAAGCTCTCATGCCTCTTTTACGCTCAAGCCGCGCTGAGGCAGGTTACATCTCAACGCCCTTGCCACACCGTAACTAACTGCTGTCAGGAGGCAGTCAGACAAGTGTCTGAGGCCTGAATCGACACATTGTCGGTAGCAGGCAGGTGTGATGCACGCACCTCTTGCATCGATTCCGTTCAAATTAAGTGCACATGGTGGGCTCGTGGCGCTCGAGGGCATTGTATTCTCAACCGTCTGTCACTGTTCCGGCATGCTCATCCAGATTGCAGCTTCGGCTCGGGGTTGGAACAATGGAACAGCTATGCACTGATGCACAATAGCCGGTCGTCCTCAACTCGTCGGAATTGCAAAAGCAGTCAAGGATGCGCGGAATGTAACGACTACCAAGAAGATCAGAGGTAGCGAATGGCTTCAGAATGGGTTTCAAGCTTTCTCACAAAGGTCTAGAGACATTTGAGTTTGGTAGTGATGTGGGCTGTATTGCGAACAGGCTGAGTGAGTATGTTGCTAGTTATATGATACGGCTACCTACGAAATCGGCGCTCGGACTGACTTTGTTGCCGTCTTCTCATCACTTAGAATCAATCCCCCATCCAGCGCCCTTCTTATCCCACAGCTCGCTCAGAATTGCGAGCCGCTCTGGCAGCTTGGCCAGCTTCTCCGTCGACACATTCGCGACGGAAAGCCTCAACCTCGCTCCCGACGACTGGCCCTTTGCCTCTGCATGGGTGGGCGTAAAGAATGCTCCCGGCAACACAACTACACCCACCAACTCTGCCAACGCTTGAGCCACCTTGACCGAGGGCACCGAGGTGAAGGGATGGCGCAAAAACGCATAGTATGCGCCTGCAGACTCTACGTGCCACCCCCAATCTTTCGGCGACTTGGCCGTGCTCGCATCGGTAGAAGCTTGCGCTAGCGCACTTGCATCAGAGTTCAAGAAAGCCGGTACGGGCCGCGAAAGTGCTTCTACAAAGGCACGTCTGCGTTGACGAAGCTGGTTTGCCACTTGACTACGCCATTCGAGTTGCTGTGGATCTTCGATGGCCCATGCGACTGCACGTTGTGTGTCTGTGCGAGGTGGGGCTACTTGAAAGTTGTCCAATGCTTTTGCGGTCGGACCAAAGATGAGTTTGTCTGCTCCACTATCGTCCTTGATCTTCTGCTGGAGGAAGGCAGGGTGCGCGACAAAGCCGCCCAGACGATGTCCAGGGATAGCGTAGCTTTTGGAGAAGCTGAAAAGCTGAATGACAGTGTCTCGCCAATCCCAGGCTGCATCAGCCCATGTCTTTTCTGCTAAGCCTGCTGGTGCATCTTCGAATAGATGGTGTGGGCGAGCGTAGCTGTATGGAAGTGAGTGAGTCGCAGAGGAAGATGCGGGCTGCGATGCATCGTCGAGGTCGCTTCCTGTCAACAGAAAGTCGCGGTAGGTTTCGTCGAGAATGAGAGCTACTCCGTACATGTTGCAGAGAGCAGCAATATCACGAATGAGATCGGGAGGATAGACAGCACCTGTAGGGTTGTTTGGCGTGACGAGCACTACACCCTTGATTGTCTTGGTCGATGCGCGACTGTTGCTCGATAGAAGAGCGCGAATCATTTCAACGTCGGGCAAGTAGTCTGGCGGCGTTGTGTGCACCGAGGCGATCTGAATACCAAAGGCAGTCATGGTCATTTGGTGGTTGAAGTACCATGGATCGCAGACGACCAATGCATCGCCAGGTCCGGCAAGTGAGGTAGCAACAGCAGTAAAGGCAAGGTTACAGCCTGCAGTGATGGCGACGTTCTCTTCTGTGACTGCATTTCTTTCTCCCTTTCCCGGTGTGCGGTAGACTCTGTTGATATCTCTTGCGACGGCTTGGCGAAGCTTTGGGTCGCCAAAGACTGGACCATAACCGTGCGTATGTCCTGCTGGGCAAGCTGCGTTCTCCGGCTGTGCTTCAAACTGGATACGATCAAGCAGTGCCTGGGTTGGAGGGTGACCAGGTACACCCTGGGCGAGGTTGAGCAGTGGCAAGTGAGGCAACACGTCAGCTCCTGCGAAAGGCGAAGAGCTAGAAGGATAAGACTGTGCCCACCTTGCGCCGATCTGAACTGGTGGGTCGATGGTCTTGACGTCAAGATTGGGGTTCAAGTCGTAAGCGGGCGCCGAGGATGGAGGCATTGTGAAAGTGTCTCAGGGAGATCCGCATACGACTTTACGCTCAGTCTCAGAGAGCAGAAGTGTGTGGTGGTAAAGAATGTGGTGGTAAAGAGTGTGGTGGTAAAGAGTGTGGTGGTAATGAGCACCGAGTCTGTGCGAATGGGCCAGGTAGGACTGACACTGGTGACTGTGCAAAATGGACCGAAGTCGCTTCAACATCAGAATCAAAAGTCACTGTAGCAACACACACCACCCATACAAACTCACATGCTATCTTTTCTCAACATTGTCAACATCTGTTGGTCACAATCTGCGCGGGTGGGTCGAGACTGGGTATTGATCGGTAAGTTGACATCTGTACAGCCGAGCGATGAGCTATGCTACCTCCCAAACGGACCTGAGATCGGGCCTGCCAACAGCTTCGATAAGGTAGACAGCATCACTCTTTTCGTTCAAGTCGAGCATGCAAACCGTCATGCCAAAGCGTTTACATCGTGGCAGTGCCGTGAGTGTATTTGCGACCAAGCTGATGAGCTGCACGTCGTTCGGAGAAGCGCCATGTCCCTCCGCCAGCGTGTGCAGAATCTCTGCGACCAACTCTGGCTCGAGCATAGCATCGATCATGCTAGGTATTGTATCGGCATCGATAGAGGACAGCAGCTGCAGACGGTCTGGTTTGCTCTTCCACCTTCGATTGAACTCGATCGCAGTCAACTTGCCTTGTGGGACTCGAGCTGGTAGCCTGGCCTGTGGTACGGGAGCTACGTCGCTGCTCAGTGAAGTGGAGCCGCCAAAGTTGAGAGCTGATGCTGTCTTGTTGGCTGCGGAGCTAAAGCTGGAGCTCCAAGATGTAGGTTGTGCCTCCATCTCAGCCTTTGTAGAGCCCTGCGTCGTTGCAAGGGAGGTTGAAGGGGCTGTGCTGGAGCTTGAGTCGACTTGCTGAGATGTAGGCTTGGCTGTAGTCTTGCGTGTCGTCACCTCTCGCAGAAAGCGGCCCGTCTCGCCTGGAAACTTGGCAGGAGGAGCGCTCGTGGAGTTGTTCGAAATTGGCAAGCTCCTTTTATCCTCCTTATCGTTGGACATGCCGACCTGCTGTAGGAACTTTCTCGCTGCTTCGACTGAGCTGCTTGAGTCCCTTGCCTCGGCTTCTGTTGGTTGGGTTGTGGTATCGTGGGCCGTCTTTGATCCGTGTGAGGGCAGAAGCTTTCGCAGATCCATCGGCTCGGCTCTTCGAGGTGTCGCAGCCTTGAGCGCTTCATGAGCCTTTGCGAGTCCTGTCTTGGCCTCAGCGTTGCTGGGGTCCAATCGAAGGGCTTGTTCGTAGTCTTTGACAGCATCCTCCAGCTTGTCGGCTCCAACTCTAGCAGTAGCTCTGCGATAGAGAGCCTTGACATTGTTTGGCGAGAGATAGAGTGCGATGGAGCAGTCACGTTCAGCATCGACAAACTTGCCGAGCTTGATGTAGGCCATAGCACGGTTCAGCGGGTATGTCGGATCGGTGGGGTCAGCAATGTGTGCCGCCGAGTAGAGCCCGACAGCTTCGGCCCATTGCTGCTTTCGGAAGGCACCATTGCCTTTCTCTCTGGCAGCTTGTGCTTTCGCTTTGTCTGGTGGATGCTGCAGCTCCATCTCCGCTGAGGTTTAGGATGCAAGTAAGAATGGTGAGAAGGATGCAAGTAAGGATGATGAGAAGGATGCAAGTAAGGATGATGAGAAGGATGCTGTTCTCCTCAAAATCCTACAAGCAACAGGGTGTTGGTGTGCCTCCACTTTTCCGACTCCCGAAGCGTTTCAACCTTCCTCTTCTATCACGCCTAGGCATTATCTCGTGCGAATACAGATATCGTGCGAATACAGATATCGTGCGAATACATATATCGTGCGAATACATGCCGCACGAGAGCGTTGGATTGCTATCATTGGTTTCGCTAGTACTTAAACTAGCTTCCCTCTAGATCCTCCTTACCGCAATCCACTTGGTTACTCCATTACAACATAGCCTGCGCATGTAACATCTTCTCTCTCCGCCCGCGAGTAGGCGGCATTGGAATGCTTGAGCCGCCATGCTTCAGGCACATTGATGCTTCTTCACTTGCATTGTGGTGGAGCGTGGACGTGCATTGGCTGCCGGATCAGCACCACGCCATGCCCTCCAAAGCATTAGCCCGATCGAGCATATCCTGCTCGAAGCTTGACCTGCCAGACTAGGAAAGAAAGCAGCCGAACGACGCCTTCAGATCCAGAATTATAAGGCGCCTTTTGACGTCTGGCTTGGAGCAACACCTTGCTCGACACCGTCCTTCTGACAGGCAAACAGCTCTACGAGGGACAAGTATGGATTGCCTGGGCAAGGAAGGAGTTGCTTGGCATGCCTTTGATTGTTACCCAAGATGGAAAGAGAACAGTGCAGCGCGTCCCGAAGCCGGACGAGCCCCTGAGCAAGCTGCATGAAGCTCTCTAAAGGCGAATAGGGCAAGGTCCAAGCTTGGTCACCGGCAGTCGCAAACAGTGTCAGCCATGTCCACCTTCTGAGACCAACACAAGCCGGCACAAGCTGTTCAGAACGATGCTAGAAGGTCTTGTGTGCAGCAAGGCGCCTCATGCTCCACATTCAAGATTCTTATATATGAAAGCCACCTAGCCCACTTGCTCCATCCCTCTTGACTCATTATACCTCCTATAAGCCATCACTCGTCCCATCGTTTTGCCTTTGTTACGAACTCTCACGACACCTAACGACAGCCTGAAAACACATTCGGCTTCTTCCCTTGGACAGCAAATCCACCCGCTCGATCCCCTCGGTTGGACAAGCAATCAACTATCTTGATCATGGGTTCTGTCTTCTCCTGCCTCGCATCCACTTTCATGTACCTCGGCGAGTTCGTCGAGAACGCGTTTCTGGCAGTCGGCGAGATCGGAGCCGTACTAAGTCGTGCTCTCATTGGCATCGTTGTCAGTCTGTGTGACTTTCTGGCAGCCATCAGCTGCTGTTACCGAGTGCCATGGTCTCAACGACCCGACCGGTCCTTTTTCACTTACTCTTCTCTCACTTACTCTTCTCAGGACAACACGCAGCTGGCTACCACGAATAGCTCGACACTGGCAAGCGTTGGTGGCAAGCAAGTGCTTTCGAGCCTCTTGACTAAACAAGGCAGAGAACAGCGCGAGGAGATCAAGGCTGCTCGCAAGAAAGCTGCCAAGGTTAAGGCTGAGAAGGATGCTGTAGTGAGCATTACCAAGAAGGAGGAAGAGGCAAAGAAGAAGACGGCTGCCGAAGAAGAGAACAAGTCGGCCAAGGAAGAGAAGGCTAAGGAAGAGAAGGCTGCTGCTGCTGTCAAGGCCTAGATCGCTGATTGCAGTCTATTCCTGACCGACCGCCTTGCTTGAACAAGAGAAGCCAAAATCTGTACCTATACCCGATTCAACATGGAACAATTACCTTCTGCATTCGAAAACCTGGTCGAAGCATCACTGAGATGATGTTAGTCTGAGCGAAGCCGCGGCCCTTCTGCGGGGCGACCAGTATTGACCGATAAGAGATGCATAGGTCTTGCGTTGGACCTAGAGAGGTGCTTAACAGTGGTTCATGGATCCTGTCTTGGCCTGCCCCACCGACACGCGTGTAAGCATGTATGATACAGAGGTATGCTACGGCTGGAAGGTAAGGGGGAAACTAACCCCTCCTCCTCGGGTATCGGATAGCCGAAATGCCGATGCCTATCGCGATAATCGGGTCTGATGCAAACCGATACGCCTTACAAACGAGGCTCGAAAATTTTGGCTTTCTATTATTATGTTAGATTTTCTATGACGAGTACAACTTAAAAAAATTCTCAAAGCATAACCGCGACTTTGGCTGCTGTTGCTGACGGAGCTGCACCCTCGCATCAACTTTGCTCACACATACACTCGAGAGAGAGCAAGAGAAAGAGAAAGAGTCGTTTCTTCCTTCCCACCACCCTGGTCGCCTACACCTTCTTCCCAACCACACATTTGCCAGCGTTGATCTGGAGTTGACGATAAGCTTCAAGGCAACATCATGTTCCGTAGACCCCTCACCATTGCACCCCGCGCCGGCGTGCGACTCGCCTCAACTTCCTCCTCCTCCTCCTCCAACCCTGGCCAGCGACGTCTCTTCTCAAGCAGAAATGTGCTCGCCGCCGCCGCACTCGCCGGTGGTGCCGTCGCTACCTACACCCTCACACCCAGCATCTACGCCGATGCTCCCGACACTGTTCCCGGTGACACCCGCCCACACCCTCTCTGGTCGCCTCCCACTCGAGCTCAGATGCTCGAGGCATTGAGGCAATCTTCCGCCAAGTCTCTACGACCTATCGCTTCCCGTGCCAAGTCGGACGACTCGAGCCTCTTGCCTCTTGCCAAGGACGCCAAGTCTAGCAGCCCTAGCCCTGCTGCTTCTGAACAGTCGACAGGTGCATCTCGAAGCGGCGACCAAGATGGTCAAGGTTTCGACATTCTTGTTGTCGGAGGTGGTGCCACTGGTGCTGGTGTCGCTCTTGATGCTGCCACCCGTGGACTTAGTGTGGCCATGGTTGAGCGAGATGATTTCGGTGCCGGAACCTCATCCAAGTCGACCAAGCTCGTTCACGGTGGTGTCCGTTACCTCCAGAAGGCTGTCTTCGAGCTCGACTACGAGCAGTACAAGATGGTGCGAGAGGCTCTCCACGAGCGAAAGACTTTCCTCAAGATTGCTCCTTACCTTTCCGACCACCTTCCCATCATGCTTCCCGTCTACAAGTACTGGCAGATCCCTTACTACTGGGCCGGTACCAAGATGTACGACATTCTCGCCGGCTCTGAGAACATGGAGAGCTCTTACGTTCTCGGCAAGGGTAAGGCGCTCGAGGCTTTCCCCATGCTCAAGTCAAGCGGTCTTGCTGGTGCCGTTGTCTACTACGACGGTCAGCACAACGATACACGAATGAACGTGGCTCTTGCCATGACTGCCGTTCACCACGGCGCCGTTGTTGCCAACCACACGGAAGTTGTCAAGATCCACAAGAAGCCTGTTGAGGGCAAGCCTGACCAGATTTGCGGTGCTCGTGTTCGCGACCTCCTCAGCGGTGACGAGTGGGATGTCAAGTGCAAGTGTCTCATCAATGCTACCGGTCCCTTCTCTGACACTCTGCGCAAGCTCGACGCTCCTACCGCTCAGGAGATCGTCGCTGCTTCGTCCGGTGTGCACATCACTCTTCCCGGTTACTTCTCGCCCCGCGACATGGGTTTGATCGACCCTCAGACCTCGGATGGTCGTGTTATCTTTTTCTTGCCGTGGCAGGGTAACACGATTGCCGGTACTACCGACACTGCTGCTCCCGTCGAGGCTCACCCTCGTCCCAAGGAGGAAGAGATCCAGTGGATTCTCGACGAGGTGCGCAACTACCTTAGCCCGGATATCAAGGTTCGACGTGGTGACGTTCTGAGTGCTTGGTCGGGTCTGCGACCTCTGGTCAAAGACCCTGCTGCTACCGACACACAGTCATTGGTGCGAAACCACATGATCAACGTCTCCGAGTCCGGACTGCTCACCATTGCCGGTGGTAAGTGGACTACGTACCGTGAGATGGCGGAACAGACAGTTGACCGTGCCATCGACGAGTTCAAGCTGAAGCCTCAGCGTGCATGTGTTACCAAGAACACAAGACTGTTGGGAAGCCACGGTTGGACCAAGACGATGTACGTCAAGTTGCTGCAGCGATTCGGACTTGAGACCGATGTCGCACGTCACTTGTCGCAGACTTACGGCGACCGCGCATGGAGTGTCTGCTCGATCGCCGAGCCGACTGGTCAGAGGTGGCCAGTGCACGGCAAGCGTATCGACCAGCTTTACCCTTACATTGAGGCCGAGATTCGATACGCATGCCGAAGCGAGTACGCCGCTACTGCACAGGATTTCATTGCTCGTCGAACACGATTCTCCTTCCTCAACGCCGAGGCTACGATTGATGCTTTACCGCGAGTGATTGATGTGATGGCCGAGGAGCTTGGATGGGACGAGAAGCGCAAGAAGCAGGAGTGGGCTGAGAGCGTTGTCTTCATGGCCAGCATGGGTCTTCAGCCCGCCCGTGTGGAGCAGCTCAAACAGACTTCACTTGACGAGATGCGAAAGAACCGCGAGGGACAGCAGAAGGCACACAAGATCTCTTCGCTCGGATCGGCTTCGCTGGATGAGAAGGATGCGCTTGCTATTACCGGCCGTGCCTCGTTCAGCTCAGAGGAGATGGAGGAGTTGCGTGGCAAGTTCAAGCTGCTCGATGTCAACGACGATGGCAAGCTCGACTCGAAGGATCTCAAGAAGGTGTTGCAACGTATTGGATACTCGGACGTCGATGACTCGACATTGCGCGGTATCGTGAACGAGGTCGACTTCACCAAGACGGGTGCACTTCATTTTGAAGACTTCTTGGACGTCTTTGCTGCTCTCAAGGATGCTCGTTTGGAGAACGCTTTCACTCACATTCTGAGCGAGATGGACTCTCAAGGTCTTCAGCCTCGCTCACATGACCCTGTTGGACCTGCTGCTAAGGAGAGGTCGGAGCGAAGGGATGCTAGCCGTACCATTCCTGTTGAGAAGAGCGGTGGTGGATGGTAATCCGCCACAGCAAACAAACAAGAAGGTTTTTTTTTTTAGAATAAACTCTCCGGACAAGCACAGAAACGTAAGCTTCTCGATCGCCTCGCTCATGAAAGGATGGGAAATGCATCATCGAAAGAACATGAGGCAATGTGTGTATGATTGCGTGATGTTGAGCAACATGAGAAAGCTGAACGAGAACACGTGAGAGCGAGTGAGCAAGAAAGGGGCGAGTGGAAGAGGCTACACTTGTCGGCCGTATGAGGACTGTGTGCAGTCTGCCCCTTTCCTTGGCGCTGAGAAAGGGAAATTGCAAGCGCACGGGCCATGGTTGTGCAGCTTTGCAATTCGAGGGAATGGCAGCTGTGTGACGCTTGAACCAGGAAAAAATGAATTTGTGCGTGTCAGTGATTCAGTTCAGCAGAAAGCCTAAGCTCAGCTTCTTGCTCAGCTTCTGCTCCGCTCCACTTTTCTCCGTCTCACCTTCTCTCCGTCTCACCTTCTCTTCGTCTCACCTTCTCTCCGTCTCCACAGCTTTGCCAATACACTTTGTTCGACAAGCTTGCAGCACAACAGCTCTCGAATTAGTCGCCCATCATGTCGGACCCTCGAATGAGCGACAAGGAGCTTTTCGAGATCAACGCTCAAGCTGCCGCTCAAAACTACAGCGTCGACCCTCGTCTTGACTACAGGACTGTTTCTGCCATCAACGGCCCTCTAGTCGTTCTCGAGAATGTCAAGTTCCCATCTTACAACGAGATCGTCTCGCTCACTTTGCCCGATGGTTCGCGTCGTGGAGGTCAAGTGCTCGAAGTCTCGGGTAACAAGGCTATCGTTCAAGTGTTCGAGGGTACTTCTGGTATCGATGTTCGCGACACCCATATCGAGTTCACCGGTTCGTCGATGAAGTTGCCCGTCTCTGAAGATATGCAGGGTCGTATCTTTAACGGTTCCGGTGCTCCTATCGACAAGGGACCTCGTGTGTTTGCCGAAGACTACTTGGACATTAACGGTTCCCCCATCAATCCTTTCTCTCGTGTCTATCCCGAAGAGATGATTCAGACCGGTATCTCGACTATTGACACAATGAACTCGATCGCTCGTGGTCAAAAGATCCCCATCTTCTCTGCAGCTGGTTTGCCTCACAATGAGATCGCCGCTCAGATTTGTCGACAGGCTGGTTTGGTCAAACGCCCCGGTGCAGGCAAGGGTGTTCACGATGACCACGAGGACAACTTCTCCATCGTTTTCGGTGCTATGGGTGTCAACATGGAGACTGCCCGTTTCTTCAAGCAAGATTTCGAAGAAAATGGATCGCTCGACCGTGTTACTCTCTTCCTCAACTTGGCCAACGATCCTACCATCGAGCGTATCATTACTCCTCGTCTTGCGCTTACTACTGCCGAATACTATGCCTATCAGTTGGAGAAGCACGTTTTGGTCGTCTTGACCGATATGACCTCGTACGCCGATGCGTTGCGTGAAGTCTCCGCTGCTCGAGAAGAGGTGCCTGGTCGACGAGGTTACCCCGGTTACATGTACACCGATTTGTCGACGATCTACGAACGTGCAGGTCGTGTTGCTGGTCGCAACGGATCCATCACGCAAATCCCAATCTTGACAATGCCTAACGAAGACATGACCCATCCCATCCCCGATTTGACCGGTTACATTACCGAAGGTCAGATCTACGTCGATCGTCAACTTCACAACCGTCAGATTTACCCTCCTATTAACGTGCTCCCTTCGCTTTCGCGTCTTATGAAATCGGCTATTGGTGCAAAGCATACTCGAGCTGATCACTCGGATGTTTCGAACCAGATGTATGCTGCTTATGCCACCGGTCGTGATGCAGCCGCAATGAAGGCGGTTGTGGGTGAAGAGGCATTGTCGGCGGAAGATAAATTGGCGATTGAGTTTATGGAAAACTTCGAACAGAAATTTATCAAGCAGGGTGCTTATGAGAACAGGCATATCTTTGACTCCTTGAACATTGGCTGGGACTTGTTGAGGATTTTCCCTAAGGAACAGCTCAACAGAATTTCGCCAAAGATCATCAAGGAGTACTACTCCAGGCGTGCTAAGAAGGATGGTGGGAACGACGGCGAGGGGGAGCAGAAGCAAGGTGCGAACAAAGATACCAGGGATAATAGCGACAAGAAGGATGATAGTAAGAAAAAGCATGATAAGCTTGTTGATGATCAGTAGATCCGCTTAGACTTGTCAGGATTCGCAACTCATTCTCGCCTTCGCCAGGCATCGCTGATACCATTCCACTTGCTTGTCTCTCTTTCACACTTGATCTTTTCCGTTGCTGCTTTCTCTTTTCCATTTCAATCACAAGACGGCTTTTCTCTAACACTCATCCAGTCTGACCTTTGCTCAACGTTGTGCTTTCGAACAATGCATTACATGAACCATGAGATACGATAAAAAGTACAAGAACCAAAAGTAAATGCTAAAATGCTCAACGCCTCTCCTAAAGCTGGTTTCGCTTCTTAGCAGTATTCATATAGGGCCTCAAGACCCACTCTGTATCCGCCTCTCCCTGATCAATGGTTCCCTGTTTAATCTCGTACACCCTTGCTTCGAATCTCGGACCAACTTCGGCTAACTGAACTTCTCTATGGCTTGTCTTAATAAACACATGATGACGAAAAGAGATAAAGTCGTTTTGGTTAACAAAACTCATCACCCTCTTGCTCTCGTCCTTTGGCACTGGAAAGAGGAACTTGAGTGCTGACATGACCCTACTTCCCAATCTGGAATTCAAGTTTTCAAAGATAAGATGTGGATACTGTTCCGAAACGGTTGAGTTTGCGTGTGCTGAAACTTCGTGGCGGAGTACTACGTTGTGTAGAGTAAAGAGAAGCGTAGGACCGTGTGGGAAGTGCGAGACAACCATGGCATCGGGTACACCTCTATGTTCATGCAACACTACCATATCTGTTATTCCATTACTTCTTGCTGCTGCTGCCAAATCCGAAACTGTGTATCCTCCTCGATTCAACCTTGTCGAGTTGGGGAACAACAATCTAACCTCCTTCGCAAACTGGGTGAGTCGAGAACTGGGGTCCCGAGATGTAGTCACCAACACACGAGGATCATACGTCCCCGCTCTAGAGTACTCATCATCGATGCTGGATCCAGGCGCATCTTGTGCTGCGTCCAGGCTGAGATCGCGTCCAAGAGATTCGGCTTCTTTGGTTCCAGCGAGCGAGGGAGGCAAAGGTTTGCCGGACGCGAGGGCTTCACGAATTTGTTGTTTGCGTTCGTAGATTTGTTTTTCTTTCGATTCGAGTGCTTTTTTGTAAATGTACTCGCGACGTTCGCGGGTTTGACGTCGGAGCATCGTGGCAAAGTGGCGCAGAGAGAGGGTTGCGAATGAGTATACGAGAGGAGTGGGTGCTAGGGCTACTAGTCTTTGATTCGATCGCTGCGATGCTGCGATGCTGCGTTGAATGTTATAGCTCAAAGCCCTGATAGTCGATAGCTGGAGAAGGTAGCAAACGTTCGAGACGATTTGTGAAGAGTCTCCTGCGAGATGTGGTGGTACTTGGTGAAGGTATCAAGTGACGAGAGGGGTGAGCACAAGTAGCACAAGTCTCGCAATTGCAAGGCGACGCTCAGCTTGGAAATTTTGCTGCGAGACGACGCTCTCTGTTGAAATTTCAGATCCGAAATAACGAGATCCGAAATCCGAAATCCGAAATTTCGTGGCTAAGGAGAAAAGTGTTATGAGAAATCATTACAAATCCTGCCTGGTTGTGAGTCGGAGCCGAAAGTCAAGTTCTCTCAAATCTTGGCAACTGCTGATAGCGCCAACTCCTCATCTTGCTCCCATACCATCTCCACACCCGAGCCTCTTTCCTCCATCATCATCCCCTGCACACACTCACAGAAGCGTCGCCCGTCTTCTGTCGAACTTCGGCTCTTCTTTCCGATCTCACGAGGAAGCGCACGCACACCACCTCATACCTTCAACCTCATACCTTCAACCTCAACAACCTTAACCCCATCCTCTAGCCACACACAATGTTTGCATCAGCAATCCGTTTCGGCTCGCGTACAACCTACCGCGGATCGCGTGGTTCCGGAGCAGGAGCTTCCACCCGCACTTCCGCCTTCTCCTCACCAAAATCCCGCAACGCTGCCTCAACATCCCTCCAAACTGGAACGATCTTCAAAAGATCCCAACGAGGACTTTACGACGGTCGCATGATCCAATCCGGTCACAACGTCCCCAATTCTCGTCAAAAGACCGCTAGAACTTGGCAACCCAACATTCAACGCAAACGACTTTGGTCAGAGACGTTAAAGACTTTTGTTAAAGCAAGGGTATCGACAAGTGCGTTGAGAACTATGGATAAGTTGGGCGGTTTGGATAAATATTTGGCCAATACAAGGGGTGAGAAGCTGGGTGAGTGGGGGAGGGGCTTGAGAGATGTATTGGCGCTAAAGTTGCGCGAGAATAGCCTGCAGCAGAATTCGAGAAGGAATGATGGTCAGGTGTGAGCGAGCGTTGACTCATCACGTTGAGCCTGGTTGTCGGCAAATGTACAATACAATACTCTCTCGCACTCAAACGCTCTCTCATTTTGAAGAAACTGATCTCAGAATGTGCACTTGGTGCAAACATGACCATCACAGACCTTGTAATCAATCAACTTTGTGGCAGTAAGAAGATCCAATTGAAGGCCTACAAATAGGGGTATATCTCGTGCAAAATCAGCCATGTCTCGATCCGCCACCAGAGACGGTTGTAGGTGTAGGCGTCGACGTTGCAGTTGGCCGATGCAAACCTGCTTCACTTGCGCTTGATGTCGCCGCACTCGCTTCCAATCGCCGCAAGTACTCTTCCATCTTGTTTGCACCCGATCGTGTCTTGTGTAGTGTACCACTGATCGATCTCGGTGCTGAAAGCGACGAAGAGGATGCTGATGTGGGTACGGTCTCGCATTTCGACATGCAGTATCCATCCGTGAAAGCATGCAGGACGTCTGTTGAGGGTGGATGTCGAGTGATGCGTGTACCGCAGTGTGAGGAGCGAGAAACTGATGTTTCACTTGACCAGTCGTCTTGTGTTGAAGTTGTCAATGAGGAGACCAAAGAGGCATGCGATGATGCGGCGGATGAGGGCCGCGCGATGATCGGTCCGTTTATCTCGTCCTCCGCGTCATCAGAACTGTTGATAGTGAAGGCGAAATCGGTTGCAGATGCAGATCCATCGGCACCAGGCGAGACACTCTGCATCGATCCGAGTCGAGTCGCAGTATTGGTGAAACGTTGATCTTGACGATGACGTGGGCTTTTGTGCGAACCCAGGATGGATAGTCGGCTGAGCTCTGACTTGAAAGACCCAGTGGAGGACGAAAGGGAGGGAGTGGGAGAGCCACCTCTCCTTTTCTGCTGCGCGCTTGCTTGTTGCTTTGAACCTGCCAAATCCTGGCAAGAGCCGAGGTGCGGGATGCTTGTAATATCGCTTCTGAAACGCGAAGATTGCTTCTCGCCCATCCAGGTCTTGGAAGTGGGTGCAACTTGAAACGGGATGCCGTATGCGTCCAGCCATGCTTCTGTAGCGCGGCCGTCTGTTCGTACGAGATAGCTGGGCTTGTCGTTGGCGGTACTTTGAGCTTCAAGCATCTTGTCTTGAAGATGCGCAGGTGGATATGCGATCGCTACGGCAAAGTCAGAAGTTGGCAGAGCAGTTTGGTGACAGTAGAGGCAGACACTAAGCAACTCGCGTACATAACGAGGTGCTTGAGATGCGCAGAACATGTCCTTTCTCGCTGCTCGTCCTGGGTCAAGCTCGGCTGACTTTCGCTGTGATTCTGTAACTGTATGCGTGACGATCTGGTTGGAATCTGTTGAGGCCCTCGTTACACATCTGGCCTTGTCGATCTGAGCATAGGTGGCGCGGAAAAAATCCTTCTGTGCGAAGATGCCTGATGCGGGCTGTGTAAGCATAGCATCGCCCTCGTGAGTGGATACGGCGATCTTTTCTTCAAGCCAACGGGTGGCTTTTCTCGCTGCGAGGTTGATGGGCTCGTCTCCCTTTTTAAGCAGATCGAGCGTATTGATTGCTTCCAGTGGTATGATGACGCAGGTGGAGCGGTCGCGACTCCAATTATGCACGCTGCGCAAGGAGAAGATGAGGAGGCTAGCGTCAACTAAACGGATTGTCTTGGCAGTGGCAGTAGGATGTTGATTTGTCTCTGTGGATGCATCTGTGCTGTTTGCAAAAGCTGGAGAGGTCTCGGCTCTTGGCTTCGGACGTCCCTGCTGTTTCGCTGCGTGATTGCGGTTGTTGGTGCTGTTGAGATCTGCGGCTGGCCCACTCTTTGTTTGGCGGATGCTGCGAGGGTAGGTGATCTTGCTCACATCGCGCTCGAGCTTTTCGACCTTGTCCTGGAGGAACATGACACCCATGGCCTGTGAGAGACGAGCCTGACGCTCAGCCTTCTGCTGGGGCGTCTCGTCTGGCACGTTTGGGATTAGCATCTCGCCTAGCGTATCTTTCTCGTTTGGAAGAATAGCAGTGAGGATATCTATTGATGCAGAACGGATTGGTGATTCCCGGCAATCGGTAAAGCAGAGGATGACCCAGTCGAGGGCATGTTGGAATCCAAGAGGCGGTCGGCTTGGGCAACAATAGCTATAACGAGCAGTGCATGGTTACAGCATCTTGGACTGCTGTCGACGCCTAAGACCTTTTGTTTGCTAGCCTTGACCTTGATGTGTGGTGAGCAAGCCAAGATGCTGCGAAAGCGAGGGTGTACATATGTGTGTCAACAGTTGAGGTGGTGGGCGGAGCGCGAGGAAGGAGTTGGTTGCCGGTTGCGGGATTACGGAATTGCGGAATTGCTGGCTTCGGATTTCGGATTTCGGGTTGCGGGATTGCGGGAATGCGGGAATGCTCGATAACTTGAGCTGAGCAAGGCCGACTTGCGGGATAGGCAAATGTTCAGTATCCTCTGTGTCTCTGAGCTGTCCTGCGTCCAGGCGGTCGAGATTGACTTGCGGCAAAGGGCAAGCGCAACCTCAACGCGGCCTATGCAAAATTGCAGCCATTTTGACTCGAAAAATCAAGGTGCTCAAGCTTGCAAAAAAGTGGAGAGCAACTTAAGTTTATCGTGCGGTAGACCGTTAATGAGCTCCCGATGTGGGAGATGAAATTTGCCCGATCCGAGCAGAAGCATCGGACGAGCACAGAGTGCGACGTGGAATAATCGCACAGACCAGCAAAGAGATGCAAACTTAACAGTCCATCCATCCCATTCTGGCTGAGCTCAAGTGGTTAGTTGGCGACACAAGCTAAGACTCTAGCTGCTCACTATGAACTGACACTGCTGGGGCTGGACGGTCGAATGGCAAACGGATCCGTTGAGATCGAAAAATGAGAGAGAAAGCGTTGCTTGTTTGTATATCCCTTGTTTGTATATCCCTTGGCTGGTAGAGTGCAGTTACTGTAGTACAGCCTGCTTGCTGTCTGCTACGTGTTCTGTCTTTCACCGGGTCCGTGCACGCTGACAGCCTTTGCGATCTTCCAAGACACAGGAGCAAGGCTAGCAAAGATCCGTCGATCTTGTCGTCATCCTTACCATCTTACTCGTCTCACCCTTATCTTCTCCTCCTTCCTACCTTTGAGGCAGGCACAAGTGGCCACACACTGCCTTGGCCTCCTCCCGCTTTTCTTCCGCAGCACACCCAGAAAGTCAGGCCAGGATGAACGTGGATGATGTCGAGGATCGCGATGGCGTTCGCCTCTCCTGGAACGTCTGGCCCTCATCCAAGATCGAGGCTACCAGGACTGTAGTCCCCATCAGCGCTCTCTACACTCCTCTCAAGGAGCGCGAAGATCTTCCGCCCGTCCTCTACGAGCCGGTCACTTGCAAACCTCCATGCCGAGCCGTCCTGAACCCTTACTGGTGAGTAGACTCGATTCAATGTCTTTGTCTATCCTCGATATTCTATGCTCACCCTCAAATCTTTGCATCCGCCTCTTATCCTGCCGACTGTCGCAGCCAAATCGACGTCCGTGGAAAGCTTTGGATCTGCCCCTTTTGTCTCTCGCGCAATGCTTTCCCTCCTCACTACAAAGACATCAGCAGCACCAACCTTCCCGCAGAGCTTCTTCCCAAGTACACCACCATCGAGTATACCCTCAGCCGTCCCGCTCAGATCCCACCCATCTTCCTCTACCTTGTCGACACCTGCATGGACGATGACGATCTCAAGGCCCTTCGCGAATCGCTCGTTGTTAGCTTGAGCTTGCTGCCTCCCAACGCTCTCGTCGGTCTCATCACCTACGGTACCATGGCTCAGGTCCATGAGCTTGGCTACGATGCCTGTCCTAAGAGCTACGTCTTCCGCGGCACCAAGGAGTACGCCCCCAAAGCCATCCAGGACATGCTTGGTCTCAACCCCGGCGCTCGTCCCATCGGCCCTGGCGCTCCCGGTGGCTCTTCTCAGGCTCCTCGCCCACCCAATGCTACTGCCCAGATGGGTGCCTCTCGCTTCCTCCTCCCTGTCTCGCAGTGCGAGTTCCAGTTGACGCAGATCCTCGAGCAGCTTCAGAAGGACCCCTGGCCCGTCGCTAACGACAAGCGTAGCCAGCGTTGCACTGGTGTCGCCCTCAGCGTCGCCGTCGGCATGCTCGAGACTACCTTCCCCAACACCGGTGCCCGCATCATGCTCTTCTGCGGTGGTCCTGCCACCGAAGGTCCCGGTATGGTCGTCTCCACCGAGCTCCGTGAGCGCATCCGATCGCACCACGACATTGACAAGGACAACGCCAAGTACTACAAGCGTGCCATCAAGTTCTACGAGTCCATGGCCAAGCGTGCTGCGGGCAACGGTCACACCATCGATGTATTTGCCGGTTGTCTCGACCAGGTTGGTTTGCTCGAGATGAAGGGTCTCAGCAACATGACCAATGGCCACATGATCCTTGCCGATAGTTTCCAGATGGGTATTTTCAAGCAGAGTTTCCATCGCATCTTCCAGAAGGACGACCAGGGCAACTTGCAGATGGGCTTCAACGCTACCCTTGACGTCCAGTGCACTAAAGAGCTCAAGGTATCTGGTCTCATCGGTCACGCTGTCTCGGCCAACAAGAAGTCGGGCTGTGTCGGCGAGACTGAGATCGGTATCGGAGGCACTTCGGCATGGAAACTCTGTTCGCTCACACCTCGTACTTCGGCAGGCATCTACTTTGAGGTGGTGACGCCAGCAGGTCAGCCCATGCAGCCAGGCTCGCGAGGTCTGATTCAATTTGTCACGCACTACCAGCATGCTTCGGGTCAGTACCGACTTCGTGTTAGCACCATTGCACGCAACTTTGCCGAGGGAGGTTCGGCCCAGATTGCTGCCTCCTTCGACCAGGAAGCTGCCGCCGTGCTCATGGCGAGGATCGCCGTCTTTAAGGCCGAGATCGATGACAGTCCCGACGTCTTGCGATGGCTCGACCGCATGCTCATTCGACTTTGCCAGAAGTTTGCCGATTACCGCAAAGACGACCCGACCTCATTCCGTTTGGGCGAAAACTTCAGCATTTACCCTCAGTTCATGTTCCACCTTCGTCGATCGCAGTTCTTGCAAGTGTTCAACAACTCGCCCGACGAGACTGCATTCTACCGCCACGTGCTCAACACTGAAGATGTCAACAACTCGTTGATCATGATTCAACCGACACTCATGTCGTATGGCTTTGAAGGAGCACCGCAACCGGTGTTGCTCGACTCGGTCTCGATTCGACCCGATGTTGTGTTGCTGCTCGACACCTTCTTCCACATTCTCATATTCCATGGTGAGACGGTGGCCCAATGGCGCAAAGCAGGCTATCAGGATCAAGAAGGATACGAAAACTTCAAAGAGGTGCTCGAGAATCCCAAAGCCGACGCACAGGATCTTTTGGCCGACCGCTTCCCCATCCCTCGATACATTGTCTGTGACCAGAACGGTTCGCAAGCACGTTTCTTGCTGTCGAAACTCAACCCTTCGACTACGCATATGAGCGGCGGAATGTATGGCTCGGCGGCTGGAAGTGGCGCTGCTATCTTCACAGATGATGTTTCCTTGCAGGTGTTCATGGAGCATCTCAAGAGACTTGCTGTTGGAGCTTCTTCCAACTAGAGGCAGTCTTGGCCCCATTTTGTTTTCCCCTCTTGACTCAGTTTCGCTTGGCTTTCACATATCCCCCGCCTGCGAATAATGTACACAGTAGTGTACACACACACAAGTCTGTTAATGGCTAGGTGCATCTTCCAAATCAATCTTGTTGCTTCTGTGACTGTCAAACTCTGTTGTGTGTGCGCTTGATTCAGAAGTGATCAGCGTTGGACCATGTTGATCTACGGAATCCGTCTCGATTGGATAATAAAAAAAAAAGGGAAAAAAAGTTGAAGCAATTGCTGATGTACAGAATGGAGTTGATGAGGCTGTATATGTTTACCTCTTGAACAAAGAGTGGTGAGATGTGTACTGAGATTCGTATAGCACTTTAACGAGTGACCATCTTGTCGAGAAGATCCTTTGCTTCGTTGATTTCTGTAGGGAGCAAGAATAGCAAGAGGAAATGCGATCAGTACAGGAACTCGATCTTTTCTGATCAATGATGGGAACGTCTTCACTTACTGGACGCAAGGTACGGTGCTCCACCACGATCCGGATGGTTGGCAATCATCATTCTCCTGTGAGCCTCCTTAACTTTTGCCTTTGTCAGTGCGGTTTCACGCAATCCCAGAATCTGTGCTGCTTCCTTCTTGTCCATTTTGGAATTGAAACCACCTTTGATCCACTTGCCACCTGATGGTCCAGCTCCGTTCTTGGGGTTAAGCAAGAGATTGGCAATGAGACCGGCTGTGACGAGACCTGCACCGATCATGATGGGTGTGGCGATGGGTTTTGGATATGTGTGCTGGAATAAGACAGATGAAGACGGTCGGAACGGTGTTGACAACGACCTGGATGCTGATGAGCCAGAAGAGGCCGAGCGGAAGCAGGAGCAGGAGCAGGAGGCGTATCGTATCGAAGAAGCATTGCGAGCAAAAGAGTGGAGGGCAGAAGGGGTGCTGCTCGAGGAAGCTGCCGCCGAGGCGAGCGTGCGTGATGATGTCGTGGCAATCATCGTGTGTATAGCCTTTGCAACCGTGATTGTTGCGTTGGCAAGTGCAGAAAGAGTGAGATATTGGTGCAGAGGTTGATGGTGATGAGGTTGATGGTGATGAGCGACTTGAGATCGCCTTGTCTTTGCTCAGCTGCTGAGAGTGTGAATGGCACAAGGCTTTGCCAAAATTGTTCATGCAAAATGTTATCTCTGGGAGGTCTAACATATTGAAGAAATCCCTGGTGTGGCAAAGCGTGAGTGTCCCCAAAGCTGCGGCAAGAGGTGCCGTTTATTTTTCAGCAAAAGTATGTGACTTCGAGTCCGATCTCACACCTTGCTCCATCTGATACCCGGATCGGCTATCGCGACTGGCAATCGGCATTCCGGTTAACAGATAGCCGACATGGTTGCACAGCACCTCTCTGTATCATAGACGTATACACAGAACGCTGGAACATATATATACTAGTCCTCATCTTGTACCTAGTTCTCATATATTATCGCAGTCGATACTTGTGATCATCGCTATTTGCTCTACGTCCTACAACAATTTCAGACTGCGGAGTGCACAGCCCAGACGGACACAAGACGCAAGTGATGACCAAGGTCTCTTCTCGGCTACCGAGATGCTTTTAACCGCACATGGACAATGGACCCTGACGCCATTTCTTCTCTTACTGCAAAGTGTCGTGGCTGTGCTTCCAACTGTGTGTGTGTGTATGTGTGTGTATGTGTGCATGTGTGCATGTGTGCATGTGTGCATGTGTGCATGTGTGCATTGTCATCTTTTGTCTGTGCCGGCTTCCTTCCGCTTCCTTCTTCATCATCATCATCACACGAATCGCTACGCCAACCTGTCCTCTTCTTCCTTCCTTCTGCCATTCACGACTTGTACATACGTTCCTTCTCGATCTGTCCTCGATAGCAGCTTTGCAACCGCAATACGGATCGGCATCCGAACAATAGCTCTGACACACTTCCTCTCACCTGCAATTCGCATCCACCGCAACGCCAACGAGGCTTCGATCGATGACTCTCTGAAAGCCTACATGGCAAGGGACAACCTCGTTTGACCGTCGCGCCAATACAATGCCGAATCTTCCCTCGAGTTCCTTCGCGCAGGATGGTGCTGGCTCTGCATCCCTTCGTAGAAGTTCGGAGCAGTTTGCATCTGCGCACCTGGCAGCAGCAGCTCAGAATCTAGTTCCACCACGCAGAGCATCGCTGGGCAACGTCATGTCTTCTGGCAGTGCCAATGACATGCTTCGAGCCGCCTCCGCTATGGCTGCACAAGCGAGTTCTGGCGCTGAAGGGCTTCAAGCAGTCAGCTCTGCACTCCTCAGTCAGGCAAAGGCACAAGCTTCTGCCTCTGCCCTATCCTTCCAAGATGCTGCAAATCCTCAGTCGACTCCCATGGCACGCAACTGGTCTGATTCAGCAGGCTACTCGGCCGCCATGAGCGCTCACATCGCATCCACCCTCGAGACACAGATGGTCAAGCTGCATCCGACAAGGCAACAGCCAACGTTGGCTGCTCCTATCAGCGCTGCTATCGATCCAAAAGCGCCATTGCCCGACTCGGCTGATCCAGAGGTGCAAATGGGTCGCATCGCTGCTCAGGCCGCTGCGAGAGAAGCCCAGACTCAGTGGCGCACACAATTAGCATTACGATCAGCAGCTCGTTCAAGCTCAGCTGCTGATCCCTCAACTGCGAACAGCAGCAACCGAGCATCTGCTTCGACCTCAAGTCCACCACAAGGCTCAACGAATCTAACTAGCCCCAGCGCCAACATAGCAGACATGTCCCTCACCGATTACTTGCGCTACCTTGGCCTCAGCCACATCGAGATGCCATCCCATGGTTTCCTGCAGTCATTTGGACAACCCGCTCACTCGTCTTCACCCTACTGGGATGCCACCAATCCTCACATGGGCTTCAGTCTCTCCGGTGTTCCAAGTATGCCCCTCATGCCCAATCCACCATTACAAATGCTTCCGCCACCTGCATCACCCTCATTCCGCCGGAAAATGTCGAAAGGCCCTTCATACATTCGGCATCCTTCCAGCGCTTCGATCAGCTCCACCGACTCTGGCGAGACCAGCAATGATTTTGAGCCCAACGTCATGTCGCCCTTTCCCTATCCATTCCAGGTAGTGCAGACGCCGGGTGGCACAGCCAGAGCTGGATGGTGGGTACCCGTCTCTGAGGTTTCCCCAGAGAAGAGAGCCAAGGCGGTCAGGATTGGAGATAAGCCATCAACATCATCCGGCTTGCCCTTTCCGAGGACCTCGAAGCTTGAATCAATTCCTGAAGGCAGCACACTTGCAGAGCAGCGAGGTCAAGACGAAGAAGGCCACTTGTTCTTCCAGCCTACCTACCGCGACTTTACGAGTGACGAGTTTTCGACCTTAGCCACCGCTGCTGCTTATGCCACTGCAGCCCTCACCAGTATCGCGTCGACCCCTGGCGACACATCACAATCGAGCTCATGGAGAGCTCTTACTGCTTCCGAGCAGGAAGCTATTGCCAATCAGCTCCGAGCGTGGGCGGGCCTCGAAGGTCCACATGCGCAAGCTCAAGCTCGCAGGGCGCTCGAAGAACGACAGATCCATCTCATCAACCAAGCCGTTCATCGCGACTTGCTGACGGCGCAAGACGCCGACAAAACCAAGGTTGCCGATGATGACTTCGGCCAGCTCCACCGCCCAGAAGAGGCTACACGATTCTTCCCGCCTGACTTTGCCAGTCACTACCGCACTCAGCTACAAGCTCTTGCAGAGGGATACTACACCCGCTTGCACAACGAGAATCTCTCACAGGCTCATTATGCCCAGCCTCCTGCAGAGGAGCGTCGCATCGACCCTGAAGTAAACAATCGAGAAGCTTCCCGCCAACATGAAAAGAGGAACACCAACGATGAATACGCTTCACATCAAGCGCAACGCAGTCCCACTGTTGCCGACACTTTCAGCAGCCTGCAGCCTCCCGTCCAAACACCAACTTTGCGACCGGGAGCCAGAGATCCAGTCGAGCTTCTCAGTGCCGCCTCGAGCGCTGCAGGCCATCATGTCTCGTCACCAGAAGTGCGCGACCAATTGCTTCGGTATGCTCATGGCCTCTACACCCAAGGACCTCCGCAGCCTGACGCCTCTGCCAAAGGGACTGACAAGCTGCATCCGACTCTGCTGCCGCTGCTGCACACTCTGCACAAGCTTCATCCCGACCATCTTGCAACTCTCCTGCTGCTTTCATGCGCCTACTACGCTGCCGACAACTACGCAGGCTCGCTTTGGTACAACAATCTCATCCTTCGCATCGATCCCAACTATGTTGAGAGCATGAGCAACATCGGCACCACGTTGCGAGCACTTGGCCGATATCAAGAAGCTGAGAGTTGGTGGTGGAGGGCTGTTCGCCTGAGACCTGCATACTGGGACGCTTACGAAAACCTGCTCGGTGTCATGTGTTCCGCCAACTCTCCTCCAGCCGCAGTCAAGAATGGAGTTCAGGACTCGCAGCCTCCACAGCCAAGATTCAAGGAAGCACTTCAGCTGTGCGAGCACGTTGAATCGCACGTTGTCGGTCGTCAGAATGCTCCAGGCATGTCTCTGCCACTCTATCTGCCGTCGAATCTTCCTTTGACGCAGACGCCTCGACTCCAGAACCTCTTCTACGCCAAGGGCAATCTCAAGTTTGTCCTGCCAGAGCAAGGCTCCGTTCCAGCAGCAGCCGAGTATCAGAAGGCGGTTGAAGTGGTTCTCTCTCCAGACGAGTCGACACGATACAGCCTCCGTGACCTGGTCGTAGCCACGTGCGCTATCGGCTTGCTGTCCATGGGAGCTATGTTGCCCGGAAGTGCTGCTGCCGCTGCTGCTCTGGAAGTTGCGGTGGCCATGGGTATCAACCCTACCAATCCTGACCATGCTGCAATCCTGGCGAGCGGTGCATTCAGCCGCTTCTGTCCCGGAGGCATCCTCGCATTGGTGAAGCTGTCAGGCCATGTCATTGTCAACACATTGCTCCGTCTCGGCAACGGTCAGCTTCCAATGCTGCTGCTCTTGCCCGAGGCCGCTACTCAGCTCTGCAAAGTCATCTTTGCCGAGACGGCTGGCAACCTTCCAGCGCTTGCTCGATCGCAGAGCAACTCAACGCCCCAGAATTTGGCGACTCTGCAACAGGCTCAAAAGCAGGCAGCGCAGACCACGTCCACCATCTTGCTCACCCTTGCCAAGCTGTTCCAGGATGCCACAGCAAGCCCCATCGCTGGACCTCATGGACCGCTTACACTCGGCGGTATTCCTCCTTCAACCTCGTTGCTGCTTCCGCTGTATTACCTGTCGATCTCTATGCACGCCTCAGCCTCGACATGCAACAATCTCGGCATTCTGCTCTCTTCCATCCCTGTCCTCACCACCGTCGTCAACGCAGCAGGTCAGCCACAGCAACTCAATGGTCAGGCACTGGCCATGCAATACTACACGCAAGGTCTCCAACTTGACCCCAAGCATCCTCACATTTACACCAATCTTGGCTCGCTTCTCAAAGATCTCGGCCATTTGAACGAAGCTATCAAGATGTATCAGAAGGCCGTTGAGTCTAACCCGGACTTCGACGTCGCTCTCGCCAACTTGGGCAACGCCATCAAGGACCAGGGCCGAACGCAGGACTCGGTGGTGTACTACCGCCGTGCAGTACAAGTCAATCCGAACTTTCCCGAAGCGCTCTGTGGTCTTGTCAACGCACTTCTTGCAGTATGCGATTGGACAGAGGTGTACTCAGAAAAGCGAGCGCAGGATCAGTCGAAGCAGGTTACAACTAGGCAGGCGAATGGTGCTGGCCAATCTGCTCGAGGCTGGATGGTTAATGTTTCGGAGCTCGTGTCCAAGCAGTTGAGAGACGGCTGTCACTATGGTGCAGGCGCCTTCCAGACCGTCGGTCGCCTGGAAGATTGGGTTCGAACCATCATAGATACGATGGGTGATACTCGACCAGCAGCTGTGCAGATTTGGACACAGCGCCTCTCGGTCTTCTATCAGCCTGGATTTGACCGAGTTGCCAACCAGATTTGCGAGGGAGGCTACTTGATCCAGCTGATCGAAAGGATGATGCGTCGGTCACAGCGCAGATGGTATGTTGACGCTTATGGAGCTGGTATGCTTCAGACAGCAACGGAGCTTCCTCGCGTCACTTCAGCAATGCCTCACGCGGCAAGATATACGAGACCAAAGCTCCCGTCGTGCCTTGTCACGCCGGCAGTCCCTACTGTGCTTCCGTTCCACACGTTCACCTATCCGCTCTCGCCTCGACAGATCCGTCTGATCTGCCATCGAAACGCTTTGCGAATCTCTCAAAGCACACTGACCCAGATGTGGGTGCCCGATGTGGTATACCCACCACCCTCGCCTCCAGCGCCCAAGATCAACATCGGCTACGTCTCCTCCGACTTTAACAATCATCCGCTGGCACACCTCATGCAGTCGGTGTTCGGTTTCCACGACCTTTCGCGCTTCAATGTCTTCTTGTATGCCACGACGCCGTCAGATGGGAGTCCATATCGACAGAAGATCGAGCGCGAGGCACAACACTTGATCGATGTCTCGGCTTGGTCGAATCAGCAGGTGGTCGAGCGCATTGTGATGGATAATGTCCACGTGCTGATGAATCTCAATGGCTACACTAAGGGTGCACGCAACGAGATCTTTGCTGCTCGTCCCTGCCCGGTTCAGATGGAGTTCATGGGCTTTGCTGGTAGTATGGCTTCGCGTTGGACTGATTGGGTTGTGGCAGATCCGATCGTCTGCCCGCCTGAGATGACGTGTGTTGACAGGTGGCGTCAGCAGAAGTACCAAGCTGCAACGGCAGGCAGTTTGGTCCAGCAAGGTGCGACGGACATGTTGGCAGACCTTGATCCAGAAGAAGCCTCAGATGAATGGGTCTATCCTGATCGATTCATCTACATGCCCCACACGTACTTTGTCAATGACCACAAACAAGGTTTCCGCGAAAGTGTTCCCGCTGAAACTCTCAAGCTGGCAACAAAAGGCACAGACCACGAGGATTCAGACACCATTGTTGAAGGCGACCTTACCGAAGAGCAATCATGGGCAAGCGAAGAGTTCAAGCGCTACGCGATGCGACGCGAACTCTTCCCCACCCTCCCAGACGACTACGTGATCTTTGCCGACTTCAACCAGCTTTACAAATGCGATCCGATGCTGTTCAAGCTCTGGCTACGCATCCTCAAACGTGTCCCCAAATCCATCTTGTGGCTGTTACGCTTCCCAGCAGCAGGAGAACACCATCTCTTGCGCCAAGCTCGCAGGTATGCAGGGGATGAAGTTGCCTCTCGTGTCATCTTTACTGATGTTGCACCCAAGCATATCCACATTCATCGCGGTCGAATTGCCGATTTGTTCCTCGACACTACCGAGTGCAACGCTCATACGACTGCAGCTGACATCTTGTGGTCTGCCACGCCAGTGTTGACCTGGCCGAGACATATGCACAAGATGTGCTCGAGGGTAGCGGCGAGTATTGTCCACGCGACAGGGTTTGGGGAGGAAATGACGGTGAATAGCGAACAGGAGTATGAGGATCGGGCGGTGGAGTTTGCTCAGTCGCTGGAGTATGTGTACTATGATGAGAAGGGGATGGAGGTTGGAGGTGTGGTAGATGAGAAGAAGGAGAGGTGGGCAAGTGATTTAGAGGCAGATCCGAAGAGTGTTGCTGCTCAACCACACGGTAGTCAAGCTGCATCAACCGAAGGTTCTGCTGGTGCGCAGGTGAACGGTCATTCGAACCAGAGCGACTCGGCAAGCACATCCGCCGGTGCTCAAGGCAAAGCTAGCCCCAACAGCAACGACCAAGGACAGCAATCACACTCAGTTGCGACGGCAACCAAGAGAGCTCGCTCTGCCTCGGTCTTGCCTCAGAACAACCCGGCACCAGCCCCAACCGGGGTATCGCTAGCTGAAGCAGCCAAACACTCGGATACAAACGCTTCAACGGACGCAGTGCTTGCTGAAAGCATCCCTGCTCGTCGCAAAATTCGTCTGCCACCATCACCGGACTATCGTGGAGCTGTAACACGTCGGGCTGTCATCCGCACAGATTCCAGCGCTAATCTGTCGAGATTGAGAAAGAGACTCTTTTTGACAAGAGAGACAGAGTCGAAACTGTTTGATACAAAACAGTGGACGAGAGATTTAGAGAAAGGGTATGTCGAAGCTTGGACTAGGTGGGTGCTAGGTGTGGATACCGAGGACTCGGCGGAGACGGAAGGTTTAGATCCGGGGTCTAGGCTGGGAGAGAGAGTGTTGCGTAGTGGACATATCTGGGTGGAGCAGTTGTGACTCTCTTCACTCTCAGCGATGACATGAATTTCAATTGACTAGGTCTATCGATTGTGCTTGCTTCTCGTTGTTGCATTCATGTTTTGTATGAGCGCTATTCGTGATCACTATCGATCAACTCAGCCAACTCAGCTTCCTCTTCCGGTGTCATCTGAAATACATTGCCTGTCCCCACCACAGCATCATCGGGCATCAAATTCCTCTTTGTCACAGGGGGCAGTGAATCTTGATCCCAATCAAACTTGAGCGTGCAATCCTCTTGCAAGACCGGCTTGAATTGAGGTTTGGGAAGGGTAGCAATGGTAAGGAGATTCCAGCGTCGAATTGTGCCGTCTAGCGAAGCTGACAGGATCCATACTTGGACCTCTTTCGCTGGAGGTAGGACCGCTTCAGAGGTCGGTGCGGTGGGAAAAGAGGGGTTTGGATGACGAATCCAACAAGCGAGAGAGGTGATTTCGTGCCAGTGTCCTTCCACTTGGTATACCTCTTCTTCTTCTGAGTTTGCGGAGGGGTAGAGTCGGACATGTTCATCGCTTCCGCCTGTGATTAGGGCTTCTTCGAAGGGTTCGAATTGAGGTAGGGAGGGGTTCGTGGGGAGATAGAATGGGATCGGGAGGATGGATTTTACGAAATCTTTATGAAGCAGCTTCGTGTGTGGTGTAGAGATGCATTCTTCCCGGCCTAGGATCGCGTTGCTTCCTACTGATTTACTCTTAGCTCTAGCAGCGGTATGGGAGGCTGATTGGAGCATGGGAGAAAGTCGGAATCCAAGTGCGGTCTTGTCTCCACTTGCACCCCAAATCTCAGCAACCAACTTATATCTCGATCCATCTGCGTCTTCTTTCACCTCACTAACAAACGCATCCCCTTTGTTCTCACCCTTATCTGAACTTTCGCCTTCGACAAGAAGCCGTCTCCAACCAGCTTTCAAGTCATACACGGCAGTGGAAAACCCTTGAATCTCTCTAACAACCTCCAACCTCAAGGAAGTAGGATGGATGACATGTTCCAGCACCCTCCCCATCGAATCAGCTGAATAAAGGCGCGTGGTTCCGTCCAAGCCTTGAATCGAAGTCAATGCGTTTACTGGTCTTGTGTGCTGCTTGCTTTGATAGATGCACTTCAAACGCTCTCCTTCTATCCCCTCGGCAGTGGAAGAGAGGGTAGTGAGGGGCTTCAAGTCCCATAGCATAATACATTTATCACTCCCTCCCGTAGTCAAATAAACCTTATCCCCCTCGGTGAAGATATGCACTGCTTTGATAAAGTCCGACATTGCCCCTTCTACCGTTACTACCGCTTCCCCCGCTTCTTTCCTGGTTGTGTTGCTGATGCGGTAGATGCGTAGCGCTTTATCCCATGATCCGGCCACCAAGAGCTTCTCCCCTGCTGTGGTGGTGAGAAAGTCGAACGAGGGTACTGGACCTTTCGCCCCTTTGTATAGGTTGATTGTTCTACCACTTTCTAAGTCGAGCTGTCGTACTAGGCCGCCTGCTTCAGAACTCCATAAGAACCCATGTTGGACGCGGAGAGAAAGAACGCGATATCTTCCTCCATCAGCTCCACTTGCCTCTACGGCGAGATCTTCTGGATTGGAGAGGAGTGCGGAGGTGAATCGTGGATTGAGGTGGATTGGAAACCCGTACCTCTCCGCAGCGGATGAGGAAGAGGGAGAGGATGAAGCGGAGGAGGTGGGGATGCCAGAAGTAAGAATTGCCTTTCGAGAACGATATGCCCCCAGGGCCTCGGAATAGGAGGTTTGGAAGAGGTTGCTGTTTGATGTTGCTTGCATTCTTGCCACTTGCCACTTGCCCTTTGGCAGGGTAGAGTAGGGGGCTGGATGAGGAGCTGGATGAGGGGTTTGACGTTCAGCTGCCAAGGTTGCAGTACGTCTTGCTTTTCTGCGGGCGATGGATGATGATGAAGGAGGAGCGGAAGGAGAAAGGACCGTTGAACGCTTTCGACTGTGTGCAACACTTTGCAGTGCCGTGTTGGACTCAAGACGCGTCTTTCCGCCTCCAAAGCGTTTCTTCTACTCGGGCGAGAAGAATTGGCTTCACGCCTTGCTGCTCTTCTGGATTCTGTCATGCTTGCTCGTCGGTAGTCATTTCACAGGCTCATTCCGCTTTTGAACGGCTTGGTTCTTGCAAGCACACTGTATCAAGGCTGAAGCTGGTAGCACCTGCTCTAGGGGCAGCAATCTGCACAATCAACCCCACCTTGGGACCAAGTCGAGCGGAGGAATCTTTTTGGGTTCGTTATAACAGATAGAGAGTAAAGGAGCATGATACTACAAAGCGCCGAGGGAAAATGATCCTCCTCTCTACAAAGGAGCGATTTCTGCAGGTCGAGAGGCAGTTGCAAAGACCTCGATTTGGAACCACTGAGAAAGAGGCTTTTGGTGCTGCCGGTTCATGGCGCGCTTATTTCTTGAGGAAAGCCTCAAGCGAGTCCATGGACATGGACTTGGGCCGCTCGATGGGCATACCGAGGTATCGGTCAGCAACCAGCTGGGGCAAAGCACCGATGGCACGCGAGATACCAAAGATAACGGTGTAGTAGGTGAACTCGGTCAGACCGTACTGGTAAAGAACGCAACCGGAAGCGGCGTCGACGTTGGGGAACGGGTTCTTGGTCTTTCCGTGCTCCTTGAGAACGCCGGGAGCGATCTGGCTGACCTTCTGGACGAGCTGGACGATGGAGCTGTCCCTAAGCTCAGGGCGGGTGTCGCAGAATTTGCTAAGTGCGGTGAAACGCGGGTCGGGTTGACGAAGAACGGCGTGACCGTAACCAGGAACAACACGACCAGACTTGAGGGTAGACCAGAGGTACTCCTTGATCTGCTCATCGGAAGCGTTCTCACCAACAGCCTTCTGCATGGCAAGAGCCCAGCCAAGAACCTCCTGGTTAGCAAGGCCGTGCAAGGGACCAGCAAGACCGAGCAAAGCAGCCGAGTAAGAAAGGTAAGGGTCGGAAAGAGCGGAACCAACCAAGTGAGCAGTGTGGGCAGAAACGTTGCCTCCCTCGTGATCACCGTGGATGGCAATGTAGAGACGGAGGTAGTCAGTCATACCCTGGTTGTCACCGTAACCGATCATGTTGGAGTAGTTGCCGATCAAGTCGAGGTTCGAGTCAATGGACTGCTTGCCATCACCACGGCCGAAGACGTTGTAGTAGATACGGGCGGCAACGGCGGGGAGCTTGGCAATAAGGTCGATCGAGTCATCGAGGACGGGGGCCCAGTACTCAGTCTTCTTGATACCTTTAGCGTAGGCAGCGGCGAACTTGCTGTCGTGGTTAAGAGCGGCAACGGCAGCAGCGAACTGGGTCATGGGGTGGAGAGTCTTGGGGAAAGAGTCGATGATCTTTTCGACGTGAGCGGGGAGAGCACCCTTGGCAGCGAGCTCGGCGGAGAGAGCCTTGACCTCCTCCTTGGAGGGGACGTTGCCGGTCAAAAGGAGCCAGAGCATGGACTCGGGGACTGCAGTGAGGAGAGGAGAGGAGAGGAGAAGAGAGGAGAAGAGAGGAGAAAAATTGCTTTTGTCAGTAGATGTGCTACTTTTTCCACTTTTGTTGCAGCTGTTGCGTTTGCTTGGAGACATTTGCTCTTGGAGAGCAGAGAAGGCTTTCAAGATAGAAGACAAGCTACGCTGTGACCATGTCCTCCGCTGCAGATGGGAGAAAGTTGTGAGGAAAGGCAGCTTTCGCTCTTGTTCTTGGACGGCGAAACTGGGAAAAGCAGCTTGGCTACAATAACTTTTGAGAGGATCAGAACACTGGGCCAAGGAGCTGTGTTGGGATACTTACGGATCTCGTTACCGTTAAGACCAAGGTGAGCGGCAGTAGGAAGAACCTTCTGGGACTCGGGGATGGACTTGCCGTGGAAAGTGATACCGGTCTCAGAGTCAAGAACGGAACCTTCCCAGAGCATGACCTTCAAGCCACGCATACCACCGAGGAGATGCTGGAGCTGGATCTCGCCGAGCTTGGACTCGCCGTGCTGAGCCTTGAGCTTCTTGAGCTGCTCCTGCTTGCCAGGGATGATCTCGGCGACGGCATCCTTGAGGGTCTTGGTGGAGGCGTATCGGACAGCAGCGGCGAACTGGCGGGTGGGGGCAGCAGCCCGGAGAGCGAGACGGGGTACGGTGAGCGACAACATCTTTAGGAAGAGGGAGGATGGATCAAGATGATGATGATGGAGAAGGGGGAGGCTTAAGACGAGAGGTTGAACGGGCGACAGACAGCTCCGAAGCACTTTCAAGAAAAAGAAAAAAAATCAGCAGTGACGGGGATGATTGGCAGACAGACACACAGAGAGAGGACGGGTTTGAGAACGATTTGCTTCCCTCCAACTCCGGACACACAGAAGCCGTAATCTTGTTTCGAGTCGGTGAAAAAAGAAAGGATCCCAACAGAGCAAGCCCGATCTGACTACCTTGAACAGTGTTGTGAGAGACAAGTTGAATACAACCAACCGCCGATCCCGATGGGATCTGCCTAGATATTCAAGAAATTCAACCGCTTTCCTTTTCTTTTTCCCTTTTCTTTTTTCCCTTTTTCCTCAATCGATATCGAATTCCTTATCCGATAGCCTCGTTATTACAACTGCTTGGAAAGAAAACTCTCCGCCCCAAACTTGGTTGATGTGGCAGCAAAGAGAAGAGCCAAGGTTGTTATTAGGTTGCTTTTCAGGCAGCAGCGTCTGGAGTTTTGTTTACTTCTTTCGGAAGAATTCGGCTCCATCCTTTTCTTCTTGTGCTTCTTGATCAAGCATGGCGCTCGATTCGAGACTGACAAGGTCATCCTCTCATCATCCAAGGCCATCAGCTGGCTCACGCAGCCAGTTCCAACCAATCATAGGCTCAATTGACGCCCTGCATCATGAGCTTGCACCAAGGCCTTCGAAGGATACAACATCATTCATGCTTGACTGCCGCGCCCGACCAGAGCCGCGGTGTTGATCATGTTGAGCCGCAATCATAGGGGAAATGCGTACCGGCAAGATGATCGAGCCGAACACCGAAGAGCGTTGCTCCGGCCGGATGAATTTACTCCGACTTCATCCGAAACCGTTGCTTTGTTAGATCTTCATCTCGAGACAAACCTAACCAAAGAGCGTTTTGGGTTGATTACGTGGCTATGTGTCATCCTTCCCCACCCCACCTAGCTGTGCATGCGCCTCTCCCAGGACACGTCGACCTTTGTCTTCTTGAGTGCCGAACAACGTTGACTGTCACTGAATCTCATCCTTCTTCTTCTCCTTACCACCACACCTTCCCAACGGGCGTCCGGGGCTCAGCGCACATCCCAAGCCCACTTGGACAGACTCGTACGGCCCGCAGCTCTGCAGCAACCACTCACCCACGGAGACCATCGTGGCCAAAGCGAACCAACAGGGTCAGCTCCAACATGAACCGTCGAGCAGGAGCCACAGACAGGCACGCCCTTCTCGCAGGCGGAGCCTACCCCACCTCATCCTCCCTCTCCGCCTACCGCTCCTCTTCGCCCTACGACAGCAACCCCTACCCCTCCACCTCCTCAAACGGCTCCTCCTACCCATCCTCTTCCTCCAACCCATCCGACTTCATCGGCGCACCCAAAAAAGAACCCCCTTCCACATCCTCCTCCTTTTATAGTGATGGAACCTTCGATCGTGCAGCATCCAACTACACCGCAACTCGGACGGCAGAAGATCTGGAAGAACAAAATGATCAACGACTCGATGGTCTAACCGCCCGAGTATCCATGCTCAAAGAGATCACTTTGAACATTGGAACAGAGGTCACAGGTTCAACGAAAGATCTGGCCTCTTTGGGAGAGGCGTTTGAGAATACATCAGCCTTCTTGGGAGGGACGTTCAAAAGGATGAATAAGATGGCCAAGAGGCAGGGAGGGTGGTTCTGTAATATGATGTTGTTCTTGTTGTTCGTCACTTGGTTGTTCGTAAGTGTCATCACCCTTCAATCAATCGGTTTACCCAGTAACCTTTTGCTGACATTTTTACAACCTTCCTATCCTATCCATTGCCATGTCACAGGTCTTCTTATGGTGGTGGAGACGATAACCCCGGCTCTTGCCTCGTTGGCCTACTTTTCTGCACGCATTCTCATCAACAACTTGTATTTGTACCTTTGCAATCTCACCAATTCTCTCAACCTTCCGACTCGATCATCTTGGACACAGCATGCGATCAGAACTCAGCATAACAGGCAGCCATGCACTCATCCGAGCGGACCGGAATTAGAACAATGCGACATTTGAATAAAGAGTAGCCGTCACTTGGACGCCAGACGAAGAATAAACGATGAAACAGCAGCGGCGGCAACAGAGAACCCGACCCCCCCCCCGGCTCTCGACACTTTGGAGACGTAACGGAAGCAAAGCAACGACGAAACTAAGGAACTATATATGTAAAGAGGCTCGACATGTCAAACGCGTGCCGTTGGGAATTGGCATACAGCCGCGAATGGTCAGACAATATCATCCCAACCTCTCCTCGACATCAAACATGACCTCAGCCATCATCTCTCTCTATCCTTACAGCTTCAAAGGCCCAAAAAGCCCCAAGTCCCAAGGGGAGGGCTGCTTGGTCTTATACATCTTCAATCCGTCAAGACTACCCTCCTTCAACGTCCCACTGGGGCTCAGCTTCTTAAACGCTGACTTGGACAAATTAATATGATCCTCCGTACACTCTGTGCACGTGTTAAACACCCTTACCACCACGCAGTGATTGTGATATCCGTAGCACAACTTCACAAACTCTCCGCACTTGGGTCCATCATCCCACTTTTTCATCACCGTACCGACGTGAGAGCTATCCTTCGGGTGCCACTTTTCTCCATCATCGCCGCATTGCGGGCTGAGAAAGTCGGGAGAGAAGTTCCAGGTGACCTTGAAGTTGCCAGACCAGGACTTGTCGTCTTTCTCATGATCATGCGTGAAAAGCTTGCGGGATAGGGCCGAGGATTCATGAGAGGAATCTTTATCGTCGTCCTTTCCACGACGGAGGAGAGAACGCTGTTCCAGTTCGCCCGGAGTGTAGTCCTCGTCCTCGTCATCGCCGATGACCGAGTTGATGAATTGGATTGGCTTGCCCTCCTTGTCCAGGTTGACGGGCAGAGCGGGGGTGGAGCGGGGCGTGGGTCCGGCGGAAGCGCCAAGGCTGATGAGGGCAAAGGTGGCCAAGATGGTGTTGAAGAGCGTGATGCGAGCCATGGTTGCTTGAGTTGTTGTCGAGCGTTGCTGGTGATGTATGCTGATCTTGACTTTGTTGTATGCTGGATGTGAGGGATGAGTGATCCGACAACTTGCTATCTGGTGGTTGGAGAGGTGAGTGGAGAAAAGGATGGTGGTCGTAAGAAGGAGGTCGATATTTAAGTCGAGCAAGACCTCATCCTTTTGTGTAGATTTCAAACGTACCATTGCCTCTCACTTGGTCACCCAAGGCAGGTGACAGCGGAGATACCAATACTGACAAGCGGGACAAGCGGGATGTTCACTGCGGCTCAACAAGCCAAGGCCGCACACCTGCCGAGGTGGCTTGACAGACTGAACGCCACCAATCGCAACTGCACACGCTTGGAGGCGACAGCACCATGTCCTGTGTCCGTCATCGACTGTAGACCAATTACCTGGTCGACACACAAAACCCCTAAGCCACAGTAGCTTGCTCATGATTGACGCTGTGTGGTAAAAAAGAAAGGGCCTATGGTACGACGATCAAAGCATCGAGTCTAGCGACAGGGGCATGTAGTACTAACGAACGCCCTCCCTTCAGGAGCGCTAGTGGCTAGAAAGAATCTCTGGGACGCAAGTGCAGTAATGGACAAGACGATGAAAGGGCCTATGGTACGGCGATCAAAGCATTGAGTCTAGCAACAGGGGCATGTAGTACTAACGAACGCCTTCTCTTCTTGTCAAAGCTACAGCCTAATCCTTGCCGAATGTAGACAGCAAAGTCGCCGTGCATCGTACAACAGAGTGAAAGGAGGAAGGGAGTGATGAAGCAGTTGAATGACAGCAACAAGGGGCTGCCGTTCGAGGAATATAATGTTTGGCACGCGCATGTCAAACGCTTTGTGATGTGCAGTACTGGACAATTGCCTCACACGCTGGCCCGCGCATATCTTTGATGCTGGCGTTGGATTGCTCGTGACATGTCAACTCGGCTGTTCTACAGTTCTGAAACCAACACTTGACGTTATGTAGATTCGCAGCTTCACACCCAACGTCTCACTGTCCGAGAGAAGAGCAGCGCGGATGCATTGCGTGTACGACCTTCTGGCTTCATTAGTAAGTGCCGAGTGAAGCCGCCCCGAAGAGGTCTGTGAATGGCTTCACTCGGCACTTACTAATGAAGCCATTCACGGACCTATTCGGGGCCTGTGAAACCCGGCTCGTGCGCTCGCCTTCCGGGCTCCAAGCACTCTTGGAGAACAAGAGCAGAACTTATAGGGGGCCAGATCCGAGCGTACCGTCGAGTCGTTGGAGCACAGAAGCTCCCATTGTTGAATGAAGTGACACTTAGCGACGATGATCGAGAGATATCAGTCTAAGTACGGTGTTCAAGCTAAAGATCAAAACACTATACTAAATTGACATAATAAAGGAATGTGGCAGGAGCCTCGAGCTCCCTGCTAGATTTATATGCAAAGGTGCGGCACATACCAAAGGGTGGGTGCATCCTACCTAATGACAAGGTATAGCAACGAGTGGGACATAGTTGTGCCCGATCCCCGATCGAATCTGCTCTCTCTCTCTCTCTCTGCCCGATCTCCCGTCAGATCGGATCTATGTCATCCTTGAGATCGGACTGGATCGTAATCTTCAACATCCATGAGAGCTCCCGAGGTCAAAGCGCTCATCGTAGCTCTCCTGTCTGGAATCCTAACTTGGCTTGAAAGTTGTTCGGAAGCTGTTCTTGGTAGGCTTGCTAAAGCGGTACATGACGTCGATCAACAGACTTTCATGTTTCGTTGGTGATCTACCTCGTCTCGCTTATTCAGTCCGTTGAGAGACGAAGCGTTGTCCTGCTGTGTATGGTTGACGTTGCACTGGTTCCACATAGGATACGAGGACGAGCAGGAAAGCTTTTTTTTTTTTTTTTTTTTTTTTTTTTTCGTACCGCAATTTTAACATGCATTTTTTTCTACAGTTTTACTCAACTCTCTCAATTGGTATGTGACAAGTCACAGTCAACAACTTGCTCCAAATCAACGAATCATGCTATGCATCTGGCCCTTGATCCCAAGTAACACATCAAGCACCGAAGACATTCAGCACATTCGATGCGAGTACGAGGTGTTGCTTTCATGTTGTGTTGTGTTGATTGCGAGATATAAGTATGTGTCGGTCATCTTTGCACCTCGCCTGGTCGGTCATCTCTGCACCTCGCCTGGCTTCCGAATGATCCAAACTCGTTGACGAGTGAAAGCCTGCGAGTTGGGAATGTCGACAAACAGCGTTCGGTACTGCAACGTGCCATCTTGATCCTTGATAAGCTCAGCGTGTACTTCTCCGGACGACCATGTTCCAGGCTCCAGCGTTGGACGAGACTTGGGAGCTGACGAAGAGTTGAACGGAGAGCTGATGGCTTCCGTCGAGCTACGGACGACACTTGTCAGCCCACCCATTACTGAGCTCCATGCTCTGCTCAAGGCGTTGTCCGACGACCCGCTGTTGCTTGCTGTTATCGCTGAAGAAGGCCCGCTCGAAGCGTTGCTGGGAGAAGAGCTTGCTTTCTCGCTGTCAATTGCATCCTCAGCACCGTCCAGACCAAGTTGTTCACCCAACCACTCACCACCTTCCGTCACCTTTCGGCCGACCCACTTTCCAGCCTCCACCACTTGATACCTTGCAGTCTGCCAAATCGACCAATCCTCACCCTTCTCTCTCGCTCCAATCCAGAACCGCAGCAACATCTTCTCCTCTCCGGTTCTCTCGTCCGTAAATGACACCGACGGCACGGATCTTGACCGTCTCCTATTCTTCACAGAAGGCGGGTTGAGCGGTGAGAAGTCACTCGAGCCGCTCGAGTCAACCGGCGAGGTCCTGAAGCGGTACGGTTTCAGAAGATGCTCCGCAATCCCACTGCTGTTCTGTACATGCTTGCATGCATCAGCGTAGATAACGGTGGGACTGTTCTTAGCGAACAGCTCACTAGTCAGCGCGTAGACAAGCACAAAAGTGAGAGCGCCGCCGCCGAAGATGAGCATGGTTCGTGAGGATTGTACTGTTGCACGAGCTACTTTTTGGCCGGTTTTGAGCTTCGACCACCGTTTACCTTGTCCGCTTGCTCGGTCGATTAGGGTTGGTTTCGAGTCGAATTCTCCTCCGCCGACGGACAATGCAGCCGTACTAAGCGGAATGCCTCCGCCTCTCGAGCCTGAGGCTGCATCCAGAGCTGCTTCTGCGGTTGCGTTGAACCTCGGTCGAGGCTGAGCTTCGGAGAGAGACGAAGAAGAGGATGAGGAGGACGACGCTCGGAGCTCATCGAGAATTTGTCGCTGCGTGAATGCTGCTTTGGAGCCTTTGAGATCGTTGGAGTTTGCCTTGCCTTTGTCGCTTGCTCTTAAGGTCGAACCGTGAAAGCTCCGTCGAGAAACGGTGCGGCTTGAAACTATAACGGGGATTCTGGCTACACCGCCAAGCAGGCGTAAGGATTGCGCGAGAGCCATGAGAGGTTGTGGGGACGTCATGCTGTCGCAGTCCTGCTTGATGAAGCTTACCGTCGACCGTGGTGAAGCGGGAGGTGAGCTTTAGGAGCAAGAAGGACGAAAAGGCCGTTGGTTGGTGGGTAAGCTTCCTTGTTGCAGAAGGCGGTTCAGCTTGTCCGAAATCCGAGCGATCAAATTTCCGGCCGGCTCAGTTTTACTCCACTTCCCATGGTCTGAGCGCGGCTGAGTTGTGCAGTTGCGGCAGGACCCTGAATTGTGGAAAGTGTTGGTCCCGATAACTGGCGATCGGGGAGAGTCGAAGTACGATGTCACTGCTGGTTTAGACAGAAACATTGTGGTCACGGTTGCTTGTGTGACTTTGTGGAGTGCGCAAAGAGCGGCAACGCCTAGCTGGCCAGAATGCGGAAAGAGCAGTCTTGACAAGCTTAATCGAAAAGTCTAGTCGCCTCTTCTCCCTCCACCATCTCTCTTTCAATCGAGTGTCATCGCAGCAGCACAACATCATCAGTCATTCAATCACAGCAGTTCTTCAGCCGTCTCGCGCACTGGTCGAAAGCATCGCTGCAACGCCAGTCAGATCATCTGAACCTCAAACTCGCAAATCCACTTCTCCTCAGCCATCCGTCCGCTTCACTTGCAGGCCGTGAAAGAGCTCGAGCTCGAGCGCAAACTGTATCATCTCCACGAGCTCATCGGCACCAAGCGTGCTGGCGCTGGAGGTGCCCACCCTAACACACCAGCTCGCTGATAGGAGACAGACTTGCCAGAACGGACAGCGGTAACGAGACGCTGAAAGAATACTCTCAAGATGGGCATGACACACAAACAATACCTTTGCAGCCAACGCATCTTTGGCTGCAAAGAGTGCAAGACGCACCTCACGATCATCGAGAACCTCGTCAGCCGCGCTTTCAACGGTCAGCATGGTCGAGCCTACCTCTTTGATTCGGTCGCCAACATTACTTTGGGAGAGCCTGAGGATCGACACATGACTACGGGTCTGCATACAGTACGGGATATCAGCTGCATCAAGTGCAAGACCACGCTCGGCTGGAAGTATGATCGAGCGTACGTTGCTGCGGAGAAGTACAAGGAGGGAAAGTTCATTCTTGAGAAGGAGCTGACGGTTGACGTCCAGTAATCGTCTCGTGCCTAAGGTCTCGCACTCCATCTTGAAGCCCCGACCGACCAAGCCCGTCCCACAAACACGAACAAGTAAGAAAGCAGCATCTATTGCAGGCCTCTTTAAACACGCAAGACACTCAGCCGGCTGTTGTCATACACATTTCGAAGCTCATACGCAACTTTATGCCCGGAGTCGGCACCAACTCTCGCCGCAGGACATGATACAGCCTTCCCAGACATCATCCACCCGCTCTGACCCGGACAACATCGGCATCGTCTCGCTCCACTTGGCGGGCAAGATACAGGTTTGCTAGCTCATCCATCGGCCTATCTGATGACGGCTGACCGCGGCGGCACAGAAAAGAAAAGGACATGAAATCGAAGGCAAATTGAAGAAACGGAAAAGAAAAGATCATCTGGAATTGCGGGGCCCACTTTGGTAGACCGATGGACTGCGCTCTGCTGTGCTGTTGTTTTGAGCATCAGCAACTCGAGATCCGAGTTGACCGGCGACGATTGCTGAGGCTGGTTGGAAGCAAAAGCGGCAGCATCGAGCATGATCGTAGCGAGCCTGTGGATTTGCAGCTCGCTTAAGCTTTAGCGATTTGGCTCCATCTCGACCTCGCCTTGCTTCCCCCACCCTTTCTGTTGTTAACTCTTGGAGCTCACAGTCAACAGCCTTAGATCGGATCTGTTCGCATAGCATGCCGGCTTTCAGTCGATTGATCTTGCTGCGGTCTTTGATACTTTCCGAGTTGGCATGCACTCAGGCGATGCGGCGTCGTTGAAGTTAGGAAAAAAAAAAAAAAAAAAAAAGGGGTGAGATCGAGTCGGCAGCGGGTTTGAAGGGTCCGCGACAGCCACAATTGCAGATAGGCGAGCACCCATGGGCTAATGCAGATCAAGCATTGTTTTCTGCTATCTAGAGCAGCGCTGTGTTATTGAACGTAATGCTTCCCACGCGGTCTTTAGGCTGCAATATCGGGATGCTTGTACGAGGTTCACTGAATGGCAGCGATGGATGACAGATGTCATTGAGTCGATCTTATGAAAACTCGGAGGATTTTCTGACCAATAATCTGAGATATAATTGGGGCGTCGAAAATCACGAGTATTTTATGACAAAGGTATCGATCCAACATGATGATGAAAGGTGACGTAAGCCGATGGTGAAGAGATTGGGAGAGGTCGATCTAATCAGAGATTTGGTAGAACCGATCTGACAAGAGATCAGGTGCAACACAGTCCCGCTCGTTGTCATGGTAGATCATTAGGTAGGAGTACTCCCACCTTTGGCAGCTGCCACACAAATGTATATACAGCATGCACATAAACTGTCCCATAATTTTACATGTCACCATACATCACTCTAATGCTCAATAGCTATAAGTTGTATTGCCACACTGTCTGATATCATCTGAAAGCCCTGCTTCTTCTCTCCAAGACTGTGTAATTGATATTGACATTGACTAAAAAAATTGTGCTATGAAGAAGAGCTGATTATTTTTTTTTAATTGTGGGACAGTTTATGAAGCACTCCTTGAGAACACCTTAGTACTTTGTATTCCCTCCTTTGGCCTTCAGAACCACCTTGATACAGTCTGGCATGCTCTCTATTAGCATCCTACATGTCTCTGGAGTGATCACTGTCCATTCAGCTTCACATCTCTTGAGCAGTTCATCCCTGGACTTTGCAATCATACTATACCATGAAAGTCACATTTTGAGATGGTGCCAGAGGTGTTCAATCAGGTTTAAGTCTGGCAACTGTGCTGGCCATTGCATAACCTTAATGCTATTGCTTTCCAACCATGTTATTGTCTTCTTTGACATGTGTTTTGGGTCATTGTCTTGCTGAAATGTGATGTCAGTGTATGCATGCTGAAGCTGCAAATCTGAGATTGTTTTCAAAAGCTTGTCATTCAAAATATCAATGTATTGGTCTGAATTCATTGAACCCAGCACCAAGCACATACCTCCCACCCCTTCCCATGTCATACAGCCCCAGATCATGATGGAGCCACTGCCAAACTTGACCATTGGCCTGACAAGCTTGCTGTTGAAGCTGGCATTCTTAATCCAACAGAACTGCTTACCATCCAGTCCAAAGAAGTTGATCTTTGTCTCATCGGACCATACCACATTCTTCCAATCCTCAACAGTCATGTCCTTGTGCTCATTAGCAAATTTGAAATGGGCTTTGTAATGTCTCTTGAGTCTCTGCAGTTTTTTCACTAACCTTCATGCTTTGTAACAACAGTAATGAAGTGCTTTTCTTACTGTGGTTGGGCATACTTTGATTTGAAATGTCTCCTGCAGTGCATGACATGCTTTCCTGACCATGGAGGTTGAATTGAGCTCAAAATAGTGATCCAGGAAGCAAACATGACGAGGCTGGAGTTTTCTCAGCTGGCCCCCCTTTGACTTTGGAACATTAGCAGAGGTGCTTTTGCTGATGTGATTCACAGTAGACTTGCTCATACCAAGTTGCTCAGCAACTGAATGGGTAGATTCCCCATTTTGGATGTGAAAGAGTGCCAATTGGCACCTCTCTGGGGTGGTTTTTGGCATGATGGTATAGATATGATGGTGTCAGACTGGAAGTGCTGCCAGATTGCTCACAGTCATCTGATTGAGCTGAAACTTTCCATGTCACTACTTTTGATGTGTATGAAGGTGCCCACCAAGTTACATTGCAAGTTTCATTGTAGTCAAAAGCCCACAAGGTCAGGAATGGAGTGGTGTTGCTATTTGGGAGCATGCTCCATAAACTGTCCCACAATAAAAATAAAATCAGCTCTTCTTCATAGCACAATTTTTTTTTAGTCAATGTCAATATCAATTCCACAGTCTTGGAGAGAAGAAGCAGGGCTTTCAGACAATATCAGACAGTGTGGCAATACAACTTATAGCTATTGAGCATTAGAGTGATGTATGGTGACATGTAAAATTATGGGACAGTTTACATGTGTGCTGTATATCAAGCTGAGAGCACTAGGCTCCCCCCACATTCCTTCAGTCAATTGAGTATACATGTTTCTGTCTTAAAGCAGCAGTGACATTGTACTCCGACTCTCCCCGATCGCCAGTGATCGGGACCAAACTTGTTCACATTGTATTATTTTACTGTGTCTGCTCTGCAGCGACAGACACAGGATGATGTGCCTCTATGACCTAAAGTAAGCTGAAAAGCAGGATGAGAGAAGGATAGCGTCGCCGGTTGTGCCTCAGAAGACGGCATATTGAGGGCCTCGACGATGGCCCTGACTGTACAATGTATGCTCGCGGGTTGTGAAAGCACTTACCGAATCTGATTGGACGCTTTCTGAACACCGTTGCAAAGGGCGGAGAGACTATGCTGGTGTTGAAGCAGGTCCAACGTATCACCGAACAGGGAATGGATCTGGATATCAGTTGGCGTGTGAAGGATGGAGAGAATACTCGTCTGAAGATGTCATGCTGACCCTTCTCGCATCTCGTGAGCTGACTCTTCTCTGCGTAAAGGAGAAGCCGATGGTGTGCTAGCTGAGGAACACATGCTGGGTATGCGTAGCGAGACACTGTATGATCAGCAGGACTTGGGCAGAAACATGTGTGTGATGCTCAAGAACGCGCTCAGCTTTCGTGTGTCAAGTTGAGGATGCGAAGCAAGGGACCCGACGCCCGGATTGGGTATGGCGAAGATGATGGTCCCGTGCTTCTTTCTCGCACGTCTTTGAGCCATCTAGCGTGGATGGAGTGACCGGCGAGGTAGAAGCAGTTGCCATCATATATCGCATCGGAGAGAAAGTTAAGGTGTTGATCGAGCACTGCAGAAGTCAGTGAGCCCTGGCAAATTGCCGTGATGGTGGCTTGCTAGCGCGCAAAAGCAATCGAGGAACTAGCGAGGAGCTGAAGCGAGCGAACCTTGGAGGGTCATAGTGAGGAGCGGGGATGTCGGTCCTCACCGAACTGAGAAGCGGGCAAGGCGGGGAAAGGGTTGTGTGAAGAGGAGAGAGAATGGACCGGCGACGACATTTGGTGGAGCCCCAAATTTGACCTTGCCAAGCCAAGCAAGCACGGCTGACGAAAGGACTTGATTTCAAAGGCAGAAGAGGCAAACAATGTAGACCGGCGACGTTCAAGGTGAAAGAGGTCTGATGATCGGGAAGCATGAATGGCTTCATATTGCAACTCCGCGGCAAGGGTCGCAGAAAGCCACTTTTGACAAGCACTTGTGGGGGAAAGGGATGTCAAAAGCCGAAAGCATATCCTAACTGCCAGCCTCAACCCAACGGAATTCATAACCCAAGCTCGCTTCTGCAGACTCATGACCCTGACACTGAAGTTGCAAAGACGTTCCTGAAGACATAGTCGGTCATCTCGAGCTGGCCAGTCGGTCGCAGAGCGCGGTGAGCCGAGTAGGAAAAGCATCTCTGCTTGGACGTCAGACGGTCACTTAATCCGGCGCATCTCAAAAACGAGGCACAGACCAGGCGTGATCTGGTTGAACATCATCATCGCGGCTAACTGAAGAGCTGGCAGCTGGCAAGTCTAGTACCGTGTACCGCTTTGCAGATAGGTTGACCATGGGCTCGCTGTCTTCGAGCGGGAACAAGGGGCCATCGTTGCCTTTCATATTGAGTGAGTGGCTGTTTGAATATCAACAGGCAGGTCGTGTGAACAAAGCCAAACTTTGCCATTGATGACGTCGATCAAGAAGCGTTTAGCCCTAGCCTCAACGTCCCGCGTCCCCTTTTCTGTACTCAGAGCATAGCATAAGCTCAAAGTCTGACAGTAGTCTCAACCTTGCTTCTCCCCAATGTGGCACGGGGTTAACGAGTGTGCTCGGCTAAGCCCCGCTTTATCTGTCCATGCTGCTTCGGCTCGATGTGCTTTTTCTCTCGCTAGTTTCATATCACGACAACCAAAAGGTCAGTCCCTCTCACATTGTCCAACGTCGCCGTCTCCAAACAGCCCGGCGACCCTCACACTCACCTTCCCTTTTGGCTGGTATGCTCTGCTTGTCGCGCTCTGCTGTGCAATGCGGTGATGCTGTTTTTGACCAAGAACTCGCATCGTGACCTGCTACTTGTCGGCATTTTCTTGGTTGAACGTCGCCGGTCTCGCTCTCGATCTTGTGTCCAGCGACCTTTTGTCCAGCGACCCTTTGTCCGGTCAGACCGGCATCTGTGTCTTTGCTTGGTCTTCTAAGCTGGTCCCTCCACCCTCGTCGCGATCTGAGGTTGCACACAAACAGACAAGCCTCACTTTCGATGTGATGTGGTGGATGACTTGCCTCTTTTTGGACGTGTGGGTTCAGACCACTTGCGCGGCTTCTTCCAGATGAAACCTGGCTGTATCAAGGTCTGTCTTGAAGCGCTCTTGATTGTGTGTGTGGGGGGGGTGTAAGTGTGTGTTACTTACTCTGTGGACCATCTCTGTCTCGTCCTTGCCGGCGCTTTCTTTCATGATTCATTTTGTTTATTATATTCTTTTTGCCGCCTCTCTTTCTACTCGGTCGCTGTTCGTTGTTCGTTGTGGTTCAAGTGACAGCCTGACAACAGTCCCAACCTGTGGTCCGCCTCCGTCATAACGTGCCAAGACAGCATACAGTCGTGTCTACAAGACGACAGCAAGAACAGCGTCAGGGGAGTGGAGGGAAGCAAAGAGGATTCAGGGTTCAATGGAAGAGAAACCGGTTGCAATGTTTTGGTGGGCGTGCTCATGCACTTGTAGGTGCTACTCTGCCCTAGTTGACTATTGTTCCTTGTGTCTCTCGTGTGTCTAGCAAAGAGAGGTCGTCAAACCGACTTGGACTCCGACCGTTATGCTGCGCACTTTGCCTTCTCTTGACATGGCTCCTTCCAATCCTCTGTTCGGATGCTTACGCTTCGGCTAACTCGCCGTTCCGCTGCTTCCGGCACCGTCGACCTCTCTCTCTCTCCCTCGCCCTCTCTCTCGCTCCTCGATACTGCCCATTCATCCGCTTCTTCATCTCATCTCGCTCCTCTCGGCTCAGCTGACAGCGAGTGCAAGCGTGCGTGTATAGGCTTTCTTTGAGGCCTGTCAGAGAGCGACACAGAAAAAGTAGAAATAGTCGAGATCCCCCACACCTTCCCCCATTGTCGCTTATCCCCTGCTGTCGTCCTTTCCCCACCTCCTTTCCCCATCTCCTTCCCCTTTCTGTTGTCCTTCCACCTTCTCCTCAAGAAACACAAAAGGAAACATCGCCCATCATGCCTGGCGGAGCTTCTACTGGTGAGCTCAATCATGTCTCCCAGGCCCTGGCCGACCACCGTCTCTCGATGGTCGGCGCTACTGGTGCCAAGGGTCTCATCAAGAACGCCCGTACCTTTGCCATTGCCGTCTTTGCCTCCATGGGTGGTCTCATCTACGGTTACAACCAGGGTATGTTCGGTCAGATCTTGAGCATGCACTCTTTCTCTGAAGCCAGTGGTGTCACTGGTATCCAGAACCCTACCCTCTCCGGTTTTCTCACTGCCATTCTCGAGCTCGGTGCTTGGGTCGGTGTCTTGATGAACGGTTACGTCTCGGATGCCATCGGACGTAGAAAGTGTGTCGTCTTTGGTGTTGCATGGTTCATTCTCGGTGTCATCATCCAGGCCTGCACACGCGGCGGCTCCTACGACTACATTCTCGCTGGTCGCTCCATCACAGGCGTCGGGATTGGCTCGCTCTCCATGATAGTCCCTCTCTACAACGCCGAGCTTGCTCCTCCTGAGATCCGTGGTTCGCTCGTTGCCCTTCAGCAGGTAAGTTGACAGGTCGAGACTCATAGCAACTCCTTGACAGTTGCCCTTTGCACCTCGTCAGGCTCTTTTTTCTTCTTCTTTTCTTTTCTTTCTTTCTCCCCATTGCATTTCATTTATGTCGAACGTTGCTGACACCAACGCCATCTTCTCGTCATCGTTTGCCATGTCGTGTCGTCTCTTCCTTCTAATCTTGACAGCTTGCTATCGTCTTTGGTATCATGATCAGCTACTGGTTGACCTATGGAACCCAGTACATCGGTGGAACGGGCATTGGACAGAGCCGTGCCGCTTGGTTGGTCCCCACCACCATCCAGCTTGCTCCTGCCCTCATCCTTGCCGTCGGTATCCTCTACCTTCCTGAATCTCCTCGTTGGCTCATCAACGAGGGCCGTGAGCAGGAGGCTCTCAAGGTCATCGCCGGCCTTCGTCGTCTTCCCGAGAACGACCTTCTCGTTCAGATGGAGTACCTCGAGGTCAAGGCCCAGAAGCTCTTCGAAGACCGTGTCTCAGTTCACGACCACCCCAACCTCCAGGATGGCTCACGAAGCAGCAACTTCAAGCTCGGTGTTGCCCAGTACAAGTCTCTCTTGGTCAACCCGGCCAACCTTCGCCGAACACTGGTCGCCGTTCTCGTCATGCGTAAGTTTCCTAGAACCTCGACGGTATCTGAACCTAGCTATATATATATATATATATAAAGGTATAGAAAGCTGACCTGGTTTCAACTTTATCCTTTATATCATCGTCAAGTGTTTCAACAATGGACGGGAGTCAACTTTGTTTTGTACTACGCCCCTTTCATCTTCCGACAGATCGGTCTTGACGGTGGCTCCATCTCGCTCCTTGCTTCAGGTGTTGTCGGTGTTGTCATGTTCCTCGCCACTATCCCTGCGGTCCTGTACGTTGACACTTGGGGACGCAAGCCTACCTTGATTGCTGGTGCCGTCATCATGGGTATCTGCCACTTTGTCGTCGCCATCATCATTGCTACGTGCCGTGACAACTGGCCTGCCCACAAGGCTGCTGGTTGGGTCGCATGCTCCTTCATCTGGATTTTCGCCATGGCGTTTGGCTTCAGTTGGGGACCTTGTGCGTGGATCATAGTGGCCGAGGTCTTCCCTCTCGGTCTTCGTGCCAAAGGTGTCTCGATCGGTGCCTCTTCGAACTGGCTCAACAACTTTGCTGTTGCCATGTCTACGCCTGACTTCATCACTGCTGCTCCTTACGGTGTCTTTATCTTCCTCGGCATCATGTGTATCATTGGTGTTGGCTACATCGTATTCTTTGTTCCCGAGACCAAGCAGAAGACTCTTGATGAGCTTGACGCTGTCTTTGGTGACAACTCTGGTCGCTCGCAGTGGGAGGCTGGTATGATGCTCCAGGCCCAGCGCGACGTTGGTCTTCTTCGTCTTGCTGGCATCGACGAGGGAAAGACTGGCGCTGCTCATGCAGACAGCTCTTCGGACCACGCTGACGAGAAGCACCCTGACTCTCACTGGGACACTGATGCCAAGAAGGAGGGCACGTCCTCACTTTGACTGCCCAAGTCGCTCAGCAACAGACCCCTCTCCTCTATATAGGAGTTGGAAGATACCCAGCTTTTCTCTCACACGTTCTCAAGGGTCTCTATCTAAGCTTTTCCTTGATCATCGGAGATTGCTTTCGTTATGTATCGCTTGTATGGTCGTCCATTGTAACTCAGAGGCTTGCAACACGTAAACCTCAACATAACTCTGTGCATAGTTGCGTTGAAGCGCATGGCACGCGGCAGACGTCCTTTCTTTGACAAACTGTTTGACGGCTAGTGAAAGTACATGGGCATTCTGTCCAACTGCTTTGTCGCCCGGAAGCACCTCGATGGTGTAATCAAACCAGGCGATAAGAAGTTCGATCGTAAGCTTGATGACAACCTGCTGCTCGAATGCTCTGAACACCAAGGCCTGTACTGTACCGGCCGGGAACAAGCCTACTGAAGACGGCTGAGGAGTTCAAATGAAGCTGCAGAGGGGCGCAGTGGTGAAAGGCCAGAGGGAGCTGTATGAAGCGGATGGGAATGGATTGGGAGCAGTGTGTTTTGGATGCGGTTGAATACAAAAATTGAATAGAAAGGGGGGCGGCCAGGGGCTTGGCAATCTCCAAAGTGTCAATACAAATCGAGCAACAAAGGCACTAAAGCAAAGCAAAACACGTCTCTTTGAATTGTCAAAATCAATACAGAAACGCGTCCCTTTGTTGCTCTCTGGCATGCCAGCCTCTCGTCTCTGCTCCTCTGCCTTTGTCTTGCTTTGCTTTGCCTTGGCTTGCTTGATAGAGTGGAGCTGCGCGCGACCATACACTTGCTCGTCATCATCATCTCCACCACCACCATCTCTATCTCTCTCTTCCGCTCGCGACCCTCTCTCCCCTCTCTGTTTCACATCCTCCCCCCCCTTCCTCCCCCGGCCGGATCCGCTCCTGTTGATCAGCACAAGTCTATTCAGCAGTCGTCTACACACAGCTCAACGCGACAAAACACACCAGTCTTAGCATTCACCAAGACACAGCCCCACCCCCACCTTTGACAGCACAATGAAGACCTTGATCCTCACCACCGCTGCCACCCTCCTTCTCGCCGGCTCATCGGTAGCACCGGTTGCTGCCCAATCCAACTCCACCTCTATCCCCAACAACGTCTCTGCTAGCTGTTCCACTTTCCTCTCCTCTCTCAACTCCGACTCTCAACTCGACGCCTGCACCAAACCTCTTCTTGCAGCAACCAGGTTCTACTCGTCCAACAGCACCGACAGCACGGCTCAACTCGACTCGACTCTCTCGGAACTTTGCTCTAGCAACACCGGTTGCGATTCTAACATCATCCGTCAACGTCTTGACCAATTCTGGCAGAACTGCCACACTGATCTTCAGTCTAAGAATGAAAACGTCCAGGCTATGTACGATAACCTGTACATGATCACTCCTTTGGTCAGCTCAATGTGTTCTAAGGATGAGAACGGGGACTACTGCTTGAAGACCATTGCTAAGGCTGCAGCTTCTTCCCAGCGCGTTGCTCGTCGATCCCTCCCCACCGCCAAGGATGATGAGCAAGACGAGGAGGCAGAGGAGACAGTAGCCCAATTCGAAAAGCGTCAGAGCGAAAACCTGGACGGAATCTCCAACGTCGCCGACTCCACCGGTCATTCCAACACAAACGCAGCTTTCCTCTTTATCTCGCCCACCTCCCCCAAGAGCATCCTTTGCTCTCAATGCACCCAGAACATCTTGGCAAGTTACATCAAGTTCGAGACCTCCATCCCATACGCGATTGGTTTGAGGACAAGTGAAATTTTGGCTCCTCAGAGTGATATTTACAAAGCAGCAAAGACCGATTGCCGAGCCGGTTTCGTAGCAAAGGTCAACAAGATTGCTAATACTACTCAGTTTGCTGCCGTGGTTAGTGGTGCCGAGAGTATTATGGGTGGAAAGAAGGGTTTGGGGGTCATGGCTACCGTGGTGGCCAGTGCGGTTGTTGCTGCAGTTGCTATCTAACCAGTTCGAGGGCGTACAGAGGGATCATCGAATTGGCTGGTACATCCGTCTGTCCCCATGCCCTCTTCTGTGTAGGAATAGCAGAGTGCATTGCATGTTTCATTCATTTCGCTTACTTTCCTTTCCTTTTATCGTGCATCGCATTCTTCTCCAGCGGTTTCTTTCCTCGTTTAGCGCTTTGTCTTTGTTTCTTATCAGCTCTCGATCGCTTCGTCTTGTTGTGTTTTTTTTTTGTTCTTTTTTGGATACTAGTAATGGTTCCTCCTCACACTCTCATTTGCTCCCACGCTCTGTGTGATTCACGTTCGTGTTCGAACAACTTGCATTACCAATTTCAGCTCAACACTAAGTACCGACATTATCACAGGCCGTAAGGCCACAATACAAGCCCGAAACCATCAACAGTCCACCAGGTTTTCCTTCCCGATCCCAACCTGCGTAAGGCCGATAGAAAGCACTGGCACTACTAGCAACGCTCACCTCATCTTCCCCTTGTTTCCCGGCCCTTGACGTCTCTCCCGTGCTTTGCAGTAGGGTGCGAATCCGCCACTGGGAATTATGTGATAACAGAAAATGATGGGCTGGTAGAGGTGCTTCTTTATCTTCCCATTCCTCTCCTACTGTCATCTTGGAAGAAGTAGGGTTAGGCGTGATGGAGATGGTCCAACTTGGACTGGTTTTCTTGGTAGGGTTGCGAGCCATTGCGATTAGTTTCAACGGTGCTGGGTGCCCGGTTGCTAGCAGCGCATGACCACTGAAGATGTCAGTCGAGTTGAGGGTGGTGGGGTAGGAAGTGAAAGCGAGATTGTCTACTCTGAATGGAAGATGAAGTTTCGTTTTGAGATGAAGCCTGCTATCCCAGGCAAAACGTTCCGAAGTAGGAAAGGAGGTGTAGAAAGAGGTAGGCGTCGGTGCAACAACATCGTACATCCAAACACCAGGATAGGTCGTAGCAGCAACAACAAGTGTTTTTGCGTCTGCGGTGAGGACTAGACCGTTGGCAAAAGGTATACCTTTAGCTATGACCTTGGCACGAGCCTTGCCGTCTTCTTCTAGCTGCACTAGTGTCACCCAACCCAGGGGTAGACCCAGGAGGGTTTCCATCTGAGCTAGAATCGCTGCTACTCTTCTGTTGTGCAACACTTTCGCCAGTGATTCTACGAGCAAACTCTTCCAACCCTCCACGTTGAAACTTCCGAACAAAACATGTGAGAGGAAAGGGCCCATGTGACTATCCACAGGCCCTGGTCTGCGAGCGAAGAGGTGATCGTTAGTCACAATGAACAACCGATCCGATATAGCGTGGATCGAGTTCGGTGTATGTGTTGCCAAAGGATGCACCACCGACTTGAACCAGTGTGCTTCCCATCCCTTGCCTCCCTCTGGCTGTTTTAGATCAAACACTTCAACGCTGCTACGAAGTTTACCATGATTCACCACGAACAACCTCCTCCCCTTCCCACCTCCCTCAGAAGGACCGAGAAGGGAGAATCCAAGTGGATGAAACTCGCTCTCACTCGCAAAACCCCTCAGCTCCACCTTTACCGCCTTCCGCCTCTCTTGCTCAGCGGCTGTGGAATATTCATAAGTAAACAAGCCACCTCTAGTCTCCGGACTGTTCAGGGGACCCATGACAGTATTCCAGCCGGCCCTGTTCGCATCGCAACTGATAAGAACCGTTTCCTGTTCTGACCCAGGAATCAAATGGAGGTCTTCGCAAAACTTAAAGTCTTCCCCACCCGAGACTGGATAACATTCCGGTCGAGCCGCAATGGCTGCAATCGTACTCGCTTCGCTCGTGGGTCTGACCCATAAATCAGGCATTCCAGAAGGTCCCAATGCCGAATGGAACCATGGTAGGTTGAGTAGGATGGGGACAATCAGGATCGCCAAGAGTCCGATTTTGATCGCGCGATTGGGAGAACCTGCTACCGGCACAGATGAGGGAGTGAAGGAGGAGGAGGAAGAGGAGGAAGAGCGGGACGAGAAAAGTCGTTGTCGCTCCTCTTCAGCGCGCATCTTGCGTAGGTAGGTGAATGGCATCCTTCCCCTCAACACTGACCCGTTGTTGAGTACGGCTTGGGGATTGAGTTGGTGGTCGTCTGAAGGAAAGAGCTGTTGGCGATGAACCTTGGACTTTGTGGCTTGAACTGCGTGGTCAGATCATCTGCGATTGGCTCATGCACTTTCGGACAAGTTAGGAAAGACAGCTCAGATGACTGATATGGCAGACAGAGCTTGCTCACCGCAGCTCGATCCGCCGGTAGCAGCTTTCATTTTGATCCACTTACCCCACACTCACTCGAATCTATACAGCCTCACTATCTCACTGACAGTCAATCTCAACATGAGTGCGCAGTGTCTGGGTCATGTGCAGATTGATTGCTTTTTTGAAACGACTCCCTAAAGACGATGGGGAAGAATAGTATCGTACATGCGATGAGAGAGCCGTAACACCGTGGATGGGAATCAACCATCAGGGTGAGGGTGGAATGATGATGATGTAGGAGGAATGTAGCGTAGACTGCTTTCACCACTAATAGGGTCAATAGCAGCTAAATGCATGATGGGGACCATGTATAGATGACACGAAGCCGATCGCTGGAATCAGGCTCCTAACGGACCAAAAGTGGTTGTTGTCGATGATGAGGGTCTGTGCGATGATGAGGGTCTGTGTATATTTGTGTGCGTGAGAGTGAGAGAGAGAGAGAGAGAAAGAAAGAATGTGCGCAGGAGCAATGTAAGAAACAAGAACAGAGAAACAAGAAAGCCAAACTAGGTAACAACACAAAATGATAGATTATGCGCTGAAACAAGTTTACTTCTTCTCCTCGGCCTCGTTCTCGACAGCAATGATGGCGGCACGCTTCTCGAGGACACGCTGAGCACGACGCTCGCGCATGGCCTTGTTGCGCATACGACGAGCCTCCATCTGATCGGCGAGGTGCTTGGATCGGGTAGCCTCGGCCTTGGCCTTGTGGATGTGCTCCATGAGGACACGCTTGTTCTTGAAAACGTTACCCTTGGACTTGAGGTAGAGCTCGTGGTAGAGGTGCTTGTCGATTTTGCCAGACTCACGGTACTTGCGGAGGAGTCGACGGAGGACACGCTGACGTCGCATCCACATGACCTTGGTGGGCATACGGGCCTCGGAGGAACCCTTGCGGTGACCCTGTCCGGTACCACGGCCGGCACGCTTGGCGGCGGCGGTGGCACGGGCGCGGGATCGGGAGCCACCAACGACGGGCTTGCGGATGATCTGACCGTCACGGATGAGCTTGCGGATGTTGGCACGCGAGTTGGCGTTGCCAATGTCGTTCTGCTCGGCGGGGTCGAGCCAGACCTTGCGCTTACCGCATCCGAGGACCGAGGCAGCGAGACGCTTCTGTGTTCTGAGGTTGACCATCTTGATGCCTGCGAAAGTTGCAAGAGGAATAAGTAAGATCAAGGAGGGGAAGGAAGAAAGAGGTCAGACACGGATCCTGGCTGTCGAAAATTCAAGTTGAACTCTGCTCCTGGCACTCCTGCTGATCACACAAGACAAAAATTTGGCGGTGAAGATGCGCAACTGAAGGCCGGGCTTTGATCTGACGTTGGAAATGCTGGACTGGCGAGGCGTAAGGCGTGGCGGCAGCGGAAGGAGCTGCCGAACGACAATTGGACTTAACCGCATAGGCAGTATTGCCGAGCATGGTCATCCACTCTGAAAAGACGTCTTCGCGGAGCCATGGCGGCAGACAGAGTGGTGTGTGGAAGGACCATGCTTTGTCGTCTTGGGGTTCCCTTGCATCCACATGTCGTGTGCGATTGCGGATTCGGGCCTCTATCGATATTTCGACAGCAGCAAAATCTTTGAGGGTAGTCATGCCATCACATTTGTTCAGATATAGTCCCCAACTCTGCTGCAATGAATGCAGTTGAAGCTCGAAGACGCCGTAGAGTTGTAGAGGTTGGGCGCTGCCATCTGCTGCTGATGCTTGTCTGATGCCTACTTGAACAGAATGTTGATAGTGCCGTATATGTGTGATGGAGAGACGGAAAGCTGCGAGAGAAGCTAGTATCGTAATTGGATCGTAAAACGGAGGGTCTGTGGTATCGAGTGCTGATTGGTATCTGTTGATGCTGTTTTCTTCGTTGCTCTGACTGACTGACTGCGTGGTTGTCTTGGATGCTGGAATGACGTACCCTCTTTGGCCTGATATGTGGTGTTGTGTGTGGGATATAGCAGGAGTGCAAGAATAAAGAAAGTCGTTGATGCGACTACTTACGTTCGTAGGACTTGAGGGGGTCGGATGATGAAGACGAGGAGAGGAAGGGAGATGACGACCAAGCCTGAAAGTCTGACTGACTCTGCAAGCACACTCAAGGGGGTTAAAGGAGTCCGTGTGGCAGTCTGCTGCCTCGAAAATTAGAGTCGAGTCTGCGCGCTCACGCCTGGATGGAATGGCTGAGTAAATCTTGCTTGTCAGCCCTCACTCTGCCGTCTGCTGCCCTCACTCTTTCCCTTGTGTTGCAAGAGACTGACCAGCAAGCCCTTGTCCTGACTGCCTCTGCCTGCCTGCAAGCAAAACATAAACTGGATTGCGGTTATCCCCAACCTTGAATTTCGTCTCTCTACCCAGCTGTGCCCTTTGAACGCAAAGAACCTCAATCTTGTATTCTACCATTACAAGATTGCACATCGGCCGAGCCTAAAAATACAGCACTTGTGACTACAAAATTCAATTGATTTTTCTTTTTCCCTCTGCCAGGTATTAAGATGATTTTTTGGCGCGCAAACTAATGAAATGAAATTCAGGCTTTGCTACTCGAAGCAAGTTCGAATTTCTGTCTGCGCTCTCCGGGCCTGAACTTTTGTGGTTGCAGACTGAGTCTTTCCGAGTCTGCTTGAGAAAATAAATAAAAAACAGGCAGCAGAGGGCGGTATCGTTGTCGAACATAGCTGAAGCTACTCAGCCTCTGCCAAATTTCTGTTCCTCCTCACTCGCGCGCTGGAAATCAGAGGCAGCACAGCGCGATTTCGCCCCTACAAGCCAGCTTAGTCCAACGGAGCCAATCGAGCGAGAGACAGTCGGTCAGTTAGTCACTTGGACAACCGCCACTCACCATTATCCTTCTCCTTTCTCCAGTAACACACTCGCATCCTCATACATCAAGATGGTAAGATATCCATTTCAGCATCATCATCAGCATCATCATCAGCATACGTCTCCTATCGCAGCATCGCATCCACGCAACAAGCACCGGATTTGAATCGGCATTTCAGTAGCAACATTCGACACAGCAGCTTGGTACATCGACAAGGTACAGCCCGACCCCCTATGGTGGCCTCCCACATGCTCAAACACAATGTCTCTGACAGCAATGATGGTCCACGCTCACGTACACCGGCCTTGTTACACATCCAGGCTCAGAGATAATTACATCTTAGCGTGCGATGAATGCACCATCAACACCAATGACCACAGCAACCAATCCACCATCTCGACCTAGCTTCCAGCCACCAAGTGAATCACAGACACCCCCAACTTTCATCCCTTTCATGCTTCTCGACGCAGCATGCAGCATTGCGATCGTTCTAGACGAATCATCGATCGACCAACAGATAGGTGACAAGCGACAGAGAATGCCTGGATTTTTACGCCACCCGCACCAGATCACCTCCAGTACAACGTCACATTTCTTGTGACTCGTTGACACAACCTCGTTTCGCACCAGATCGAGCTGTGATGTCGATGATTAAGTCGGATTGCAAGGCGCTCACGCATGGTTTGGTGGCCACGTCGTCGTCGAGAGCCAGTTCGCATCGGAAAGCACATTCGCACCCCATAGATCGCGCAAAAGTGTGTAGACATGGCCTCCTCCGCCTTGGCCACCACTTTTACACCCTAGTCGCATGTTGTCCGGTCCCATGATTCAATGCCACTCAGCATCTCTCAGGTCACCTCTAAATACCGCGCTCGACCCGTTCAATCGCATCGCAGTCTCATCAAACGTCCACCTACCTGTACGGCAATCACTACAGCCGCTGCCGTTCTGCCGTGTTCAATCCCACACGCTCAACCCTCCGACCACTTGTTGCTGCTTTGCTGCGTTGCGAGACGTATTGTTGCCACACTGGTCATGCTCAGATAGACGACTAACCATACTTTTCCTTTCGTGCTTGCCCTTTCCCTCGCGCAGACTCTCTCCGTCGACCTTCTTAACCCCTCCGCCGAGCAGCAGGCTCGCTGCCACAAACTCAAGCGACTTGTGCAGAACCCCAACTCTTTCTTCATGGACGTCAAGTGCCCTGGCTGCTTCGCCATCACCACCGTCTTCTCCCACGCCCAGACTGTTGTCGTTTGCGGCTCGTGCGCCCAGGTCCTTTCCCAGCCTACTGGTGGTAAGGCTCGTTTGACCGAGGGCTGCTCTTTCCGTAAGAAGGCGTAAATTGGTGTCTACCGACACCAATCAAACGTTTTCCTTCTCTCCCGGTTCCGATCAGCATCTTGTTCCACGCACATACACACACACACACACACACACACACACACGAAAAAAATGGATGTCTTCTTATAACATCCTTTAGAAAAGGATTGCAATGCCACTTGACGACGCCCAAGCAGGGATGATCTTGGCCTCTTCTTCCTTCTTTCTTTTGTATTCTGCACATGGCTTTCTTCTTGCGTCTATATACACCTGTTGAAGCGCATCACATCCAGTCATCCGCATTGCATTCATACATGCTTTGTAAACCCACACACAACGCACGCAATTTACCTTGCATTGTTCAAAACAAACGCTCACGCCTGAATCTGTTTGACCCTGTCTTGTGTTTGACCCTGTCTTGAGACTGATTGTGTGCAAAGCGGCTTGCACGAGCTCAGTGAAGCATTTAGAAATGAGCGTTCGTGCTTGAGGTAAGGAAGAGTATCTCTCATCTAGCCATGGCAAAATGGAGTTGCTTGACGGTAATAAATTGGTTTCTGATACATGTCAGCCAGAAGCACAGGCAGTGAGAGGTGAGTTGGAAGGAATGTTACTTCTTGCTTGTATTGCAGGGTAAAGCTGCTCCAATATGTCAAGCATGAGATGCGAATGTTGACGCTTACAACGCGCGCAAGAGATGTCAAACGATCCAACCAGCCCGAGGTCGAACTTCGTACCCCTCCGATCCGCGTCTCACCAACACCCTCCTCTCCTCCTCACTGTCCTCCTCACTGTCCTCCTCACTGTCCTCCTCACTGTCCTCCTCACTGTCCTCCTCACTGTCCTCCTTGTCCTCTTCTCGGTACTCATCTTCGAACACCTCTTCATGCTGAGACCCGTAATACTGCCCGTGATTGTAGTTGGCCGCGATATCAAGCTGATCCGCACTAGGTTCAGCAAAGTTCGGCATACACCCGGCAGCAATCTCCAGCTCGTCATCTGAGCCGGAAGAAATACTAGATCCTTCACTTTCCTTCTCCGTCTCTCTGAGCCAGCTATTCTGAACAGCATCTGCGTTAGGGCCGCGAAATCGAAGTGAGCTCGAGTTGGTTGGTCGGAGGTTTGGGTTGAAGCCGCTACCGTATGTGAACGGGGAGGAAGAGGTTGCGCCTGGTGGTAGGACCGGCGTTGTGGGATTGGAGGGATAGGAGGGGAATAGAGGTGGGGCCTGAGTGTCTTCCATTGCCCAACCATGTGAGGAGGAGTAGTTGGCATTTGATTTCGATGGGTCTTTTGGCGGCCATCTGTATTGAGCGCCCTCGTCTGCACGCATGAGATATATCAGACGGTTGTCAGCAAAGCACATTCGAAGAACAGCCAGAACGATCAGAAGTGAAAAAGTCCAATCTATGTCTATTGGGAGGGTGAGGAGGAGAAGGAAGTATATAAACGACGAATAACGATTGGTTGTTTACGCTCCCCTCCCTCCCCCTCGCCTCACCTCGCCTCCCCGACTACCTCACCTCCCATTTGTTGCTGCTGCCATTCCTGCCATCGTTGCCAACGTGATTGCTGTCTATGCCAATCGTCGCACCTCAAGCTGTGCAACACGGAAGTCTCCAACTCTGGATCGACAAAACATTCATGTTCCTCATGCAAAACCACCTCCTCTTCCTCTTTATCCCGCTCACCCTCTACACACATCTGAACCGTGGCTGAATCTTGAACCTTTGTCCTCTCTCTCCACCTGCTTGACTTGACACTTGTAAAGAAGCATCTCGAAACTCTGTTTCTTCGACTTCTAGTGTACTTACCTATTCCATCTGCTGTCTCATACCAGACCCCTTCGCCCTTGCCCCCCATAGCTTTACCTGGAAGACACCAAGTAAAAACGTTATCTCCCATCACGCTCCTCACGTTCCTCCACACTCCCAAATCATAGGGATACTTTAGCTTCCTAACCCTCCCTCTCCTCACCATCGTAGCTACTCTATCCTTCTCCCAAGCCTCTATCGTCGTCTGATTCGATGCGACACAGTAAAAATGATAGCCACTAAACACTCCGACGAGCACCAAGACCGGTATACACAAGGCATAATTTGCAACTAACCAAACAATCTCCCTCCCACCTGGCTCTCTCCAATAAGTATATGTGTTAAAGTTATCCAATACCCTACATGAAATCATCACCAAGTGATAGAAACATGTCACATCCACAAACAATAGAAATCGGATAAAGTGAGGATAGTTGAAATGCCCAACGCAGTTCGCAAGCCAAGGACAGTGATGGTCCATACGAAGAATGCATCGACGGCAAGTCTTACAGTGATGAGAACGAGGTGGTTTGTAAGCCTGACATCTTTTGCAGTATCGAGGACGGAGGATTGTTTCTTTCAACTCTATTGATTGTGATTCTCCTCTTGAGGGTGTTGTTGGGGGATGCAGTGCAGACCAATCAGGTTGCCAACCCGGAGGTACGGTACCTGGATCAGTAAATATGCAGAGGTAGTAGTTGTAAAAGATAGCCGTCAAGCCTAAGTTGAAGGGTATTAACACTGCTGCGAGGCCCCAAGGCGCGAAGGAAGGCGTTTTGTGGAAGTAGGGGAGCATGATGCATAGTTGTGAAGAGTAACCGAGTGTGGCGATTAGGGTTAGGGTCAGGCAGATCCAGATGTATTCGGATCGTTTGAGTGACTTTCGTCTTCCGCGAAATGGTGTGGGGGCTGGTGAAGTTGATCTTGAATGAGAGCGTTCATGGCCGGTATGAGGCGTGCTAGATTTGTGCTCCTTGTCTTCATCCTGGAGATGAGATGGATCGTCCGAGAGCAACGGCTTTGCTTCTCGTGTTACGCCGGTGGGGTCGCCGAGTTCAGCATCACTCTCTGAGCTCGGATATGCTCCGTCCTCTCGGTCCCCTCTTTGCGCACTACAGTCATTCCGCGACTTGACCGCCGCCTTACAAGGCTCGTGAACCGCTGAGGAGAGCTCTTGCGCCATATTGCTTGTCGCTCTCGCGTCTGTAGATCGCTTAGACGGCCATAATCGTCAAAGCAAGTCTTTTACTTGTCAGTGCGCCAGCGCGTGGCTTCGATGCTTCCGATCGTAGAATCTGTAGCAAAAACCTTGACGTGGTGGTAGTCGTGAAGATCGCAGAGAGAGAGACGAATCAAGCTATCTTGAACAACTAAAGCCGTGCACCTTTCGCTGCATTTCGCCCAGACCCTTGGCACAGCCGCGCGCGAGACACTCAATTTAAAGTGTTACTTTTCACCGGCCAATTTCTTAGCCCAACCACAAGCCATAGAATGTCCTCAGCTCACAAAAGACCCTTCATGATTGAGTCAACAACAAGCAGACCACGCAACTGAGGCGTGATCTCTTTTCGACTGAGTTTTGTCCTCGTTGCTATGCAGCCAGTTGAGTTCCAGCGTTGAATCACAAGCAGTCGAGATTTCGGTCAAACTTGAGGTCTAAAAAGGCGACTAGATCACCGTCTGCATCGAAACTATATACATGGGACGAATACGCCGTTCATCTGCTCTTGAGCTGGCGCGGGGAGAGTTAGGAAGGAACAGATCCTGACAGTGGATCAAAAGAGAAGCTGAGCAAGAGAGCAAGTTGGAGATCCGCTCAGAAGCGTGATAAGAAAGTTCCGGAGCATGTCCACTAGAAGTGTTGGTGTTGACCGCACCTACCTCACAGACTCGCTTGAGCCCATACAATGACCGTGGGCGCTTGTTTGCACCGGCTGTCCACTTCACATAACGATACAGCAAGAGTTCTGCTTCTTAGCCGTCTTATAAAACATCTTTGACTGTTCGCTCAGAGTTCCACTTTTCTCCACCAACTTATCCAAATCTTCACCTCTCTGCAAAACCGAGTCGATTGTCTTGTGCTGTTCCCATCGATCAAAGTCACAGATGGGGTCAGTAACCTTACTCTAACCCTCTCCTCCTCTTTTGCTTCTTTGTAAAGGGGTTCGGGTACTTACCAGCACGATCTTAGTCTCGTCCAGTTCCTGTTGCACCTTCATGATTGTGTCTGCCTGTCTTGGGTCCTGATACCTCTTCACATAGTCGACGGACTGCGGGAAAGCTGAGAGGCCGAGCAAAGCTTCTCCTTTGGGAGGGGCGGTAGCAGAGCCGGTTGTGATTGCGTTTACTTTGGATTCCCATTGCGATTTGGGGACTTTGATGACGAATTCATCGAGAGTTTTGTTCAGGAGGGAAAATGCGACTCGGACGGGGTATTCTGTGTCGGTGATAAGGACGCCGGTAATGCCATCGGATGCGGGTCGAGAGTGAACGTGAGCGACATAGGAGTTTTCTTGTACTGATTGTCGTTGTGTTGGTTGGGTTCGTTCTGCGACCGTCTGTGAGTAATTGCGATGAGAGATAGCAAGGCAAGAGAAAAGAGTTAGATAGAGTTAGCTAAGAAGACAGCAGGCGTTGAAAGGCAGATGAGAGGGCGAGAAAGATGCTTACTCGAGCCATGAACCCCATCATATCCTGTACGGTACCTCGTTGCAACCATGAAAAGGAACCCAATTCCCATGCTGTTGTCAAAGGAACAGCGCCTGCTCCAGGTGGACTGGCGAGAATGAGCAAGCCGTAGATCTGCATCTTGAATGAACCCGCGGAGAGGTTGAGGATGGTAGGTGGTGGTAGTGTGGAGGATTGATGGCGAGGTGAGAGAAAGTGGAAGCTCTACGCCTGCAACCTGTGTGAATCCTCGAGTTGTGTCAGGCGAAATGGACATTGCGTCAGGGGGCCAGCAAGTGTGTGAGTGAGTGAGGCACATGCACTGTGGAATTTTTTGTGGACTGGTGTGCAGTTGCGGTTGCTCTAACATCTTTGTTAAACCGTGACCTATTTCCAGCAGCCGCACGTCCACCAGATCTAACACTGCCGCCTCAACTCGAGAGATACAGTTACGACCGCTGCGACTGGCACTAATGCCAACACCATCTCACACACTTTTGCCACATCTTTTCTCAATGTGAAGGGCAGTATGTGCTGCTGATCATACAAATACATGCAATACCGACACTGAAAGAGAAGCCGGCTGTCCGCTTCTCATTTGCTCTCAGCATCCTCTCTCCCCTCAACCACCTTGCTCAAGAACCCGAATACAGCCCCAGCTCTCCTCCTATCACTCGCATCTGCTGCATCTCCCTCTCCGTCCTTTGCTCCTTGTGATCGCTTGAGCAGCGAATTTTTCGTCTCACTAACTGCATCCCTCCCAGGTACTTTAGAAACTTTGATCCTACCTGAACCAACACTGATACCTGCTACACCGATCCTTGTCACCTCCAACGCATCTAACGGAATCGAGGTGTGCGATGAAAGGTAGTGGTTGAGTGCTGGCAGCAATGGTTCGTCTGTTTTCGCATCACGGGGATGGATTCGAGTGTTAGCTATCTTCCCTTGTTTTGAGAGTGTTTCGAGAAGAAGGATTGGGCAACTTACCGAGGGACAACCCGTCAAGCAAACTCATACACACTTCCCAAGGAACCGTCAATGTCAGCGTGCTCAACTCCGGCGCTGGTCCCACAACCGTCTTCCCCCTCTGCCCCTCCGCTTTCGCCTTGAGCGGGAACGCAAACACCAACTCGACCGGTTTCACCCTCGCATCAGCCCCTCTTTGCTGCTGCGATCTCTCCACTCCCTCCTTTGTGCCCATCTCCGCTCTTGTCTGTCTCACAATCAGCTCTGCTAGTGCTTCCAAATTCCCGCCTCTCAACCTGGACGCAATCGCCGCCGCGCCGTTGGCAGAAGAAATCCTACAATCGAACCTCTTCTGAATCCAATCTAACGCATGAGCCAGTACTATCGGCCCAACATTTACCCCGGATACCGCCAACAACGGATCCGCATTAGCTGCAACAACAGAAGGAGCTTTTGTTGCAATCAAAGGATATCTTCTTGACGTGCGCGATCTATCGTCCCTCGTGGTGGACGCGGGGAAGAAAACAATGTGACATAGTTCTGCTGGTGTTGCTTCTTGTGCGCTTTTCGATCGGAGTAATGCGAGTCGGTTCTTGGAAGAATCTTGTTCAGCAGCGGCGGCGGGTTTGCCCAGTTCAATCTCAATTGCCCAGGGACGTGCTTTTGCTTCCTCACCGTTCTTTCCTTCCTGTAGCATTTCTGTGGATCCTTTGTCGTCGAGAAAGCCTATGCGGACGTGCCCGACTCGATCTGTATCTGCTCGTCGCCTTCGTTCGGGCGGACGCAGGTCGCCGGATTCGGGATCACGCGCGTCAATCGTCGGACCTGCTGTTTCGAGGAACCCAAACCCATCGCTAAGACGGAGGTTGATATAGTGATGGAGCTCAGTTCGAAGCATGTGGAAGAGTGGGCGGGAGACTTCTTGAATCGAATAAGGTAGTGAGGAGAAGTGCAGTGGAGAGACTGTATGCAACCGAAGTGTCCGGTCGAGTAGAAGGCGATCCGAACGCGCCCATTTAGGATCATCTTGAACGGTGCTTGCAGCAGCGGTGGAAGAAGAGTCCCGAGATTGTCTACGAATTCTAGATGCGGCCGAACCTGAGTCTGTAGTTGAATCGTCGCCTGATCGACGCGTGGAACCAATGGAGGGAGAGGGACCAGGGTTGGTGCGCTGTTTTTTGGTAGGTGTTTGCACTTTGCTCGTTACTGGTGGTCTCTTCTGGGCGCCGCCTGCACGCGATGCAGAGATGCCCTGATCCAGTGTTCGGCGTGATGATGATGACATGACTAATACGCTGCTGTGTTTGTGTTGAGGGATGCCTGACTGGCTGATGTCGAGCTTGGTCGACGAGATGCAAGCTGCTGTCGAGACGAAACGTGTGAATCTCAAAGCTGCAGAGAGGTTGTAGCGTTTGGTGCGTTTGGTGCGTGGCTCAATGGTGGAGACGCAGCGACTGTTTTTAAGGGTACACTTTTGCCTTGGACAGCTGCAATGGCGATGGGGATGATGATGATGATGATGATGATGATGGAGGAAGATCAAAAGCAACAAGTTGAGAATCTGAACCCTTGTCACGCCTGGGTACTCTATCGTGCGAATTAGTGACCCAATTCGCCTGCGTTGCTTCAGCGTGAACCCCCTCTCCCCTTCTCACTCACACCAGAATTGCCTCGTCAACCTTGCACGTTGTCTCATGAATCTCGAATCGCGGTCGCCACACAAGTCACGTCTCAAAACGCAGAATCACAGCCATGCAATGAAGAAAAGATTGAGGAGAAATGGTCCATTCAGTTGATGCTTTGTGCAAGGATGATGAGGCGGCAAAAGTGAGGAGGCAACAGAGCTTCGCCATGGCCTGAGCGGAACTGTGGTTTTCGCCCGTCCGACAGGGAAGGATGTAAGCAATAAACAGTATTTGACAAGGGAATGACGAGGAGGAATGAAAGAGGGAGATGCGAGACAGTTGCCAAAGCCCATAGAAAGGACCTCGGCTGGACTCCGAGCGCCTCCCACCTGACATGTTGTGGATTGAGAAGGCCTACATATTACAAGAACTCTAGGGAAGGTGTGTGTAGCAAACGTTCGAGACGACAAGCTGAGCAGGCAAGCGACGACAAACGGGAACAGAACGAAGGTGTGGGAGGGAGTATGCAGAGCGGAAAGAGTGTGTACGACAGATCGATGAGAAGAGAGGAAAGATGTCGGAGGTTTTTTGAGGGGGCGCTTACAGCGACTTGCAGAACGTGCAGTTCAGCTGGATGGTCGAAGAGAAGACCGCTGGCAAGATGATCAATGCCAAGAAGATTGCGTAGGCAAAGACGAAGAGGACCAAGTACCTCCATACGATCGACCTTCGCTGCTTGCGCTGACGAAGCGAGAAGATGGGGGCGTGAATCTGCTTCGATGGTCGCAGCCAGAACAGCGCTGTCGAGTGCAGCTTGTCAAAGTAGGGGATCAAGCATGGCAACGACAGGCCGAACAGCAAGACGTGCGCAGTGAGGAAATCGGCAGAGAAGAGCGACATCTCGATGATCTTGACAACAAATTCTCGTGCAGGCTGGCTGAAGGCGTGGCCACCAAGACCACGGCCGTACCATCGACCAGTCCACCAGGCGCGGTTGGTCTCGTCGTGTTTGAGTTCTCGCGAAAGAACAAGCGCGATGAGGATCTTGAAGATGGCTCGCTGGATAGCAATGACGGCAATGACGCCGAGAACGGCGTGCGAGGCGTTCCAGAGCTCCAAGAACCACAAAAATTCGAAAGCGACGATGACACCGATAACGGCGAGCACGTGAGCAATTGAGGCCATGATCGAACCGAACTTGGCACAGCAGTTGTTAAGCGCGGGGCCGAGGAACATGCTGATCAAGAAGAGCACCAGCAAGATAGCGGCATTCCACACGATAGGACCAAGAGCGATGATGGCGATACGAACAATGGCGCCCTGGGGAGGGTCTCCAGTCTGGTGGAAACTCTTGACAAAGGCGTAGGCGACGACAAAGATGACGGCAAGGCAGATGGGGAAGATGACCTCGGCGAACAAGATGGTCCTCCAACCGGCACGGGGGACGTCACCAGCGAGCTTCTCGCTTGGGTGTCCGAGACGCTTCTTCTTGTAACCAGTGACCTTGGTTCGGCTGAGACGGCAGTAACCGATCCACGAGTTGGCGTGACTGCGGCTGTTACCACGCGACATCCAGCGGAGGAACTCACGATAGTCGATGATAAAGTCTGAAGCAGAGAACTGGTGAGGGTTGAACAAGAAGGGAGCGATGCAGAGCGCCAAGATTGAGATCCAGAAGTAGATCAAGTGAGGGATCCAGAGCGTCAAGGTGATGTAGAGCAGCAAGAGCAAGAGACGCATACCCGAGTAGATCGAAGGACCGGCGAATCGACTGTACAGCAAGGCGAAACTCTGTCGGGTGGTAGCGAAACCACGACCGGTGGCAATGTAACGAGCACCACCAAAGGTCAAGTTGCTGATGATCGAGTGCGAGTAGATCATAGTCGAGAAGACCTCGAAAATGGGACTGAGAGACATGAAGTGCTTAGCCAATCGGATGAAGGCCGAGACGGCACCTCGCTCCGAGAGCTCTTGCAAGAAGAGTGGCAAAAAGGCAATCATGAAGACCAAGAAGATCGAGATAATGGTACGCTTGATCCAAAGGAAGACGGGGTTCAAGTAGTAGCAGCCACCAGTACCGACAATGTACTCGCTGTTGGTAGTAGCGCAAACACGCAGCTGCGAGTTGAGCGTACCAATGAAGACCATGGTGAACATGAAGAGCTGCACCGAAAGAATGACGAGAATGTTGTTGATGTGGAAACCAGGGTGACCGTAGTAGAAGGTGAGGAAGCGGTCGACGGGGAGCTGAGTGCCCAAATAGTAGTACTCTCGGGAAAGCATCTGCTCACCCATTCCGTTACCGAGCTTGGTAGTAAAGTTGAGAATCGTACCGAAACCGAGATCACGACCCTTACCACACTGGTAGTACTCGACGTGCTTGATGCGTCCGCCTCGTCCGAAGGCAGTCATACCGGCATAGATATCCTCGTTCAAGTGGAGACCCTTCTGTGCCTTGGAGACACCACCGCGTGTAGTCATGAAAATGGTGTTGAGGAAATCCGGGTGACCGTAGTGGAGCTTACCACCGATCTGAGCAAGACCTCGACCAGCCATGGTACCGAACGTCTGTTCCTTACCGGCAGCGACGTCACCAAGGATACCGATGTTCTCGGAGAAAATGTACTCTCGGGCACCGAGAATGGCAACGGGAGCCTTGGCAAATTCCTGATGACCGGATCCGTATGGGTTCTGATTGGAGACGTTGAAAGACTCGAACTCGCCAAGAACGCTGCGGACCTTGAGACACTCTTCGAGGTAGTTGTCCTGGTTGGCATCGATGAGCTGAACGTATTCGCCGCGGTTGAAGATGATGGCGTGGTTCTGGTTGTCCGACTTGCCGTCACCGAGAATTGGGTTACCGGGCAACTCGACGCGGAACTTGGGACGACGCTTTCCGTTGGGCAAGATCTCCGAGTGACCATCAACGAGAGAGGAGAACCAGCGCGACTCTCCACCTTCCTTGCGCGGCGCCTCCTCATCGAGGTAGGCGATCTGCAAGTCGGGGTAAGCACGGAGCAAGAACTCGGCATTTTCCTGTTCCTCCTTGTTGAACTTGGAGTAACGCTGCATCGAGATGACAAACTTGAACTTGCGGCGTGACATGCGCTCCAACTCCCGCTCGAGCTTCTCGGTGTTGCCGCCAAAGAGCTGAACAACCTCGGGGTTCTCGACACGATAAAGGAGCTTGATGGCCTTGGAGTAGTTCATGAATCCAGAGACGGTACGGTAGAGAGTCTGAGCACGGAGCGAAGACCAGATACGGGTTCGCAAGGTGTATTCGGGAGCAGCCGACTTGAAACCAATGCAGTAGAAGGGCAAGTCATCAGCCTTGGCCGAGTTCTTGGTTCCGGACTTCTCGTCGCTGTCACCACCGAAAGGCGAATTGCCACCGAAACCGTGCGACTCCTCTGCGAGGATCTTGGTGTCCTTGACAAAGTTGTCCCATTCGACGGGGTGAAGCTGCTTGAGATACTCAAGCAGAGTTACACGCGTGTTCTGGTCCTCCTCGCGAATAATCTCACGAAGCGAAAGCAGGATCTTCTCCGAGTAGTGGGGCACGAGGACAGTAAAGGTAGGCATGGCGTCGATGGGGAGAGGCTCGGGAAGGGCAGTGGTGAGCGATTGAGCAAAGAAACTGATACGACGCTCGGCCTCGGAACCCTTGGGGAAGAACTCGGGCTTGATACCCTTGTCGGACTGGCTGATGAAGAAGGTCGGGGCACGAAGAGTTCGCTTGCCGTTCTCTCCGGCAGGCACCTGGTGGTAGAGGAGCTTTTGAACGTGGTCGATGGAGAGCAAGTGCTCACGGTACATCGAGATGATGATGGCGTTCCACACCTGCGAGACGAGGACCTTGGGCTTGTACTTGATCTCCATGTCGGCGGTGGCGAGGAGCTTGGCATAGATACGCTTAGGCAATCGCTGGAAGATATCGGACCAGGGCGTCCAGATGGAGAGACCCATGTGGAAGGACCAGCCGATGGAGAAGACCGTGTTCCAGATGACGTACCAGAGGAAAGTGTCGAGGAAGAAGAGCGAGAGATCCATGATGGTCATAAAGGCCAACGCGAACGCAGGCTGGTTGGCACAGAGGGCGGTACCAAAGTATTTGTCGCTGCATCCCTGCACCTTCATGGTGATCATGACGGCAAGAGGATCACGGAACGAGAGGGTCAAGAAGAAGTACGACTCGGTAAGCTTGCATCCAAAGACGAGAACCCAGAGCAAGATCGAGACGGCACGATGGCTCTTGACCAAAGGAGCGTACGAAGCGGTGAAGGTCTGATTGGCCAGGTACTTTCGCGCTTTGCCTGCAACACGGTCGCCAAACATTCGGCCAGAGGGCAAAATGGAGAAGAGCGCAGTGATGCATCCAGCAAGAGCCAAGTGAACGATAGCAATGATATTGGCAATGTTGCCGCTGTTGTTGAAGCCAAAGACGTAGACAGCAGGGGCAACGGTGACAGCAAGACAGATGGCCAAGAAGATCATGCGGCGCATCAAGTGGCTCGTGTTGTTCCAGGTGGTAGGAATATACGAGAACTCGGCCATGGTGGCAGCAATCATGATGAGAGAGGAAACGGCACCGCCGAGACCGGCGGCGGAAAGCGACTCGGCGGTGGTTGGGTTTCGCGAACGAGCGTAGACCTTGGGAGCATTGTAGGCAGTGTAGTAGAAGAAGACGGAAATGTGCAAAATCCAGATACGGTTGAAGTTGACGAGAAGGTGGAAGAAGGAACGCTTCTCCTTGTAGGTCTTGAAGAAGACGCGGGGCCAGTCGATCTTGTCAAACTTCATGAAACGCTGGCTTGGAGGAACATCGACAAGACGGGTCTTGTCATTGAGGATGATCCTACCAATGCCCTCGGGGTACCAGAAGAGTTGGTTGACGTCGTCGTATCCGATAATCTTGTCATGGTCCTTCTCCTTCTTGACAAACTTGCCGTCCAAGACCTCGAAGACCTGGTCACGCAAGAAGCGGTAGAGAGGCTTGACAACAGCACGGAGGTAAAGACCTTCGGGGACGGGTTCCATGCGGTTCTGGCACTCGGGCGAGCGGTAGTAGTCGTCGGCACACTTGAAGATGAAGCAGAGACATTCGGGAACGAAACGGACCTGTCCACCCTCACCCCAACAGAGGAGGTAAAGTGCAAGCTGTCGGGTTCGGTCGTAGTCACTCATCTTGAGCATGGCATCTCTCCATCGTGCGGATGCTGTCTGCAAAGACTTGGCACTGGCAGTCTGGAGTTTTGCGGCTGCGCTGCCGGCGTTGCGACCGCGATTGGCCATGCTGGCTGCGCGGGCAAGGCCGGGGTTTTGCACCTTGCCGATGGCATCGTCGAGGTCAAGCTGGGCTGCAAAGTACCACTTGCGGTAATTGGCGTGCTCGCCGCCAATGTAGTCTGCGTGGATGGTCATAAGAGCCTGCTGTGGGGTCATGCGACTGGAACGCGAGTCGAGCATGATCATGAGGTGGTCATACATGTTGCGCATGTTGTCGCGTTGGAAACCGAACTTGTTGGCCAAGTCGATAAAGATGTCCTCGATCTCTTCTTTGGAGAGAGGGATGTTGTGCTCGGCGGTCCATGCTGGGTAAGGTTCACGCTGACGGTATGCACCGCCTGCACCAGGATCTGGGTAAGGGCTGGAAATGCCTGAGGGAGCATAGGAGGCCTGACCGAACTGGCTGGCTGGGCCAGATGGGTAGCCTCGTTGGGCAGACTCGGCCGAGTAGGCATAGCTGTCCTTGTAAGCACCGCCCTCGTAAGAGTCGGCATCGTAGCCGTGACCGGGGATGAGCTCGCCATCGGATCGTTCGGAAGCATATGTATCTCTGCGTTCGTTGGGCAAGTAGCTGGCTTCGCTGCTCTGGTCTTCGTGGAAGGCAGCGCCAGCGAAAGGGTTGACGGGTGACTGCTGATGCGGTGGGCCGCCAGCGCCGTGATGGGAGGACATGGCGGGCAGTGAAAAGTGTGGTTGGAAAAGAAGGCTGTTAGGCGTGGTGGAGAGGCTGTTGTTGTGTTTGTTGATGGATGGAGAAGCAAGTATCAAGATGCAAGCGTTGTGTGGATCGAGTGCGGATTGCTGCAAGCCTATCAAAGGCCACAAAGATGCTGCTAGACGATTGTTCGCTGTAGATGATGCGTCTGCCTGTGCTTGTTGTTGTTCGTCGTTACAGGGATGTTGTTGAGGATTGAAAGAAAAGAAAGAAAAAAAGGACGACTCCTAGCGTGATGGGAAGAGAAGTGACGAGAATAACAATGGCCAGTAGAGTGTCGTTGATGCGCCTACTTGCTGTGTTTCTCGTATCTCGACTTTGTGTCGGATGACGATCTGTTTTGCAATGACCTCAGCCCTGAACAGAGAGAAGGTCGGATGATGAAGGGCTACAATGCGTGTCGGAAGGATGGCGAGGGTGAAGTGAGAAGGTGAGGATGGCGAAGACGAGGAAAGGTCAAGCTTGCTTTGCGTCGGTCGGTCTGATCACGGACGCGCAAGAGCAAGCGGAGAGGATGAATAAGAGGAGAGGATGGATAGCAGCAGAGCATGGATAGCAGCAGAGACTCTCACTGTCTCGCTCTGGCTGGCTAAGAGATTGATTCGCAGCCAGAGAGGGAGAATTGAGTGGAAAGAATACAACAGCAACTGACAGCGAACGATGCGCAGATCGTTAGTTTCAGCTTCTCTATTCTCAGTTTCTCGGCGGCGGCGCCAGGGAAAGAATCCGAGAGGCCAACTGGCTCAGGGGCAGCCAAAGCCCAGAAGAGAGAGAGAGAGAGAGAGAGAGAGAGAGAGGAGCGCACGCAGACTGCCCAGCACAGCCAGCAATCTTGGCAAACGCACGCCGTGATAGGCGCAGGAGCAGTGACACATTTCACATTTCACAGCGACTTGCCTTCAGCCGAGCGGACATAACCAAGGGCAAAAGGCAAAGCAAAAAAAAAAATCAATAAAAAAGCAAAACAATTCAAAAACCATCATCACTTTAGGCTCAGCAAGACCGCCGCCTGGGACAGCGCATCTCCGAGGTCGGTGCGGAGCGAGAGGAGAGAGCAAGGCGAGTTAGCGTTGACCGGCTTCCTCGCACACATTGCAGCCCAAAATCTACGCAAACAGTTTTGTCGCTCTCTGAGCCAGGTGTGATTTCAGTGTGGAAGCGAGAGCTCTTCGAAAAGTGAATACCTCAGGGGCCCTGCCGATCGGCACCCTCCCGTTCGTTGCAAGGTAAATACTGTTCAAGTGCCTTGGCAATTCGCGTTTGAGATTCGAGATGGTCACAATTGCTTCTCCCACTGTGCCGTGTAGAGCATCTACAAGGTTTAGCAGCAGAAACCCAAATTTTACTCACTTTTGGATTCAATTATCGCGTCACACTTTTTTTTTTTTCTTCTTTTTCTTCTTTTTCTTCTTCTTTTTTTTCTTCTTCTTCTACACATCCGCTCTGCTTCTATTGCAGCGTCAAAGTGTGTCGACATGGGCGAAATCAAACATTGGCCTTCTCTTAAGGCGACGAAGGATCGAGGTTGCATTGCATCTCTGTTGCCAGCGGTGCGCTTTTCGGTCAGGATGGCCGCTTTGTTCTTCTTTGTGGAAACTAGAGAGGAGACGCTTTCTCTTTGCTCACCTCATTGCCGCTGCATGGGAAGATCGACAAGATGAAGAAGCCTCTTCTTATGTGGACCGTGGATAGAATTCACCGACGTTTGCTAGGCGCGCTTCTCTTTCGTGCGACTTGCTTTCAAACTTTTATACAGCTCTCCCATACTTGATGTCCCAGGGCCACCTTTGACGAGGAATGTCAGGTCTCCAGCGGTCTCGACAATCAAAAACCGAGTTCAAGCGGTTTTTGATGCCTCAAATTCCTATCTCTTTTCGCAGCTTGCTTCCTTCTCGACAGCCAAACCCCGCCCAGCGCGCGCCTCCTCTATCACACGTCACTTTTCCTCACGAACCAGGAGAGGACGACATTGGACAGTGCGAGACATTGCCGACTCTTTAGCGTCACCAGTTCTCGCAGCTCTGCCTCGCATCGAACCAAGAACACAGAGAAGAAGCAGGAGCATGTGTGCTCAAACTAACAGCAGCAACAAATGCTCGGATCACCCGAGAGCGGAAAGAGCGATGATTCATATTCGGCTGCCTCTCCGCCAAGGCGATACAGCGCACCTCCTTACTTTGCCCATTCCCTTTTCGCGATTGGTTCAGCAAGGTTTGACAGCACACATCCACATCCCGCCGATGGCTTGAAAGCTCGCCTCAAAGACCCTCAGCTTGGCACACCATCATCGCAATGTGGAGAGCAACGAGATTGGTAAGAGCTAACAAGCGCTCGCTGTCTGGCTATGCAATTGAACGCTCCGACAGTACTTAGTTAGCCTGGCAACACCTCTGCTTCTCTTCATGGCTGTTCGGCACGGCTTTTCCGATTGCTCACTCTCAGAGCAAGAGAGGAGATCGCAACTTCCGATGACCGAGAGAGTAAGCGTGGGAATGGAAGCGCCACTCTTGAGAAAGGGTGCAGGAAGCAGACCGAGCGAGTCAATGTTGCTAATGAGGTGGTGACCCAGCCGTCAAATGCGAATGCTGCACCCTTTATCAAGGCTGCACTTAGAGATGTGAAGGCGTATTTGAGCAGTAAGGCGAGCAGTGTATTGGTCTCTTATAGTACTACCCATCCTCCTAATGGCAGAGAGCAGTGGAGAGATATGCTGGCCTACTACCTAACCTGTGCATCTGCCGCTACCAGTGTTGATCTTTATGCGTTGAACAGTTATAGTTGCTGTGCAAATAGCTCCTTCTCCGCCAGTGGAGATTCGACTTTGACGCACGACTTTAGCTCTCTGCCCGTGCCCGCCTATCTGTCCGAGTTCGGATGTGTAGAGGCGGTGGGAACGGGTGAGAGACCATGGTCCGAAGTTAGCGCCTTGTTCAGTAGACCGATGACGGATACATTTAGTGGTGGTGTGGCATTTACTTATTTCCCTCAGCCTAGTGGGGTCGATTATGGGTTGCTTAATGTAAATGCTGATCAACTCACAACAAGCGAGTTGCCAGTATCAACAACACTTCCTCCCACACCAAACACCCAGCTTTGCAACTGTGTAGAGCAAAACGCCTACTCTTGCATTCTCAACGCTGCCTCTTTCAACTCGCCAAACATTATCGGCACGCTCACTGGTCAAGCCTGTTCCTACTTGGGCCAACGTGCTGGTTCATGTGCTCCCATCCTTGCTGGTGGCGCAACTGGCACCTATGGCAACTACTCATTCTGCAGTTCAGGCCAGAGGGTGCAATGGGCCATGTCCGAGTACTATGAGACGACACAGTTCGACGCTCAGAGCTGTCACTTTGCCGGCAATGCGACGAGTAAGACTCCTCCCGCGCCAATCGATGCTGCATTTGGTAGCTGTCTAGCACAGTACCCTGTGGCAGTGATGGTGCCCAGGCCAGATGGAACGAGTGGAGGAGGTCCGGCGAGTGGCACTAGTATGACGAGCGCGCCTAGTGCGACGGGCAGTGCGGAGCCGAGTGGGGGAAGTAATGCTGCCGCAGGAAGCGGAAAAGGGAGTGTGATGGCGGTGATGATTGCAGCGATGATCGCTGTTGTTGGTGGTGGTTGCAGTCTTCTTTAAGGGCAACAGGTGTAGCTTTCCACATACCCGTCCTTGGACCTTTTTCTTTGTTTTCATAGCCATGCCTCACGGACTTTGCTCGTTCTTTGTTTCTTGTGTCAATTTCGCTCAATCGAACGCTTTTGTTTCGAAAGCCAGAGTGGTATCAGTCTGTGGTCGATGCGATGCGATGCGATAGGATGCGATGCGATGCGATAGGATGCGATAGGATGCGATTGCCGATAGAATGTCCATGGTATTTGGTGTGTGTTATGTAAGTATTTAGCGTCAACATCGTGAAACTTTGCGCTGGCAAGAGGAGGATGATGGCATACAGGCAAAGGCGAGCGCTTCAGCTGGATCCACTACCACTACTCGAACTCGTCAACCCGTCCCCGTTGCAACTGTTGAAAACGGGCAAACAGCTCAAATACCTACACCAAGTACAGGCCTTTGTTGGATCTGGCGAACTGTAAAAGTTGCTTGCCAACCCTGCAAAAAATCCTACCGCCAGTGCCAGGGCAATGATCCTCAACACCCACGTTATCACCCTATGCTTACTGTTCGGATGAATGCTCGGTGCAAAGATCAACCCGCCCAAGAGTCCAACACAGAATCCACCGATGTGAGCAAAGTTGTCCAACCCTGGCAGCAAGCCCAGTGCGAGACCAACGACGGCGAAACCAAGCGACATGGCTAAACGGGCTTTGGCACGATATTCGTACTTCCAGTTATACACCAGGTCGACTAGTTCGATGCTAATGCAGGTATAGATAGCTCCTGAGGCACCAAGAGAAGGTTGACCAATGAGACCAAAGTTTCCGCCCAGAAGGTTGCCGCCTACTCCGCCGGCGAACCAGACGAGAATGTAGGCTATAGAGCCGATGATTTTTTCGATCTGAGCACAAAGAGTAAGCTGAACGAGGAGATTGAACAAGACATGCACCAAGCCGGCGTGGACAAAGATGGCTGTGATGAATCTGTAGCTCTGATTGGGGTTGTTTGCGTCTTTCAAGCCGCAGATCTCGGAGATAGGACAGAGCTGGGATGGGCTGTAGAGGTTGGATCCTGATGTAGAATCTTTGAGACATGGAAGCTGCTCAGAGGTGGCAAGAGCGGGAACTTTTCGCATGCATGGAACGAAACGTGCACCGAAGGAGATGAAGAACTCGGTTGAGGGACCAAGCATAGGATTGATGCTTGGTCGCGTTTGCACTGCTTGCCCTGTAGCAGCGTTGGCTTTGATGAGCTCGATTATGAAGACGATGAGGAGGGCGAGAGCGAGAAGCCATGATACGTAGGGGTATCGTTGACGTCCGATGCCTTGACGACGTCGTTCGATCTGGTCGCCAAGTTTGTCTTGACCTGCAAGACGTCGGCTTGTGGAGCGAGAAAGTTTGCCGAGCAGACCAGACTTGGCTTCTTCATCATGATCTGCAGCACCAGAGGGATGCGAGGGATCCATCTGATTCGTCCAGAGAGCTGCAGATCCGCGCTTGATCTGTTTGGCTTCATCGTCTTCGTCCTCAGCATAGCCCATGGGACCAGCGTGCGTTTTGAGAGGAAGATCAGTTCCACTAGTGTCGTGGCGAGCATGAGAGTAGTCACGATCCGATTGATGCGCGTAGTAGTTGCTCGCATCCTCGTAGTGGTTTGTGCATGGTGCTGCGCCGTAGTCGAGAGCGCTGTGTGTGTTATGCTCAGCATAGGACATAGGTCGATCAGGTTCCGTGTTCTGGCCCACACGAACATGATAGCTGCTGATGCTGTCGTTCGGGGCCAGGGTGTCGGCTCTGTCGAGCAAGGAAGGCCCGGCTAGAGGACGGTCATCGTCAGCAGCAGTTCCAGTGTGGCTAGCATACGGATCGTGCTGCAAGTAGGATCGACGTGCAGCCGCAGATCCGATACGATCGGGAGGAGGAGCGGTGCTGAAAGCTTCGTATGGATCGGTGTACATGGAAGGCGAATCGGCGCCTATGTTGGTTGCAGGAGGAACAAGACGGTAGGCATTGGCGTTTGCACCTACATCTGCCGAGTTGCGGCTGTTTGTAGCGGGAGTGATGTGCTCTACGACATGATCGTATTCTGTATTGCCATAGGGTGACGTGTCCCACGCTGGGCTGTGGTAGCTATGCTGTGCTGCGTCGTCACGATAGCGGCTCATTGCAGCGACTTGGAGATCAGGTCTAGGCGCAAGCTGGAGGGAAAGTTGCGATCAGAAAAATTTCCTTGAAGCCGTCAAGGTGTATCGTGTTGCGGAGCCGCAGTCGGTGAAAGGGGCCTCCGCAGTCGTTGAAAGGGGCCTCCGCAGTCGTTGAAAGGGGCCTCCGCAGTGTCCGGTGGCAGCGGCGTGGGTGCGGAGATGATTCGTTCTTTCGGCGAAAAGCTGCTGCTTGTATGTGTATGTGTATCGAGGTCAAGCTAGGACGTGGTATGGAGGTAGAGATGGAAGAAAAAGGATGCGATGGATGCTCTGTCGATGACTTGAATGACATTAAAGGAACTATTGGCAGTATTGCATTGCTGTGTTTGCTGTGTTGTTTCTCTCTCCACACTTTTCAGATTGACACTACTGACTGCAGCTGAGCTGTGCTGTGATGCTACTGATGTGTGGCTGTGTCTATGGCTGTGTCTATGGCTGTGTCTATGGCTGTGTCTATGGCTGTGTCTATGGCTTGGAGTTTAGAAGGGTCATGCAATGAATGTGACCTGTCTCTCATCAACCAGATGGGCGGAACGAGGCAAATCCTGAGAAATTTAACAAGTGTTGACAAAAACATGTGCTAACATAATCATGACCTTTTCTTCTTTGGTTGTTGTGTGGAAGAAAAGTGACAGAGCAGGGACATGATCTTTTTTAGAGCTTTCCTGTCTGGTGTTCAGGGTTCTTCTTCTGATGACCAACACCCAACACTGACATTGGCAGACTGCTTCACATAGCAGCAGACGAGCAATCCTTTGACTGATCGACATAGATTGCCGCAGCACTGTTCCTGTCTTCACTCTCGTCGCTCAGCTTGAGCGCTGCCATCCGGCCTCAGAATGTCGACAAGCCGCCCTTCGACGTCGGCATCGGCAGCTTCAGCTCAATCCTCACCAGCATCAAGATCGCTAGTGGCATCGCGGCAAGGATCTTCCAGCCCACTCGCATCGCAGGGTGATGACAGCGACAATCAAGGTCACGGAGTGCAGATGATTCTCCGAATCAAACGTAAACGAAATCAAGACCCTGTCGACGCACTCATCATCCAGCAGAATCAACGTAGGAACAAGCGTCGGTCCATGGTCTTGCCCAATGACAGCAGAGAAGAGAACGAGACATGCAAGAATGCAGATGCAAGTTGGGAAGCTAGTGAGGCTGCAAACAAGCAACGCGGCGTCTTTCGCCTAGCAGAGACGGTCTCGCTCGAATCCTTCTCGGATCCTGTAGCAGCACGAGAATTGCACCAACGTATCTCCGCCCTCAGCAGAGGAGGGAGCAGTGGCTCAGGACCAAGTAGAAAACCTTTGCACCCATCAAAGCTCTCTCAGAGCGTCTCGTCTGCCAACATGGGCCAGACAGCACAACACTCGCATCGACCAGAGGTATCATCCTCCACTGGCAACGTGCAAGATAGCAATCTCCTCCCAACATCACGGGCACACCGCTCGCTCGGCAACTCGGTCTCCTCCCTCAACGCATCAGGCGAGCCATGGCAGCCAGCAACACCTGCACAAAGGATCAAAGCGCTGGCATCAGAACAGATTGATCGAGACAAGGAGCGTCGATCGCGCAGCAGTACACCGGTGGGAATGCGGTTCAAAGTCATCTCGAAAGACCAGACAGGAGGGAAAGGTTTGCGGCGAACAGGAAGCTCAGCAAGTCTGCGAAAGATGAGGAGCAGTACTGCACCCAGTCGACCTTGGCACACTGCTGCACGACCACCCGAGATTCGCTCGAAAAAGGAGAAGGAAGCAGAAGCTATCTTTGGTAGGATCATTGATGCGGAGACCGAGTCCAGCAGTGCCGGACGAGCAGCGGCTAGTAGGCAAGCAAAGTGGGGACAACAGGAGCAGCTAGAGGAGCAGGATGCAGAAATGGCAGGGTTAGACGCCAAATTCGCAGAGATGCTTGGCGACTATTTGAGGAGTAACAACATTGAACCTTGTCAAGACTTGCATAAGATTACCAAAGGGGCATCTGATGCAGCTGCTCACACTCGAGTACAGACAGAGGCAGGCGGGGCAGAGGAGGATGCTGACAAAGGTGATGATGAAGACTACGTATACGACGTATACTACCGCGACATGATGCCCACTAAAGCAGGACCACAAGGATCGGCAGAGACGGGACTCGAACCAGCTCAGGTGGCCGGGCGGGAGAAAGGCGCTTCTTCTGGCTACACTGCTGTACCGGATTCAATGGCGCTGCCGAGAGTGTTGGGTGGTGAAGTGGTGCCACCTGAGTCTGCTGCATTGGCGCCGACTTGGTTCCCTGGTCTGGACTTTGCAGAGGCCAACGCGGTTGTTGCTCACCTAGAAGGGTTCGAGGATAGCGACGAGGAACTCGAGCAGGCAGAGTTGAAAGATTTTGAGAGCTTTGACGAAGGGGAAGACGAGGACAGCAACGACGAAGGATTCTATCGAAACGATTACCCGGAGCAGGAGTTACCGGAGGGCGATGAGGTAGACTTTGACTACGATGACGATCAAGATGAGTTTGATCGTGATGAACATGATCAGTATTGTAAGTCATTCCTTCTCCCATCAGCCTGCACTAGAGTGGGAGCAGCGTACTAACATCATTGCTACTTGTTGTATGGTCACACAGCTTTATCGGACGGCAGCTTCTAGTTGATCGATACCATGCTTTTGTCTTGTTGAATGTATACCATAGCCTCAGCCTACCAGCGAAATACGCCTCGAGCCTAGAATCTGCTGAAGAAGCGGTGTGGCCGTCTGAGAAGGCAAGAGAGAGAGAGAGTTGTGTGCCTTTTTGTGATTCTTGCTTTGAAATGTCTTTGCGTGTCTTTCCTTCTGAATGACAAAGTGTGACAACGAGCTGGGGCTAAGTCATACCCAATCTTCGATCAGATCCTCTTTGCCCGATCTCTTCCGTATCGGCTTACGTCAACTTACATCATCCTATTGGATCAAAAAAGAGAAAAAGGAGGAGGATCGGGGTGTGGCTGTTCGCCCGATTCTCGTCCTCCTCTTCGTTCGTGTTGGCTGTCACCAAGGCGCCGAGAGAGAGCAAGTGCATCAATTCGAGAAAAGAAGAGGCCCGCGCGTTCCGGACTGCTGTACTGCTGTACTGCTGTACTGCTGTGCTACTGTGTTGCTGTGCAGAGAGCGTTCCGCTTGGGTCGCCAACTTGCATGCTTGTGCGCCAGTCTCTTGCTCGAACTGCCTCTCACTCGGAAGCGACAGAGGACATTGAAGAGACACACTCATACACTCTCACACACACTCTCTCACACACACTCTCTCACACACACACTCTCACACACACACTCTCACACACTCTTACTCTCTCCCTGACTCTTCTCGCTAGGATATCAGCTGCGTCACAGATCGCCTCAACCTCAGCCTTTTGTCAGCCTTTTGTCGCCTCCTTTTGTCCCCCTTTTTGCCATCATCTGTGTCATCATCGCATCACTACGCCACCTCCAAACAGCCTCTTTCCATTCATCCTTCCCTACTGCATCCAGCAGCATTACCACCACCATCAACAACAACAACCAGCACGACAGCTTCCCGCTAACGTGCCCATATACCCCCGACCCACATTTCGCCCGGTCGCACAGAACACCAACACACGCATCTACCGTTCTTCCCTTTCACCGCTCACTGAATCCCAGCTCCCTTTGTCGCCAGCCTCCGTTTCTTCTCGTTGCCACATCCTTTCCGCCTTTGCCCGCGAGGAACAGACACCGCAGCCTCATTTCCACATCTCTGCATTTCCACATCTCCGCATTTCCACATCTCCGCATTTCCACATCTCCGCATTTCCACGTCTGCAAGCGTAAACGATAGCGAAAGCAAACCACCAGCTCTCCGTACACGCTACCACCTTTGCTGCTCTTTCAATCTTGCAACCTGATCCGCAGCTTTAGCTCTTGCACTTGCGCCTCCACTTCACACAGACGCCCTCTCGTCTCGAAAATCTCATCTAGCTGCATTCCAAAACGCTTCGCCTTGATCCACGGACCCCTTCGATCTCGGCCCGTGCCCTTTGTGATTCTACGCATACCCATCCCATCTCGCCCTCCCTCCCCGCCCACTTACATTCGGCAGCCCTCTGCTATCAGTCAACCCCTTCAATCCTCACTCGCTCATACCCGCCACCTTGACGACTACCACGAGCAGCATCGGCACCAACACTGTCTACACCCCAACTATTTGCTCTCCCGGTCACCTCCCCTAACGCTTTCCTTACCTCAGCAACAATCCAGTTTCGCTCGCCACACCCTCTACCAACACAAGGTAGGAAAGATCATTGCCCAACATGAGTGGCAAGATGATGATCTACAAACTCGTCGTTCTCGGCGACGGTGGTGTAGGTAAAACCGCGCTCACCATCCAACTCTGTCTCAACCATTTCGTCGAGACCTACGACCCTACTATCGAAGATTCCTATCGCAAACAAACCGTCATCGATGACCAACCTTGCATGCTTGAAGTCCTCGACACTGCAGGTCAAGAAGAGTACACCGCACTTCGCGATCAATGGATTCGTGAAGGTGAAGGTTTCTTGCTTGTTTACTCCATCTCTGCCAGGGCCACTTTCGAGAGGGTGGAAAGATTCAGGAGTCAAATCTCCAGGGTGAAGGATCAGGAGCCACATACAGTTCCGATCATGTTGGTGGGCAATAAGTGCGATAAGGTCAACGAGAGGGAGGTTTCGCGCGAAGAGGGTCAGGCGTTGGCGCATAGGTTGGGTTGCAAGTTTATCGAGAGTAGTGCAAAGACCTGTGTTAATGTGGAAAGGGCCTATTATACCGTCGTTAGGATGATCAGAGAGCAGAGGGAGGGCACGACAACTCATAAGAAGGAGAAGAAGAAGAGTCGGTGTAATATTCTTTAAGGTCAGCAAGCGAAGCGAGCTGGTCGAGCAGCAAGATGCCCCCTGCGGCTGTCTCTATCATCACAGCCCTTTTTCCGAGCTGGTTGAGCAGCAACAAGGTACCACATCAAGCCGCTAGCTTGGCCTCTTCGGCTGCACGGCAGCAGTGTTCGATAAAGGCGCGCTGGGCTAGGCACAAGGCACGCAACATGTGAACACCAGCCAAAGCACCGATCACTACCAGGCAGAGCGGCAGACGTCACCGTCCTCCTGCAAGTCACACGCTACACAAGACAGACACGCGCAATACACACGCACCCAACGTGTCTGCCTTCGCCACGCGTTACTCAAAACGCAAATTCAATGGACAATCCTTCTCGTCTGGAGTCTTCTCTGCTCGAGCTTTTTAGACCTGCCGGCCCTTCATCCTCACGATCGCATCCTTTCTTACAACCCTCCATTTCCACCTTTGTCTCTCCTTTGTCTCTCTCTCTCTCTCTCTCTCTCTCTCCTTCGTGTCTCTCTCTCTTTCACCGACTCGTACCTGTTCACTGTTTCACTCAATTCCTTTCCCTTTTCTACATGTAGATACATTTGTTTGAGATTGCGATTTTACAAGTCAGTGTAAAACTTGCTTTCCTTTGGTGTGTCTCGAGTACTTTAGATCCCCTGTTTTGAGTCCACTTTTAAGAGAGAGGTGGCGTTTGTTTGACTCCAGAGAGTAGGATGCGCTCCCCGCCTTCTAGGCACAATTTGGATTCAGCAGACACCATTAGAACAAACACAGAGAGCAAAGCGAGTTGAGCGATTCATACTTGGGCTTGTTTTTGTTGCTGGAGAGGTGCTGATACAGACGGACAGATACAGATACAGATACAGATACAGATACAGTACTGTACTGTACTGTACGAAAAGTGAAGGAGTGCAAAGATGAATGTTCAAGCAACGATCTGCAATATTGAGTGAAGGATTAGGTGCAAACCCGGCGATCACTTTTAGCAATCATAACTCGACTAGCAGCCAATTTCGCCACTCTACTCTTCCTATCCTTTCCCTTGAACTTCAACTCAACCCCTAGCAATGCAGCTTGAGCTTCGTGTTTCTTACGAATATGTCTCTGCAGGTCACGTTTGTAGAAATAGGGGCTACCACAATCTTGGCATTCATAAGTACGAACGCGCGGGAACTGGTGAATTTGCGCGTGTTCTTGAAGGTTGTGAGTGGAGGAGAAGGTTTTTTTGCACCCAGGATGGAGGCATGTTAGGTTTGCTGGTTTGGGACGAGGAGAGCTGGTGGTGGTGGTGGTAGTTGTAGGCCCGCATTTGTCAGGTGAGTCGGTGCTGGAGGTGACGAGTTTAATTGTCGCGTTGGGAAGCGGTGGCCGTTGCGGTAGTGATCGCGTATGGTAGAGCGGTACGCCTTTGGTAGGGGTTGACGAGGTAAGTTGAACAAGCGGCTTGGCTTGGCGTTTGGTGAGCGCTTTTGGTTTGAGTTTCAAATTCCGCTGCGGCTTGGTTGCGCTGACGGATGATGGAGTAGGTGTGTGGGCTGAAGAAGAAGAAGAGGTGAGGGGAAGGCAAAGTGGTGAGATTGGTGAGATGGGTTGATAGACAGAGCCATGCGAGAGCGAAGCCGAAGCCAGATTGGTAGCTGCGCTGCAAGCCAGATTAGGAGCCAGATGGAGAGCCAAATCCGAACCCAGACCAGAGCCCAGATGAGGAGCTGGGTGCGGAGCCAAACTCGAAGCCTTATTATGAGTCAGTTCTACACCCACTCCAACACCTGCGCACACCTGCGCATCAACCATGGTCTCAGGCACATCAAAAGGCCCCATCATTGGCGGTGCAGCATTCGGAATGCTTGACAGCGGTGGTAGCGCTGGGTAAGGTTCGATGGGCGTGAACTGCATTTCACCCAATCCCGCCCCAGCAAAGTTGTCATTGACACTGTTTCTGTCTGGAGACCACCCTTCTCGCTCCTGTTTCAGTGCTATATTCCCCTGAAACGCAGCTATGCCACTGTAGACGGGCGCAAAGGTAGTCGGAGGCAGAGGAGCGGGAGTATCGCTTGTATTGGTGAGATCAACCAAATTCATCCAATCCTCCGTCTGAGAGCTTCCCGAAGAGCAAGGAGGGCAAGAAGAAGAGGTTGAGCCCGAGGCAGATGTGGAGATCGAACCGTCCGCCCACCATTCGTCGTTGTTATAAGCATTAATAGCCAAACCTGGTTGAAGAGGGGGCTGCCATGCGGTTTCCTCCATTTTGACTTGTTGCCAGCTCAAACTGCTGTACGGGTGGGAATGCAAGCTTCTCATAAGCTCAAAGTCGGCCTGCATCCCGCTTGGGGAAGAAAGAGGAACAGTAGAAGCGAGCAAGGGAAAGTGAGCAGCGAAAAACGCTTTTGACGGATCTTGGTCATATGCATAGTGATGGTCCCCTCCTCCCACTCCTTGTTCTTCGAACTGGCTCGGTACAATGGGTGGTCGAACGAGCGACCCTACTCCCTCTCCAGCACTAAGGGACTTGGGGTCTGACACTTGATCTGCAGCTGAAGAAGGAGGGAGAGGGGGAGCACATGCACTAGGCGGAGTGTCAAGGGATGCTTGTTCGGGTTTCTTGATGGACGCAGGTGTTTTGTTTAGGAGCGAAATGGCCTTTGCGACGAGGGACGATTCTGTGCCTCGTTTGGGAGGGAGAGTGGAGGGATGAATAGACCAGTGTTCGACCAGAGATGCATTGTTCGTCTGAGCTTGAGGAGGAGAAGGATCGGCTGGGGCTGGGAGGGAGTGCAACATCTACCACTCCTCCACTTGTGACGAGATATAAGAACGAAGATAAGGGAACGTCGACCGCCAAAGAGCGTGATGAGAAAGAGTGTACGCTACCCAAAAGAGCGGATGTTGTTCTTCAGGTTTGCCGTTGTGTTTGTGTGCTGTGAGGGATGACACTAGATGTCAATAAGGGGAAGGGTAGCAAGCTTTTATGCATAGCGACATGACTTTCGCCTTCCAAAAGGAAGAAAAAATTGTCCTGCTACAGTTGTGCGATTTTACAACAATCTTGTTCCTCCTCGAGACAACACCATCGAGAGTCATGCAAACATCTCTTGGCTGAGAAAAGAATGGAAAGTGCCAGCACTTGTGTGTGTTTGTGTGCTGTGTAGAGCTGGGTTACCAAAACAACACGAATCGCACAGCTGGACAAGAGACATCACCAGCGAGACAGAGTAGAGGTTCTTCTTGAACGTCCGTGCGTAGGCTATGCGGGCGTTCTGGCAGAACCGCAAACCTTAACCCAGAGCATGAAGATTCCGTCGATCAGCGGACTGAAGCTCAATCAACCCCATGACAAGCTTGCAAAACACGCAAACGTGCAAAACGGGCAGGTTTGAGGTGCAGATTCGGTCGCAGGAACAAGTTGCCGAGGTTCGGACATGTCGCAGCCTCAGTGCTAAATCGATGCGTTGATTCTGACTGATTGCTTCGGTCCGAACGCTGTCTCTTTCGGGAAGAACTGGTCAAAAGTTGAGAACAAGAGAAGATTAGGCCAGCAAATGAAGTTCAAGCCGCAGTCAATGTTCGGAAAAGCGAGCGGAACTGCTACTAGAGTTGAACTTTTCTTCCTTCGGTGTGGCCTTATCTTTGATTGTGTGGTGACAGAGCCGAATGGAGACGGAAGGAGGTTCGATCAGAGAACAAAGGGCTAGAACAAAGGGCTATCGAGGGCTTGCAGCTAATCCTGCCGAAATAAGATGAAGGTGGTGGGCGTAGAAGCTAATCTCACACAGTTCTCTCTTCTTAGTTCCGAGCAGACAAGTGACAAGTGACAACTGACATAGACCAGCTGCTGAGGATTGGTTTGCCCTCAACCCATACTTTGTTCCTCTTGTTAGAGTTCGGCAGAGGTTGAGTGAGTGGAATCCGCCGAGGGATGTCCGTGCCGTCGTAGGGAAGGTGCTGGCACCGTTGGGGAGCGGTACCAATCCTTGGGTAGTTCGTTGGGACGCCCGGGCGCCTGTGGAGAGCGCGGTTAGTTCGTTGGATCGTCCTTCGTAGCGCTCGCGTACACGATGGTGCCCATGACTCGCTCCGAAACTCTCACCGGGCGAGGGCGTGGGAACATCGCTCCTTAAGCCAACTGTACAGGCGAGGTGTAAACATGGATACACAAAACACGAGAAGCGATGGATATCGACACAATGCCCTCGTCCCTCTGCCTCCCTCGCTCTCGGCTGTTCAACAGCTTTGTGTGCCTGCTGTGGGTATTGCGCATCCGTCGGAAGCATGTACAGCTATCAGACAGACACAAAGGATGAGTTTGAACACACCCAAGGAACGAGCCATCCCACACGCACAGAGTTGAGGATGTTTGTGTACACAAAGAAGAGCGAGTTTGTGCACAAGTCGTATGACTCCCGCTCTGCAAGTGTCTTTTCGCCTTTGTGCGAGGCAAGAGCAGGTACTGAGACGTCATTTCTTTTGTGCACAGCTATGGTGTGTACGGTCATGTGCATCAATCGAGGTACACATCTGTGCCACGCATCAGCATCGAACTGGCAACTTCGATCATGCGAATGCTGTCATTTAGAGGCTTCGACCTTCAGAATGCGAGCAGAAGACGACACACACAATCAAGACTCATGACGCAAGCAAAGCAAGCGATGCAGCACCTACCAGATTGCGAGCCCTGCTGCAAGTGTAAATAGCAAAGAAAACTATGCCTTCGTTCGACCTTGCAAAATATCCAGCGCCTGCCTAAGCTGAATCCTTGCCGTCTCCAGATCTTCAAAGTCCACAGCACTAGCAGCTCCTCTCGCCAGCTTTTGAACCCTTGTTGACAGTTTTGGATCCAGTGTCTCCGGGTACGCTACTGCTACAGGAACTGGTGCCGGAGCTGGTACAGGCGCAACAGGTGCTGCGCGAGCTGCCGGCGGTGCAGGTGGGAGTACAGGGGCGCTGGGAGCAGAGGGCGACGGGTGGAAGCCCGGCGCAGAAGGAGAAGCGAATCCAGGAGTGCTAGGGAGCCCACTCGGTGTACCAGGCAAGCTCGATTGAGGCGGATCAATCCTTTCGATTGCTGGATGGCCTTCCAGCCCACTGCCACCGCCGAGTGTTGAAGGAACAGAAGGCAGGTCTGTTACATTGTCCGCTGCCGGCGCTGATGAAGCTGCACCTCCCCAGAACGAAGCTGGCGCTGCACCAGGTCCACCTGCTCCACTAGCGGCATCAAAGCCGGGACTACCATTGTTGAAGTGTTCGTGAGCGCTGACGGGTGGGATGGGTAGACCATCTCGCTGCGGTGGAACAGGAAGTGGACGAGAGCTGCCTGGATTTGAGCCAAAGCTTGCAGAAGGAGCGATTGTCGGTCGGTCGAGATGCGAAGATGCGGAAGGCGTACGAGAGATAGCTTCGGTGGACTTGCGAGAGCTGGATTTCCACATTTCTTCAGCGTCGGGGAAGGCTGTGTTGAGTTTGTGGGTATCAAGTTGGTTCGCGGCTGAAGGTGGACCTGTAGGCGGCTGGACCTGAGCACGTGCTTCTGGCTGGCTGCCTGAGCTGCTGCCGCGAGCCATGACAGTGTCTTGCGGAGCAGGCGCGTTTGGTGCTGCAGGAGCACTAGCTGTAGGCTCATCTGGACCAGCATCGGCGGTCAACTTGGCCATCTCCCTCGCCATATACTCCTGTTCCTCCTTGCTATCCTCCACTTTGCCTGGTCCCATTGCAGTTTCTAATTTTGCCTCCTCCTCTTTCGGATCGCCTCCTGCCGGCCCTGGCGTTGGCTTCCTGCCTTCCTTGAAGGTTTTCGCAATATCAGCCGCCTTCCATTTGGAATACTTGATCTTCTCTCCCATCTCCGGTTCCAGGGTGCCAAAGATCTTGAGCAGCTCAATGAATTGACTTGCAGCTAAGAACTTCTTTGCTGTTGCTCGTGTTGCTTTACCCGAGCGATCCTCGTTGTCAGCACCAACGAAGACTTTGAGGGCAAAGTTCTCGACGTAAGCGGAGCTGGCAGCATCGTTGGTCACAGCATCGTTGTCGGCCAGTTTGGCTTTGAGCTCTTCGAGAGTGTCCATAAGAGTGAGAAGATACATCTTTGCTTGCGAAGAAGAGGCATTGGAGGAAATGCCGAGCTGGGCGACGTAGTAGCAACACCAGTAGGCGATGACTTTGTCGGCCGTGCGAAGCTCGTTGGCTCGTTGAACGAAGGGTAGGACCGACTTCAGCTCGGCCGGGGGATTTGGTAATGATTCGTCCATCTTGTCGAGACCTGCCGCTGCGAAGGGATGGTAAAGGGTTTCGTCGATGATGTTGAGAAGAGGATGGATGAACAAGTGTTTGCTGCGCATGACACTTTCAAGAAAGGTTGGACTGTGCATGTACACGTCTTCTGTGAGCGCAATTTCAGTCTTGGCCTCCACACACAGGCACAGTCTTGGCTTCCGTGTCGCTGCAGAACCTGACAACTGAGCTTCTGTCGTGATTTCTTCTTGAAGAAAACTGGAGCAAAACGTAGCTTCTCATCCTCGACTCAGTGCACACCGGAGAGTATGGAAAGCAAAGTATTGGATTCTGTAAAGGTACACAACCACGAACATAGGCAACTGGAACAGCAGTGACAATGCAAGAAAGACCTGAGAAAAACTAAGAACAAAAGGACAGGACATGAAGCAGAGACAAATAATGATGACTACGAGCTGATACGACGCACAGTCTTGCGTTCGCGCTCACCCGCTGTCTTTACGACACCCTCGCTCTCGAGCGTTCGCACCAACTCGTACAGATCAGTTGGGTCGACAGGCACCGAGGACTGGTCATTGATTGCCTTGGCAATGTCAACGTATCGCACCGCCTTGGTGGGAGCAGTCGAAGACGGACCCGAAGGAGAAGTAGCCCTACCGGAGGCACTTCCCATCTCATCGAGCAGCTGCAAGAACTCTCGTCGAAGATCACCAGCCAGTTTGCGCTGGTGGTAGGATCGACCGGTGTTGATCAGATCCAAATCGATCAAACCAGTGCGCGGGTCAGTGGCGGAAGACTTGGCAGCTTCACGAATAAGACGTGCTGCCTCCTCGACATCGGCAACAATAACTTGGTCGGCGAAGCGCATGCGGGCATGGGCTTCGGACAGACGGATCATCGATTCGAGCTGACGAGTGGTAGCTGTGATACGTCGTTCGGCGCTGCGAGGGTCTTCACCGACTTTGCGGAGCTCGACATAGCGGGCGGCGAGGGCGTCACCCGCCTCCTTGGTGAGGATGGGCGAGATGCGATTGCGAGCGTACGAGATGTAGGCAGTGAGTGTCTCGATGGGCAGGATGTCTTTTCCGCCAGTGTCGGGCTTGTCCTCGAGGTAAAGGCTGACAAGGTGGCGAGCAAGACGGCGGTCGTTCGCCTCATCGATCTTGTCGAGCACGAGGTAAACAAGATCGAATCGACTGATGAGGGTGGGTGGCAAGTCAATGTTTTTGGTGATGGGCAGGTTGACATTGTAGCGCGAGCCGGTAGGGTTGGCAGCAGCCAGGATCGAAGCACGAGCGTTGAGGGTGGTGATGATACCCGCCTTGGCGATAGAGAGCGTCTGCTGCTCCATCACTTCGTGCAAGACACTGCGTGTTGCTTCTGACATCTTGTCGAACTCGTCGATACAGCATACACCTCCGTCAGAGAGAACAAGCGCACCAGACTCGAGAACGAGCTGCTTGGTGTCAGGATCGCGCGTCACGTATGCAGTGAGACCGACAGCCGAAGAACCTTTACCCGAAGCGTAGACACCTCGTGGTGCAATCTTGTGGACGTACTGCAAGATCTGAGACTTGGCAATACCAGGGTCACCAACCATGAGGACGTTGATGTCACCGCGGTAGCGAGGTCCACCGCCGCCACCTCCAGTGCTGATCGTCTTGTTTGTTCCTCCGAAGAGCTGCAACAAGATACCCTTCTTGACGTCGTCCATCTCGTAAATACTGGGCGCCAAACTGCGAGCGAGCAACTCGTAGAGATCAGGGCGATCGGCAATCGAGCGAAGCTTGTCTTCGAGGTCTTGGCTGCGAGGCATGTCGGCATCGTCATGTACAGCAAAGGAGCTCTGCACATCGATGTCCTCGTCATCCTCTTCACCTCCAACACCGACAGCTTGGGCGCCAGGTCCAGCAGCCTGCTCTGAAGCATCTCGTGTGGAGAGATCAACACCGAGCCTCTTGCCGTTGGTGCGCTTGATGTGTAAAATGTCCACAAAGGTCTTATATAGACTCTTGAGACTACGCTGTCGTGGGTTGACACGAACAGGAGTGCTGCGGAAGATACCGGTGATCTCGACACGGTCACCTGGCTTGCTGACGTCCACCAGCTCGTCATAAGCACACATGCTGACCGTATGAGGTGTCTGACCATCAGGTACCACATCAGGCGTTTCCTGGATACGCACGACCTGACGATCCGAGAACTCACATCGGTTGTGAATCAACGACATGGATCCTTGCAAGTTGCACACCTGTCGAGGACATCGGTCGGGCTCGGCAATGCGACCTCGGTCAATCTCGACGGGGACAGTGTGGTTGCAGACAAGGCAACGGAAGAAAGCCTGCTTCATCTCAGGAATGATGGGTGTAGCACGAATGACCAATCCGCGAACGGTGACGAGTTTGTCAATGTCGGCAGGATTGAGATCGCGCATGTTGATAGCTTCAGCACCGTAAGGTCGAACCTTGTAGAGCTTGGTCTCCATGAGCTCGATCTCGGCTAAGCCCATGTCACCGCCCATACCTTGGCGACCCTCCTTCTGATCTTCGTAGGCCATCTCGAGCATCTCGTCCTTGAGCACTTGATCCATGATGGGGACCATTTCTTGCGGGTAGCGGATGAGCTGCATCTTGAGCCTCTTGGAAGGTGGGTAGGCTTCGAGGTCAGAGATGCGGAGGTTGAGGTTGGTCTGGTCGGTGATGCGCATACGACGGAGGTAGCCTTGGTAGACGAGACGTTCGCCCTCGGCAGGGTTGCCCGTGGCGGCGGGCGGAAGAGGCTCGCCGAGTTTCTTGGCGTGAGCCCATCGGTACTTGAGACGGAAGCCACGGAGGAAGGATCGGAAGATTTCCATGGTCTCACCGATGGAGACATTGGTGCCCCAAATGACCTTGGAGACGCCATGCTGACCGGGCGCAGCGACGTCGCTGGTGGGGTTGTGTTGAGAGAAGCTGAGAGCATCACTGTGACCGTCGTTGGTGGGCTGACTGCCATCAAAGACAGAAGAAGCACGAGCGGGTGCGCCTTGGACCTGACTGGAGCCGTTGACAGCATTGTTGACACGGGTCCTCCTCAGCAACGATGGCGAAGAGAGAGCGAGGGAGGAGTGGATTTCACCACGACGCTGGTGTCGTGGTGTGGTACCACCGGAGCTCGGGAAAAAGAGAGGCTCATCAAGTCGGCTAATGCCACTGCTGCTGGAGGGAAGACGGTTCTCTGAGTTCTGGTTGCGTCGAGAAGAGGCAAGAGGTGTGCGTTGGCCTCTTGACCTTCTTGCCGATGGTGATGAGGTAGGGAAGTGGAGTGTCGAGGAAGCTGTAGCAGTTATTCAAAGATCACGGTTGAAGAAGAGTTGGGAGTCAGTGAGGATACTTTCTGTGTGACAGCGAGCGATGGAGAAGACTTACCACCAAGCGAGCTCTGAGGTTGCCTCACGCTGGAGGCTTGACTCTTGAGGGGGCTGCTGGAAGGGAAAGCGAGCGGCGACGAGGCACCTGCCACGCTACGATCCGAGATAGATGCTGGTGCGAGAGGCGTGCGCTGCTCAGCATCGCGCATCTCGGCATCAGTGGGAGGACCTCCTGGAGTCGACATTGTGATGTTGGGGTCGATTGACCTTGTTGGTCGAGACTGTGAGTCTATCGGGTCCGCGAAGGGAAAGGGTGCTGTGGATTCTTAGTTCCTGGCTCGATGCCACAGTATAGGTCTAACGTCGTGGTGTGATGGATCGTACGGAGCTGGCACGGGATGTCGTTGTGGTGGATGATGAGAGAAGCAGGATCGAGTGCTTTGGTGGAATGCAACTGAACTGCGCCGCTCAACTCTGTGCGGGAGAGAGTGCAAACGATTCTTTCTGCTCGAGTGTTAGAGTGTTGAGCACGCTCACGCTGACCCTTGTCCAACTGCTAACCAAACCCTCGTTGGCCTTCTCTGCTGCTCAAGTGCCTTCCAACTAGGATTGGAGAGACGACCAACACGACACAGCTCAACTGCCTTTTCTTGTTTCTCGCGCCAATTTTCGTGAGAGAACGCGAAGAAGTGCTCGACGCGTAAATGAGGAAAGCAACTTACGCGACACGTCTAGCAGACTTCGGTTCGCGAAATCAAACGCGCCTGAAACGCGCCTGAAACGCGCCTGAAACGCGCCTGAAACGCGCCTGAAACGCGCTCTTCTCGGCTCGGCTCGGATGCTTCAGAAAGATGAGGAGAAGATCGTCACAGATGGGCCAAGTAGATACTCTTGCTTGCAGATGCAGTCATTCAGCTCAGTATGAGGATAAAATGTTATTGGTATAGCAAGACTGATGCAGACGAATGCTAAACGGGACATTATCAAGCGATACGTTTAGAGATGAAGAAGCAGGGCCGAGAGGATACTATGGCAGACAAAGTGGAGCCCTCCATGCTATAGCTAACTGACTCGTCGAGCAAGCATCAGCGCAAAGTACGAACACTAGATCCGCCAGCGCCATGCGTACCAAATCCGCCCGTAGCCACTTTTGCACCCTTCGTCGACTCGACTGGCTTCTCAAAGATCCTCCACAGCTTCAGCTCTTCATCGTCACTGACCGTCGCCAATACTTCGCCGTCCGGGCTGAGGCTCGAATGCAATACTCGCTTCTCGTGAGCTTCGATCTCCGCCACCTTTGTGCCCGAGGGATGCGACCAGATGTTGAGCAAACCTTTGTTGGACTCTGTTGTACCGAGACCGTGGGTGGAGACGATCTCACGATAGTGTGGTGCCCAGTGAAGAGAGGTGATTTGAGCGCCCGTGGAGATGGTCATGGTTCGAGAATTTTGTGTTGTGTTCCAGAAGTGAATGTTCCGATCGCTGGTGCCTCCGCCTGTTGCAAGAAGGCTCAGGTTGTGAGGGCACCATGCCAAGGCCTGTGCAAGTCATTGTGTGAGAAAGAGAGGAGTAAGAGAAGTTAGCAGCTGTGCTGGGCAGATTTTGTAGGATACTATGGTGGTGATTCGTAGGCTTACCTTGACCGCAGCCTGGTGATTCTCCTTTCGCATCTTGGCAACAGATGTGCGACGATCCCATACTTTGACTACGTTGTCATTACCTCCCGAAGCCATGAGTGCGCTATCCGAACGCCACTCCATACCGCAAACAGGTCCATGGTGCGCCTTTTCAAGCGTCCTTGTTACCGCATCCCTTTCCCTCACGTCGTATTCACGAATAATACCACTCTGGAAGCCTGCGTTGAGCGTACCATCCGGAGCCCAGGCAGCCACATTCACGGAAGCGTGGTCGGCACCACCATCACCAGTCGGCTTCAACGTTCGCATTCGTGTGCTGCTCTCCACATCCCAAATCTGCACAAAGCCTCCTTCTAGACCGACAGCCAGGATGTTGCCATCTGCGTCCCACCGCAAACCTGTGATCAAACCACCGCCGCCGATCTTGTCCGCCATAGTGGAAGTATCTAACAGCGCACTGGCATCGCCAGTATTTCCATTCCAGATCCATAATCCTGTTTGCAATGCCACGGCAAGCATGTTTGTGGAGGACCAGTCAAGAAGGTTGTAGTAGAAGTCGCCAACCATGCTCGGTGCGTCCAGAGTGCGCTCTGGTGTTGTTGGAATTCGTCGACGACCTGAACTTTGCAGACTGCTCGGGAGGGTGGACTTGGGCTTGGTCATAGCGTAACGGCTGCGCACGTCGGGGTTGGCCAACGAGGAAGGCGGTGCTGCTGAGAAGGAGAGGATGCGCTGTGACATCTCCGACGAGACAGAATCTTCAAAGGAGGGATGACCTTCGAGGTCGGTGGGGTTTGCATTGGCTGCTGCAATGTTGGCTGCGATGTTAGGGTCAGTAGCATCGCCTGAAACATGCGAGCGGATGGTGTCGCCATCTGCATCAGTGTGAGGGTGTGGAGTAGTAGATCGCTTGAGCTCTCGGTTGGGGATGTATCGGTCCCCGCGCTGTCAGTGATAACCACGGCAGTATAGCCCAGAAGCAAGTAGAAGGAGCAGATAAAGATGGCAGATGGTGAGGTCAGCCTCAGACTTGACGAGGCTTGCCATGCTTGGCCATGTACTTACAGAAATGCTTGCCGCCACTTTTGGCTTCAATGCCTTGTCCGGTCCTTGCCAGTCTCTTGTGATACCAACTTTGAGGTCAGCCGAAGAGGAGGGCACCGAGTCCATTCGATCCTTCCTGGACAGACCCAGTCTCCCAGCTCCAGCCTTGAGCGCGCCACCCTTGCTTGGAGAAGCACCGAGCTTCATGTCGCGCAGGTTAGCAGAAACGTCCTTGAGCGGTGAGTCGATCATCTCGTCGACCGATCCAACTGGGCTGGAGTCAAAGGATGCTTAGCAAGTCTCTGATCGCTGATATTCCACGTGTCTCTTGGGACTCTTGCGGTGGACACTTGTAATCGTCAAGCGCTTGCAATGCGTTTTGGCTCTGTTAACAGATATGAGTCGTGGTGGTCTATGCGGGTGGTGAGAAGCAAGATTGAGATAAGGACAGCTGTGGATGAAGCGCTGCTGTGCTGCTGTGCTTGGTTGCTTCTATCACATTCTTGCTGCTGAAGCTGTCTGTGGGTCGGAAAGGGTGGAGCAAGTCCATTAAATTTCTACACAACGGCATCGTGCCTCTCCAGAGACCAACACTCTCACCGCGACTTGAGCATCACGTGCCTCGCCCAAAATTTATTTGAACCTAACACCTTCAGCTAAAATCTAGAGTCATCTCAGAGAACTTGTAGCTCGTGCCGACAGATTTGGCAAGTTGCTGATCAGCGTATGTCAGATTGCATAGTATTACAGAGGACGGTGACTGCTGGGAAACGACCACATTTGGAAGAAGGAGATAGAGTGAGAAAGGCCCGAAAAGTGAATAAGGATGCTATCGAGAAAGGTAGGTTGCTACTGGCGCGTTGCCTGGCCTTGCCAGTGACCTTGTCCACCAGGATGTGCAAAACCAGGCTGTGGATACTGTCCCATCGCATTAGGTGGCATTCTCAGACCCCCGGGCGGGCTTGAAAAAGCATAGGAAGAGTTGGGCCCAGGCGTCAATCGATGAGCCTGGGGTGGCATTCCCGGACCAGGAGTTGGAAGGTAGCCTCCATGCATGCGTGCGTTCGGTGACATGGCGGAAGAAGGTGGCTGTCGTGGCTGAGGCGAGCCAGTATCTCGCTTTGAAGCGCCGGGTTCCCGTGAAGCAGAGGATGTGCGCTGGTCGAGTGCCGGTCGCAATGGCTCGATATCATGGCGATCCTGCTTGTGGTCGTAGGTGCGACTGCCGGCAAAGCGCTCCAGAGTGCCGTGCCCCCTCTCCTCGGTATGACCGGCGCCGGGACCTGCTCTGCGCGACGTCTTCTTCGCTTTTGAGCCGCTGCCATCGGCAAGGCGGATGGTGATATTGTCACGCAAGACCAATGGGGTCTCGGAAGCGACACTACCAGCTTTGGTGAGTTTGACCACATTAGCATCGAGAGCTCCCCAGAAACCGCCGCGTAGGTCTCCAAGAAGATCCGGGTCGATAGCACCGCTGCTGGCGGAGAAGGCACGCAGCTTGCTGGCTTCTGGCACCACACTCTGCACCGAATCGGATGCGAGGTCAACAGCACGCGGTTGCAATGCCACAAGCGCGCTGAGCGACTCTAGCAACAAGGCTGCCGTTGCTTCCTCTTCTGCGCTTGGTGACTCCTGGCCGGTGACAGTAGTGCTTGTGCGCCCCAAAGGTGTTGGTCGATAGGATCGGCGAAGGCGCGCCCACTGGAACTCTTGCAATCGGTGAAGGAGCATCATGTTGAAGCGGAGATGCGAAGTGATCAGCTCGTCCCGGCTCAGTGTGTCGAGACTTGCGCTAAGGTCGTTCATGCTGACGCCATCAACGAGACTGTGCAGGATCGCAGTGACGTCTTGACTGTGTGATGCAGATTTTGTGACTTGCTGATCAACGTCCATGTCGGATTGACCAGGCGCATGTGGTGGCTCTACCGGTGCGTCCGCTTCGAGATCGTCTTCCTGTTGGTCGAGACATTCTTGCGATTGGAACGGTGTAGGTCCCCATGCCAAGGATATCGAACGATGAGCGCGAACTGACTGCTGCGAAAGCATGGTGCTTGTGCCGTAGCTGATGGATGAAGCCGAAGAGTCGTAGGTAGGCGCAAAAGAGGCGTAGCTGCCATAGTTGAGGAAGGTGACAAGTTGCGGTCTGACAGGCTGTTGCGATGACTTTTTCGAGTCGGTGCGATGTCGGATGGCGCTCCTGCCAAGTCTCTGCCCGAGAGTGGGTGTGGGGACAAGAGCTTGACGCTTGAATGCACGCATCTGCGCTTCACTCTGCGCGCTGATTTGCACCAGATCCGCCTGAGCCGGGTCGAGTTTGCAGATTTGTTCACGGTCGAGGGCGATGGCTTTGGTGAAATAGTCGCCACGTGGAAGTCGCATATGCAAAGCGTACCTGGTCGTTGGCTGATCGTCGGCGTGGAGGCTGATAGGTCGAACTCTGATGACATTGTTATCGTCATCCGAGTTATCTGCAGTCTCGGTTTTGCGAGCATTCTTAACTTCAAAGGCATGCGCGCGTTCCTCGATGATGGAGCCAAGGATCTCGCCTTTTAGAGCATCTGTGCTGGTGTCTGCTTGTCGAAGGCGTGATGCGAGCTGATCGATGAGTGCGAGGACAAGCGTTAGACCGGAAAGCTTTGCCAAGTCTTTTGACTGCTGCTGAGAGGAGGACGAGTATTGATGTGAGTGCAATTGCTGAGCGATGTCGGCCTTGGAGAGCAAAGGCTGGCGTATGCTGAGCAGTCGTCCTCTGAGATCGCGTAGACTTGTTCCAGGTTGCAATACATCTTTGAGGGTACTGAAGGCCGAAGAAGTACCGTTCCTGCTGGGTGACTTGCCCTTGATTTGGGAATGGGAAGTTGTTGGAAGAAGATCAGCAGCGTCAAAAATGCTCAGAACGGTGGATAGCTTCCTGGCGTCTTGCTCGCTCAACACAAGCTCTTCAGCTTTTTGTGCAGCTTGGCTAGGTTCTGGAGGCTTGGAGCGGTGCTTCCAAGCGTCGGAGCGGGGCAAGCCAAGGAGAGACTGGATCTTCTTGGACAATTGTTTCCTTTCCGAGGTGGAGGAGCCTGCCTGAGCTTCGTTGTCAAGGCCGTTGAGGTTGTTGGATGCTGTGGAAGTTTGACACTTGTGTTCAGCTAGATGCTCTCCAGTTCCATTCGCATTGTTTGAAGGATCTGCTGGCTCGTCGAGGCGTTTGCGTTTGCGGTCGACTTTGCTGGGTGAGGCAGAGGGCGGGTTGGCCATGGGTTCTGGAGTGGTAGCTGAAGCATCTGCATTCCTCGCTGCTCGTGTCAATCTGCGAAGAGGAGAAGTCATAGCGATGACGAGGGTGTGATAGATGCCACCGAGACCAAGGGGGAGGATGTGGGGCTAGTCGAAAAAGCGCGTCACTCTGTCGAGGACGAGAGCGGAGTGATGGCGACGACTGTGAGATGATTGTCGCTGTGTGCACTGGCACTGGTGTTGTGAAACGGATGCACTGCCGTGCCGATGAGCAGATATCTGCGATTGGAACAAGTCGCCGAGTTGCCAAGTTGATGTCAGTTGTACCTGTAAGACGCGTGCGGAAAGTGGAGAGAGAGGGAGAGAGGGAGAGAGGGAGAGGAAGAGAAAGAGAGAGAGCGCGTATAGGTTGAAATTGGCTGGCTGTCTTGGAAGAACGCGGACGAATTTCGGACAGGTGGAGAACGCGGTGGAAAGCGTCGACGTCAATGAACAAACCTTTACTGTTGATGACAAGGAGCAAGGGCGAAGAGGATGTGGATGAGCGGAGCACAGAGAGAGTGAGATAGGATGAGATAGGATGAGGGAATGCGATGCAACGGCGACGAGACTTCATTCGAACATCCGCTAAGGTGGGAAAGCCGGGCGAGAGAGAAAAGGAGAGAGTATGAGAGCGGGAGAGCGGGAGAGCTGCGACTTTGTTTCTTTGCTGCACCCGTTTCAAGCGACAGACTGAACTGCTGAAAATGACGATCCAACGAGGCGGTGAAGAATGACGCGGAGCCGATCTGATCGAAGATCAGATAGGGCCGATTCGCTTGAATTACCGATCCAATGGAAGATTAAGCCAAGTCAATCTAAGGAGAGATCGGGTGCAACACTGTCCCGCTCGTTGTCATGACAGATCATGAGATAGTAGTAATCCCACACTGGGCAAGTGCCACTCACATGTATATATACTTCACGGAGAGCACTAGGCTCTCACCGTGTTCACTAGTCAATCGAGTATATGTTTCTGCTGCAATAAGGTAGTGACATCGTACTTAGACTATCCCCGATCACCAGTATCGGGACCCAAACGACTTCAACTTTTATCATGAACAACCGCAAGATGATTGAATTGCGAAAAAAAGAAAAAGAAAAAAAAAGAAAAAAAAAAAAAAGAAAAAAAAAAAAAAGAAAAAAGGAGCTGCCAACCTGCGTTTCGTCTGTTCGAGCTCCAGAGATCCAGGTTTTGAGATCTTTCTGATTTTCGCGAGACTGTCCAAGTGCCTCGATTTGATCAAAAAAAAAAAAAAAAAAAAAAAGAAAATGACACGCTGCCAATTTTCACCTGCGCCAATCCAATTCAAGGCTCCTCCTTTGTCAACTCAACAGACGACGCTAGCGACATGCTCAGTGCACTGCCTTGAGCAGCACCGAGAGGCCCGACGTGATCCCTTGAAGGCCTTCTTGAAAAGCAGTGGCAGTGTCTCGAACGCCCCTTGACAAACGGCTGAGAGAGTGAGGAAGCGGCCTGTTGCTCGCAGGTACAAGGTTTCGTCGACCGCAAACGGGCGGAGGTCGGCTTCTCTGTACATTGACGGCAGTCTCGTGGTCAATCACAAAGGATCTCTAAAGAAAGAGTGGAGCTGTGAGAGCGTAATGCAAGTGCTCGTATCACTCTCACCAACGAGAAACGGTGGTGAAGAGATAAGAGCGAACCTGACAGTGGCAGTCAGCAAACTCTAATTGCCCTTCAAAGAGCTCATCATCATCAGAATGTCGACGCGAAACGACAACGCTTCTCCACAGCACAGAAACTCAGGCGCAAGCTTTGTGCGTCCATCACAGATCTGTATGGATCCTATCTCTATAAGCTCCGCTTTTCTATGTAAGAGGCAAACAACCTCTACTTTCCGCACAAAGCTCACCAAGCATCTCTTCGCGACACTGGCCGTCTTTGTTGACGCTCTCTTTCGGACAAAAGCTCTTCATATCTTGTTCAGCTATCGGAATCCTCTTCTTCTCCTCGAAGTGCAACCGACTTTCCACTGTGCACTTGGCCTTAAGCCATGGTTTCGGATATCAAGCCTACCATGAACAACATGTCCGACAGCGTCAAGGACCGTTTTGGAGAGCAGCCGATCGCCACCCATTCCTTGCCAAACCCTCACCCTGCTCCCGAACCTCGAGTGAATCGCAGTAACACCATCCCCACCATCCCTCTCGACGTCTCAAATGTTAGTCAGCTTTGGAGGGACGAGATCCGTCAAGAAGCAAGACGTCTCCACCTCTCCGGTCTCACTCTGGACCAGTTCTCGCGATCATGGCCTCCTCCTCTCTTGAACGCTAACCACCAATGGCTCGCACTCGTCGACGCTGCTAGGCTGCCTGCCTCGCCCGAGTCAGTAACCAGCAGTCAGGACAATGCCAATCTCGACCCGAGTCAGCTCGGCCCCAGCGCCTGGCCCTTCTGCCCTGACTGGAATCTTGATGCCACTTCTAAGGAGCCTCATGCCACCGTCTACGCCACCAACGATGCCTGGCTACAGACGAGCTCTTCCCTGCACAGCACTCACAATACTAATGAACTCGACTCCAGCACGGCCATGTGGTCCCGGTACGGCCGTAACAGCTCCTTCAGCCCGTTGGTCAGTTTGCCTGGACAGTTCTCTGCTGCTTCTCAGACCATGGATCTGTTCGAGCCCAACCCGCTCAGCGAAGCCATAGACTCAAGCCTTGCCCGCCTTGCCATCCCTTTGGCTGCTCCACACAAATCCGACATCGCCTTCAAGAGAACAAGCGTCAAGGACACCTCTCGACTCCTTGCTAAATCTTCGCACACATCCAGACTTACGCAACAGCTAGACAGACAGGTGCGCAACCGCCTTTCTACAGTAGACAATTCTCAATACCAGGCAGCATTCGACAACGGCCGCATCTACGTGCCACCTGCCAACACGCCTAGCTTCTACCCAGTTCAGACCGACCCCGTCTATGCACAAGGCCAGCAAAACAACATCGGAATTTCCCACGCAGTGTTGAGCCGAAGGATCAAGACCGAACTGTACAAGACAGAGCTCTGCCGCCACTGGGAAGAGAAGGGGTTCTGCGAGTACCTTGGGTGAGTGACTTCACTGCTTCAACTATCTTCCATGCTCGGCGGTGCTAGTTGCTGACATTCTCATTGCCGCGTATTTGGTGGCTACAGTGCCTGTCAATTTGCTCATGGAGAAGAAGAGCTGCGCTACGTCGAGCGTGATCCGAAATGGAAGACAAAGCCTTGTAAGGTGTTCAGGTTGTAAGTCCATCATACAAATCCGAACACTTTCTAGTCGTTTCACCGTACTGACGAGGGCAATTTCGTTGTATGAGCAATTTCGTTGTATGACAGGTACGGAAGCTGCCCCTATGCTAAGCGATGCTGGTAAGTCTCTAGATCATGCTGTGTGCCACTGGATTCCGCTCAGTACTAACCACTTCATGCTTGCGTGTCACAGCTTCCGTCACGACCAAGGCGGATCACCTGACGCAGCTCCTACCTACTCTACCTCCCAGGCCCGAGGCTCACTCTTGCAGCGCGTTGGCTTTATGCCGCCCCATGACGCATTTGATCTCAGGCAGCGCCGTGGACGGGCCTAAGCTCCAGTGAGTAAGCAAGAGCCAGGCTCAATTGATATCCACGCCAAAGAGAAAGACAATCACCAAGTACACAAACAAGTAAACACAGATGTAATAGGTGCGCATAGATCGAGAAATGCAGAAACGATGCTTACTTGTGTTCGCAGTGTATGATGCGTGTGTTGCTTGTACATCTTGTCTCACCAATCAGTCTGAGTCGCCTGATCGCGAACGACTGGCGTTGCCCTTGGATAGACATACTTCTCGTTATACTCTGTCAACACTGCTGCTTGTAACACACCCTTATCCTTCACCAACTGCTGATACTGATGCAGAGTCAAATGCAACGGTCCTGATACAGCTACGACCAGAAACACGAACACGAACCATTCGAATGCGCCCATATCAATCAATGCGGCTGCAGGGTAGATCACCGCATGAGCCGGTGAAAAAGTCGCGAAGAGATTCAGCGTGTAGGGACTCGGGTCCCACATGGACAGCTGACGTATCCCATGCTTGCTGTCTACGCTTGAGCTTGTCGGGTCCCCTGGTTTGGGCTGCGAGCAGAACTGATAGGTGCGACGCTTGGTGAAGAAGATCCAAGCATTGACGCAGGAAGTGACCGAGATGAGAAGGAAGAGGGTAAGCGAAGCAAAGCGAAAGAATCGATCCGAGGCCTGGTAGACGGCTGACTTGCGTGCATGACGTTTGAGTGCATCTGCCATGGCGTATTCGTCGCCAGTGTGGTTGACTAGGTACTCGTATGCTATTGCTGGGTTCTGTGCTCGTCGGTGGCAGGGTTTGTTCATTAGCCATGAGCCGAGGCTTGACTCAGGGGAGAAAAGAAGGCCGGTGAATGAGAGCAAATGGAGAAGAATGCCTAGTATATTGCCTGCTTGATCGGCGAAGAGCTGTTCTTCCAGGTCGAGGATGGATGATGTGAGCCTGTAGTATGTGTCCACAGGCCATTGCTGGATGCGCTCAAGGAGGGGGCGTTTGCGGATAAAGCGTTTACGAGTTGCGCGAACGGGCGTGACTGGAACATCATCTTCGAGGGCTTGTGTGTAGCTTGGTGCAAGATGTGCAGGAGTCCCGACTTGCGGTGAGAAGACGTCTGAGGAGCTTGATGTAAGTGCGCCTTGGACGTCTAGCTGAGGTGTCGATCTAAGAAATGGAGAAGCAGTGCCCTGCACAGAGGATGGTGTACCTCCTCGAACGAATGGTGATGCGGATCTTGATGCAATGTTTCGTTGCAATGGTGAGTCGACCAAGCTTGCCCGGCCTCTAGAAGCGCGGGAAGCACGCCAACCGGGCTGACCAAACGCAACACCCTTGCGGTAGGCTGGCGAGCCCGGCGATGGTGCCGGCGAAGAAGGGTAGCTGGCCATGCTGCAACAGACAGACAGGCACAGCTGGTCAGCGTCTTGTCTACGAGAATGGATGGTCGAAGAGATGGAAGAAGCTGTTCTGTAGGATGGACGCCGAGACTGTACAACCTCACATCACGCAGAAGTGAAGAACATCAGACGTGGCCTGTGTCTATTTCAGGGTCCATTTAATTCCGACACCAACACCTCGGAACAAGGCGCTTACACTGCGAGCTTGTTAGATGACTCGATCTCACATGAATTCAGGTAAAACACGTGATTCACCTGAACCACACGTGATGCTCTTGGTTTTGACTTTTCTTCCGCAAAATCTTTTTCTGCTCTGGGTGCAAGGACAAGGCTGACTGCGGCTGGAAGAAGCAGAGAGCTAGAAAAGTTCGTCAAGCTCTTGCAACTTCTTCCTCTCTCTCTTCGAACAAATATCCAAGAAGGTATGTGATCGCAAACTCAGCTCTCCTCTGCCATCGCCAACGATGGTAGTAATAATATTTCGGCTTCATTGACCGACTACTGACCGACCACTTGCTCTCTCTCTCTCTCTCTCTCTCTCTCTCTCTCTCTCTCGCTGCCCGCTATCGCCGCTATCCAACAGACACAAAAGTTCGAGCTTGGACTTTTTCTCCGTGCCAAGTTCGCGTTCCCGTCTTCAAGATTAAAAGAAGGAGTTGGTGTCAAAAGAACACCTCGACTTCCATTCTGTCTGCTCCTCGTGGCAGGCTGGGATGGGTCGTTGCATCTGCTGAGATCGGCGAGGCCTGGTTCACCGTATTCGCAAGATGTTCACGTGATGGTCCCGAGGATTGACGACGGTGAGTCTCTTCGTGAGAATCCCGACGGGCCCAGGATGTAGGTCATCACGGATGGTGGATCGGGTCGTTTGCAAGTCGGCAGCGGTCTCGACCGACAAATCGTGTCTTGCAAGACAGCAGACTTCTCTCGTTGGTTTTCGCACAGGTCAGTTCTTTCTCAGTGCCAAGTTCCTTGCTGGAGGAGATGAGACATCTACCTCCCTCGTTTCGGTCCTGTCTGCCATCTCTTTGCTCGCAAGGGGTAGAGATGGCATGGACTGATAAGGTAAGTCGCTCTTGATCCCCTTCCACAACATCAATCACGAGGCAAGTCAAGAGGACAAGCAACGAAAGGACGTCCAGCGATGATGAGCAACCAGTGTCGCCCCAGACTGCAACTATATTGAAGAGTGACTATAGCATACATCCAAACATGCATCACTGAGCTGTCGTCCTTTCAGAAAAAGCTTGTCACTCTTGCCTCTTGTGTGCGAGATGGCCCTTCAATGGCCCTTCATCTTGCTGAGGAGAACAAGTCGCTGACATCTCCATTGTTCTTCTGTTCCGCGAATGTAGACTTTCATATGCTTATAATGTCATTTGTGATAGCCTTTTACGTTGTGAGGACAAGAAGGAGGATGATCTTCCGAAAGCGTTTTCCCGATTCTCCCGATCCCCCCCCCCCGATTGCGAGTGTTAGTTGTATTTCTCTGGCTCAAACTCGCTCACTGAAATGAAAAAAATAAAAATAAAAATAGGATTGGTGCGCGTGAGCAAAGGGGGAAAAAGTTACAGTAGGGGGTTTCAGTTTTCTCTGAGTTTTCAAAACTCCAAGTTTTCATGGTTTTTTTGGATTTTGAAAGCTTGCTGCTTAAGTAAGCTCTGCCAGGAAAGAAAAGCTCGGAAGTTTTGAAAACCCCTACTTATTTTTGCCATGAGCCCGGGTTTCTGAATATTTGAGTTTTCAGCAGGAGTTTTTATCATGTGCTGATATCATGTGATTCTAACACAATTCTGCACACAACCCTTGACCTCCACTTTCTGCACTGTCTACACTTTCTCATGCTTTGAGTTACATCTGTCCTTGCTTCACTTCTATCACCATCTCCAGTAGCATTTCCTCCCTGTCAGTGCCAGGACATGGACATGCCATCCCCTCATGACCATATCAACAACATTACACTATTCACAGCTTTGCAGTGAGCCTCTGGATTGGCTCCAGCATCAGAGCAGTCTTCAACTGCTTCGCAGCACAACACAATAATGTCAGCTCAGTCCAACCTTGATTGCTCTCATCAGTGCCACCCTTCTGCAACTTCCAGCACCTTGGCTGGGGCTGAGTCAACTCAGCCAGCAACCTCTCCCACTTCCCCTTTGTCCTCCTCCACTCCTTCTGGTTCCAATGCCACCACATCTGCCGGTTCTTTGCCTTGCCAAACCTCTACCCAGCCAACTCGAATCTCTGCAACTCGCAGACATCAAGCCAGTACTCGTGGCAGCAGGTTCAACAAAACAGATCATATTGCCTACTTCAATTGGTCACCTAGTGACATAAATAACCTTGTTGATATCATCTACAATAATGATCATTACCAACATGTTCTATTGCCAGGACATTTGACTGCGGAACAGGAAAAGGGTCTGAAGACAAACAAAGATGTTATCTGCAGGCAGATATGGCAGGAGCTGTTCCCAGATGAGTCTACTGTTGGTGGTGCTGGTCGAGTAAAGACTAAGATTTGCTGGCTCACTGAACAATACAACAACATCAAGAAGGCCATCTTGCAGCAGACTGGTGCTGGAGTACTTCTTCAAGACATGGATCACAACAGCTCAGTAAGTACAACTTAGTTGATTCATGTTAAGTGTGCCAAAGTTCTTATACTTTATATCTCTGTCTATGCTTCTTTATCAACTTGCAGGACTATGCCACATGCGAATCGATTGCTTGAAGCCACCCTTGGTTTGAGCACTGGCACAAGATGATGACCAACTGTGCACAGACTGGTCCAGTTGTTCTTCTCACTGGTCACCCATATGATGCCACCCCTGCCTCCTCTCAGAATAACTCAGTTGATGCCAATGTGAATATGGATGATGCCAGCGATGCTCACTACCCTCAGCAATGCAACATTCCTGGCATGGAATCCATTCTTGAGGAGTTGCAAAATGATCCCATTGGAGCAAGAGTTATCTCATCTTTTTCTTCTTCAGTTGCAGCCACCCCAGCTGCTGCTTCATCTTCATCCTGCTTGCCCTTCTCTTCCTCATCCAACCCGTCTTCGATTGGCCCCACCCCCTTCACCATTACCCCTATAGACACTCCAACCTGCCAGTGCTCATCCAGCACCACTTTTGAGGCTGATGAAGTGGACAATGGTGATGGTGACTCTGTTTACCATTCTCCAGCCACAGGTACAACACCCAAGAAGTCTCAACCCTTCACTTCCAAGAGCAAGCAAGAAGAGCTGTCAGAAATTGTGTGGGCCTGCACCCAAGACACACTTCAGGCATGAATCAAGGTTGAGGAGGAATGCATGAAGAGGGAGGAAATGCGCATTCAATTTGCCAGGGAAGAAAGTGAGAGACAAGAGCGCATGTGAACTGAAGAGCATGGTTGGCTCATGGAGATGGTGCAGATGATGAACCCTAATCTACCCTTTGGCAACATCGCTGGAAGTAGTCAAAGCAATCTTGATCTTGACCCACTGGTTCTTGCCATGGATCAGCAGGACAATAGTGATTCAGCTTGTGAGTAGACCATTTGGCAAGAATGGTGTTCCTTTTGAGTTCTCCAAGTTCTGTTCCTGTGTTTCCAACTTGTTGTACCATTGCTCTCTGTAAAGCTAGCTCTCAATATGTATGACTAGCATACCCCATACCCAGTCTTCCATGTAATCTCTCAAATGTAGATTGCTTCAATGTGATGAATTGTTCCACATACAAGATGCTGATCGGTGTAGCCCCAGTTCTGAGCATGCATGTTGCACAGAACCCAGCTGCACAGAACTCAGCTGTGTTGTGTTTGTAGCTTTGGACTCTCTTTCGGACCACATCATCCTCTCCTATTTCTGGCCCTCTACTTCAACCATGGTGTGCACTTCCAACAAACAGCACCTCCTGGACGACATTGAGACCACCATCATGCACTCATTGATGGTGGAATCCAAGATGCAACTTGATCTGATGGATGTCGATGCCACTTGGCACCCTAATGATGACCTTGAAGATTCTGATGATGACATGTTCAATCATGCTATCTCATTTGCACTCATCAGGACTTACAACATCATCAGCCAGTCTCGATACACAGTTGAATGCCTTCAACTGCCACAACAAAAGGATCCCCTCATCAACATGCTTGATTGATATGCTGTCATCAACCACAAGCTCTTTCGAGGGGCTGTTCACATGACCCCAGATGCATTCCAAGCTCTCACTTACAGACTCAGCACAACCAATGCCTTCAGATCAATATCAAGCTTTTGGTGTGTTCAGCAGCAAGTGGCAGTTGGTCTATATCAGCTTGGACAGTCAGGAAATGGTGGTGGAGTTTGTGATGTTGCATTTGCCTGCAGTTGCAGTCAGGGCTCAGTTCATGTGTGGACAGATAGGACTATTGCAGGCCTATATGAGCTGAACAGCGAGGTAGTAACCTTTGCAACTGAAGATGAGCATGCTAAGGCAAAAGCATGGGTTGCTGATAAGAGTGGAGTCAAGGAATGGTCTAGAGGATGGTTGGTGGTAGATGGTACACACATCAATCTTGCTTGGAAGCCAGCACTCAATGCTCGTGAGCATTACTCATACAAGGGTGATTATACATTCAACATTGCCCTTGTCTTCCTCCCTCATTCCTTGCACATTGTTGAGTCGGTGGTTGGACATCCTGGGTCATCACATGATGTGTGAGTCTGGGCTTCAGGCAGTGGTATTGTTGCAAAGCCTCATTTGCATCTTGATGAAGGTGAGTTTGTCTGGGTTGATGCTGGTTATGGCTACTCCAGCTACACAGTTGGACCATACAGCAACACTGCAGCTGCAAAGAGCAGAGATCTCCACTACTTCAACTATTCACTCTCCCACATTCATGTCAAGGCTGAACATGGCATTGCCTACCTCAAGAACTGCTTCCAATGTCTCATGGGATTTTGAGGCAACCTGTATTGAGAAGAGGACCACAAGAAAGCTGCACATTGTCATGGGCCTGGATGCTCAAGAAGCAGGAGGGTCACAGGTTCATATGGAAGGAGCACAGGTATCGAAGATCTAGTCGAGATCAGTAGAGAGCATGGTCGTAGTGCAGTCTCCATGGAGACCATGGACTCCTATGGACTCACATGCAAAGGAGGGCCAAGCACAGCCACGAGGAGGACCAAGCTCAAGGAGCATGCAGATGGTTACCACTCAGGGGCTCGAGAGACAAGAGCCAAAGGAACTGTCACTGATCAAAGGAGGAGGAGCAGTGTCGAAGGAGTCGACACCAGGTCATGAGGAGGAGGAGCAGTGTCAAAGGAGTCGACACCAGGTCATGAGGAGGAGGAGCAGTGTCAAAGGAGTCGACACCAGGTCATGAGGAGGAGGAGCAGTGTCGAAGGAGTTGACATCAGGTCATGAGGAGAAGGAGCAGTGTCGAAGGAGTCGACACAGCTCAAGAGGCACAGGGGTGCCAAGCAGGAGAGGCCCCTGAGCAGTACTCGATGAAGAAGGTACTCTCTGGAGAGAGAGAGCAGGAGCAGCATCGCTGGCGATGCTGAGTAGAGGTATATAACCATGCTTTCTCATCATCATAGGTCGAGTGGATCCTCATCCACTCTACTCACCATATAACTAGTTATCACTTCAGCATAAGTATACATTAGTTTCAGTCAGCATAGCAGCAATCTATCAAGGTTGCTCCTCATCGTAGTGTGTGTGTTGTATCACCACTACCTGACGTCCGAAGGCGCCCATAGCAGGTTAGCAGTCCGGATCAAGATAGAACCGAAGGCAGTAGTCCACTGCGGTCCAGGGATCACTTCAAGCATCAAGTCAACACACTGGACACTCGTGTTGATGCCACCAACCTTATCACCAACACCATCAACCTCATCATCATCAACACTCACACCAGACCTTGGTGTCATCATAACATTGATATTGATCATGCCGAGCTACCCCTGAACGGAGTGTCCACAGAGGTCAGCCGAAACCTACGATAGTATATACAACGAACACCACCTGCTGTCACTGCACAACTTGATAGTCACCGATACCGAGACAATAGCTGTCGCACAGTTTGATAGTCACCGAGTATCTCGACAGACCGACCTGGGTTTCAGGCGCGAGACCCCTGACACACATATGGTCCAGGCTTGTATCATTGCACATACATTCGCAAGCCATTATGATCGACCAGATGAGGTGGCAGAATACCTTAAGGCATCAGAAACTCTATCTGAAGCTGAGGTGCTGGAGACCATGTCAGGGATGGAAGCATATCAGCAGGCTACCAAAGATGCAAGGATACAATGAAGGGAAAACCAGCAGCAATACGAACAGGAACAGGCTGCTGCCATGGAGGGCATGTCTCAGAACCGAGTCCAGAAGTTCAGGCAGGAGAAAGCACTGGATCTTAGGGAGGAGATGCTCACTGCACTCTTTGCTTCTCATGGCCACCCTTTTGAGGACACAACAGCAGAATCTCAAAGGATGGGAATGACAACACTGGCCTTTGCTGAATGGCAGGAGAGACAAAACTGATGGCATGAGGCTTGCAGAAGACAGCAATCAGAACAGGTGTGATGTAAGCTATTTGCTTTAGCTTTTCAATCAAAGGTTTTGGCATTGTTCAGTATAGTGTTCAACAACATCTGATATGATCACTTTGATCTTGACCTGGTGTAGGGAATCAGAGATTGTTTTTACCAGGCAAGTCAAGTGAAACTCCAAGATGCACATGTCACAGGCCTGTGCAGTTTCTTGGGGCATCAAAAATTGGGCCCAAACATATTTTCAAAGTATTGTGTTTTCAAAACTCAGAGATAACTGAAACCCCCTAGTGCGAGTGGCAGTTCAGAGTTGACTATTCAGAGTTGACTGTTCAGGGTTGACTATTCAGGGTTGACTGTGTGTGCACACACTCTCATTCCAAAAAGCTGTAAATTCACATCCTGTCTGAACTCAATCGCACGAGAGACTAAAAAAAAACGACTAAAAATAATGTGCAGATAAACTGGGTGGATTGCAGGCAAAGAGCCGTGAGGTCCTCGAAGCTCGACAAGGAGGCTCCCAGCCGGCCGTAACAGGGGCACAGGGAGGGCAAAGAATCGACTAACCAGGTTATGGTGTACCTGACTTTGGAGAAGGTAATGGTAGTGAAGAGAGGAGCAAAGAGCGGACTGGTGTTGTGAAGAGCGGAGCGGAGAGAGAGCAATGCGATGGCTGAGTCCAGTCCAGACAGGCACGCCTTTTCGATGAAATCACGTGATGCAAAAGTGCGGGTTGGGAGCGCTCTTGCATGGTCAAAACGGTCTCGCGTCGTCGGTGCGCTATCACAGCTGCAAAGTCGGTTGAGCTATTCACAAATCCTTTCATCAAGCAACGCTCCCTCACTCTTGACAATCATCAATCGCCAACAACCACCATCGTCAAGCAACTTTGCAGCGTCTCCACCCTTTCTGCTTGTTGAATCTCACCCACTCGCTCGTTCCGTAACACAAAGAAGAGTCTCGTCGAATCCAACGCATCCAACGCATCCAACGCATCCAACGCATCCAACGCATCGTTCAGACCAACCGCTGGACAGCCTAACGACCCCATATTCTCGCAAGACTCACATCTATCCCTTACCAACGTCTTGATCTCCCCTTGGCACAGACAGCTGACATCGTTCCTAAGACTCTTTCACCTCATACACATCTACAATCATGGCGGCAGAATCCAACTACGACTACCTCTTCAAGGTGGTTTTGATCGGTGACAGCGGCACGGGTAAATCCAACCTTCTCTCGCGATTCACTCGCAACGAGTTCAGCCTCGAGTCCAAGTCCACCATCGGTGTCGAGTTCGCCACCCGTTCCATCTCCGTAGACGGAAAGACAGTCAAGGCTCAGATCTGGGATACTGCCGGACAGGAGCGATACCGTGCCATCACATCTGCATACTACCGTGGTGCCGTCGGCGCCTTGCTCGTATACGACATTGCTAAGCATCCTACATACGTCAACGTCTCCAGGTGGCTCAAGGAGCTTCGCGACCACGCCGACAGCAACATTGTCATCATGCTTGTTGGAAACAAGAGCGATTTGCGACACTTGCGAGCTGTTCCTACAGATGAGGCGAAAGCCTTTGCTGGTGAGTGTTGCATCAAGCGAGCGGCAGGATAACTCGGCTGGATCCTTTAAAGTTGAATGAGTTTCAGCTAGTGGCGGACATATCTGCCTCACCATCGATATTCCTCGATGTTGCTGCGGGGCAGGAATAGCCTTTTCAACCCAACCAGCACAAAGATCGAGATCTCCGACAAGGCTGGCTAAAGCCGTCTCGAATCTGATCACCAACTGACAATTTACACCTTTATTTCCTCTCCCTCTTTGCCTCGTGCTACATGTACAGCCGAGAACAACCTCTCCTTCATCGAGACTTCGGCCCTTGACGCTTCCAACGTAGAGCAGGCATTCCAGAACATTCTTACAGGTAAGTCTCCACCAACGCCCGCACACCTACCTGAGAGAGAAGCCATGCTCGATACTGACCAATGCTGCTCTTCTCTCATCGCCCACCTGCACTCTGACCGGTACTATAAATCCTGTTTGACCTCGAACAGAAATCTACCGCATCGTATCGAACAAGGCGTTGCAGTCTTCCGACGACGTCATCAAGCCTTCCGGCGGAGAGACAATCACTGTGCAGCCAAGCGCTGACGATGGTGGACAGACCAAGAAGAACGGGTGCTGTTAAGAAGAACATGCCAGCTTTCGTTTCTTTGGACCATTGACTTCTCACAACCCTATCTCGCTTCACCGCCTCAAAGCCGATGATTACAACTTGATTCGACTCGGCTTCCACCTTGTACAGTTTCCGTTACCCGCATCTTGTGCAACTCGCTTCTCTAAACAGATCAACACCCTGCTGCATGACAGGATGGAGACATCGAATGTCCTTTGGTCTATACAGTCTGGTGCCTGCGTCTAGCATTTGCGTGTTCTTCCTGCTTCGACAACAATCTGACTGACCAGCAACACGGCGATCCGCCATTCAAATAGACTGCGGCGTTGTAGTGAAGGTCGAAGTGAGGCTATCCCCAATGCTTACAATGATTGCCCCGTCATTGCGAGTGTGCCAACTGCATACGAAGAGCTGCATGGATAACAGTGAGCCATGAATCTACGATCGTGATCAGCCGATGGTCCAACGCACGGCCCACGCTTAGATATGTGTCGGATTGATGTTAAATTTATTTGCCGAATAGGCGTCGTATGTGTATTTGTGTGGAGGACCACGTAAGTGTCAAAAAGTGTCACTTTGCGTTCAAGACATGCGAACTGCTTGTTCAACATCCACAACCATCCGGTACCACAACTACTTCGATAGTTTTGTACCAACTCCACAGGAGCTTGCTCTCAAAGTATCACAACAGGAGCTATAACCCTCGCTAGCTCATCCGGATAATTAAAGGCATTCAGACCGGAAGGCTAGCATACAACTCAAGCACATTCACTCGCTTCCAAGGCCTCCTCACTCCAACACATAATAGCAATACAGACATCATGGACGACGATGATGTTCTCGAGGTCGATTCTCCCATGGAGCCAGCCGTCGATCTTGACGAAGACGAGGATGAGGAGATGCCCGTCCTGAATCTCGATGGAGATGGCCCTAGTCGCAGCTCACAGCCACCGAAGAAGGCCAAGGGCGAGAACCGACATCTCCAGCTCGACTACCCACAGAGTCTTCCGTATACATGCGAGAGCCTCGAGGAGTTTGATGCTCGACTGGACCACATTATTCGTCGCCTCATCGACTGCGTCCGTACCAAGGACTACGACATCGGCTTCGTTCAGTGGAATCACAGGCTGCAATGTCTCCTATCCCTCAAGTACCCAATCCTTCGCAAGACCAGAGCAAGGCTAGCTCGCCTCTACTACCAGTTGGCCGTCTTGCCCAGTCTCAATACACGATGCATCGAGCTGGCAGCCAACATGTGCATGACCCTGATCGAGAACAAGAAGAAGCTCGACATCAAGGATCTCGTCCTGCCATGGAGGCCGCTCTACATCATTCTCGAGAAGGAGCTCTTCCCCAAACGTCGCAGGACTGGACTCACCAACATCGCCGACATTCTTCTCGACCTTGCAGAGACCGCTCAGCGCTTCTACCCTGCGAGCGAGGCCGACGATATGCTACGCACCTTCCTTCCCAAGATGGACGGCTCCAATCTCAACTCGGTCATCGCTACACAGGCTTTCCTCGTACACTTCTTGCCAATCAGCCATCCTCAACGATGGCTCCCCGCCATGTTTCGGCTCTGGGAGAGTTTCAACTCGTCTCTTTTCGATGACCAGATGCTCGACTTGCTTGCCCGACTCTCTGAAATGCACGTCCAAGACCCATCCATCAGTTCAGCATCAGCTGCACGAAAGGCAGGATCGTTGGCCGAAGCAACCGTGCGACCCGATGCACAAATTGCAGAGGCACCTGATGCGGCAAAAGTTGATGATAGTGAGCGAATGGATGAGGACGCTGAAACAACCAAGCCAGCAACGACTGAGTCGCCGATCTCATCAGGCATTGCAAGCCCGTCAGAAAAACTTGGTCTCTTCAGCGACATCGGCATCTTCACCGAGCAGCAGTATTCGCTTATCATGACCAAGTGTCTCAAGTCGGCCGGTCTTCCTGTCGGCTCGAGCAAGGCAGCCAATGCTGCGCTCATGGCTCAGTCGGCAAACGTCCGCAGCGGTCCTGACGCTGCAGCGTCCGGAGCAACACTCAAGATGAAGAAGCCTACTGATCGCCTTCGGTCTTTTGCTGTCATCATCGCCTACTCGATTCAGAAGGACGGTCCCAGCGCAAGCAATTCAGCCTCAGCCTCATACCTTCCCACTCCAGTGCGCCCATCCTCGCCACAATCGGGCGGCAGCAGCAAGCCCGTCGCAACGTATCCAGCAGGTTCCAAGGCCCTCGACCATCTCGCCAAGTTCGTGCAAGCAACAGAGAGCTACTTCCATCCTTCGAACTGGGGCATGTGGCAGATCTCTCTTTCTAATCTCGTCCAGCAGATCATGTTCGAGTTCCTCAAGCGTGTCAAGGAGGAGGAACGACCGCAGTGCAAGACTCCCCAACAATATCGATTGACTGACGAGATGAAGACCGAGATCGTTTCCATTCTTCGCACTGTCTGTCTCCTCTCCATGTTCTCCAAGGACCCGCTGACCATTGCAGCCTCGCAAGCCAGTCTCAAGAGAATGGCCATTCTTGCGCCTGAGATGGTGTTCCCAGCTGTGTTGGATCGAGCCTTCAACTCGCTCGAGGCACTTGAGACAACGCACCGCACAAACGCCGTCATCACAGCGCTGTCGACGCTCTCGCCCGTCTTCACCTCGCGACAGCTCTACAGGTCCGGTGGTAAGCACTTGCTGCCACTTCTGCAGCTGTGCATTCCCGGTATCGACCTCAACGATCCCATGAAGACGATGAGCACCTGCATGTTTGTGCTCCTGTCGACGCTCTCTATCCGTATCGACGACCTGACGCGTCCAGAGGTCTATGCGGATGACGAGCAGTCTTTCGAGCCGATTGTCGACCAGCCACCGTTGCGAGTCGACACGCCTGAGGCCTTGCCGACCGATGCTGAAGAAGCTCCGCAAGCGACTCCTGAGCAGGAAGACTACCAGCTTCGTATCAGCACTGCCGATTTTGACGCATGGATTTCAGCCTACTTCCAGCGAGTGCTGTCTCTGTTCGAGACACTACCAGAAGAAGGCAAGGGCGGTCGCACGGGCGGCAAGTCCGAGGAGCAGGTCATCAACATGATCATGGCGGCCTCAGACGGGCTTTGTCGATCCATGAGCCCTTACTTGCTTCAGAGGTCTTTCGACAAGATCGCAGATTACTGCGCTCACACAGTTTCGGCAACCTCTGTACGTGTAATCGGCTCTCTAGTCGGCTGCTTTGCTCGCGCAAATAGCAAGATGGTCCTCAAAAGGCTCTTGCCGCAGTGCATTGCCAACATACAGGCAGAGATCGCCAACGGGGCGAGTTCGACACGGACCACCAACACCAGTCTGCCAACAGCGGGTGATGCGGCACTGCACTGGAATCTTAGCGTGCTGACAGGTGCTCTCAATGGACCCAGCGAGCATCTCCTGGAGTACAAGGAGGAGTTGATCTCGGTGTTGCAGCTCATCATGGAGAGCTGCAAGAGCGAGAGAGGCTACAGCTTTGGTGCCAAACTCGTTTCGAAGATCATTTTGTCGCTCACCACACTCTACCCGAAGGAGCAGCGCTTCGTTAACTCGCAGACTTGGGAGAGCGAAGCTTTCGAGAAGCGATCTCATCTATTCTGGGGCAAGATGTACGACGAGAAGAGCGTCAAGATCAACTGGCACGTGCCATCGGACGATGAGATCAACATGGCGATCCATATCATCGACCGAGTTGTAGTTCGGGCCTTGGACAAGGTTGAGGCACTTCAAGCTGAACGTCTCTCCAGGGATAAGGCCTGGTCGAACGACTTCTGCCGCTATCTGATGATTGTCAGGATGGGGCTGATCGGCATACCCAGTCTGATCGAGGAGGACGAGGTTGGTGGTGGTGAGCCGGCGATGGACATAGGCGACGAAGCGCCCGAGTTCGTCGACATTCCTCCTCGCTTCAAATCACACTTCTGTCTTGTTGACCGTGGAGAGGCACGGTACCAGAAGGTTGCTTCCTTCAAGCAGCGAATCGGTGAGGTGTTGCATCTTGCTGCTCAGAGCACTCAAGACTCGGGCGCAGAGGATCAGATCGATTGCGTCAAGATGCTCGTTCGATGCATTCGCTCTTACCTCACCTCCTACAGCTACAATGGCGAGGACTACAAGGCCCACATGCGCTCTCTCGGCTTCTTCCGCAATATTGCCAAGCTGTACGCCAAGCAGAAGGCCTTCCCGCGTGTGCTCTTCATTCGTCGTGCGGCTTTTTACAACACAAGCCGCGCTCGACTCAACAGCTTCCACCGCAAGCGTACGCCACTGAAGGACAAGCTCATTCTACAGGTTCTCGAGTTCTGCATGTCCAATTACGTGGGCATCCGACAAACGGCGCAGAACACCCTCGACACCATTGGTGGTGTGTACGATGGTACATGGATTCTGTGCTTGCCCAAGCTGATCCAGGCGATCCAGCCTGGCGTTCCGGACGACCGGATGAAGGGAGCATTGTATGTGCTTGGCAGCAAGGGGGCTTCGTACCTTTGCATCGCTGATGCCCGCTTCAGCGTCGAGTACATAATGAGTCTTCTTGATGCTCAGCACCACTCGAAGCCTTCCATTCAAAAGCTTGTCAGGGGCATCATCAATGACTTTATCATCCGCTTCGCCGAGCCCTCGACGTTGACCGACAAGATCGACTCAACTGCTCTGAACGAAGCGGCTGATATTCTGGAGCGGGCACTTCCCTCTGATCTGCAGAAGGCGGAGGAGAAGCTCATCGAAGCCGTTGCTGCTAAGCGACGCACTCGTCTCGATAGGGTCGATGAATTGCACAAGGAGCTTACCTCGAGGGCGTTGGAGTTTGCGCAAAGAGAGACTACCCATTGGGCGTTCTCGATCTTTGCTACTCGTCTGCTCAGAGCGTTGGTGCGAAAGGACAGGCCACTGGACGGCAAGACTGCGGGCTACCTGGCTGACCAAATGATCTCGGAGAATCCTCAGATGCGAGCCTGTGCTCAAGCTGTACTCACAAAGATCCTCTACTACGTAAAGCTGCGTACGCTTGCGCCTTCGGATGAGGATCTACTGCTCGGCCAGACCAAGAACCCGCTCAAGCACTCGGAGAAGCTGCCAAGTCCCGTGTCAAACGAATGGACGCAACAGTACATCGCTGCTTTTGGTGAGCCTTTGACACCGACCAGCAAGCTTCGTGACAAGCCATCTCAAGGCTGGCTCGTTTGGGGCGATGAAGAGAACTTCTATGACCCTCCTCCTGCCGATGGTGTTGTGTTCACTTGGGAGGAAGCGTCTAAGCCTGCGATCGAAGCGGTGCGCGCCAGGTTCACCCAAGAATCGTGGTGGCAGTCGTTCACTCGTCATTTGTCGCAAGAGAAGGACCGCGACTACCCTGGCAGCGAGTCAGTGACACTGCTCAAATCGATTTTCCAAATCTTTGGTGTCGAGGTACTGCCTTTCATCAAGACGATCACGGAGCAGTTCATCGCCGAGAAGGATCGACACCGACAGCGAGCAGCCTCCGAGCTCATTTGCGGTGTCTACCGTGGCTCGAAGCATTGGAACATGAAGGATCAGAATACGCTCTGGTCTTGGCTCGAGACGCTCCTGCCAAAGATCTTCGAAGGCTGCACACCTGATAGTCAACCAGCGTGGCAGTCGTGTATCGAGTACATGCTGCAAGCTCGTGACCCGCGTCGAGCGCTTCCCATGGTGCGATATGTGGTCAATATCGCACGCGAAAACATCGACAAGGAGAACAACACTTCGAGTCCGTGGGAGCAGGCTAAGGCGCAGAACCTCTTGCGAGGGGTGATGATCTCGATGAACTTGCAATTCGCACCGTTCGGCGCTGACGAGTTCATTAGACTGTACTCTGAGAACTTTGGCAGCGACTTTCAAGAGGTCAGGAGCGTCATCAGTGAAGGTTTGGCCGACTTGGAGCTGTTGCAAGTTAACCCATCTTTTGGTAGCGTCGAGTTGATGCTGGACGAGTGCAGCTCGGGCCATGGATCGCTGCTTGCCAAGCCAGAACTGTACAGCGGCCGACTGGAAGTACTTTCTAAACAGCTTGCGCAATGGCGCACGGAGAGGAAACCCACAGCGGAGGGTACTTCGCAGTACGACCGTGCAGCGATGACCGCTTTGCTGTGGATCTCGACTACCATGGGCGACCACCGCAATGGCGCCATTGCAGGCGAAGCGATCAAGTACATTCCCGACATCTTCGCCATGCTTGAATTGCACGACAACAAAGAGCTCTCGGCTCTTGCACGTGCTGTTCTCACCAAAATTTCGACGCACCCCTTCACCTCCGAGCACGCAGGAACGCTCGTCGAAACTCTTCTACACGTCACCCGATCTTCCGTCGACTCATGGCGCGCTCGACTTGACAGTCTTCCAGTCCTCCAAGTCATCTTCTTCCAGAACCTGTTCTACCTGGATGACTCTACGATCAACTCGATCGTCGAACTCCTCCTCGAGCTTCTCACAGACAAGCACCTTGAAGTTCGTGAAATGGCCGCCACAACGCTTTCGGGAATTGTTCGCTGCTCGCAACGTCGCTTGATCAAGACGCTCAAGAACAGATTCACCAGGCTCGTCTCGACCACAAAGGTGCCACGTCGAGGTGAAGCGAGGTATGATGAGCAGTTGATCACTTTGCATTCGGGTGTTTTGGGCGCATCGGCTTTGTTAGCTGCTTTCCCGTACGAAGTACCGGATTGGATGCCGAGTTTAATCGTAGAGACTGTTGCACAGCACACTGATGATCCAGTACCGATTTCGACAACCGTCAGAAAGTGCGCAGCCGACTTCAAGAGGACTCATCAGGATACTTGGTCGGAAGATCAGATGAAGTTTGGTGATCTACTTCCTGAGGTCAACGATTTCACTCTTGGTAGGAGCGACTACTTTGCATGATTATTTGATCATACCACCACTCTCCCGCATTGCATCGTTGTCACAACCCTAGAGCTTTGCACATGTATCGTTAAGCACTTCAATTACAAGTCTATTGCATCCTTATTCGGACTTATAGTCGTACATCTTAGCCACGATAATGGCCGTGACGAGATTGCTCGCGGCAAAGATCCAGAATACTGCGCCGCCGGTATGGTTGCTGTCGTAGCCCGCGAGGTAGTTCTTGATGGGAAGGAAAGCTGAGCCCACGATGAAGTTTGCTGTCCAGTTCAGAGTGAGTCCGAGTGAAGTTGCTGTTGATACTGCCTACGCCAGCCAAACACAAGGAAAGAAAGTATGTCAGCGTTTCACTCTCTACATCACACGCTGAGAAGGAGATCAGTACTTACTCTAGAAGGTACGATTTCAGGCAAGATCACAAATGGTATCGGACCCAAACCGAAACTGAAGCCTGCTACCATCAATACCATGCAAATCGCACTGAGCACTTTATACCCCCACACGATGCCCGCTCCCAGGAAAGCAGAGGCTGCAGCCATGGTGAGTGCGGACCCAACCATGAGGTTTTTGCGCCCGACGCGGTGTTCATCGATGAGATAGATGGGCGGGAAAGTCATGAGGATGTTGATGACTGTGATAAGAATTGCAATTGATCCAGCTAGGGAGGGGAGGATGGAGCCGAGAATGCCAACAGAGTAGTAGAGGACTGCGTTGATGCCAGATAATTGTTGACCTAGTTGAGTGAGGATGACGAGGATTGTGCCTGCTCGAACTTCGGGGTCGGTGAAAAGTTGGGGGAGAGTGGTTTGGGTGCGGACGTTTGAGCTGGTTTCCGCACCGTCGGTATCGGCTTCGGTTTCTGAGAGAAGCCCTTGTCGCTCTTCGTCTGATCCTGAGCTGCGGGAGACGGTGGATCGCCTGGTTTCCTTCCAACTTTGCAGCTCTTTCGCTGACCATAGATGAGCGCGCACTTTGTCTGCCGCATCTTTCGCAGCTATGCCAGTCGAGCCTAATGCGGACCTCGCTTCGCCTTCCAACCATCCCGGCGACTCTAAGCCCCACGTATACGATCCAACGAATTGCAACACAGACAAGACCCCTGAAACAGCAGGTACAGCTCTCCACCACGTCCCATCCTCACCCAACTTACTTGCCCCGATAGCCTGCGCCAAAAAGATACCCAACACGATACTGAACTGATTCAGTACACCGATACTGCCCTTCAAGCTGACCGGTGAGATCTCATTCAGAAAGATGGGGACCATCACTACTCCAACACCCGAACCGACACCTTGTATGAATCTTCCAGCGCCAAGACCGAAGAGTGTGCTGGACGAGGAGAGTATTAAGCCCCCTAAGATTCCAGCGATAGCTGAGGAGGTGATACACGTCTTTCGACCCCACGAGAGAGTCTTGGAGATAGGCGAGATGAGGAAGGACGAGAAGAGACCCCCAAGAGTGAACAGAGAAGTCGCAAGGCCGAATTGGCTCTCTGTAAGTGGTATGCAGCCGGTTGTGATTGGCGATTGCGCCGTGAGAATGGCGGGATTGCGACTACGACATGTGAGGACGGGTTGGAGAGCGTTGAGCTCTGAGATGCCGTAGCCGTAGTTGGCGGCTGAGAAAAGGATCCAGATGAGAACGAGGCGGAAGCGGGGTGTGACGAGATTCTTGGGCTCGCCACCGGCTTGCGACGTCCTGTCTGGCGCTGTAGATGGCATCTTACTGTCCCAGGCCTCGATTACTTGCCTCACTCGACGTGAGAAGGCTTGAGATGATGGTGGGGGTCAACAAGCAGCCTCAGTCTGTGGGGAAGATTTCGTGTGGAGTAAAGGCGGATCCGATTCGGGGTCCTCTCCTTGAAGCGCACGGATCAAGTCAAGTCGCCGCGTGTGTGCTCTTGCACAAGCCGAGCTGGAATTGAAGATTGCAGATAAAACGCGACCGATCGGAGCCACTAGCAAGCTCTCGTATGCAGTCATATTACTTCTTGAATGCTTATGTTATATTCATGTGATGCTATATACATGGTCATATATATATACTTAGCAATCTCCTTCAGCCTGTGCAAAAGTGTGATGTGTCACTCCTTGTGTTACTCCTGTGTTGTCGCCTCTTGTGCATTATTGTAACAACTCCTATGCATCCCACATGTGTCGCCACCTGTATGCACCTTTACCTAATTATTAGATCGCTTAAATTCTGTGGACCCTGTATGATTCCGCAGACCCTGTGAATCCCATTGGGATGCTGATGCATCTTCAACTCCCCCCTTCGATGGCATTACCAACCCTAACAACTGAGATAGCTGGGATGTTGCTAAACCCTTCAATGGTTTTGTTAAAATGTCTGCAACATTGTCTGCTGTTCCAACAAATTCTATCTCTATCTCCCCATCCTGAACATGATCCCTAATGAAATGATATCTGGTGTCTATGTGTTTCAATTTCCAGTGCTTTGCCAGATCCTTACTCACCTGTATACATCCCTGACTATCTGAACATAAGACTGGATGAGCAGCATCGATTTCTAAGTCCCTGAGGAGGTATGAAAAGAAGAGTGCCTCTCTTGCTGCTTCTGAGGCGGCAACAAACTCAGCTTCCACTGCTGATAGCGCCACACATTTTTGGACATGTGACTTCCAGCTAACTGGGCACCCATATATATATGTCATTGCTCCCGATGTGCTTCTCCATCCGTTTGTTGGGTCTGAGGCCCAATTGGCATCACTATACATGACAATCAGTTGCTTCAAGTGTTCGCTTGATCTGCTCCCAAGGTTCAGTTGGTAGTCACTGGTTTGGTTGAGATACTTCATCAAGTGTATAGCAGCCTTCCATGCACTGTTGGTTGGGGTCAACATATATCTTGCCAGTATTCCCACTGTGAACAATATGTCAGGTCGTGCGGTATTTGCTACCCATAACAATTGTCCCACCAGTTCTTGGTATTGTTTTGCCTCTAGGGAATCACATTTATCGTTCCCTATGGCATTAGGTATTTCTGGCATTGGTACCCATGATTTCTGATCTGTCGACTGTAACCACTTACTCACCATGGCCTTGGTGTAAGCGGTCAAATCAATTGACATCTCCCTTCTTGTCCTGTCTCATTTGATGCTGATGCTGAGGAACTCTTTCACTGGGCCATTATCTTCCATTCCCCACTTGGACATTATCTCCCTTTTGGTGTGATCCACCTCCTTACAACTGGGCGAGGCTATGAGCATGTTGTTGACATAGGCTGTGATAATAGTTAGGTTACTTCCAGTTCCTCTTGAATACAGACAAGGTGCACTTGGCATGCAGTGAAAGTCTATGCTCCATAGGTACGAATCCAACTCTATGTTCCATTCTCGCCCTGATTGTTTCAGTCCGTACAGTCCTTTTACTAGCTTCAAGGCCTTTCCAGGTGGGATTCTCATTCCAAGCAGCAGTTTTAAGAATACATCATGATGTAGCGTTGAGTTTAGATATGCTTGCTTGACATCAATACTATCTACTTCCCAGTCACAAACTGCTGCTATGGCTAAGACTCCTTGGATTGACTGAATGGGTGTGACGGGCGCAAACACTTCAGTGTAGTCTATACCTTCTCTTTGTGTGAAACCTCTCGCCACCAGTCTTGCTTTAAACTTCATCGGGATGAGATTTGCATCTGTTTTGATTTTTAAAACCCAACATGTGTCGACGGCATGCATACCTTTGGGGAGATCAACGATTTCCCATGTATCCATGGCTTTCAAACCATCCAGTTCTTTACGCATTGCTTCCTCCCAATGTTTCCTGTCCTCTCCTGACAATGCTTCACTAACTGTTGGGTCTAGATTTCTTCTCTTTCAATCATTTATTGCCATGAGTCCATAGTGATTGCTATTGGTCCATGTGTCGTCAAATGTGTTGGTGTCGGTATCGGCCCTGCATTCTATTGCCTTTTTTGTATCTTCACCCAGATCTTCTTCGTTGTTCAATCCATCTGTTTCTTTCATATTCATGTACTCATTCAGTGGCTCCTCCTCTCGTTCATCGAAGAGGTTCATATCTGTGTATCCAAGATCATCTATGTCTCCTTCGTCTGCTAGTGCTGGTGGTGGGTGTATGTTTACTGGTTTCCACTCTGTTTTGTCGGACCAGCATTTTGTCTCCATGAATCTAGCTGAGTTGCTCCAAAAGATGTTTGGGCTGTAGTCCGGGCTGTAGAAGAGCCATCCTTTTCTTTCCAGACTATACCCCAAGAAGATAGATGCTACTGTTCGTTGATCTAACTTTTTATTATCTCTTTTGACCTTGGGGATGTTTACCCATGCTAAACATCCAAAGATGCATAGGAGTCTTATGAGTTGCTCTGGCAACTTCCCAAACATGACTTGGTATGGGAACTCACCGTCAATGCTCGGAATGAGGTTCATTTTGAAGGCTGCAGTCCAGATTGCATAGGGCCAGAAGCTCTTCGGTAACCTCCTTTGCATGAGCAGCATTCGCATCTTCTCACCCAAGCTTCTGTTCATTCTCTCCACATGTCCGTTCTGTCTGCTATTGTACCCTACCATCATTTGCCATTCAATGCCCTTTTCATATGCCCACTGAAGCGCATCATTGCTTCTCCATTCTGTACCTTGGTCAGATCATATTGCTTTCAGATTCTTTCCCATCTGTGTCTCGAGATACAATATGATTGTTTTGAGCTTGGGAAATGCATGACTCTTTCATAGCAAAGGCTGCGCATATACATACTTGCTGTAGTTATCAACCAGTACCAATGTGCACATGTATTCTGTTGTGTGTGACGAGTTGACTATCAAGTCAATGTGGATGAGATCAAGTGGAGAGACAGATTTCTCTCCACTACCTTGCCCCATTCAGGCTGCTGTGCTTTTGGATCAGATGCATGGCTCACACATTGTAGCAGTCCCTGGGTTTAGGTCTGCTGTGTCATTTTCTCCTAAGCGGTTGATGATGGCCCTCGTCTTATCTCGACCTGGATGTCCCAGACGTTCATGCCATAGTTGTTGTTCAGATATTTTGGCTTTGTTCTCAATATGCTCGAAATCTTCATCAACACCTTCAAATAATGATGTTGATGTGATCATTGCATTTTCCTTCCATGTGTCGCCTTGGAACTCCAACAGTCCTTGCTCGCAATTCTTGGATATTTTGAGTAGCATACCATTTGCTAAGTGTATTTGCCCTCCAGTTGAGTCTAGCATCACTTGTGCTCCTTCGTCTGTCAGAGAATTTGTTGACAATAGGTTAACATTGAGATGCTGAACATACAATACATTTTGGAGAAAAACATCTCCATGACTTGTTGATATGCTAGCATCCCCTATAGCGGTCGCTTCCAGAACCTTGCTTCCAGCAGTGAATATGTGCTTTTGGCAGGTTCTCGGACTAATGAGCATGCTATAGTTGTTTACCATATGATAGCTGGTGCCTGAATCTAGGATCCAATGATGGTTCCCTTTTGAATCTGGGTGGCTCTGCCAACTTGGTGCAAAAGAGCACCAGGCTTCCTATTTGGGCCTGGCGAAGGGGGAATTTTCTGGTATGGTCACCGATGCATCACATTGACTGATCCCGTGTCCAGGCCTCTTGCAGATCCAACATCTGAGCCTTCAAGGTCTAGTGGCAACTTTGGCGCTGGTGCTGTCAGTGTCCTTTTCATCTTTCTCCTCCTTTCCGGGTGTCTTGTCCTGGTTGTCACTGCTGATGACTCTGGCGCTTGCTTGATGGGGGTCAACTCTTGGGGTGGGGTTGTTCTCAATTGCCAACTGCCAAATAGATAGGGCAGTGGCAAGGGCATTAAAACTAAGCTGGCTGACGGTGGCAATGGTCTCCTTGTACATTGGATGTCGGATAGTGCACTTTTGTAGATTAGAGAACAGAGTATCATCAGTGAATGGCTTTCCCAGTAAGCTGCTCTCCATTTGGATGGTCCTTATTTCCTGGATAAGCTTTTGTACATCTGAGTTGTGCATCCTTAGTTCACCTAGCTGAGTGATCAATGCAATATGATGAGATATGGCAGTGGCCTCATTGGTGAGTCCATTTTTGATCTTCTTCCATACATGATGGAATGTATGGTGCTCCCTGATGATGTCAAGAATCAAGTAATTGATATTGTACTCTCTGGTGGTGTCAATGGTACTGTGTAATGCATTTGTCAAAGCATCATCAAATGTGCAGTTCCATTTGGGATGTTTCTTGTTGTACGCTCCATCAAGATGCTTCATGGCATGAGGAACACATCATAGAAAGGACTTGATATGGGCATTCCAACTATAATAGTTGTGCGATGTGAGTTTTGGGATGGGCTCAAGTAGTTTTGCTAGAGTACGAAAATTGTATGGCTTTCTATTGTTGTTGTGATCTGAGTCAGAGTCAGTTTCTTCCTCAGCATCATCATCAATCACCTCAGTGTCTGACTCATTGGTGGCCTCATTGTCAATGGCTCGTGGTTGCATTGCCTTTCCTTTTCTTCCTCCTTTGGCCTTGCTTGTGACAGCTTGAGCTTTGGCCTCTTGTACCATGTTGTCGATGGTCCCAGTTGGCTTAGTCGGTAGAGCTTCAGACTCTTAATCAATTGAAGATTGCAGATAAAACGTGACTGATTGGAGCCACTAGCAAGCTCTCATATGCAGTTGTATTACTTCTTGAATGCTTATGTTATATTCATGTGATGCTATATACATGGTCATATATATATACTTAGCAATCTCCTTCAGCCTGTGCAAAAGTGCGATGTGTCACTCCTCATGTTACTCCTGTGTTGTTGCCTCTTGTGCATTATTGTAACAACTCCTATGCAACCCACATGTGTCGCCACCTGTATGCACCTTTACCTAATTATTAGATCGCTTAAATTCTGTGGACCCCGTATGATTCCACGGACCCCGTGAATCCCGTTGGGATGCTGACGCATCTTCAACTGCTGGGCTCTCAAGAAAAAGTGGAATCGGCGTTTGGACGATGCCTGCTACGCTTCTTCTCAACCGCTCACACTCGTCCCAAGCCGCACAGAAGGTCAGCATGAGTCGACGCAACCGCAAAGACGTTGACGACCTTCTCGCCGACCTTGACAATCTTGGTGCCGAGCAACCCACCAGGCCTTGCCGCAAATCTGCCGACAAAGCTGCAGGCTCCAATACCGGTTCGAACGATGCATCCGGCGCTGGAGCAAAGAAGGCACCAGAAGATGCGCAGAGCCTGCTAGACGACTTGGATAGCTTAGTTCAGAGTCGAGCTGCGTCTAGCAGCAGAGCCTCGCAGCGGAAGAAGGATGATGCTGCTTCGACCCCAGCTGCGACTACTCCAGCAGCAACGCAGGCAGAGACATGCACCACAACGACTACTGAGCCCGCTGCAGCTGCGGCAATGACAACGGAGAAGTCAGAGCTAGAGACAACATTTGTGCCTGCTTCGAGCTCGAGTGGCGCTGGGGGTGGATGGGCTGGTTGGGGCAGCTCTTTGTTCTCTCAGGCGAGTAAGCTGGCGGAGCAGGCTAGACAGGAGCTGGAGAAGAGAGCTCCTACTCAGGCTGAACAGGCTCGTGAGTTGGGGAACAAGGTGGGCAATAAGGGTTGGGATCTGGCAAAGGGAGTCAGAGGGTTTGTAAAAGATGCTGGTCTTGAAAAGTGGGGTAAGTTTCATCTGCAACGCTTACATTGTGATCATCGCTCGCATCTGCTCACACCAAATTCTATCTTGATGCTCTGCTTGTACAGGCGAGGAAGTGACAAAGGTAGGCAAGAGAGGCTGGACAGACATCGTCAATGCCGTCGCTCCACCCATTGCCGCTCACGAGATCATTCAAGTTACTCTCAGCCACGACATGATTGGCTACGATGGCATTTCCGACGTCACCTACCAAGTCCTTGCGAAAGTGATGGAACAAGTCGATTCTTCAGGTACCGAACAGCAGCTTATTGTTAACAAGGCGCAAATCGAACTTCCTGCCTCGAAACCCAAAAGGCAAGGTGGGGAGCAAGAGAGAGATTTGAACGCGGTTGAAGGTTTCACTGCTGCTTTCAAGCTGGCAAAAGTGAACCTGGAGGAGTGTATCAAGCAGCATGAAGTAGCGGCTCCAGTACAAAAGGTTGCTGAAGGCTTGCCAATCACAACTTGCCCTGTGTTCGTTCGGATTCAGGCTTGTACAGCTGATCTGCCAGGGAGGGAAGAAGGGCAAGGGGAAGGAAAGTCTTTGTTCTTCCTGATCATGTTGAGAGATGCTCAGCACGGGTTAAGCCACAAGACTGTTTCTCAGGCTGTGCCTTGCTCTTGGTGTAAGTTGCACAACTCCTTTCATCGAGTAGTTCCTCATGAATGCGGACGGTAATGCTGACCTTTTTTTTGGCGCCTCGCTTTGCTCACGAACAGTGGATGTAGCATTCGAAGAGAATCAATGGGTCGAAGAGTCACTGGTGGATGTTCTTTCGAATGCTCTCAGTGTTGTTGGACAGGACTATGTTCAGGGAAGAATGTCTGGTCGCACCAAGTCGAGTCAGGAGGGCGTTGTTGGTTCGAGTGAGAAGCCAACTGAAAGCGCTTCCTGATGATCTCTCTCTCTCTCTCTCTGTATCAATGCCAATCTTTTGCTCATCTGATCCCTTGTTTGCGAGTTCATACTGTCTTTGCGCATGGGTCATTGAATTCTCTTTCTCATCCCAGAACTGAATCTCGGAGCAAAAGCGTGAGCGCGTGGAGGCCATGCTTTCGCTTCGTTGTCGCTAGAAAAGCAAATGTATTAACCTAAGTTGGGTGACAAAAGAGATGGGAGCGGACGATGCCGTTTATGCCTTCTTGCCAATGATCTGGGCGGAAATGATCTCCTCGCCGTTGACGTGGTACTTGATGTCAACCTAGATTACCAAATAGAGCGGATCAGTGTCAAGTCAGCAATCAGGGGGTCCAGCCGTCTTCTACGTTATCTTTCTTTCTCTCTGCTTCAAGCCGAAATCGCAAGATTGGAGGGTATAGAGGGATGTTGATGTACTTACGTGACCGCCGGTCTTGACATCGATCTTCTCGATCTTGCCCGACTTGACGTCGCCGCCGAAAGGTCGGTCTGACATCGCGCATCAACAACAACACAAGTGTCAACAAAAGTCAGCTTACTGCCCTCACACCGCACTTGGATAGAGAGAATGCGAGAGCAGGGGGACTTACACTCGATAACGTCTCCAACAACGTAGAAAGCCATTTTGATCAGAGTCTTGTAGAAAGGGATGGGATGCTGATTGTGATGGTAGGAGGGCAAAAAACCTAGGGTCTGGTAGAAGAACGCTTGCGTGTGGTTATGGGCCGAGTTGGAGGGAAACAAACCCTTCTTGACCAAGCCGAGGACGAGTGAGAATGACGATCGATCGGGCTTGTTGCTGTTGCTGCCGGCAAGCGTCACACCGCGGGTTGCACACGATTGATTGGGCTGGTGGGCACGGGCCAACAAGAACAAAAGAGCGAAATTGCGACATGCTGCAGCCCGAAGTCACGTTCGACGGGAGGAATGATTCGTGCGATATAAGCCGAGGAATTTCGGTGGTGGTTCGAACGGCTTAACAACGCAAGAAATAGCACCCTGAGTGTTGCGATAAGGTTTATCCCGTCTGGACTCAACCGTGCGAAAAAACACAACAAAAACTAAGGCAAAAAAAAAGGGGGGGAACTAAGTAGATTGCAGGCAAAGACCTGTGAGGTCCTCGAAGCTTGACAAAGAGGCTCCCGGCCCGCCAACAGCTGCAGTGTCGCCTGCACAGCAGTCAGCGGTCATGGCAGAGGGGCTGGGGGGGCCCCACCAAGGTTGAGTTTAGAGGACCAGGTCCTGCCAAGAGGGACTGGGAGGGACGAGGGGTCCCTGATGGGACAAGTAGAGGGCTGCTGCAACCATGGTGTGCCTCTCAGATGCCAATCAGTCAATATATCGATGATAGCAGTCTGAGTTCCAGTGCCCGAGAAGCTTAATGGTGTCTGCATCAATGCCCTGTGACACAGCCCAAGTGGCCACCCCTCGACAGAAAGAGTGCCCTGCATAATGAGACATGTCCAGTCCAAGTCGAGAGAGAGCCGAGCAGAGGTGCTGGAGGAAAGTGGAACAGGAGAGTGGCTTGTACCCATCATGCAACCCAAAGAGGGGGGCATCCAGCCGGCAGACAGAGGGGCAGAGGAGGTGGAGGGCGGCATATGGGCACTCCACCCCACCAATGCGGGGGACCACAAGTGGGGTTCTGAGTCGGAAGGGATTGGTCTTCGACGCTGGGAGGAGAAGGATGGCATAGTCGTCCTGCCACATGACCAACCCAACCAGCAGAGTGGCTGGTGAAGCCCGGCTCCAAGTGACCTCCCCACACTGTAGGAAGCAGGAGAAGGAGACAGCAAAAGCTGTGGTGATGACCTGGCAGTCCCAGGCACCAAGGGGGAGGGTCTGGAGTTGCCCCAGGATGGCCCAGAGGAGTGGGAGAGTGATGGGCAGCTTGGGAGCTGCTGGCCAGAGGCCATGGGTGCGTTTGATGCTGTGAACTGCATGCTCCAGGCAGCCATGGCAGAACCCATCGAGGGTGAAGCTGAGATCAACGTGCCAGGAACGGAGAGCATCGAGCTCGTGCCAGACACTGTGGAAGGAGTGGGACTGGGCCAGGTCACAGACCCACTCAGTGAGGAGCAAGTCAGAGGCTGGGAATGGTGGGGTGCTGGGTCTGAAACGGTGATCGACAAATGCTCGATAGCGGCCAGGGACACTGGCGCTACGGCTGCGGCTGGAAGCAGCATGGCCCTGCCATATGTACATAGTGGCAAGGGGGGAACAGCTGGTGGTGGCAACAAAGGCTGTTGGGGCTCCGCAGAGGTGGGATGGAAGAGGAGCCAATGCACCACTGGGAAGCATGTCTGTATTGCAAGGAAACATTGGCAAGAAAGGAGGTCAGCCAGGCAGTTGTCCTCCAAGGCAATGTGGACTGGCTGCAGGGTGACATGCCACCGAAAGCAAATCCCAAAGATCTCACGGAGCAGGGTCTGGGTTAATGGGTCGTGGGAACGGCCATTGCAGAGACTGAATTTGACATTGGTGTTGTCCACATGGAGAACTACCAGGTGAGGACCAGACCAGAGAGGAAGGAAGGTGCAGAGTGCCTCCAGAACAGCGAGCACTTCCAGAAAACAGATATCCTTCGACCAGTGGCAATGGGGGACCTCCCGGGAGAAGGCCGCTTCAGGGGCATGCATAGGCCCAAGGTGGGCTCCAAATCCTCGCTTGGACACATCGGTCCAGATGTGCCTAATGAAGAGTGGTGAGGGCTGTAGGAGGGAGTGACCCAGCCAGGCCTGAAGGGTGGACCTCCACCACCTGAGCTCAAGTGCTGCTGGTCGGGAGACACACCAGAGGGACAGGGGGCAACGATGGGCGGTCTTGATGGCATCGTATAGCTGGTGCAGGAATGCCTTACCATGGGGAACGACTTGGGAGACAAACTGGAGAAGACTGGCGACACGTTGCCAGTCGAGGAGGTGAGCAGAGCACTGGTGTAGGAGATTGTCAATGGCCTCCAAGATGCATATGCACCATTCGGAGGTGATGCTGACACTCTGCTGGACAGAGTCAATCTGGATGCCAAGGATTTCCAGCTTGGTGGTGTCCCAGAAGGTTTTTTGCAGGGCCAATTGGAGACCCAAAGCCAAGCAAGCCAGAGCAAGCACATGCAGCAGTTGGCCAGGGTCTGTGGAGGCTGGGACTGCCCCAAAGAAATCGTCCAGGTAATGGTCGACAGGGTGACCCATAGCCAACTGCACGATCCAGTGCAGGGCCTCAGCAAAGAGGTTGAAGATCCAGGGGGAGCTGTGACCCCTGAAGGTGAGGCCGGTCTCCATAAAGAAATGACCGTCAAAGGAGAAGCTGAGCAGACGAGCATCAGCAAGGGTGGTGATGACATGCCGGAAAGCATCAGTCAGGTCACTTTTCCAGAGGTGACAACCCAGGTGCTCCTGCACAAAGTCTAGTATCTTGGCCAATGAGGCATACCGGATCATGGTGAAGTGAGGTGTGATCCCCTCATTGACTGACAGTAGTTGCTTTGGACAGGGAGGGCGAGGGTGGGATAGATGGTGAATGGTATGCAGCTTGGAGGAGCACGGTTTGGGAACTGTGCCAACTGGTGAGCAGACCAGGTTGAACTGCTGAGGATCAACCTCAAGGAGCCAGCCCTCCTGGACCCAGGCAGAAATCTCAGACCAGATGTGTGACTTGCTCCTGTCATCCATTGGCAGATTCTTGATGTGATGGTGGCAACCGCAGTGGCGGAGAGGGCCAGAGTAACCAAGGTGGACGCCATGCTCGATCGCTCCCAAAAGCTGAACAACGAAAAACGGGTCTGGGTAGCAGTGAAGTGCCTGCCTCCAGTTTCCAGAAACAGCCTGCATGGAGCCATGGTGAGCTGGAAGGCCATCAGCAGAGTGGAGGGGGGCAGCCATGGTGGTGTTAGGCCACACAGGGGGTTGGAGGGTCTGTAGAGAGGTGAGTGCTGCTGAAGCAAGGTCAGCCAGCAGAACCTGCAGAGGGTCAGGAAGTGGAGGGGTCACTGGATCCGATAGGGACCCTAGGTTGGACACTGGAACCAGCTGGGACAGGGAGAAGTTGCTGAGCCATATCGGGGAGCTGGAGCTCCGAACTGGGATAAGGCGGGACTGGGGAGAAGGGGGCATCGCTGTGGGCAAGCAGGGGCTGAGGAGCTGCTGGAGCTTGCCAGGATGTGGCGATGGAGTGGTTACTGGGTTGACTGAGTGAAGAAGACTCATGAGGGGGACTAGTTCATCTTGAGCAGTTTGGTCAGGGGACCAGATTGTGTATCCCGGGTGCAGGACTTTGACTGGTGCTGACCTCTGCACGAGAAGCAGACATGTTTCCGGATGCAGGGTCGCTGGTCAGTACCAGTGCACTTCCCCTGATTCCATGACATGCAGACCTGCTTGCAGTGAGGGTCATCATGGCGCAGGCCGGGTTTTTTGTTAGCAGATGAAGAAGGTGGAAGGTGTGCTTGTACCCCTTGGAAGTGGGTAGCATGAAGCTTGGTGTCGAAGTGAGCCCACTCTGTCATGGTGGCTCTCCCAAGGTGCGAGGTGCAGACAGCAATGACGTAGCCCGCCACCTTTTCCCAGGGAAAGACCTCGGCGAGGTCCACAACGTGCTGGTAGAAGCGCCTGAGGCTGACCAGGAGATCGCGATCAGGCGAACTGGAAGACCTGAGGGACAGGAACACCACCCACAGTCTGCTGAAGGTCAAGAAGTTGGGCACCACTTTGATGAACTGGCAGTTGGAGGTGGAGGTGGTGGGAGCCTTGACAATGGAGAAACCTTCGATGAGGACTGGGGTGGGGTCCTCCAGGGCCATGCTGCTGGGCCATGATGGGTTTGCGAGTTTTGGAAGCTCGTAAATGCTGATGTTGTCCTGGAGGACCTTGTCAACTAGGTCGGCAGGCAGCCAGGGATAGGCGATTGCAGGCTGGTACTCACCGATGAAGGCCGGTAGGGTGTAAGCGGTCGCGCGCCAGAGACTTAGCTGAGGTTGATTGAGTAAGGACTACTCGATATGATTCGCCTAAACGTAACCAAGCGTCGTCGCCTAGTAAGTCTCGACTGACTGCCTTGAACACTCTGTTCAGAGGTTGCGTGGCATGGACATTGTTTGTTGGTGAGTGTGTGATACACCCTCCCCTACAGTACGAGTGTTCATAGTACTGTTGATAATGCTCTTGGACATTGTCTGGACTGCGATATGCCAATCGCCTACAGAGGATGTGAGTTACTGGACCACTGGTGTGAAACACCGCCTACAATAACTGACTGGACTGCTGGTGTCGAGCAACACTGCCTACAGCAAGGAACTGGACCACTAGTGTGAAGAACACCGCCTACAGTAATGAACTGGACCGCTAGTGTGAAGAACACTGCCTACAGTTGTTGACTAACAGTGATACAACACACATGTTGAGAGTCATTGCAAGAGCACTGCTATTGCGAAGATATGTAACCTAGTAAGTATAGAGTAAGTAGTTGAGTTTCAGAGTGGATGCTGGTCCACTCGAATGCTATGGTAGGAAGAGAGTATTTATATGTTCAATTGGTGTTTTCCCTTGACACCTATCCTGCTCCTCTTGAGGGGCCTTTGTCCCCTGTTAGGCACTGCCTTGCCCTGCTGGCATCATCCCCTTTGATACTGCACTCCTACCATTTTGCTTGGCATAAGGGTTATGCAACACTGCCCTCTCGCCTTCATGCTCTCCTTCTGTCTCATGTGTGATGCCCCCCTTACGGCACAGCCCCCTTTCAACTTAATCTTGTGAATCCCCTTTTGAACCTTGTGACCATACCCCCTGGTCATGTGGTCATGTTGGCTCAGTACCATCTTGACTTGTTTGGATCGGCCGACTAGTTGAAGCATGCTGATCCGACTGACTCTGTCATTGGCACAGCTCCGAATACTTGCTTGGATCAGCCGACTAGTTGAAGCATGCTGATCTGACTGATTCTGACACCGGCACAGCTCCGAATACCTGTTCGGATCAGCCAATTAGTTGAGGTGTGCTGATCCAACTGCCTCCATCGTTGGCATAGCTCTGAGTACTTGTTCGGATCGGCTGACTCATTGAAGCATACTGGTCCAGCTGACTCTGACCGATCCCATGAGATTGATCTGGATTCCCAGGGTTTGATTGATCTCGTAAATCATGTGCACTGCCAACCCGATTAATCTCATTGATCCCCGATGGTTGTCAACTCTGATCAATCTGGTGCACCCTTCATATGTTGATCTTCTGTGCACCCTTCATATACTGCTCCATTACACGACATTATCATAACTGCCGCTGATCATTTGGCGCACTCTCTTGCGCAGGCCAGCCGTCCCTGTGACATAGGGCAGGACGGGGGGCGGCTGGAGGTGGTGCTGGTGGAGCAGCGAATTGGGTGGAGGCGGTGTAGGTGGGGTTAGAAGGGCGAGGGGTGGTGACTGGTGGAGATGGTGGGAGAGGGCTGGCAATCAAATGGACAGTGGTGATAATCTCATCCTGAAGGAACTGACGAAGCTCTCCAATACTGGCTGAAAAATCTGAATGGGTCACAAAGTTGTGATCAGAGGCCACCGAGAGTGCAGGTGCAGCTGAGGATGGGGGGTCTGGGATGGGTGGCAGTGGTTGGGGAGCGATGAGGGGAGAGGCAGGGGTTGGGAGTGTTGGTTCGACAGGTGTCGTAGCAGGAGCCTGGGGTGTGAGGTCCTGAATGGTGGCCAGGAAGGCAGCGGGTGGGCAGGGAGCCAGGTACAGGGAGGGTACCTGGGAAGGTGCTTGAGAAGGTGTATGTGTCGACTGGGGCAACCTGGTGCAGCAGTCAAGACAGGAAGCAGTAACCCGGCCCAGGAAGTGCTGGTGGATGAAAGAAGAGAGTGGCTTGTCATGTTTGCAGGAGCAGCAGGGTTGTCCTGCATCAGCCATTGTTGTGCCAGATGGCAACTCATTCGATGTGGTGCCAAGGTACCATGGCGAGAGACCGAAAGAATCAAGGAGAAAGGGAGAAAGAACGAACCAGGCAGCTAGTAGTGTGCCTGGCTTGGAGATGTGAAGATGATGGTAGTGAGGAGAGGAGTGGAGAGTGGAGAGGTGTGGTGAAGAGTGCCTCTGCTATGCTCCTTGCAGGTGATCAACAAAAATTTTCGCTTTGTTTGAGTCCAGTCCAGACGCGCACGCCTTCATGACTGATCACGTGATGCAAAAGTGGATGGATCCTCGACTGCCACCTCGATCCCAAGGTCGCCTGGCTCGGGGCTGCTTGGGCATAGTAGAAGACCAGAGCACTGTGAGCTTTCGCATCAACCATATCGGCAGCGGAGAACATCGCAATGGCGTAGCGCCGACGAAACGTCGTGGTGACGACAAAATATGAATTCATGAGCGAGCCCGTGTGTTGCTTTCGGCTGTTCAGCCTTTCGACATCCGATCCGTACTGTCAGGCTGAGGTACGACAGGACGAGCGCCCAAACGTGTCTGCTGATAGATGAAACAGAGGCCCTCGTTGTAGCAAAGTTCCCGCTATAATAGTGCAGAAGCCGAATGCTCTTCCGAACGTGTCTGCCTTTGATGCGCAGTCTTGGACGCGCGATGATCGTCGGTCGCTTTGCATTTTAAGCTATCTTAGCTCGAATCTGCCTATCGTCGCATCGGGTCTACTTTTAGTAACTTCCCATGAGCCCCTAAATCCAATGGGATGGATGAATAGGTCCCTTACCTCATTGGTCTTACCGGCGGGCGGTACCTTTGGGCCCGTTGTGATGTAATATGTGGAAGTTTAGGGAAGCCGCTGGGAGAATTAGTGGGCTTCTACCGCCGGGTTGACATTCCGAGATCTACTTGCTGTGGGTCATTCTGCAAGAGTGCTTGTAGTAGATCATGCTCGATGCTATGCAAAGACGGAAGCGTATATAGAGGGGGCAGTTTGTATGAGATGGACAAATGGCAGCCACTTTCTCCGTTACCTCCTCAAGTAGTTGGCAACAGCGACAATTGCACCTCCTTCTGCGCTGCAAGCTGCAACGAAAGTCTAGCCACGAGCAACGCTTGGACATCTTCAAAAGCCGCACCTGCAGCAACAGAAACTCACTGACAGACATTCCTCCAAGACATGAGTCATACAACAAACGACGTACAAGGATGTTTGGCTTGGATGAAAGGGTAAGTCTTCGACCTCCCAACCAAGTCCTTCGTGTTGCAGCTGACAGCTGACCCATCGTCATCTCTCTCGTCATATCACAGCATCTTCTCGAAGGAAGCCGGCATCCCACTCCCCTCCAAAGACCCCTTCTACTCGGAACGACCGCATATTTTTACCTCTTTACCCGCCGGCGCCATCCTACGCTCACGTCAAATCTCGGTAATCTACTTCCCCGGCTTCGACGAGCCACCACTTCAAGCCTGGCAAGTAGCCTACAAAACAACGGCCCAGAACGGTGTCACACCTCAAGTCACCGTCCTTACCATTCTTCGGCCGTCGACGGCTCAACCAGACTCGGAGGGCAAGTATCGGATCCTAGCTTACGGCGCCAAGTGTGACTCTGCCGGAAGGAACTTTCGCACTAGCTACGCCCTCCGTGCAGGCAACGACTACACCCTTGGTGCGGCCTCGGAGCAGATCTTCATCGCCCCTTGTCTCGATCGAGGCTGGATCGTCGTTGTTTCTGACTACGAAAGCGAGACATGTGCTTTTGGTGCAGGCCCTCAATCCGCCTATGCCTTCTTGGACTCGATTCGCGCTGCTCTTGCGTTCGAGCCCATGGGAGTGCCCAAAAGCGAGGAAGGGGACTACGAAGCAAAGGTGGCGATGTGGGGTTACTCCGGAGGAGCCCTCGCGGTCGGGTGGGCAGCTCAACAGCAGCCGACTTATGCTCCTGACTTGACCAAGTACTTGGTGGGCGCGAGCATGGGTGGCCTGCCAAGCGATCTCAAGGCTTGCGCAGAGTTTACGAATCAACAGATGTCGGCGGGACTCATCATTGGGATTATGCAAGGCCTAGCTAATGCTTATCCTCAACTCCAAACATGGCTGGACAAGAATGCGAACAAGCTAGGAAAAGCTGCGCTCCTGATGGCTTTGACAAAGAGCTTCGGGACGATTATGAAGGAGTTGCGGGGCATCAATATACTTGGGACGTACTTTGACGTTCCTGAGCCACTGGAGGTGGAACTGATTTCTAGTATAATGCAAGAAAACAAGCTAGGTAGAAAAGGTCAGTTCCCAACGACGCCATGCCAAGTCTATCAGTCGCTGCATGACCAAGTGGTGCCGTACAAGACGACGGATGATTTGATGGTCGTGTGGAGCGCTCGAGGCGCTCGCATCGACTATGTGCGAGACCAGCTATCGAATCATGTCGTGTTGTGCTTCACGGGTACACCGTTGGCGATACGTTGGATGCAAGCGAGATTCGAAGGGGAGCCGACGATTGGACAACCAGGAAAACCTAGTATCGAGACAGTGATCACGATCTTGAATACCAATGATGCCTCGTCGACACTGGGCGAGCAGAGGAAGAAGGAGATGTACAACTTGCTGGCGAAGCAGTATATTAAATCTGGTCTCAATTGGTGGACCTAATCTTGAGCAAGGTTTGCGCTTGCCGTTCTGACTGCTCTTCTCTTTGAATCGCTTGTTGCTCCCAATTTGTAGGTCTTGTTACGCTCTATAACCTTTTGCACGCTATCAATGACAATGATGTTAGAGCAATGTGATATTGGATTTAGACTGTCCGAGATGAGCGGCTTGGTGCGACTGATGAGGAGGCAGTGGTTGATCTGAGATGATGGTCACCCGGCCATAGACCAAGCCGCCATGAGGGCAACCGCAAAGGAAAGCTGTTTCCGGGATCGTCCATTGTGGACCGAGAAGATGGCCAAATCTTGGCCTCTGAAATTGGACGAGTGTGATGACGTCACTTTGCAACGCGGTTGATCCGAATTTTGTTGCTCTTCCAATCGCAGTTGCCGATTTTTCTCTCTGCACCAGTTGAGGGAGATGCGACGAAGCAGGGATCCCGGCCGGGATAAAACTCCCGCTGCAGCCCCGCGCGCACACGCGAGCTACAAAGACTTTGAAACGCCCGGACTCGAGCTTGTAGTTAGACTATCATCATCTACGCAGAAAATCAGATTCCTCAACTGCACCTGTCAGCTAAGGGATAGTGACCAATCGGATCTCCCGACTCAGCTGAGTTGAGGGTCAGATAGACACTCTAGCCAGCGATCAGCAAGAGTGAGGGTGACGATCTGGCATTGCAACCAAGTTGCCATTTGCGGAGATCTAACATCAGTTCGAGGTCGTCTTGAGATGATTCGGCCGATATCGCAGAGACCATGACTGCCGAGTTTCTGACAAAGACGCAAGTTGAATGGTGAAGAGAAGTCGCCGAAGGTCTGCTTGATGTCTAGTCGCCCAAGTCAGTCGGGAGAAGAGGCGATGTGGGGAATCAGACCAGCAAGGCGCAGCAAATCACCAGATTCGAAAATCCAATCCGAAACATCAATTCATACCATAGCAACGACAGTGGGGGAGCATAAAGAGAAGTTGAGATTGCGGGGAGAGTGTGAGTGTGCTCACAGGCTCGAGAGGCTCCCAGGCCGCCAACGTGCGAGGAGCAAACCGGTTGCACAGCAAGGTCCAGTTTTGCTGGAGGGGATGGGAGCCAGAGGCTGAGGAGTCATGCACCAAGCCAAGGAGGAATTAAGTGGTGGAGGAGGCTGAGAAGAGGTAGGAGGCAGCGATTTTGCCACATGCAGAGGGAGGGTGATCAATGTACCAGTGGAAGCAGTTGGAGGACCAGCGTCCCAATGCCTGGATGGCCTCAGTGGGGGCACTGAGGAGCACAGCCCAGGTGGCACCCCCCCTGCGAAAGGAGTGGCTGGCATATGCTGAGGCAGGCAACCCCAACTGACCCAGGAGCTGTTGTAAGACACTGATGACCCTATCATGGGAGAAGGGTGTCGCACTGTTGTCCAAATCAAAGAGGGGCACCTGCAGATGGTGCACAGAGCAGTGTAAGGGCAGGCGGAGCCACTGACTTTGGGGACGATGAGGTCGATGCCAGTCCTGAATGGGTCAGTCTTTGAGCAGGCGAGGTGAAGCATGGCATAGGTCTTGGACCAAGTGATGGAACCAACCCACAGGACAGAGTCATTGAGGTTGGACCAAGTAAACTCAGCACACCACAGGAGGCACACATAGGCAAGGTGTCATGGGCCTGGATGCTCAAGAAGCAGGAGGGTCACTGGTTCATATGAACGGAGCACAGGTATCGAAGACCTAGTCGATACCAGTAGAGAGCATGGTCGTAGTGCAGTCTCCATGGAGACCATGGACTCCTATGGATTCACATGCAAAGGAGCACTGAGCCCATATGCGAGGAGGAGCAGGCACAGCCACGAGGAGGACCAAGCTCAAGGAGCAGGCACAGCCACGAAGAGGACCAAGCTCAAGGAGCATGCAGATGGTTACCACTCAGGGGCTCGAGAGACAAGAGCCAAAGGAACTGTCACTGATCAAAAGAGGAGGAGCAGTGTCGAAGGAGTCGACACCAGGCCATGAGGAGGAGGAGCAGTGTCGAAGGAGTCGACATCAGGTCATGAGGAGGAGGAGCAGTGTCGAAGGAGTCGACACCAGGTCATGAGGAGGAGGAGCTGTGTCGACCAAGAGGCACAGGGGTGCCAAGCAGGAGAGGCCCCTGAGCAGTACTCGATGAAGAAGGTACTCTCTGGAGAGAGAGCAGGAGCAGCATCGCTGGCGATGCTGAGAAGAGGTATATAACCATGCTTTCTCATCAATAGGTCGAGTGGATCCTCATCCACTCTACTCACCATAACTAGTTATCACTTCAGCATAAGTATACATTAGTTTCAGTCAGCATAGCAGCAATCTATCAGGGTTGCTCCTCATCGTAGTGTGTGTGTTGTATCACCACTACCTGACGTCCGAAGGCGCCCATAGCAGGTTAGCGGTCCGGATATAGATAGAACCGAAGGCAGTAGTCCACTGCGGTCCGGGGATCACTTCAAGCATCAAGTCAACACACTGGACACTCGTGTTGACGCCACCAACCTTATCACCAACACCATCAACCTCATTATCATCGACATCACCAATCTCATCACCAACACCATCAACCTCATCATCATCAACACTCACACCAGACCTTGGTGTCATCATAACATTGATATTGATCGTGCCGAGCTACCCCTGAACGGAGTGTCCACAGAGGTCAGCCGAAACCTACGATAGTATATACAACGAACGCCACCTGCTGTCACTGCACAACTTGATAGTCACCGATACCGAGACAATAGCTGTCACACAGTTTGATAGTCACCGAGTATCTCGACAGACCGACCTGGGTTTCAGGCGCGAGACCCCTGACATTAGAGTGGATCGTTCAAGCAGCTCCTCACGATCACCATGACGGACCCAGACCTCAACAATAAGCTCGATAGACTACTCACTCTATTGGAAGCACAGCTAGAGCTTACCAGACAAGGTCATCGAGAGGAACGATTACAATGAGCTCAACTGAGCAGGGAGGAGACAATGGACCTCTCTCACTCAGAAGACCAAGCAGGAGGAGGAGATGAGTCTATGATAGGAGACCCACATACTCCTACTCCAGCTCCACGACCAAGACGATCAGTCTCATTCAACCTGGATGAGCAGGAGGACATCAACTACGAGAAGTATGCTTCACCTACTGGGCCAAGATATGTCAAGACTAAGCTGGACCCCTACAGCAGGACTAGGACGGACCCTTACCCCCTGGACCATGAGGAGGATACCAGCATCATGGCAGAGCTTAACCGGTCAAAGCCCATTGCCACCCCCTTTCCAAAGTTCAATCCCCGAGACATGGAGATCTTCATTCTAGAAGCCGAAGCATGGTTTAAGTTCAACCAGGTGTATGAGCAGTCTAGGATGATCAATCACATGGGTGCTCAACTGGAAGGGACAGCAAGAGAGTGGTGGACCTCCAAGCTCCGTATTGATAGAGCTAGAGAAGGAAGGTTGTTCAATGATTGGCACTACTTCACAGAGCGACTGTCAGAGCAGTTCAACCCACACAATGCTAGGATGGAGGCATACAACAAGCTGTTGGCTCTCAGACTCACAAGTGATGCTCCTGGTGCCGCCACACGTCATGTAGAGCGGTTCAGAGACTTGGAAGGACAGGTCAACCTAGATGACAATGAGCTAGTGATTGATCTCTTCAGAGGTAGTCTCACTCGTAGCATACAGGAGAAGTTCGAGAGGAATCCACCTGGGAAGAGATGGGAGTGGTATCGAGAGGTCGAGGAGATCGATCGACAGAGGATGCTACTACAGCAGTCCTCGGCTAGACACTCACTTCCAAATGCCACGTCACCTCCACTAAGAACTGGGTCTCGGCCAAATCAAAGTTCAATCCCCATCCGACAACCCACTCAACCTTATCCAGCTCGATCACCATCACAAGCAACTACACAAGCAACTATACAAAACCTAAACCGACCCCTTCCTCATCATCCCACCCAACCCTCGAAGCAAGGAAGCCCTGTTCCATCAGGTATCAACACCTGTCATGTATGCAAGGGTATCGGCCATTGGGCCAGAGACTGCCCCAGCAGGAGGGTAAACCCTCTTAGCTCTCGACCCATGGGACCAAAGGTTATGGTCACCACAGCAGACCCCTTCGAGGAGGCCACCGACTCAGGAGATGGCCACACAGGCAGTACTGAGACGGGTGACCCCGAGGCCATGGACCTCAGCTCATACCAGCAACCCATGGACCCCGATCACGAGGAGGAGCACGATGATGATGACGATGAGGGAAACGTCAGTGGGGTGATGCACTGATGGCATGCATTGCTCTACAAACCTCCTCACCATCACTCTGTATATATCAAGATTGTCAAGTATGTTTCTCTACCAGTGGAGGCAAAGCAGTACTGGAGCTCTCTGGAATGGTTCAAGACCATCCTGCTCGGATACTAGCTGATACCGGTGCTGGTTTGTCCATAGTCTCAGATTCTTTCATTAGTAAGTACCGAATACCCACAAAACCCATAAAAACAAGATCGATCCATGGTGTCACCGGGCACCAACTCTCCATCAATAGTTCTGCGAGCATGCAGGTATCTATTGGTACACACAATCTGGGTGTGGTCGAAGCTTCAGTGGCCGACACTGCGGACTATGACCTCATCCTGGGGTTCACTGAGCTACGGAGGCTCAAACCCACCATACAATGGGATACGGGCCAGCTGGAGTTCAAGACTCAGGAGCAGGACCGACCCCCTAGGAGACCCCCTGAAGCAGCAAGAGCAGGGGACCTAACCATGAGGAGACCAACCCTCCATGGTAACAAGTTTGTCTCAGCAGAGCGCATACTACGAGCAGCTCTGGAAGATGGACCCATAGGGTTCATGCTGTTAGAGGAGCCACCATCATCACTTCCGGCCTTTGGTTTTGTACCTACAGGCGCAGACAAAGGAGTCGAGATGGAGGTGGAGGTAGATAAGGTGGTGACGGCTGCAGACATACCAAAGCCATACCAACACCTGCGAGATGTGTTTGATGAGGTG